CTGCCCTTCATGGATACTCCGGGTCAGACCGATGCTGACGGCCAGTCGTCGTCTGGCAAACACCCATCGCCATCATCAAGCGAGTCTTCCCCCTCGGCGTCGGCAGCCTCCCCCGCTTCCAAACGCTATAGGGCAACCAATTCTGCTCCTGATTGCTGTCGCACTTGCAGGCTGCGCAAGGTAAGCAACAGCCTGTAGCCACTCAATTCATTCATTCGCCTTGCAGCGGCCTCCCAGCGTTGTTCAACTTTCGGACGGCCGGCACGCACCCCAGACGTCGCCCGCCACCCGGTTGCTCGTCTCCAGCCGCTGCAACGGTTACGCTCAACCCCCAACGCACGGCCGCGGCGCGACTTGCAGCCGCTCGCCACGCAGTACCTATCGCGCGCTTTCTAATGCTGTATCTTGTTCTATTGTAGGTAAAATGTACTGGTAAGTCGGCTACCGGGCCTTGCACCAACTGCGCACGGCTCGAGCTGGCCTGTAGCTTTCAGAGCGCCGATAACCCGGGCGACTCCCAAGGTACGACCATCCTCTCCTGATAACGAGCGACCAGCGCTGCATTGGTTTGTAGTGCACGCGCACATCTACCATCGCAGAGTCCCTGTCTTGGATTTTTTTTGCAAAACTGACCCCTCATGATTCACAGACCGCGTGTCGAGAACCACACCAAGCGCCAGCCACACTGAGGCCGGTACCCTACGCAAACGCGCACAGAGAGCCTGCGGCCAATGCCATTCCCACAAGACAAAATGTTCGGGCGATTTACCCCGCTGTCGACGCTGCGAGGCTAGCAACCTCGTCTGCGAATATACACCCACCAAAAGGAAATTCACAAGTGTTCGCTACAGTGCCGCCAATGCTGCCGACGGCGCGCCCACACCATCCGAGACCACCGTCAGTGTCCAATCCATCGAAGAGGTGTCAGCCAATAGCCCAACGACCAACAATTTTCAAGGCTATCATGTCATGCTCTTAGATCCCAACGTTCTAAGTGCTGAGTACGTTGCTCCTTCTTATATCCAGCCGCCCATCCCCGTGCTGACTTGCCACTGCAGGGACAAGATGATCAAGAGAGACATTATTTCACGGCATTTCGAAGTGTACATGTACTGTCTCTACTGGATGCCCAGCTTGGGCTTCCTCCACCCTCCCACAATATGGCGCCAAATAGACGTACGCCCATATCCCCTTCAGTTCATGCATGCCACGGGAACTAACTCAAATCCTCCATAGGACATGGCCCTTCATCCAGCTAAAGCCGCTGCAATATGCTCGGTTACATGTTTTTTTGCCAACCCGGGCGAAGTTGGCCGCGACTTTGGCCAGAGATGCTGTAACCAGGTCGAAGCATACCTGGTTCGAAGCATTGACCGGTTTTCTGAAGAATCTCTCATGCTCACCACCCTCAACACTCTCTTCAACCTGTTTCTCGGCTCCTATGCCAGAGTTTGGACATGTCTTGGTATCGGCTCCCGCGTCATGGTCGGGCTGCAGGCGAATTGGGATTCCGGAATTTACAAAGGACGCTCTTGGATCGAGCAAGAGAGCTTACGTCGGCTAGTCTGGCAGAACTTTTACATGGATCGGTTACTTGCCGGAGGCTACGATGAGTATCTTGCTAATCGCAACGATACCTGGAAACTCCGGCTGCCGTGCAAGGAAGCGGCCTATCGCGGAAATCACCCGGTGATAGTGGACCGGCTGCACGATAATCCACCTCCACACATCGAAAATGCCGGCTTGCATGCTTGGCAGCTTCGGCTATGTGACTTGCGGCACCGAATTCAAGTGTAAGTGTAACTTGATATCTGTTACATACAGTTGCGCTAACAACCGATGGTAGAGCGGCCAAGCGATTGACGCTCCCTCAAGTCAACATTTCGCGACCGGAACCATCCACGGTCATGTCGGAGATTAGAGCTCTCCAAAATGAGCTAGGACGCTTCCACATGTCGCTTCCTGAAGAGTACAAACTGACGGATCAAGTGGTTGAACACATTATGGGAACCGAGGAGCGCAACGGTTACATCTACCTTCACTCCCACATTGGTGTTAGCCATGTAGACCTGTACCGCTTTGCTCTGCCAGGGGTGCACGGTACTGCGCCAGACCTTCTGCAGCGACTGCCGAGGGAATTCGTGCTCTCATCACAAAAGCAGGCCGTGGCGCACTCCATCAGCGTCGCCACGTTTTGCGATGTGGTTCGACGCGAGCACGAGAAGCATCCTTCGCTGCTGCCAATGCGATTGACGGGAGACTACTCCATCACGCACATGTGCACGCAGGCCATTCGAGTGCTGGTAGTTGCGCTATGCCACAACCTGTATCATGATCTTGCGGGCAAGACGACAAGTCCACCATGGAGGGGCATCAACTCGCGGGTGGTGACGGAGGCTGACATAAGGGAAATGATTGACAACCTATTCAAGGTCATGGAGCCATGGAGCCACATTTCTCGCATCACCAAGCAGGCATACGAGGCCAACAGGGTCATGGTGGACCACTACTACAAGACGGGCAAGTTGAACGAGACGCCGAACTCGGCACTGATCGAGGCGACGCGGTTGAGCATGACCTCGGGCCCAGCCGGAGGGTCCATCCTCGGGAGCGGAGACCAATCCGTCAATACGCAGTGGGGTGCGAGCGCGGCCGCGGGTTCGCCAGAGGATGGGTCACCGTATGACGCGGTGAATCTTGGGTTCGAGATGGAGAACGGACCGCCGGGTGTACCGTTGTTTTTGGAGCAGGCACGGATTGCGCCGTTGGAGGACACCGGACTGGGCCTTTACGACGGCGACAACTCGTTCGAGCACTCTCCCCTTTCGGATTTTTCGAGGGACATGGGTAGGGTGATTCGAGAAGACGAGCGGCTGGCAGCCGGTTGGCAGCATCCGACGATGCCGGAGCGCACGTACAGCGACAAGGATGTTTCAGCGTATCTGCGGCATCAGCAGCGTCAGGTGAATGGATACTCCAACGAATATGTGAATGGGCATGCGGATCCGTCGCGGTATCCGTATCCAGGACGGTTTTGAGGGACATGGTTGTTGAACCCCAATTGGGAACTTGTCACAAGTTTAAATCTGGGTTACGTGTCTGGTGGGGATGACATGCAGTTGATGCGATGATGACTGGCGTTAAAGATCCTTAAAGGGGGGATCTTGGCGTATACTTTGTTCTTCCTTCTTGGTTTTGGTCTCGGTTTCTAACATTCTACCCTCTGGGTAATAATAGATGATACCCCATGAGTGTAAGGGCGTGTCGGGAGAGGACTGCTCGATCGAGCGCAGGACGTTGAAAAGCAATCACAGCTGTATCTAGGCTCTTGAATCATTATCATCATGATCATTATTCTTGTCACCAGTTAATATTATCACTGTTGTAATTATTAGTTCTATGGCGTTAGCGAGGGGCAGTGCTCCTACCAGGCCGATCTAGCAGCGTGATTGATTGTGACGGATGACGGAATACAATGTGGATGAGCCAAGCTTAAACTGACACGTTCTGTGACGACTGTGAGCGAGAATAGAAACCAAAGAGTCGTGCAAACCCAGAAATACGCTATTGGCAATAATGGCAGTGCTGTTTTGTAGGCAAAATTGCGGCCCATTCTTTGTGTCATGTTCTGATGTTATTAGCGGCGCTTCCGGCCTACCGAATGTGGCGTCAGTGCACAAAAGCGGCGCTGCCAAGGTGGCTTCAAAGTTTTAGATGAGATGATGGTGTGTATGTGTGTACATATATACCCAGTACACGCGGATGGTCTAAAAACCAGGTGTTTGTTATGCAAGACGGCTTGGCCATGATCTCCCTTCGCCCCTTTTTTTTTCTGCGCTTCCTTTTTTGTTTTGTTGCCTACCTAGTGTCAGAATCCAAGTTTCAGTTCGCGGCAATGCTGTCGATAGGGGACCCGACCAATGGGGTGGGCGCAGCTTGGCACCTGTGCGGCAGCAGAGACGTGCGGATTCCAACGGGGGATCTAATAAACAATCAAGTAATAGTAATGCATCAGGGCATTTTTGGATAGTTATAGTTAATTGGGATGTAATTAATCTGGATCCATGCACTCGGGCATCTCTTAATTTACTCTGGAAACCTCTCAGTGTCAGTAGCCAGTGCGCGAGTGGTGCTATTACCAGTCAGTAGAGGGGCAAAGCCACTGGCAAACGGGGGTGGACCTTGTGCCAGCCCAGCCCAGCACAGCCCTACAATCGCCCGTGGTACCGGTGAACGGACGGACGGGCGGGCGATCAGGCGAGGGCATTGAGACGAGTTTTCCTTTGATGGTTATGCATGTAAAATAAGTATAAAATAGATGCAAGTCTGTGCAGATATGCAGGCTTATCAATCACATTTCCCCTGCAGACCGCAGCCTGTCCTGTGGCTTAATCAGTCGCCAGCGACAGAACAAAATTGACAGATGCTTCGCCCCATCTCCTCTCTGGTCTGCCCTGTCAAGCCCCCTCCCTTCCTTCCCTTCTCAGCCACAACGCCGACGCCCAAACCAGAACCAGGCTTTTGCTTTTGCTTTTTTCTTCATTTCCTGTACCTTGCCAAATCCTTCCGTCCTTCCGTCCTCGTTCCATCCATCGACTCCATCCCGCCTCTTTTCCTCGCCTCTCTCGACACATTGGGCAGACAACTACCAACTACATGGCTCTCTAGCTCTGTTTCTTCTCTTCCCTCCGGCGGCCGGTTTCTTTTTTTTTTGGAGTCTCACCCGTCGCTCGCTTTAGCCGCCTCGGCCGCCCAAGAACGCGACCATCTCACCCTCCCCTTTTTTTGGACGGTACCATCTCGTTCTTTATTCCTCTCTCTCCTCGTTGTTTCCCCCGTTCGTCTCCCGTCAGCGCGACATTTCGCCTTTGTCCTCCTCCCCTGTTCGACAGAACCCCCCACCCCATCGAACGAAGAACAGCGAAAGGGTGCTGCTGGGGCCAACCGAACTGATCCCGTACCACGCCGCCACCCACCACGACCGACCGAACCGACCCGTCATGCTGGCGCAAATCCATCGTAACAAGCGGACCGCCGCTCTTGCCTCGGTCCTCTTCATCGCTCTACTCATCTACACCTGGCACTCGCTGAATCTCGAATCGCTGCTGCCCGCGCCCCTGCTGCACGGCGGCCACGACCAGGTCCCCGTCGTTGCCGTCCGCATGCACGATGTGACTTGCCCAGGACCCATTGGCGAGCAGCTCCCCTCGAAGCGCATCCCCGTCGTTCGCGGCCGCAACGTCTCCAGCACTACGCACGGCCAGACTCTCGCCGTCCCCAAGGTCGTCGTCCTCATATTCTATGGCCGCCGCAGCACCGTCTCCATTCTCGATTGCTACCTCAAGGTACGGACAGACACGTCCCAGCACCAACAGGTGCCAAGCGCGCACATATCCGAATCGCAATTGTAGTGAGGACAATGCCAACTAACACTCGTTATAGCGCAATCTTGCTAGCAACGGCGGTCTCATCGACGAGGTCATCTGGTTGCGTCGCACCGAACAGCAAGAGGACCTCGAGTTTCTCCAAAAACTCCTCGACTCCGAGCCTCGCTACAGCAAACGAGATGTTGACCGCACGGAAGCCTCGGGCTTTGCCAGCGCCTACAATGACTTGGACGACGACACGCTCTACGTCAAGATTGACGATGACGTGGTAAGCACTATCGCCTTGACGATACTTTGATGCGCCTGCCCGCCTCCCCTTGCTCTTCCTTCTAACCACCATGCGCAGGTCTTTATCGATGACAACGCCCTCCTCTCCCTCATCTGCACCAAGCTCACACATCCCGAGTACTACATCGTCTCCGCCAACGTCGTCAATCAGCCTATGATAAGCTGGCTGCACTGGAACCTCGGCGCCGTTCTTCCCTACCTGCCCGACACCAAGAGTGCTTACCCCAAGCTCAAGCCCGGCGAGCGTGTCAACTGGCGCGCCTCCACCCTGCCTGACTACAAGGGCCCCCAAGACCTCAACATACTCGAGTGGAACTCGCCTGAGAAAAAGAAGCACCGATGGCTTCCCATTCGCAATCGCAAGGACCACATTCTTGACGGCACTCCCATTGTCAACACCGAGTACAGTGCCTTTGGCAAGGGCCTTGGTCATTGGCAGATTGCTGCCCAGCAGCATTACAGTTTCTTTGAGAACTTGGAGAACAAGCAGCTTCACAAGTACAAGTTCAATGTCTGGGACTTCCAGCTGAAGCGTCTAGGCATCCAATTCATGGCCGTCATGGGCAAAGATATCAACGGCGCAAAGCCCATCGGCCAGGACGACGAGCAGCACTTTTCCGTCACCATGCCGGAGAGGTCGGGCCGCGCTGCCGTGGCAGATGGTAGAGCCATTGTCGCGCATTACAGCTTTGGTCCGCAGTCTGAGCAATTGCCCACAACAGATATCCTGGACCGGTATCGGTCATATGCGGCAGAGAATATCTGCCAAAAACCCATGCTTTGGTCGCCGGAAGATGATATCGCCAAGGCGCCGTCCTCATGACGACGCAGGCTTGGCCAGAGACGAAAACAAGACGATGCATGACGGGGTTTATTCTGCACAAGCCCTTGTTTTATTTCATTATTCCTCTATTTTACATCATAGCGCATAATTCGTGGGTTCCGAGACATAACGGAGAGGAATTGAACGAGTGGTAGAGAGAACTCGGACAGCGCACAGCAGCATACCAACAAAAGCCTTGCGAACTGGCGCCTTGGGAGTTAGGGTCTTCTTCTTTTCTTGACGCTCTTGTACACGCACATTTTGCATGGATTTGGGGCGGGTTCGTCTTTTTTTCTATGGGTTCGTATTGGAGAAGCTTGCATTCACGGTTGTTTGTATTATCCTTTGCATTATGATTTAATCATGCTACTCATTTTATGATTCTCTTCTTGTACATTTAATGACGTGACGCATGGTAATGATGAGAGAAAGAATTAAGAATTCGCTACGCACATGGCGAGCCGCAGACTTTCAAAACAGGAAGCGTGGCGTGTCAATCACCAAGGCCGCCTCCGCCTCGCCCTCCTTCTCCTCCTTCCAGGGGTCAAAGTCGGACTCGCAGACGGTCTCGCGCGCCTTCGGCACCTTGCCCGTGTGCATGTACTCCCTCGCCACGCGCGCCGTGCACTCGCTCCGCGCCGACGCCAGCGCGCAGTGGCCCATCGACTCCTGCACCACCAGCGCCGCGCCCGGGTGCATCGCCGCCATCCGCCGCGCCGACCTCAGCGGGGTCACCGGATCCAGCCGGCTCGACAGGAACAGCAGCGGCGCCGCCGGCCTCTTCGGGTCGCGCCCGCGGCCCGCGCGCGGCGTGGTGAACGGCCCCTTGAAGGCCCAGTGCCGCGGGAAGCGGAAGCCCGCGCAGGGGAGCCGGATCTTGCTCCAGAAGCCGCCAAACGTGCGCGAGGCGCGGCGCTGGGCGGTGACGAAGTCGCGCCACCAGTCCGGGTCCCGCCCGGCAACGTCCTCGCCGTCGGCGCAGCGCGTGGCGATGCTGGCCTCGTTGACGGTCAGCTGCATCACCGGCACGGCGGGCGCGCCGGGGTGGGGCGCGGCGCAGGCGTCGCGGAGGTGCGGGAAGGCGCCCATGTTGTCGAGAAGCGCGACGAAGGAGGTGGCGTTGCCGGCGAGCAGCGCGGCGAGCGCGGAGGCGAGAGGCCGGAAAGTGCGGCCGGGCGCGTAGCTGCTGATGGCGGCGGCGACGCGCACGTCGGCGGGCGTCAGCGCGGAGAAGCCCCCACCACCGCCGGAGCCGGAGCCGGAGCCGCTGGGGATGGTGATGGGGAGGGGCGCGTCGGCGAGGGAGGCGATGAAGGACTCGACGCGGGCTTCGATGGCGGCGCCGGAGGTGTCGGAGGGCTGCGCGAGGGGGCACGCGGAGGGGCCGGCTGAGTGGCAGCCGCTGTAGAAGTGGGAGGTGATGTTGTCGGCGTCGACGGTGCTCGTCAGCCAGCCCTGCGAAAAGGGGATTAGTGACGATGCAGGAGAGATGTGGAGAAGGGGGGGGGGGGGCAACTTACGGGTCCGGAGGAGTAGTCTTCGGCATCGACGACGCCGTCGAGGATGAGACGGCCGACGCGTTCGGGGAAGAGCGAGGCAAAGTAGTTACCGAGGACGGTACCGTAGGAGTAGCCGACGTACTGCAGACGCGGGGCGTCCTTTTTGTGGCCGTGGCCTCTCTTACGCAGCTCAAGACGGTCCTCCTCCCCATCTGCCTCCCCTTCCTCTTCCTGCTGCACATTCACCCCCTCGGCCTTGAGATGCTCGTCAATCTTGTCCACGATGTGCACCATGTCCCTTGCCACGCTCGGCGTGCTCATGTACCCCATAATCTCCGCCCCCGGCTTGCCCTCCTTGTCCCCCTCCGCGCACCTCCCCAGGAAGCTCCTATACAAGCCCAGCAAGCGCGGCACCGCATCCCCTTCCACGACGCCGACGCCGCGCTCCTCGTACGCGAACGCGTCGCGCGCGAGGTCGTCCCCGGGCAGGCAGTCGGCGCGCGGCCAGCTGCTGCCGACGCCGCGCGGGTCGAACGAGAGGATCTCGTAGTGGCGGCGGCCGGGCACGTCCAGCGTCTCGCGGAGCCGGGAGCCGCCGGGCCCGCCCGGGTTGGTGATGACGGTGCCGCCAAAGGTCGGGTCCGAGGCGGGGACGACGGCGGGGAGCCGGATGAGGGCGAGGACGACGACGCGCGGGTCCGAGGTGGCGTTGAGCCAGTCCATGGGCGCGGTGAGGCGCGCGCACTCGTAGCCGTCGTAGCACGGGCGGTAGGAGAGCACGGTCGACGGGGGCAACCGGTCCCAGTCGAAGCTGCTGCTGCTGCTGCTGCTGCTGCTCGCGGGGCCGGCGGCGGCGGCGGCGACCTGCTGGGCCAGGGCGCCGGCCAGGCTCGCCGCGACTCCTGCGGCGGTTACGTATCTCATTTCGAAAGGATGGGACGCTTTTTTCCTTCCCCTGCAGTTGTTCGCTCTGCTGTGGCGTGATTCGGGCGGAAAATCGGACTCGCGGAAACGGGAGAAGAGCAGAGACGCAAGAGGCTGAGGCTGGAGGCAGGCTGGCCGGCCATGGTGAGCGGAGTCGGGCGAGCTTGTTAGCGCTCGGCTTCAGCACCCGATTCTACGTTGTAATACGTAGCAGGCAGGCTTTGGTTTCAGGTCCTCGGCCATTGCTAAAAAGAGAAAGAGCACCGTAAACCCGGTGTCGACTGAGAAGAAGAAAATCCTACGGCTATGGATATAAAGGATCAAAACTCATACGATATGGATATAGACGGCGTCAACCAACCTACAGTAGTAGGTCCTCATTACTTCCGCGAATAAGACGGAGCGGCCCCTGGTCCCTTGCTAAGTTGACAAGCTACGGCGGGGTTCCGGCCGAAACCAGTGTCCGCACTCGTATTCGGGGAGGGCACCCCGTACTCGGACCCGGACCCGGATTCGATTCGATTTCATTCAAGTTTTGAATTGCTATGTACGCATGTCTGTAGGTTTAATTCAGCATTAATGAATGCCCACTATATTTGACTTTTGAAACAGAGCCATTCTATCCATATCCTTTTTGTAAGGCGGGAAAAAAAAAAGCCAAAAAAAATACAAGAGCTCGCCCAATTGCTCGGATTTCGTCGGTCGACAGTCTAGGGGGGGTCCTGAAATAGGGGTGCAAGCCCGCCGTATCCCCCCCAAAGAATAACAATGAAAGCGTTGCCCCTCGGCGTCGTCGTCTATTACATTAAAAGTATGACTCCCATCAATATCAATATTAAAATAAAAACCGCAGTGCTCGTAAATCAAGGGGGAAATCTCCCTTGCAGTATGTGTTTGTCCGAAACTTAGTCGCTCTTCTTCTTCTGAGGAATGTTGTTGCCCTTTTCGTCAATGAGGCCTTTCTCGCGCATGACGCGGAGAGCATCGTGGATGGGGTCGAGGTCAGGGCGCGGCTCGCGATGCGAGTCAAAGTAGTTGTCGGCCCAGGTAAAGTACTGGCCGTAGTTGCACGTAAAGTACATGTGGTGAAGGGTGTGGTGAGCCGGGCTGTTGATGAACTTTTCCGTCCAGGTGCCGGTGATCATGTCGCCGTCGTGGATGAAGACGGTCCAGAGCTGGACAAGGATGAAGAGCACGGCGTAGAGGTATTTGTGCATCGGGCAGATGAAGACGAAAATGTGGTAAGGGGTCGACTGAAGGAAGCCGTCGACGGGGTGGAAGGCGATGGCAGCCCAGGGCGTGGGAACGATCCACTTGTGGTGAGGCTTGTGGACGTACTTGTAGATGCTGGGGTGGTGCTCGAGGCGGTGAATCCAATAGATGAAGAAGTCGTTGAAGACCATGTAGATGAGGGTCGAGACGAAGAGCCAGGTCCAGCCGTACTCGTCGATGCGGGAGTAGAGCAGACTGTGGCCGCGGACCTCGGCGAGGAAGAAGGGCAGACTCAACAGGTCGATGACGGGAATGGCCCAGAGCGAGGACAGGATCTCCTGGCGGACTTGGTTCTTGAGGAATCTCGGGTGGTACTCGAGACGGCGGTCGAAGATGAGGTAGTAGGAAAAGGCGGCGAAGATAAAGTACATGGCGGCGGCACCTACGCCAGCGACGAAGAGGATGGAGGCGCATTGTCGGCGGATGTCGTCGCGGGGTAGAAAGGAGACGACGCACGAGTCGACGGCCGAGGTGGCAATTTTGACGGTGGCATTGTGGGCGGCGACGGCGTCGAGTAGCGACGAGGTAGACCAGGAGGCAGCGCGGACAGCGTCACAGGCTACTGACGGGCCAGGGAAGAGGTAGGCGTAGGCCTTGTCGAAGACGAGGGGGTCGAGGATTTCGAGAGCGGTATCCATGTTGTACGACTGGATTGGTGTGCCTTGAGCACGGCAAGGGACAGACGGAACCAGAAAAAGAAGTTGGTGTTGGTGTGGTGGTTGTGAAGGAGGGCAAGCGAGGAGTGCAAGTTAGATAAGATCAACTTATTTGAATTTTTGACTAAGCTAATAAGCCGTCCTTTCATTGCTCTCGCTCCACCTACTGGTACCCTCGCGCCCACTTTTCCACTTCGCCTCTTCCCTTCATCGTCACTCTCAGTCTACGGAGTAACTACGTATGTTTGTAACCAGCTCATTTGCCCAGCCCAGCCCTGCCCAGGACCCGGCTTGAGCGGAAGCCGACTCGAAGCCGCTCATACCACTTTTCGAGCGCGTATTCCGTCTCCCGAAATCACAGTGCGATTTCGAAAGCAGACACCGTTCCGTTGGGGCTGCCTCTGATTTGATTGACACAGACACAAGATGGCGCCAGAAATCCCCCTACGCAGCTCACTGTGTCGCCCCTGTGTCCTGTATCCCCTGTGCACCTGCGGATCATCTCGGTCGCCGCAGCACGCATGCGCCCAGCCTGCGCGCGTTGCATCCACGCTTGACCAATGTAACAAAAAAAAGTGAGGCCAGTCGCGACGGGAATGTCGTGTAATTCCTGGTCCGGGTCATTGGCGGAAATGGAGAGCACCCGATTTTATTGTTATTAACCCTGTCGCGGCCCGTTAGATCGCCATCCATCCATCCATCCATCCAGCCAGCCAATCCGCCTGCCTGCGTTTTCGTTATTTTGGTGTAATCGTTCGATGCAGTTGGCCGAGATGAAACGAGTGCATCCGTCATCACCGCATCCATCCGTTCGCTTCACAAGACAAAAGATTCACCCCTCTGCACAGAGGCAGACACACAAAAAAGATGCACCGCCGCGAAGGAAAGAAAAGGCAAAAAGAAAAGGCAAAAAACAGAATGTGCAGCACCTGGTGTTTGCTGGTCGTCACCGACCCAACCACTTAGTGATCTGGCGCTCAAGTGGTTGTCGCTCGGAGATTAAACGGGATCCCGTGTTCTCTGCTATGTAGGTAGGTATGGTCGTATGTATTTGTAGTATTCTGCGAGAATGCATCAACTTATAAATTTAATAATGCCGCAATAACTTGTCGTTCATTACGGAGACGGTCAGCGGTTTGGCGCGGGACAACGATAAAGAATATCAGACCCCATGACCACTATACTACAGACATGTCAAGTTGCAAGCCGTTAAAGGTCGCTTTAGTAGGCCTTGGAAAAGGTCTGCAAAAACGATCCTGTATTCTCTTCTTCACGCTCTCGGCTCCCACCCCCCCAACCATCGCCAGGTACCTTCAGCATAGCCGCCACGAGAAGTACACAAAACTACCTGCTCAAGACCCAACTGGCAGGTAGATTCTCTATTAGTTTCTCACGCCTTGAATATCTGAGAGCGCTTGCCGACCAAGTGCTGTCGCTAGGAAATGAGAGCCTGGATGGACTCAATTTGTGCCACACTACGCTTTGGCTAGTTTCACCTATGGCGGATCTCCTCTCGACAGACTTTTCAAAGCCAAACACTTGAGATATGTCTTTGTCGAACAATGGCGAGATTTCTTGGAGATCCTCGAGTGACGGTTCCGCAATCGAAATCTTCCGATCCTCAGCTGCGCGTACAACAGCTCCAGCAGTATGATGTGTCTGCCGAAACGGGACCCCTTCTCGAACAAGGTATTCTACAACGTCGGCGGCAAGCATATCTGCTGTCAAGGTAGCATACATCTTATCCCCATCTATTTCCATCGACCCGATAACGCCTTGCATGATTGCTAAGCAATAGTTGACTGTCTTCACACAATATAAAAGGGGCTCGACTGTGTCCTGCAGATCCTTGTTATATGACGTGGGAAGTCCTTTGACAGTGGTCAAGACACCGAAAGCCTGTGATGTGTTAGTGTCAAGTCTAGAAGCTGGAGCTGTGCGAGCCAAACCTGTCCTTGAACACGACCAGCTTTACCCCGGATGAGCTCTAAGCTATCTGGGTTTTTCTCCTGGGGCATGAGGCTGCTACCCGAGCTGTAAGCATCGGCAACCTGGATAAACCCGAATTCGACTGAGGAATACAGCCAGGAACTCGCGGTCAATATTGAACGGATTGCCAGCCAGGGCGCGAGAGCCAAGAGGGCACGAGTTTAGCCTTTGCTGAACGCCCTGCAGCCCTTCCAAGTCCCCGACAAAGAACGTTGCATGTGAAAGAAGCCAGTGCGAGAACCTGACTACCTGTGCACGCTGGAGGTGTGGATATCCAGGCATCAAGAGAGGGAGGGAAGATTGCGCGACGTCTGCACAAACTCCCAGCAAGGTCTTCATCGACGCTGTGATATCCGACAGTTGATCTCGAGCCCATAGTCGCAGGTCTGTGGCGATTTGATCATTACGGGAGCGTCCAGTGTGGAGTTTGCCAACGACAGGGCCGATGATCTCGGAGAGTCGTCGTTCGTTCGCAGTATGTATATCCTCGTCGGACTTTGGATTAATGACGAAAGTCCCCTCCTCCCACTCCCTTTCGACCTGCGCCAGGCCATCCAATACTTGGAATAACTCCTCTGGAGAGAAGATATTCAACTGCTGAAGCGCCTTTGCGTACGTTGCAGAAAGAGAGGAAAAAGTCCCCTGTTCGCGTGTAGGGCTTCAGGGGAGGGTAATTAGTAAATCCCCAGCCTCGACTAGACCTTGGCTCGTCCCGCTTCCAGAGGTCAGTGTGGGCGAGAATCGGAAGAACGGGGCTCCAAAATTGGCAGCGGTTGAGCCATGTACAAGAACTTGAGGGGATCCAGGCTCTTCACTCGGCTATGGCCGTACATGCTGAATCCATGAGCATATTTTACTTCAGTAGGGAGTAGGTGAGCACCTACTTATTCACCTCACAAAAGTGTTTGCTATCCTGAGACCAGCCATGCATGCATCCTGCCTCACCCCCTCGTGACCCCGTCGATATCAACCACAACCCAATACCGGGACGGCACCGGCCATCTTGTACGACAGGAATTGATTCATCTTGCAACACCAACCCGATCAGTGGCATGCAGCCTCATGCAAATTTGCCCCGGGTTACGCAGAAAATGACGGAATACGCTGAGCCACGCGCCGCATCCACAGCGGCTACTCAGACGGACCTTGTGCTCATCTGAAAGGTCGCTCAACCTTAGCTCACCCACCGCTCACTTGATTCCGTCGCACAGGCTACCTGTCACTGCTAGACCGGTGGTCTAGCTCCCGGTAGATGCCCGTTGGTCCTCGTTGACGCCCTGCGCCGTCCGCTGTACGCCAAGGGAGGGCCGAGTCATGAGGACGCTGACGACAGGCCGATTCGAGGCTGCAGCACAAGCTCTGTGGTGAAACTTTTGCGAGTCCTAGGGAAATAAATCCTAGGGAACAGAATTTAATGCCCGGATACCGAAGAGGCGAATCCAAAGCATATAAGCGCAACAGTCCTATGGCAAGCCACTAACCAATGTAACCATCACATATGCATGTACATCGACACTACATCCCCTCCCTTTACAGGTCGTCGGCCATAATCTCCCTTCATATTTCCAAATCTACCTACCCGGCAGAATCCCCATGTGCGTTTTGCACCTCATCTCCTACGGCTGTGGCTGCAAAGTCACAGGCACCTGCTTTTGCGAGTCGGCGTTGGCCGCTGCCAGCCACAACCCTTCGTACGCCGTCGCGTGCGTCGACATCTCCCTGCCTTCTGCCGAGATCGAGAGAGCCCACGCCTGCTTCCGACCCCAGTGTCCCAAAAAGTCCAGATTCGAGCCCTGGCGGTGCTGCGAGTGCGGCGGGGGGCCCAACGAGGACACGATTTGCAAGTACAAGTTGGCCCAAGTACCCGACTATCTGAAGAAGTGTAACGAGTTTGACGGCGACGGCTTTTGTAATCACAACCTTTGCATGAACTGTCCCAGATTTCGGTATGTATTGGAAGATAGAAAGCTAGGCTTGGAGAGTTGCCGTTGGCTAATGTTTGATTTTCATCTAGGGAACGCCGTTCATGTGTCGAAGAGAAGCGAAAGCGACGAAGCTCGGGAGTGAGTTGATCTCACTACACCACGCCGATACACGGTGCGCTCGAACGATCACAAATGCATTCAACTTCTCTGTTCACCTTTTAACATGCAGGTCGTTTGCGTATGATGGAACATTTCGAAACTTCCTGGCAAGCCAGCCTGTCGTGAATGTAAGGCGGTCTGTTACGGCTGTAGCTGGCGACAACGAAAATCAGCTGGCAGATTAATGACGATCTACCATTAGAACCACCCATCCTTTTTGCTGATAGAATTTTCTCTCTTTTTTCCTCACCTGTTCCTTCTTGCTCGCATAATCAGCGTCTATCAACTGTGGCTTGGGTGGATATCTCAGGAACAGGCCGACTCAGCTCAGCCACCCATCATGAGGCTGACAGGGAGATGCCATCTCGCCATCCCCCCGCCTCAAACGCCTTGCCCTTTCAACTCCTCTATCGTGCAAGTCACACACATAAAAACACGGCTCAATTCAAGCCCAAATCAAAGCCTTACGCATGCCCGCCTCGTCCCCCGGCGGCCTCGTTCCCTCATGGCGTCGCCGTTGCGCTTCACCGACCTCATCGACGACGTCTTCTACCTGATCCTCGACGACCTGGACACGGCCGACATCCTCTCGCTGTCGCGCTGCTGCCGGCCGCTGCACCTGCGGCTCGAGCCGCGCCTGTTCCGCGACGAGCTCGCCCGCGACCGGGCTCTTCGCTGGGCCTGCCGCAAGGACCTGCCCAGCCTGGTGCGCCGCGCCGTCGCCAACGGCGCGCACGCCTCGGCGCCCATCCGCAAGATCAACCGGCACGCCTGGGACTCCATGGTATACAGGACGCTGTCGCTGCGCATCGCGGCCAAGTTTGGCAGCCTGGGCGCCTTCGCGGCGCTGCTCGACCTCGGCGCCACCACCGATGTGCGGCTGCCGAGGGAGGTGACGGACAACAACCGCTACGAGTACCTGCACGCGGACGACGAGATCGCCTCCCTCGCCAAGTCCCTGTCCCTGAAGAAGCATGCGGCCCTTCTGCGGGTGTTTGTCCGGTCGGGGGCGGCCAGGACCATGCCGCCCATCGACGGGACGTCCTTCCTGGACCAGTGCCTGCTGAACGCGCTGCGATCCGGCGCCTCGGTCGAGTCGGTCGAGTGTCTGCTCAAGAGCGGCGCCAGCCCGAGCAGGCTGCAGGGCGAGCGCGGCAACAACCCGTGCCCGCTCGCCCTGGCCGTCATCTGGAACCGCCCGGTCGTGGACCTGCTGCGCGAGCACGGTGCGAGCATGGAAGGCAAGGCGATTCCCAGGAACCTGGGCCTCAAGTGGTTCCACATCCCCATCTTCGCCGCGGCGCGCCAGATGCACGAGCACGGCACCGAGGTGGTGCAGCGCCTCCTCGACGCCGGCATCAAGGCCAACCACTGCGCCGACGTCTCCGTGCGCGGCGGCCGGCGCAAACCCCTCGCGCTGGACAGCGAGCTCCGCGCGCACGAGTCGGACAAGCAGACCAACATGTACAGCAGCGGCGCCCCGATGCCGGTCTACATCTACCTGGACTCGATCACGTCCTGGGAGGCGGACCAGCGGCTGCCGCCGACGGAAGGGCTGAAGTTTTGGCTGAGGAACGGGCTGGACGTCGATTCGGGGCTGCCGGTGCACCAGGAGCCTCCCAGGTGCGGCTGCGCGAAACAGCAAAAGCTGACGGCGCTGTCTGCGTTCGTCACGGCGAAATGGACCTGGCAGACGCACCAGCATGATGAGTACTTTCACGTCCTGGACATGCTCACGGAGCCGCGGCTGGGTCGCGACGCTGTCCCGGCGTTGGAACCGCAGCGGTGCATCAGTGGAAAGGCTCTCCCGGCCTCGGCCGCGGCTCGCCATGCCATCATCTGCAACAAGCAAATGCTACTGCGCGATACGGTAGCCATGGTCGAGCAAGGCAGCTAGTTCAAGCACGGGATCTGGAAATCAAGCGCAGCCACATGCCTTGCCTATATCTAGGCTTATTAGCGACCACTACCAACCACCACGATCATGACTGTCATGACTGCCAACGCAATTATCGCCAGCATTACTCTTTTCTTTAAATTTGGAAAGAATCAGAAAGACACCCCGACGTCTAGTCTACTAAATTACATTTTCTCCATACTTCTCATAGTTTTACGCACAAAAACTTTGCAAGCCACTTTTGAAGTCGCACGCGACTCGCCGCCGGCCACCTTAGCAGATAACTGGAGAAAACTCTTTTCTCGACCGACCGACAGACGGACTGTGGCAACAACGCGTGATCAAGAATCAAGCACGTAGTCATCTTTTAAATCCAAAGTATGACGTCCTTTTCCAAAGTTACTTCCTCCTGTCATTTTATAAAACAAGGCCTCGCTGGTCTGCCCTCTTCCACCAAACCCCGAAGAAAACAGCAAACACATCCGCTCACGAGCATCCAACCTACCACACGGACAGTCACACTCGCACAAGAGAGAAGCAACATGGCAATCATTCCAATTACCACTTCAGAGCTGGCTATAACAACGCCTGTGCCGCCCACTCCGCCGGCGTCGACCTTTGAACCTCTCCACATCCACATCCCCATCTCGTCGATCTCGCCTGCAGCTTCCCAGCCCTCGCCGCCCCAGATCATCCAGCCACCCAGCACCCCCACGATGGCTTCTTCCGGCGCCCCCTTCGTCTCCCAGAGCCCGCAGCACCCTCTGCCGGCCTGGGCCCGAAACTTCCCGGAGCCTACCTCCCCAGTCGACATCGAGAAGGCCCTCAACAGCAAGCCGCCCCGGTGGACCTTCCAGGTCGCCTTGAAGGCGAACTTGAAGAGGGAAGCAATCGCGGAGAAGGAGGCTCGCCCTCGTATCCTCACCGAGGCCCAGGTCAAGGCGGAATTGGCCATGGCCAAGGAGTTGCTCCGCGATATCGCAAAGAGGATGAACGCGAAGCGGACGAACGCGAAGCGGATGAACGTGAAGAAACTTGACAGACGGTGCACATAGCGGCAAGAAACGCCCCCGGGCAATCTACTTCCAATCATTTTTTTTTCTCCATTCGATGCGCGAATGATACCCCCGCTGAGGCGGTGACGAACGAGGACTAGGCAGGAGTTGGGAACAGTTGTCATATTAGATAGCACTAGCCACCAAGACGAGCCCTGGCACGCTACATCGAATGCAACTTAATTCAAAACCCATACCCTCACAAGCGTGCCCCGAGCGTGAAACTATATGTGACGGCGCCGATGAAGGTTGCCAGGTTAAGCAGGGACGAGATGCCGTGGAGCATGCCGAAACGCTTGCTCAGAGCCTTCATCTCCTCCGAGTGAGGACCCTCCTCGTGCCACTGCTTGCCGTCGCGCTTGGCTATACAGCATAATTAGCAATCTTTTTGCTTTTCTCTTCTTCTTCCGCTTTAAAAGGGTTCGAAACACAAACCTTGACCTTGACGCTGCTTCATGACCTCCCTGGACGCCGGCAACAGCACGAACAGGTTGAGCGCGCCCGAGACGAACATGGCGACGATGGGCACCAGCGAGCCCCAGCGGTTGGACTCGGCGAGGAGCGCGGAGACGCCGCCGGGCGTGGCGAGCAGGGCGTTCCCGGGGAAGGTGAGCGCGAGGATGGCGGGCAGCGCGGTCTGCAGGCCAAAGTAGACGGGGAACGCCTTGGCCTGGATGGCGGAGAAGACGGGCCGCTCGGTGTTTTTGAACAGGATCGGGCTGTTCACAAAGGTCTATAGAAGGCGGCCATGTAAGCTCCAATTCGTGAGTTTCTCGGGGCTACGTATGATGACATACGTGGAAAAATGATGTGCCAACAAGAGTGCCGTAGCTGTAGTAGAACCATTAATAACGGAGCGGTCGTCGGAACCGGCGGCGGCGGCGGGCTTACGCAAGGATGTGATAGGGCGCGGGAGACGCAATGATTGAGCCGGCCATGATGAACAAATTGGTTGCAAAGACAGACTTTGATGGAAATATGGCAAGAACGGGCAACTTTGATGCTCAGGGCAGGTTTCAAAAGATGAGGTGACGATGATACCGAGGAGTGCATCACGTGCAGTCGCGACGCCTGCGCGTTTGGAGTGCAGCAGAGGCACCAATGGCAGTGCCTGCGCGCACCCTGTTGCCCCCCCACGTCTGCCTAATACAGGCCCTCCATAACCTTGCTCACATTCCGCCTTTATAAAAGAGCCAAACGTCCTTTAGATTCTTGGCTACCGGTCTGGTCATTTGCTTCATCTAGTCGCCTTGTCTTCTTTCATCATGGCGGAGAAGGAGGCCACCGTCTTCATCCTAGACCTTGGCGCGTCCATGGGCGAGACCAAGGCCGAGTGCGGCCGCAGCGAGTCTGATATGGACTGGAGCATGCGCTACGTCTGGGACAAGGTCACCGACATTGTGTCCGCGAATCGCAAGACGCTCTGCGTCGGCGTCGTCGGCCTGCGGACCGACGAGACCGCGAACAGGCTGTCGGAGGAGGACGGCTACGAGAACATCTCGGTCCTGCAGGAGCTGGGCCCGATGACCATGTCGTCGCTCAAGGCCCTGCGGACGAACATCAAGCCGAGCAAGACGTTTTCGGGCGATGCGATATCCGCCATCGTCGTCGCCGTTGACATGATTGACATCTTCACCAAGAAGCTCAAGTGGAACCGCAAGATTGTCATGATCACGGACGCGCAAAGCGCTACTGACCCCGATGACATTACAGATATCGCTCACAAGATCAACGACGCCAATATTAATCTGACTGTTCTGTAAGTGTTCCATCAACATGGTAGCGACGGAATCTAATTGGCTAGTGGCGTTGATTTTGATGATCCCGAATATGGCTTCAAGGAGGAAAACAAGTCTCCAACCAAGGTAGGAAGCAAGCCACAATTTGTCAAAATTCGCACTCACTTACCGTCTCTAGGCCGAAAATGAAAAGACCCTCAAGGCGTTGACGGATCAATGCACCGACGGCGTCTTCGCATCCATTGTAGAGGCCATTGACGAGATTGACACCCCGCGTGTGAAGCAAGTCAAGCCGTATAAAAGCTACGAGGGCACCCTGACGCTAGGCGACCCAGAAAAGTTCCCGCACGCCCTGAATATCAACGTCGAGCGCTACTTCAAGACGCATACCGCCCGGCAACTCGCCGCCAGCACCGTGGTGCTCAAATCCGAGCAAGGGGGCACGCAGTCGACGCAGACGCTGGACGACGAGGCCGCGGACGGCGTCGAGTTCTCGGCCGTCAAGCAGGCGAGAACGTACAAGGTCAACGCGCCCGACGCCCCGGGCGGCAAGAAGGACGTCGAGTTCGAAGCCCTGGCCAAGGGCTTCGAGTACGGCCGCACCGCCGTCCACATCAGCGAGTCGGAGCACAACATCACGAAGCTGGAGACGACCAAGAGCTTCTCCATAGTCGGCTTCATCCCGTGGACCCGATACGAGCCCTTCCTCGGCATGGGCGAGGTCTGCATCACCACCGCCCGCAAGTTTGACGAGAAGTCGGAGCTGGCCATGTCGTCGCTGGTCTGGGGCCTGTACGAGCTCGAGTCGTACGCGGTCGCCCGGCTGGTCGCCAAGGACGGAAAGGACCCGGCCCTGGTGCTCCTCGCCCCGGGCCTCGAACCCGAGCTCGAGTGCCTCTACGACATTCCGCTTCCCTTTGCCGAGGACGTCAGGGCGTACAAGTTTCCGCCGCTCGACAAGGTCGTCACCGTGACGGGCCAGACCTTGACCTCCCACCGTCTGCTGCCGACGGAAGAGCTGACCGAGGCGATGGGTGAATACGTTGATGCCATGGACCTCGACTCGTATGGCATGGATGATGAAGGGTAAGTCGCAAACTCATGCGGTAACCCCGCAGCAGCACCATGCTAAAAGACGGTAGGAAACACACAGAATTCGCCCCTGTAGACGAAACATACAACCCAACCATCCATCGCATAAACAACGCCGTCAAGCAGCGGGCCGTCCATTCGGACCAGCCGGTTCAAGACATTCCTGCAGTACTACTACGATATGCTAAACCGCCGCAAGAATTGATTGGCCGAGTACAAGATCGCATAGAAGATCTCATCAAGGAAGCGGATGTCAAGAAAGGTATGCTTTTGACTTTTTTTCTCACTCGCAAACTGGCCCACGCTAATAATGAAAATTCAGTACCTCCAAAAGCCAAAGGAAGACGCAGGGAAGCCGTCAAGCCCATGTCCGGCCTCGACGTCGACGCCCTCCTCCTCAGCCAGGACGCTGGCAGCAACACCGCGGACCAGCCCCGGCCCATCACACTCGAGAACGCCGTGCCCGAGTTCAAGCGCGCCATGGCCACGTCGCGCGAAATGTCGGACATCCAGGCCGCCGCGCGGCAGATGGGCGACATCGTCGAGTCGCTCGTCGCTGACAGCTTCGCCGACAGCCGGTACGCGCGCGCGATCGAGTGCCTCGGGGTGCTGCGCGAGGAGCTCGTCGCCATGGAGGAGCCGGGCCTGTACGACGCGTTCGTGCGCGGCTTCAAGGGCCGGCTGCTGTCCGGGGCGCTCGGCGGCGACCGCCGCGACTTTTGGCTCAAGGTCCGCTGGGCGCGCCTCGGCCTGGTCGAGGCCGGTCAGTCGGAGGTGTCCACGGTCACGGCCGAAGAGGCCGAAGAGGTAAGAGCCCATCCAATCTCATCCGATCCCATCCAATTCTCCCCTTGCAAGGCCGAGAAGAGTGCTAACCTGGGCCGTCTGTTTCTCTCTAGTTCTACAAGTCTAGATAGGCTGTTGTCAATGAAAACATGTACCAACAAGCAGTGTCTCGATCCAGGAATTCCTTCGCTAGTGCTGTGAATGTGACCGCGTTTTTTCCTTCCATACCTACCTACTATTGAAGCCGAGCCGTGGGAGTTGCACAACGCGTGTTGCATCCGCGCGTCGTGTCTGAGCGCGCTAATGGCGACTGGAATGCTATCCAGCAACCCCGACCTGTCATCGGCACCAATAAATTGAGGGGAAAGAGAGTGCTTGTGACTAAAACAGGGAATAACTGGGTTCCTGCACACTTTGCTAAAACACAATAGTGGAGTTTGCCGATTTAAACAGCCAAAGTGGCATAGTGGTGATGTAAGTCACGCAACCGAAGGCAATCAAACATGCATCAACGTACTTGTACTATGTATTATACACTATGCCAAATATACAGCTCTGATCACGGATTTGCCACAGCCAGAGCCCAAGTCTCGCAGGAAAAACAAAAAATAAAAACGCAGGCTGTAAATCGAGGGCCAGGCTCATGGGCTGCCCTCCCGCTCCGTCGGGCTAGTGGAAAAAGTAACCCTGCTGTTTGTTGGTTAAGAAGAAAAAGAGGCATTTCAAAGGGGGAAAGAATGATGAGGATAGTATGTGCTGCCGCCCATGTGGCTGTTGTATCCTAAAAAAGAAAAAGGTCGTCAAAAAGGTCGTGGTGTTGAAAGTAACTGGGACAGGATGGTTGTTTGTTGGCTGATCAAGCGATGATTTGTCGTCATCTATTGAAACATGTTGCGATCCTTCTCCTTGAGTCCACCAATCTTGTCCATGTCAATGGACTGGAACTGGCCCTTGGCTTCCTTCTCATACGCAGGGAGCTGCTCTTCCCGTACCGGCTCGAGACCAACAGCGGCATTGTCGCCCACCCTAACAATGAGGACGCGGCCGCTCTTGCGACGGCCATCGTCGCCCTGTTCGTCGGGGAAGGTGATGTGAATCTCTGGGACATTGTCGGGGGAGTCGGGAGGCGAATTGGGGTTCTGCAGCATGGGCTGGCCATCACGACCAATGACGACGACGCTGGAGCGACCGTTGTGCTTGGTCTCAATGGTAAGGCTGTGCTGAAGCATGGGCTCTTTGCTGGCGTCGTTGTAGGTAGGCAGGGACTGGTCGCGAAGCTTTTGCATGCGACGGGAGCGGCGGAAGAAGTAGAGGGTAGAAGTGAGGATCATGGAGACGAAGACGAGGACGAGGATGGCGATGAGAGCATTGATCATGTTATCGGAGCCATCTTCGGAGCCAGAGGCGCGGGAGACGAGGCGACGGAGGGGCCCCGGGCCAGACGTCTCATCGCGATCAAGGATAATGGGGCGAAGAGCCAGAGCAGCCTCAGCTCTGGTGGTGACACGCGTGGCCAAGTCGTTGAGGCGGACAGTAGGTGCCATGATTTTGGCGTCGATATTATCGAGACGAGATGTGCTCAATGTTATAAATGAGAGACAGATAGTTTCAAGAGGCTATTGAGTAAAAGCGCGGGGTTAGTTGAAGGAACAAGAATCGTAGATAGGCGAACAGCGAGTGTGGTGGCGAAACGCGGGAGAATCGAGAGACATTCACGAATATATTGGAAGCTGCATTCTTGAGGCATTCCTGCCCACGCGCGAGGCGGAGGGAGTCGGTGGTTAGGCGGGACGAGCGACAGCAGAACAAGGACCCGCGGGCTAAAACGAAGAAGAAAAAAAAAAGGGACGTGCGATGGATTGGAAGACGTACGTCAAGTATTCGGAGCGGGATAGATTTTTTCGGTCTTTTCGGATTGAATGAGCGTCGTGGTTAGTTCAGAAAGCCAGCGGGTGGCAGGAAGGATAGGACGGGCGCCAGCTGAAGGAATGAAGCTGAGCAGCACCAAAGGAGTGGTTGGAGTTCAGATCAACGAACGTCCAGTTTGAAGGAGGGAGTGAGTGAATATGGAGTTAGAAAAGCATAGCAGAAAAGAAGAAAGGCGCAAAAATGAGTGATGGCCTTTTTTGGGTGCGAAAAAGAACGAGGGTTATTTGTCTGGTCGAGATTGCCCGTTGAGGAGGCGTGAGGAGGAGGGAGGAGGGAAGGGAAGAGGGAATGAGAATGAGAATGAGTGGATGGAAGGGAACGGTGAAGGGAAACGGGGCAGGCTTGGGTGAGGCAGGGCAAGTGAACTGCAACAGCGAATTATTACTGGTAGTTTGCCGTGCAGACTAACTGTTCCAGGTAGTAGAGCGATTTGGTGTGAGTGGTGCCTCTTTCCTTGCAGGCGGCTTCGTGCTTTTCCTTGCTGTCTGTCTGGCTCCTGTTGGGCGCTTGTTTACTGCCAAGCTCCCAACTTGCAGCCACCTGACGGCCACCGTTTGACAGGAACAGGCTTAGCGTAGGAACCCGCCGCGGCTCGATTGGCTGATCCCCCTGGTCATCGATGGGGCCCGGCCGTCCGTTCCCCTGGTCTTAGCAGAAAGAGTGAACAAGGGGGCCGAAAACTTGGCTCGACTTTGCATGTTGCTTGTGTGCTTGTGTGCTTGTGTGCTTGCCTAGAATCCTTCCGCCATCGATTACGGATAGGCTGGTATGGAACGGATGGTTCTTTGTCCTCCTACCCTAGCATACCCAGAAAATAAACGAAAACTGATCACACAACGCTCCCGACGCACCGGGCCGCGTATGTATAACAAAAGCTGCCCTCTCCACAACCCAATTTATTTTTGTGCATGACCTGGGCAGATCCTTGAACGGCAGCATTGGTGGATTGAAGAGAAACGCAGGAAAAAAGAACAATGAAAAACAATACAAGGCCCCGGATTGTTCTGGCGCCGGTCCATGGGAAATGAGCATGGTCGTTGGAAAACTGGGCGCAACCGTTCATCATTGGCTACACTACTGGAGCTGAGGGGCGATGCAGGGGCTTGAGCGATGTTGGCCCCTTTTGTTTCGCCAACCTAATCTGCAGTAGGTACATAACATGAGCTATTGACTATCAAGAATCAAAGACAAACTATTATTACTTCCTAGTAGAGCGAGCCTCTTGATGTTCAAGGGCCAACCACCATTCAACAGAGGATGCTTCACATTTTACACGCTGACACTTCACCAGCGTCAGCCATCGACCAAGCTCTGGAAGCAGCACACAGACACTTGACGCATATCATGAGCCCCTCACTTTACCGCCGCATCCCACCCAAAATCACCAAATTTATCCAACTCACACCTGATTTCATTATCCCAGCCGAGGCTTTCAATCCACTCGCCCACCTCTTTCCCCATCCCACCAGCATGACGTGCATCCATCCATACCAGCATACGAAGCACCAACCAATCGAACCATTAACCATGCAGCTCATACACCGCACCGCCACGCGCTTGTCCCTTGCAATTGTCCCTTGCAATTGTCCCTTGCTTTTTTCTTTCGCTTCTTCCTGCCAGTTGCCTGCTTTCCCCAGATTTCTCCCCATTCTATTTTGCCCAAAGTAGCATAGAGCCTCGTTACAGACTCAGGGCGCTTATTGTGTACATGCAGGCATGCGGCACCTAACCGCTCTGTCGACACCACCTTGTCGCCAGTGGCTTCTGTCAGATGATGCTGCGTCTTGAGTCTCGAGTCTCCAGCTGCGCCGCAAATCTGTCGTGGACGTGAGCCACACCCTGAGTAACCACTTGGCAACGGTTGCGTGGCGGCCAAGCCAACCTGGCCCAGAGACAAAGTGCGACCCCTGTGTAGAATCTCGTGTAACTAGGGGGATGGGGGAACGGGATGTCATTGCATTTATTCTTCTCTCCATGATCCTGCATCGGCTGGCTGTTGACTGCATCCCAACTGCGACTCAAGCTTCTCGGCCCTTCTTTCATCAATGCGTCCCTACATAGCCGGGCCATGGAATTTCATGCTACCGAAACACACGACGCACTGCCTGGCATTCCATCTCTCGATATCGAACTGTGATGCATTGTTATTGCCCTTCCCTTAGTCTAAGCGGCTGTCGTCAGCGCATGAGTTGCGGACGACCAGGTCTTCGAGCCCGCTTGCCAGTTTGATAGCAGCAACTCCGTAGAAGAGATCGAGAAGCCATGCTCGTCTGCGGTGGCCATTTGATACACTTTTGCGGCCCATCCAACGAGTCCGCTGCGAGTTCCGGAACGGATAACTCCCCATCAAAACTCGTGTTTACATCACAGCCACGACGCCGGAACCACACAGACGCGACGACCAAGGCCAAAGTCTCCACGGTAGGAGTCGAAAGCGCAAAAAATACGACGGCAACAAAGAACAAGAAACCGTTCACGTACAAGATTCAAAGCATGATATCAGACTACTAAGCTGCCCCATCAGCCACGTTCGTCCCATAAAGCGTTTCACCTCCGTCCCGTTTGACAATGCACCGACCCCCTCCCCATCTTCGGCGTGCGTGTCAGGGACGAGCCGGATCGGCCGAGCCCCGTGCTCCGAGAAAATGACAATCACATAAAAAGTACACGTATGCCACCCGTTTCAAGTGGTTTGTTCGGGGCTCGACTTGACTTTCGGGGTCGCATGGATGTTCACTGAACGGCCAATCTGGCTCATCGAAATCGCCGTCGCCGTCGCCATCGTTATTGACTAGCTGTAAATAAAGCCCAAAACAGGGGTTCTCCGCAAAGAAAAAAAGAACATACACGAATGTGTAATACAATCTGAATAAATTACATATCACAGTAGACAACAGGTGGCATTTACCATGGCGTACGGCTATTCTGTCCCTGCATATTGGTGGCTCTTGGCTTGGCTGTTGCTGCAACAGCGACGATCAAGCTGGATGCTGATTCCTACCCTGGAGCTTGTGCTGTCTGGACGACCAACACCACTTTGTGAGCCTGTGCTTTGTCTTTTTTCTTGGTGAGCCATTTTTAGATTTATTCCGTCTTTTCCCTTTTCTCTGAAAGTGCGTTTGTGCGTGTGCGCGCGCTACGTTGCCGAATATCGCTTATCATTTACATACATACCTCTTGGCCCCTACGTAGCGACTGACCTATGTACTGTACTTGTCCACGGTGTTTGGGCCTGACGACTAGCGGAAGCTTTTGCAGAAGCATGGTTTGTGTGAGTTGAGGCAACAATCGAGTGATTTAAGCATCAACCTTATCCGAAGGAAAACACACACAGCCAGGTTCAGTGAGTCACATCGAGGCACGCGACCAAATTGAACAAGGCCTAGGCTGAGCACCAACAGCCACGCACACATCATATCGCAGAACATGACAACTCAAGCCCGCGCCGCGCAGCTCTCTAGCCTGTGTAGCAGCGGCTTCACGAGTGATTTTTTTTCCTTTTCACTTTGGCACATGCCATTTCGCAAGCCACGATTCGGCAAGGCGACGGGATAGGTGCCGATTGGAGTTCAGACGGGCGACTGCAAGGGGGGAGGCGATGAAGAAAAGATGACGATCGGCAGTCAAATAGCGAGAGTAAAAAGCGACGACACGTCTTCTGAAGAGGTGCAAGTGGTATTTGGGCAATGAGGGTGGCGTCCAGGGTCGCATTCCAAGCCGTGACAGGCAGGACTTGTTGCATCACGCCAAGCAATGCATTCCAGGCGACGTTATGCGGGACAGTGAGAGCTTATTAGCAGCCCGCCAAAACAGTTGAAAACACGAAACAAGGTAATGCAAAGGGGAGAAACAAAGGAGAGACAAGGGCCGCGGGCACGAAATGGGGCCGGTCGAGTTCCCCGGGAAGGGTTGACGATTCAGTTGCAGATTAGATGGGTGGATGGATGGCCGCGCAACTCTCAAGGTACGGGACGTCGCTTTGAACTATGCAGTAAGAAATGCATAGACGGGAGATGTAGCATGAGGGGAAATGGCACGGCGAGTAAAGCTTGCATATTGTAAGACGTGGACAATTGGCGTCGAGGATGGGCGCGTTGGGGTGTTTGTTGTTATGTAGTCACTTTCGTTAGTTGTCGCTGGATCTGGTAGTCGGTTCCTTTGACAGCCATTGTGGGTGAGATGAACGGCGGGATGGGTGAGACAAGGGTTTAATTGAATAGGCGGGACGGTATACCGACGGCAGAGAGGGAGGCCGGAAGGGGTCGTCGATGAGAAGCCTTTGTCACTATGCCAAGGTGGCAAGGACTAACATGCAGAGCCGTCAGAGCATAACCTCCATACTGACCAGAAGAGAAGGGGAAGGGGTGAAGCTTGAGCTGATAGTCCTGGCGCGTGATGCCATTTGAGCACCAGTCATACGTACGAGAAAGTCAATGTGCTATGTAGGAAGACGCGGGATCCGGGGTCGGGAGAGCTAGGCGGCACGGGGACAAGACTGTCTGGTCTCACCTGGAGGATGTGACGGGTGGAGAGGGAGAAGGAGGTGACGATGGATCGTGAAGAGGAGGATGATGGAAAAGAAAAATGTAAACGAGGTGCGAGAGTATGTGACGACCTCCCGAGTAAGCCTCCTGCTGGAAGAAAGCAAGAAAGGGCGAGCATGACCGACCTCGTATTTGGTCTGAGGGAATGATGGGAGACGGTAGCTAGTGATGCAGGTAAGCAGGCCCTTTTTCTATCGAGAGGGCGATTAATTAAGCATTAGCGTCTGGAGGATAGCAAGGGATGTGTCGCATTCGGCGGCCGGATGACGGGAGAGGCGGTGATGGAGGAGGGAGGGCTACTTCCAGGTAGGTATAGAGCGCCGGATGATGCTATTAATTAGTATTAAATTAGATTGGGTTGGCAGGGAGCCAAGGGCTTGTCAGGCACATTGTCTCGTGGGGTGTGGTCACAAGGGCGATTTGCAATGCGCCTAGGCACGAACTGATTGATGCTGTTATTTATAGGGACCAAAGAGTTGCATCGGACATTCTATCGCGGGGAGAGGTATATACAGGTGATTATAATGAAGCGTGTGGGAAAAGAGAAAGATTTAATCAAAGCATCTCCTGCAAATGGCATGTGGAAAGTTTTGCAAATCCAGAGAATACTATATCTTGATGTTTATGTTTATTCACTAGTCCTTGCCTACTAATATTAACAGGTTCGCTATATGTCGATTGAATAGTGGCCGAGCCTGGGTTACGCATAGCGGGCCTGCTCGGTTATTCTGATTCTTCTTTATTATTTTCCATGTAATTACTGCCTTTTATCCAGGCAAGTTGCCAATTTCGATTTGTATTTATTTAGTCAATTTACCTGGTTATTTCTTTTCCCTCTTGTTTGCTTGTCGGCCCTTTTGGTCGGTCCTGCCTCAGTGAACCAGCCAAGCTGCCCTGTCTACTGGTTACATGGAGGCAAACAACCCTCCCCTCTGCGCGGCAAGTCCGAATATGCTGCCATACCCTTGGTAGAGTATCCCCCAATTCTCGTTTCCTGTCAAAGTCGCTCGCGGTTCGGCTGGAGTAAGAGAAATGATTTATCGAAATGCAGTAATCCCTCCCCGCCTCCCCGCCTCCTCGCCTCGGATGACCGAACCGCTCGCTCCCCTCCCCCTGAGCTCTCCCTTGGACTTTGCAGCTGCATTACTTACACCCTACAACCGTCGGCCCCCAGATGGGAGAGAGGGAGAGACATTTGTTGATCGAGCACATGTGTGGTTGCACTATGCTGCTGCTGCAACCCTGCTCACTCTCGCCTCCGCCCCCCCCCCCCCCCCCCCAAACTGCCGGGCGAAGAACTCTTGAACTGATCCAAGTCACAAGCCCATTTGATACAACCCCTCTCTCCCCTGTCCTGGTTGTGCAGTGGCCTCCCGTCCCTCCCCTCGGGCCGTGGTGACGTCTTTACCACAATCCGAGATTTCGGTCACATCCATCATCGTCTTGGGGGATAACAATGCGAATACTTTTTTTTTTTTTTTTTTACCTCTTCCAAGTCTTGGCTGTAGATTGGATGGTTTCTCATCCTTGTGGCTTGTGAATCTGTAACCATCTGTACTGGTGTCAGACATTCTAACACTCCCACCCTTGTACTCCCCCCTTCTGTGTCCCTCGAACCTGTCGTGCAGCAGCTCTGTATGGAGAAGCCAGAGTTTGCCCTTTGCTTCATCTCCAAGCAAGCAAGCAAGAGCAAAAGCCCGGTTAGTATTATATTGCTGTCCAACCCCCGACACCCGTCTAGTTCCCACGACTGGCCCCCCGGGTCCCGGGCTTCCCTTGTGTATTTTCTGATTTTCTGCAGCGAGGGCTTTTTTTTTTGTTTCTGGCTCCCCCACCTCCCTGGCGTCTTGTTAATCTTGTCTCGCCCGTCTCCCATCTCATTCCTATGTGATATTATCCCTCGCCTCAAGTCGCCTGCGCCAACATTCCGCAATCCCTCGCCAGGCGAAATATTTTATTGGCTCCATAGGCCGGCTCGTCGCTGCTGCACTTTGCCATTTGCTTCAGGAAGACAGAGGGCAGAAAAAAAAGGATCAAGGCAACACAGGCCAACGTCGCATCCCCCTTGTGGGAACCTTGCCTTGTCTTGCGCGAGTTCCTGTTATAATACCCTCCCGCCGCAACTCTTCATTCTTGGATCGATTCCTTCTCTTCTCTATCCTTTGTTGCCTTTTGCACCGAATCGGAACCGAGTGCGACGACATCGGACGGCAAGATACACGGCATCGACAACCGCAAGACCGACTGACTGATTCACTCACTGCCCACCACCTCCCGATCCAACACCACCTGTGCTTCACCACCATCTGGTATATATTGTCATCGAATTTATCATTATAATTTTTCCCTTGCAAATTACGGTTTTTATTATTTATCATCTACCTACTCGACCCGGCTTTTTTTTAGTACATGCCGTTATAGCTTGTACTTATTCTACCACCATCCAAGCATACACAACAACGCATCACAAGGTACATTCTGCCCAGTCACTTTCCTTAGCTAAGGAAAGTTTATATCGTCGCCATCGGCCAAAGACGAAAGGAGACAAATACATACATACATACATTCAACCCATCTTCTGCAACCGCACAACAAAATTCCAAAAACTTCCTCCTTCAACACACTCTCGACGAAACACTTGAACTGTTTCCAGGTACGTGTTATATCTTGATCTTCATTCTCTTGGCTGTCACCAATCGGAAGCAGCTGCTTCTTGTTCCCTGCGGCCCCCCTTCTCTCCCCTGCCCTGCCCGTCTCCTTGTTTCCTTGCCGTCCATCCATCTACTGCAGCCATCCATCTCCTTCCCTGGTCCCCCCAAGCCTCCACCAGCAAAACAAGCGTCGCCGCCTCATCGGTACCTTATCCACTGAAGGTGTTGGCGTCGAAGTCGCGTCGAAGCTCGAAGCCGCCACCAAGAAAAAAAAAAGTAACTTTTGGTTGCCTCGGTGGCGTTTATTCAGTGGGAAAACTCGAAAAAAAAAAATAAAAAGAATCCCAGAGTCGGCGTCGACTGCACGAGAAAGCGCTGTGACGATTACAATGAGAATACAGCCCCCAGATCCTTGCCAGCGTGCTGCAGTCAGGGCGATCAGCCTTACTGCTTTCACTCTTTCACTGCATACGGCCCCTCTTTTATTTTTATCTCTGCCCACTGAAGGAAGTCCTCCAAAAAGTCTTGGAATCCCAAGTTCTCGGGGATCAAGAGAAGTCGAGTCGATTGCAAGAGTCAATTTGCAGACAGACTCGGTTCAAAGAGAATCTCCCTCTAGAAGAATCGTGTCCTCTGTACTCGACTCATTTTCCTGGCTCTGCCTATTCCTCATCACCTACGCCATCTCGCACCCCTACTTCCCCTTCCACTTGGCGCGCGCCACCGCCATATCTGAGTAGAGTTATCCTTCTCCCGCGCCACCCTGCATCGCAGCAGCATCGCGTCTCCGTTTACGACATCCCATCACCCCCTCCTCCTCTTCCCTCCCCCCTTCCCCCGGCCTGGCTGTCAATTCGATGTCCCCTCGTGGCTTCGGTAGTTTCCTTGCCTTTCTATGACTCTTTTTTTTTTTTTTTTTTTTTTTTTTTTTCCCCCTCCGCCACGCATCGATTGCCGCACGCACCTCCCCTGTCCTGCTCCGCCCGCTTCATGCTCGTCTTCATCTTGTTTCACACTGGCCTCTGCTTCTCCCCGTCCCCCGTCACAACCTCGAAACTGCTCTGCCGATGCAACTTGCTGCGTATCCAAAACCCATCGTCTGACAGATCGTCACTAGTTCGGCTCTCTTCCCTCCCCAATCCACTGTTCTAGGGCGCCAACTTAGGCCAGGCCACTTTGAGGGCGCAAATCCGCTTAGCGCATACCTACCAGCGGCCCTGCTTATTACGAGCCAGCTCTCTTTTCTTTCAATTATTGACATCACTCTCACCCTTGTCAGGCTGTCGTGTGTCTATCGCTTCCACTGATCAACATTGTGCTTGCTGTTTGTTGAAGTGTTCACTTCGACTCTCCGAGCAACATCATGACAAAGGTAAGTTTTGATTTTTATATATTTTCTTTCTCCTCGCTTCATTTACCCAAGAATAAGAAAAAAAAACAGCCAAAAAAAAAAGAATCCAAAGATTCCAATTCCCCAATTCTCTGCAAATTTTTCTTTCCTTCTACTTTGTTTTCTTGCCCTTTTTCGCTGCCCACTGCATCGCATTGAGGGGGCTCGTGTGGCTGTCCGTCCTGTCTCGCTGGACTGGACCCGTCCCAGTGGCTCACTCACTGATCAACGGTGGCTCCAACCTCGCTGGCACGCCCTCGCCCTTGCCCTCTTTTCGGTGCCCTTAAGGTAGTACCTGTACCCGGACGTTTAGTGTCTAGCACCGCTAAAGGTACAGGTACAGTGCACTCTTGACAGAGTTCGCGCAGCGCTGTGGCCTCCATTTTTTTTTGGCTTTGCATCCTCCATTCTCAGTCTTGCCAGCGCCAGATCCCACCACCAGCAAGTACGCCTAGGGTGGCCTGGACCTCCCTCGCCTCCCCACGCACGCTTGACGCAGCCAGCGCAAGTCTTGCACTTGAATCATCGCCTACCTTTTTTCCTTCCCTTCTTCTTCCTCTTCTTCCTTGTCTCGCTCCCCTTCTTTCCCCTCCATCATCTTTCGCCTTCTTTTATTCTATATCACCCCCTCTAACATCACATATACAGGCGCGGACGAACATCTTCTCACCTTTGAACATGCCGCCGACCGGGCCTAACGACAAGGCTCAGCAGCCTCTTGGCTCTGGCTTTCCAGCCTCAAATCTTTACCCGAACAGCAACATCTGGAACGCCTCTATTTCCAGGGACCGTCCCGCTGCAGTCTCCAATCAAGGTATGCCATCACTCTGATTTTCTTTGCCCTGCTTTCTTCATCCCTTCGCTCTCCTCTCTGTCCCTCTTTTCTTTCTTGGAAAATAGGCAAGCATGAAGAAAAGATCCTGCATCTCCCGCCACTTTGCCGCCGCAACATCGTCACACTGATTAACCTTCCATCGCAGAATCCGAACACAGTCCCACAGCCGCAGGATCCAGCGCTCTCAACGCAAACTCCGAACCCGTCTGGTCTGGCCGTCCTTGGAGCAATGGCCATCCTGCTCGCTCCGTCAACAACTCTCCCAACCGAGTCCACGAGGCCACTCTTGCTAATAGCGCCTCATTCCTTGAGCACTCTCAGGCACACGGCGCCCTTGGCCTTCAGAGGTCCTCCTTCGATGCCGACGCCTACCCGACTCAGAACCGCGCGACCCACGATGCCCCCTTCGATACCATCGGAGCATTCGCCTCGCGCGACCAGAATCTGCCTGCCATGCGCCAGCATCAGGGATCGAGCTCATTCGCCGGCACCTACCAACCCCATGGGCACAGCAACTCTGTCCACTCCCAGCGTGGTCTCCCGAGTCATGCCGCTTCTGTGGCTACCGCCCACCAGCGTCAATTCAACACCAGGCTCGACGAAGATATTTCAGCCCAGTTTTCTCAACGTATGAGCCTGGACGAGTACCCCGCCACTTCTTCGTTCAACCCTGCCTCGCAGCCATTCCAGATCAACCCGGATTCTTCTTGGATGGCTGACGGCTCGCGTTTACCTGCCAGACTTGACTACCCACCGGCCGAGGCTATTGGATCCCACGTCTCTGCCATTAGGCGTGGCTCCCTTGATAGAATCACTCCCTCGCCCACCTACAACGGATTGGACTCTAACAACAGCCCTCGCCTTAGCCAAGCCGTCAATTCTGGCATCTGGGCCGCTCGTCCTTCCTCGCGCGATCCTCGCACAGCCGACAGTGACCGTCGCTCTCAGGCCCAACATCAACATTTTCAGTTGGCCTATCCTCAAAACTTATACAACCAGTATGGCTACGGCATGATGCCACCGCAGTACGCTCCCAACTTTGTCGACCACTATGCCCAGCCGAACTATGCGCAGCAGCACTTTCGCCAATCCCTGATCCAGAACTACGGCCTTCCTCCAGTGCCCGCTACGTACCCTCACAACAACGGCAGCCCCTCTCTGCGATCCTCGCGCGACCAAGACCCCTCCAAGGCTGTTCGCAGCTATCTTCTTGAGGAGTTCCGCCAGAGCAACAAGTCCAATAGGCGATACGAGATCAAGGATATTTACGACCATGTTGTAGAGTTTAGCGGCGACCAACACGGCTCCCGATTCATTCAGTCAAAGCTTGAGACCGCCAACAGCGACGAGAAGGAGCAGGTTTTCCGCGAAATTGAGCAAAATGCCGTTCAACTCATGAAGGATGTTTTTGGCAATTATGTTGTCCAAAAATTCTTTGAGCATGGCAACCAGGTTCAGAAGAAGATCTTGGCCGAGAAGATGCGCGGCAAGGTCGTCGACCTCTCCCTTCAAGTCTACGCCTGCCGAGTCGTACAGAAGGCTCTTGAGCATATTCTTGTTGAGCAACAAGCTGAGCTCGCCCAGGAGCTCGCCCCTGAAATTCTTCGCGTCATTCGCGACGCGAATGGAAACCACGTCGTCCAGAAGGTTATCGAGCTCGTTCCCAGACCGTACATTGGCTTCATCAATGAGGCCCTACGCGGTCAGGTTACCGGTCTCTCCTCTCACAACTTCGGTTGCCGAATTATCCAGCGTGTGCTTGAAAATGGCACCGAAGCTGACAAGCTGGCGGTTATGACCGAGCTGCACGCATCTGCGCAGATCCTGTTCACCGATCAGTTCGGCAACTACGTCACCCAACACGTCATCCGCAATGGCAAGCCCGAGGACCGTAAGAAGCTCATTCAGCTTGTCATGTCTCAACTGCACACATTCTCCAAGCACAAGTTTGCCTCCAACGTTGTAGAGAAGTGCATTCAGTTCGGCACTGCTGAGCAGCGTACCGCCATCCGCCTACAGCTCACCACTCCTGGCTCTGACGGCACCAACCCGCTACCGGTTATGATCCGCGACCAGTACGGGAACTATGTTATCCGTAAGCAGTCTCATCTTTTTCATTTGTCTCTACTCAACACAAGCTAACACCTTCCTTTTTTTTTGTTTAGAAAAACTCTTGGCTTACCTGTCGGGCACCGAGAAGGATAATCTTGTTGAACTGGTCAAGCCTCAGTTTTATGCTCTCAAGAAGAATGGCAACATGCGCCAGCTTCAATCCCTCGAGGAGCTCTTGGGCCTGGGAGGCCGGGAACAGGGTGACCACACCGACACGGGAGGCCGGGACCAGGATGATCACACCGACACGGGAGGCCGGGACCAGGGTGATCACCACGACACACTTACTCCTGCCTTGACCAATGAAACCGGCAGCCCTCGGACGAGCAGCCCGCCAAGCACCCACGTTAGTGCCGTGAGCCTGGCCGCGGCGGATGCACCCAACAAGGCATCTATCGCAGCCCCGGGGGCCGTCCAGGTGCACGATGAGGAAGCATAAGGAATACGCATAGATTCACGACCGACTTTATACCCCTTGGAAGAAGTTCACTTGATGGTACACGTCTACGACATTTTAATACGCCAAGGGCAGAGGGAAAGAAGCTCGCTCAAGTCCATACCCTCTTGCCGATTTCACAACTGCACATTTTTTCAGATCATTCATATGGGTAAATTTAGGATATTCTTTTCGCAATATTGCTATGGCTTTAGATGGGAATGGCGGTTTAACGAGAACCAGTCTTGATGCCATGGAAGAAAGAATTTCTTTTTGCTGGGAAAGGGCCACTGAACGACACGTCGGCTCTTGCCTTGTTCTCTTCTTCTCGTACAATTTTTGCTGGGTTCTTTCTCTTATTGTCACAGTGTACAGGGGCGTTTTCGTTACTTTTGTCTTACCAAGACCTTCTATGTGTCACACTACTTTACCAGCCCGCGCTTAGCTAGTTTTGCTGTACAAGCGCGAGCAGCGATTTTGCAGATAATGTCAGCCTGGAATACAAGCCAAGCGTTTTGGTATTCTTTTGCGCTTGAAAGACGTGTTTTGCTGACTGGAACAAATTCTTTTGATGGGGCTTCAGCGTTTCGGGAGGAGGGGGATGAGTTGGCTGTACGGGGCTTGGATATGCTTTGGTGTTGCGGGAGGAAAGCGGGCTTAATGTGGATTGGCTTTCGGTCTCTTTAAATGGCAGCATGGGGTTTGCTTTATATAGTTTGCTATGTAGTGATTTCCATGAATTCTATTGGTTTTGGGCAACTTGTCTTGCGAGTCAAGTTTGAATGTGCTTGCCGGGTGAGAATGACTTGAACAGAGCAGCCACAGTGAACCAAGAGGCCATATAAGTTATGCATCATTGTCTTTTCAAGTGATTTCATCAATACCAAGATGGAAATATGCTTGGTATCTCTATATCTTGTGTCTGATCTACCAGGCCATGACTTCGAAGTCATCTGCTTTTCGCTCTGGATACTAGTTGAGGTTAGGCTTCCCGCGGGCACCACAGAAGCTGGACCCTCAAGAAGGTCTCGTCTGGTTACCTAATAATTACTTAGCCTCCAGCGCTTCCCCCTCCACCGCCATGACACGACGACCTTCTTCCTTCCTTCTCAACACAATCCTCAACAAATAAGACGTTTTCACATTCCACTCTTTCATCTCATTTCATTTGTGTCTTGTCAGTTTTGTTTAGCGTTCTCGCCTGTCAATCTTTCACTTGGACAACGAAGACGCTCCGTCGAACTTCGGCAAGAAACGGGCTAACAAGGGAACCCCCCAACACTCCCCTGCCCACCTGAAACTCTACTCTTCCTGCCCGACACGAAGGCGACAGTAACAGCGACAATCGCTCCCGAAGCTGAGACGGTCCATGAATCGATTTGAATAAGAGGAGCCCAAGGGACTGTGCGTTCGACGTCCAAGATGTCGGCTGCGACGCGGTTGACGTTCCTGTATCCGCATCTGCTGCGGGCAGCTTCGAGGGCCCAACCGCAGCAATGGTCTGCGACCGCGGGCAACCGCGCCACCTGGGCCGCCGTCAACTCGAAACGGTCTGCGCATGTCATGCGACGGGGCAAGAGCTCGTTTGCGCCGAGGCATGGAAAAGGCGTGGCGCCAGAGGAATGGGACGAGCAGCAAAAGGAAAAGGACGAAGCAGGTACTGCCGCTGCCCAGCTCGACAGCGCTGCCGTTGCCGAGGACAGCGCTGCCGTCGCCGAGAAGAAAACTGCGGAAATTAATCAGGATGCCGCTGGAAATGAGCAACCTGCGCAGGCCGACACGGTGGCCAAGAGGCCACCAGGGACAGCGGCGCCAAAGACAGGGAGCGAAGAGGGCGGTGCACCTCCTGACGTGATCCTGGCGGCGGCGCCCCAAGCACCGCCAGCAGAGGACACGACACCGACGATGAGCGAGACCAAGAATGACAGTGGCGAATCGACGAAACAATCACAGACCTCAACGAGCACCAGAGAACCCACGGCCGAGGAGACCAAGGCTGCGCAGGCCAAGGAGGCGGCGAAATCGAGCGGGCCTCTCGAGGCTGTCCTGCACATGCAGCCGCCGGAGCACATTGCGCAGCAGCATCCCTCCATGTCGCCGCCGCCGTATGAGCATCATTTCGACAGCTACTCGCTCGTGAAGCAGCTCGAGGAGGGCGGGTACACGACGCAGCAGGCGGTGATCTCGATGAAGGCCATCCGAAAGTTGCTGGCAAAGAACTTGCACGTGGCGCAGCAGAGCCTCGTGAGCAAAAGCGACGTTGAGAACGTAAGTTCTGCATTTATTCAGAAGAGCGTTGCTCGTTATGCTGACTAGCCTCGTAGGAGACGTACTTATTTTCAGCCGCCTGCTCGGAGCTCAACACCGAGGTCAAGAATAACAGGCGCATCGCGGAAGAGGAACTGCGTCAGCAGCGGACACATCTTCAGCATGAAGTGGACATTTTGACGCAGTCGCTCAATCAAGAGGTTGCGACGCTGAACGACACAGTGAAGGGCATGTACAACGATCGCAAGCAGGCTGTGCGCGAGGAACAAAAGGCCATGGACAGTGCTGTAAGTCGCTCTCAGCGTGCTGGCTGTGACGGATGACGTCTAACGCGGGAACAGATTCAAAAGATTAGCTACAAGATTAGCATCGACCTGACGTCTGACGCCAAGACGGAGATCGAGGGTGTCCGATGGGTGCTCATCTGGCGCTCGGTTCTCGGCATCATCTTCATGGCGTTCCTCACCCTGGGCACGCTGCGCCTCGCCACGTACGAGAAGCAGCGCAAGCAGGAAGAGGAGCGCGTGCGCAAGGCGGAAGAGGCTCAGCGACGCGCCGAGGAGGCCAAGCAGCGTCGCGAGGAGGACCGGCAGCGACGCAGGGAGGAGGACCGGCGCCGCAAGGAGGAGGAGGACGCCCGCAAGGAGGAGGAGAAGCGCCGGCGGGAGGCGCAGGAGCTGCAGCGCCAGGAGGACGAGGAGGAGCTCCGGCGCTCCGGCCCACGTGGCAGTGCCGGCGACGGCAGCCCGGCGGCCGAGGCAGTAGACGATGTAGAAAGCTTGTCGGCCAATTAGAGGATAAGGGAAAGAGGAGAAACCGTGATACCCTGATAGACTATGTAATACAATTCCCTACTTTGGATATACTCAACATAGCGGTTGATGGGTGCATAAATCTCAACTCATTATTACCTTGTAATTGGCTCAAGTAAATGTAGATGACTTTCTAGAAGAATGAGTAGAGTAAGGAGATGTTTTTTATTTCTCATAGCTACTAATAACATATCTGGTAGGCGGGCTGCAACTGTAGAGTTGCAGTTAGAGTCCATCACGTGGTGGGCCGCGCCATCGCGTCTCCCGTCGCGTCTTTCCCAACGTCAATCCAGACCGAACTGGCATTTGAACGTCGGTTTCAACGGCACAACCTCCACAAAAACAAGGGGATACGAATCGCGAATCAAAGACCCCCCTCCCCCCGCAACTCCTGTTTTAGATCTTTTTCAGCATCTACAAGGAGAAGCCTTTGCCCGCGCCGGCCCCCCTGCCATGGCGGAACAAACACAGCAAGGCGGCGCGCCGTCCGCCATAGCAGCAGCACCAGGAAACGGGACGACGACGACGACGACGACGCACGCCGAAGGGCAAGGCGACCAGCAGCTGGTGCCGGGCGCGCGCGCGGAGCGCCTGCAGGACATCTACGCCAAGGCCCTCGGCGGCACGCTGAAGAAGCTGAGCTGGGTCAACGTGGCGGGTTGCTACCCGACGGTGGCACGGCGCGCGGAGGGGGTGCTGCGGACGTTGCAGCAGCAGATGGCGAGCCAGCTGCAGAGTCGATGCGAGGTACGTTGAGGAACCAAAAGAGAGAAGGGGGGAATGTGTGCTAATGACGTCTCGTAGAAGGAATTTGAAAAGATCATGGAGAGCAGGCAGGTGGTGGCCAAGCTCAACGAGCTGGAGGTGTTGGTGGGCGAGGCGGAGCGCGCGAGGGAGGACGCGCTCAAGGCGGGCGAGACGAAGGAACCTACGCCGTGAGTTTTGCTTTTTTTCCCGGTCTCTCCCCTTCTACGGAGCAGTTACAGCTAACACAGGTATGCAGCCCGCACACGCTCCCGCCGCAGGCCATCCTCGCGGCGCACACGCACCCGGCGCTCGCGCGGCACCAGTCGCAGCTGCACGCCCGGCTGCAGGCGACGCAGAGCCAGAACGCGCTGCTGGCGGACGAGGTGCGCCGGCAGCGCGCGCGCGGCGGCGGACGTGCGCGCGGCCAACGAGGCGCTGGCGGGCGTGGCGGACGCGGTCGCGGAGGAGACGCGCCTGGACGCGGAGCATGTCTGAGCAAGTCACGGAAAGGGACAGGGAGGGAACAGCAAGAAGAGGAACAGCGAAAAGAGGAACCGGACGTTGACGCTGGGAGCTGGGAACGACCCCCCCCCCCCCCCCCCCTGCTGGAAGCGGCAAGCCGAATGCCCATACGAATTCTGGCAGCAGCAAAATGGCCGCCGCCCTAACCTGGCATCATCCCCCTCCTCCGCGCGCGGAAGAGAACAAGCCTTCACACCGGAACTAGGCCCTGCGTGGCAAAAGAGATTTTTTTCCGCCACGCGGTGCGCGGTAGCGCGCACACCCTGGACGTGCGAAAACGCAACTCGAACAACTCAGAGAGGGCGCGCACGCATTGGACAGCGGACGCCACATGGGGCTTCCCCTGAGGGTTCAGAACAGTTGAGCCGAAATGTCTAGTCAACTCCCCCCCCGGCCACGCCGCCCACCGAACACACTTGTGGCGCTTCTTCGTGTCGTTTGGGTTTTCTCCCTTGCGGTGTTCAGCTCCGTGACGAGGCACACACAACGCCAGCCACAACAGGGCGGAACGGGCTTCTGCTATATTTAACCCACCGCAGCTGAAGAGGTGGAGGAGGAGAGGGCAAACATGGTGCGGAGAGGGAACGGCAGAGAAGCAGCGACAGATGCGCAGCAATGCAGACGAACACCAAATCAGCAAAAGAATAAATAAACACCGTATTTTTGAGATGATGGACGTGTCTCAGGTGCAGCTTTTGATGCCGCGGGGAGAGGATGTCGAGGCCAGGGCTCTTCACGTTCCGAGTCTTGGTGGCGCGCTAGACGGAACGGCATGGAAGACGTCGCCCCGTGAATCGCTACACTTCTTTCGGGAAGTTATTGGTTAGGTAGTTAGTCCATTTGAACAAGCACGGCACTTGCCCGCCAACGGCTCCAATACCCGAGCCTGCCAGCAAAGATCAACGGCATCTGGCATCCACACTTTAACATGTCAATCTACGGTGTGAGTCACCGGGAACGGGAACCGAAGCCGAGCAAAGCGTGTGTGATATGTCCAAGATGGTGTGTTTCGTTTCTGTAGGAAACTGAAATGCTATGTACAATAAAAAAAAGTAGCGTTCGCATCTTATCCAAAGCGGACGGCGCACGTACTCCTGTCAGCAGCAGCTAGGCGCAGCAAACGTGCGTCCATCTGCGCTGCCATCTGATAGCTTTTATAAATCACGCCAGCCACCGATGCAAGGCCCTGCGACATGTCGCAAAGGCATATAAACCAAAACCAAAACGCCCAGTCTGCCAAGACCCCCCAACCAATGCAACCATAATCGTGTACAAGTCCCCCTTCTGCACCCGAGATGCAGATACTGCTCCAGGTGGGTATCGAATCGATAAATGTCCACCTTGGCTTCAAATGTATGTAAATTCCCCCGTCGTAAATGTTCGTAATAGAAGTGGCTTGAAATCGACCCCTTAAATGCGCGGGTTTTCCGTGTGGACAACCTGCCATGGTCCAAAGTGATCTTCGCCGTAGGGTGGTGGCAGCACTCGTACCATGCGCCCGGTGGCCCAGTCGACGAACCACTGCTTTCCCTTGCTGATAATGTAGTTTGATCTTCTCGGGCTTCGGAATAGCAGATTGCTGTAGCATAGCTTGGCGTAAAGCATGTCGTGAGCCTCTGACCACTTGTGCTCTGGAAACCATTTGCCGGAGAATGGATCTACCGAGGCGTTGTGATACGATGTTGTGCTTAATCGGTGTGCCAGCCGGGGTCCTCTGGTAAAGCCACCGTCGTCTTCATCTTCGGATTCCTCAGAATCTGAGTCGATGGCGTTTTGGGCGTGTTCGATTTCGTGGTCAGGAAACACCGGCGTGTGTGGTGCAAGCGTTTCTGTTTCTTCGTTGCGAGAACAGCTACTCCGTGGCCGTCGCGGAGATGAGTTGCGTCGCCCTGAAGTAGAAGACGCCGCTTCGGTCGTCTCTTCTGCATCTTGCGTTCTTGAGGGACTTGGCATCCGTACTGGGGATTGCCCACGGAACCAACGTATACGTTGAACTCGGGGGATGGACATGTCCCGGGGGAAGTCGCGTTCATCGATAGGTGCTGCAATGTCAATAGCAGCGAATAACGCCTCTAGCCACCTCACAAAAGTGCCTAGCTCGATGCACGAAAGAAGAAACTGGTCTGTTTCTGCTCGTATACGGATCACGTAGCGTCGTCTAGAAGAGAGGTTAGCGCGGTTGGCTCAAATGTGCAGATTTCAACTCACTTTTTATAATCAGCAGCAATGCCCGCATCTGCATGTAGCAAACTGTAGGTTTTCTCCAACTTGCCCTTCCTCACCCACGGAGGATTATCCGGACATATACTTGGGCCGTCTCTCGCCTTTCCCCATCCCCAGTCTTTCTTTACGTGATGGACGTGAAGAGCGGTTCCGTCGAGAACCACGAAAGCGTTGTGCCACCGGCGATCTTCCGCTCTTTTTGTCGTATTCTCGATCTCATGCTTCTTGGTAAAGATTCCTTCCATGTAAAGAGAATTGGAATAGGCGGGCAGCTCTTCAGATTCGCCGTCGGAGGTACATCTAGACTTGCCCTTGGCTTTCCTTTGTACAGAGTCGACAGCGTTATAGAGGGAAGACTCGCTGGGCACATAAGGCGGAGGTAGTGACGAGCGGCGTGGCGGAGCTGACATGATGCGGTGGTAAAACAAATCTTCGTCTATGGATAGACGGCGCCCTGGCGGCGGTGAGCCTTCGCGAGAAGCATGGCCGTCGTCCGCCGGAGGCTCTTGTGATTCGTCCATGGTGATTTGGTTGGGCTTATATGCCCGGCTATGGACGAGGACGGATAGACGGCAGCAACGCCCGAGACGTCACTCGGCGGCGCGGGCCAGTAGACGTCCAGTCGAATAGCGTCAGGCAGTGGACACTGGACGTTGAGAGTTGCGAAGAGGTTGTTCAGGTTTGGTCGGGCCAAAGTCTGCTCATAGCGACCCGCACTGGAGCATGGTGAGGTTGACAGGTTGAAGGAGGTGGTGAGTCAAAGGAAGGACCGGGTGAGTTGATGCCAAGGGGGAGGGCCAGCAAAAGAAGCTGGGAGGCGCCGATCGCAGACGGGAGGGGCGTATCAAAGGTAATAACAGGCGGACCAAGAGCTGTGGGCAGTGTTGCAGTGAACAAGGACTCGTCGGTAGCCTTAGTGTCGTTGGAGGTAGTTAGATTTGGAAGGGCCGGAAAGCGCGGGGACTGGCGCAGGTGACGTTTGAGGGGGCAAGTTGGCAAGTACAAGATGACCAGCGGAATGGACAGTCGAGATTTGTCGTCTGGGGTATGGCCGGATGGCCGGATAAAGCGCAGTCGTGCAGAAGCCGAGTATGAGTAGAGGCAGTCGGTGGTAAGGCTGCGGACGTAGAGCCGGGCGTATGTCGATGGTCGTCGACAGGGGATGACGGAAAGAAAGCAGGTGAGAGCAGCAGCTGCAGCGAGTAGGACGAGATTTGAACTGGGGAGAGACTTTTCTAGTTGTGTCTCTCTCTGTGGTGTGCGTCGCAGTGGGAGGAGTGGTGGTTGATGATGGGCACCTGGTGGAGCCGCAGGGACCTTTTGGTAGAGCGAGTCGTCCGGCAGATGATAGTGGGGGTTGCAGCGACGTCAGCCAGTAAAAAGTAGAAGCCAGAGGTGTATTCCGGTCTGCTATTTTTGGATGTAGAGAGCAGCGCTCGGTGATGGTGAGATGAGGGTCGAGGTTGGCGTTTTGAACGTGGGCGAGAGGATGGCGTTTGTTAACGGGAGAAGGATGCCGGGCGAGATGGCTCAGAAGAACGGTTGGTTGTTAATAAGCGTTAGTTCCAGTACAAAGGGCAGCTGGAAATTTTTGGGGGCCGTCTGTTGACGAAGACGGGCAGGACTGCCAAGGATGCCTGGATCTGGGCTGGGCGAGCGGCCGAGATGGCAAAGGCTGGGTTGGCATGGCTTGGATGGCGAATGGACGGGCTTGGAGGGGGTATTGGGAGGGTTAGTTTAGTATGGAGACAGCGAACCGGTCATAACGGAGCAGCGAGAGTGGATGATGGACCTTTTGCAGGGTGGGTTTTGGTTAGAAAAGTAAAGTACCCAGGTACTTTTTGTTAGGTCCGGCCGGGTCTACCTGTCTGGGAGTCTGGGGCTGGCGAGGGCAATCAGCGCTGGAACCGGAATGGGTCGGACTAGGGGAAAATAAGGATCAACTAGGTAAAGAAGATCTTTTAACAAGACTAACTCGTAGATAGATGTGAGAGACAATTGTGATGATCAGATTATAGACAGCCACGTCGCTGCCATGTATGTACTTCCAGGCCTTCGTGACAAGACTCGTCTACAAACTCCCGTTGATGATGGCACTGGCTGTGGGACCAAGACTTTAGCGGCCACAGGGCCCCTTTCGGTGCCGCAAGACGCTGGAGGCGGCTGAAAGAAGTGCCAGAAAAAGGCTCCGAAGTCCGCTAAAAAGCTGGGACTGCGGAGGCCCCTGGGGGGGACCTTTGGCCCCGTGGTGGGAACCTTTGGGAACCTTTGCTTGCCAGGCTGTCTGTCGCACCAGCCACACACACACACACAGCCTGCTTAGAAACTGCAGTTGACTTGCCAGAGGTTACAGTGCGTGGCCTCTTGGTGGCTGCTGCTGCCACAGATACCCTCCCGCCAGAAGCAAAGTTGACGCGCCTTGCCAGCGGCCAACAAGGCCAACGGCTCGGGTCTGGACCGAAGTCCACCATTCTTGGCATTGAACAGTGTATTTGAATTATAGCAAGGGGCGGGATTTCATGCTGTATGCATATTCGAAAATCTCGCATGTCATGCTTGCGCAGCATCAACCCACCAGTTACGGGGTCGCCGCCTGTATGTGCCTGAGTCGAGCAGCTGTCGGTCTGTCGGGTGCAACTTCCAGGGCAGGCGCCTGCTTGTGCGTAAAATCTCGCACTGTCCACCCCTTGTGGCTCACCCAGGTTTGCAGCTTCCCACTGTACATCAAACAATCGCGCGATACCCTCATGCTTATAGGCAAGCAAGCCTCCGTTTGTCATCATTGTCGCATCCTCGCCAGACCACTTGCCAGTAACCCAACCCTCACCTCAGATCCCCCCTGTCTTCCCCTCACATCGGACTGCGCCGACAAAGTAAACGCCTTCCTCAATCGTCCATCGTCGAGGGGCCAAGCAAAGCCAGTCAGACCAGCCAGCGTATCCCCCCTCCTCCACGAGCTAGCCATGCATCTCCGGGGCGCCCATGACCATGAGTCCGATGCCTCAAGCTACACCATCGGCGTGGCGCTAGGCCCGCAGCGGTAGGTGATGGGATTGGTGATGTGCTGTGTCTGCGCATTGGGTGACGACGTCTGCGCCATCTTCTCTCTCTGCCCAAGCGACGGAGCGATAGATGGCTTCTGGCTCGACTAGTCCGTTCTACTGACAATTGTTTAGCTCGAAGCAACAAGTTAGTCACCCCAATTACACAAGCTAACCATTTTCCAAGTGCGGCCCGTGGTAGCCAAGTGGGATATGTATCGCCAAGGCCGCAAATTACTGATCTGATATCTGTTGGCCAAGAATAGATGGATGTTCGCTCCCCTGGGTTAGTAACCTGCAACGATAATCCAACTACACACTAACACGGGCAAATACCAGGTGCAGTTACTTGTTCCCGAGCGCATTGTCGTTACGGGCAGAAATCCGAAGGGCTCAACCACACTACTCCCTACTGGGCTCGTTTATGAGAGCGCCGAATAGGTCCCGAGAAGGCGACTCACAAACAATCAGCCAATTACAAATGCACACACAACAGCCTAGCCTCACCGTCCAAGTGCCGCCAACTGACGAGGCTCTTTCAAGGGGGGTGCTCCCTGGCTTACACACTGTCACCCAATTGGCCTGGCTGCCCTGAATAACGAGCTTTTTATTGCTGGTGGCGTCGTGGGGGCGCTGGCTGCTTCCGCTGCCCTACGTCGCAAGATGTGATCACTCACTCCTTAGTTATCCGTGAACTGCCCTTTTGGCAACGACATCGTAACTGGGCGTCATCTGATGATGCAGCGAATCTACAGCCACCACGATGAAGTCGCTCAGCGTATCGACAGTCATCGAGCCGCCGAGGCAGCCATCTTCTGCCCTCCCATGTATGGCAACTACACACCAAAGTCACATTTGGCCGAAAGTCTCTTGAACTGAGATCATTCAGCCACACAGGAAAGACCATAGTGCCTGGCACGACAACAAACCATATACCTCCTACAAGGAAAGGCATCTGAGACGGTCATTTTCATTCAAGCAACTTTGCATTGCCACTTTGGGCAAGTTTCCAGCAAGTGCCACAATGCTGAGTGCCTCCACTCGCCTGCAAAATCCACTCACCCACTGGGACTTTTGCAAACCCTCTGTCCTTGCGACCGAGCCCATGAACTTGCTCATTCGTTAATTACCCCGGGCCGTCATGAAAGTTGACCGAGGCATCCCCGCTGTCCCTCGGGTTGCTTGCCTCAAAATCTCTCATGGTGATGAAAGCAGCAAGCATACCGAGACGCTTCCAGGAGACGCAGTCATGGATGCGAATATCACTCACAGGCCGTCACAGTGCCGGAACGAAACAGCAACGACTACGGCGGTACATAAATCACCAAACACGACCTGCGGTGGTGTGCTGCTCTCAGCGACGATCCTACCTTCCCCTCCGGCGCTGCAACCGTCCTCGGGCGCTGTGTCAAGTAGAGTGCGCCATTACCGGCGCTGGCCGTCCCCAGAACAAGAAGCTTTGTTATCTCGGTCTTTTCATTCTAGCCTGGAATCTCACGGAGGGCAGGTGACGAAAATAGAAACATCAGCTAATAAGACTCGTGCTCACCCCTATTGTGCAATTGCAGAGTCGCATGGCCGTCAGAATCACCTCAAGAGAGCAGTCGCCAAGGGAAGAATACAGCGTTGAATTCCGCGAGGGACTTTTTGTGACGCACAAATGCATTGGCCAAAAACATGCCACCTGCACACATCGTAAGACAACAAGCAAGGTCTCGCAACTCGGCCTGAGCACAAAGTGCCGAACATGAGAGCGCTCTTGTCATAATAACCAGCAAGGTTCCCAAATGCCCCATGGAAGCCGTGTGGCGGGCGTAATTGCACAAATCCTAGCGCTGATCACCGTCCACGCAAGTGCGCATTCGGTTATTTTTCCTTTCCTGGCAGCGCTGATGAGACCCGGCTCGGCCATCTCGGCCACCACGCGCAACACTTGGGGGTCTCGAACACATCTCTACAAGGCTGGCGCTGGTCACATATCATGTACCAGTACGAAGTAATTAGGCTCTTGCGCGCGTCCCATGGCCAAGGGACTTACTTGCCACAAGGGAATAAGACCAGAATGCAAAGCGGGCAGCAACAGGGCTGCCAGGGCGGATAGTGGGGGGTCCGAAGCCCGTCACGTACGGTGAGGCTTTCCAAACAATTCCAAGGGACGTACGGATGCAAGGGAATAAGACGATCGAGAAGAACAAAGAGCACTCCAATCATGGTGAGAGATCTTCCAATATACGGGTATATGCATCGACTAAACGAACTGGTCTGATTTTACGAATAAGAGGCGTCTTATTGCCGCCCTACATACACATGAATGGATTCCATCTGCATGTCTCGTCTCTCCCCTGTCAGCGTCCTTCTTTCTGGCGGTGGCGTCTTTCAAAGGCTTTCTTCTCTTTAACAGCGGCACATCGGAGCCGAAATCCCAAGCGATTTGCCCAGAGCCTGGTTCGAAAGAGGCGTCGTTACTGGGCAGGGGTTCTCTGCATGTCTCACAGTTGTTTTGCGCTTCCTCGGCCAACGTCTTCTTCATTTTGTGATAAGGTACGGAGTACGAAACAAAGGAGCGAATCGGTGACTTTGTATATTTGTCGGAAAATGCAACAAAGGGGAGGGAAAATTTCAAAATGATCGCACCTGGCCCGCTGGGCGCTCAAGGAAGCCCGTTCAGGTACGCAGACATGGCCTTGTAGTCGGGCACACCCAGCCCGGTGACGGGATCCCACCCAGGCGTCGCCGAATAACTCTTGCCGTGGCAGGAGTACGGCGCGTCGGTGCGCATGCGACCCTCGGTGACATCTCGGAGGGCGTCCGGCTTCTTGTACAGCGCCGGGTTGACGAACCCCACGGGAGTCTTGCCCGCGGCAAGGCGCTCCTCGTTGACGCGCGTGAGCATAGCGGCGATGATGGGCGCTGACATGGATGTGCCGGCGTTGAGCCCGACCTGGCCGTTGAACGCAAAGACGCCAAAGTCGCCGACGGCGGAGACATCCGGGTAGCCGCGGCCGGCGCGGTTGTAGACGCCGTCGCCGGAGAGCGGGATGTTGAGGTCGGTCGCGTTGTACGAGGGGAAGCCCGGGTCGTGCGCGGTGAAGAAGGTGTCGAGGGCGGCGGCCTGGTAGTCGGGCGCGGGGAAGATGTTGGAGAAGCCGCCGCCGGGGGAGAAAGACTCAGTGACGGCCTCGGCATCGCCCGGCTTCCGCCCCTTTGGCAGGATGGTGGCGCCGACGGAGAGCGCGTACGGGCAGCCGGCCGGGTCGTCGACGCTGAAGATTTGCTGCGAGTCGCCGAGGCACGCCTGGCCTTCAGGGGTGACGCCGGTGTCGCCCGAGGACCACACGACCGTGGTGCCTTGGAGGCCAAGCTTCATGAACTCGTTGCACTGACGCTGCTAAGAGATTAGCCGCAGGCTCTTTACAATTCTCCTATTGTTATTGTCTAACTTGCCTTGGTCTCGGGTACGGTTCTGGGGTCCTCCTCGCCTCCCCACGAGAAAGAAATGACAGTGGTCGGCGTGAAGGTGCCGCAGTCATCCGACGTGCCTTTGTCGCAGTAACTGCTGTCGACGGCCTCGAGAAATTGATGGAACCCTTCCTTGACTTGGTACAGCTCAGTGGCCTGCGGGTAGATGATCGGGATGGCCATGTCAAAGTCCATGGCCGCCTCGCCTCCGGCTTGGTCGGGCGACGGGGCGCTGGCCAGGTCGATCAGGTCCACCTTGGGACCGGTGCCCTTTGGGATGTCCGGGGCGACCGTCTCGTAAAACAGGTCGAGGTCGGATTGCTTGTACATCTCGTAGTCAATCTCGAAGACGCCGAGCGCGTTCTTGGGGCTGACCGTCCTGGGGGCGGGCGGAATGTTGTACATGGCCGCGATGCAGGCAGGCGTCACGTACTTGGTGCAGTCAGTCAGCGGGTCAGCCTTAATCGCCTTGATCTCCTCCGGGGTCAGCGACCCGGTGCCGTCCTTGGGCGAGACGGCGGCCGCCGGCGCGGACTTGACTCTGCGCGAGGCCACGGCCGGCCAGACGTAGTCGACGTGGGCAGCGATGCTGGCGGGCAGGTGGTAGTCGTCGGCGCCGAGGTGCTGTGAAGCCGTCCGCTTGTCCTCGTAGACGTGGTACGACGTCTGCAGCAGCGCCTCGAGGCCGCCGACGGTCGTCTCGAAGTCGAGGAAGCCGCGGTTCTGGGAAAGCTGGACGTTGCGATCGGGGATGCCGGCGGACACGAGCCACTGTCGGACAGCGTCGATCGACTCCTGCGTCGGCGCAAACGTGTCGGCGACCTGCTGCTGCGTGTAGTGGCGGCCGTACGTGGGCGAGTCCGGGTCGGCCACGGCGAGCAACAGCTCCATGCCACGGTCCAGGTTGCGCTGGGCGAGCGCGATACGGACAGGCACGGCGGCGGAGGGCTCCGCGGCGCGAAGCTTGACCATCCCGGCACCGCCGTGGGCGTCGGAGCGCCTCTCGTGCTGGACGAGCGTCTCCAGCGGCATGCCCAGGGACGCGGCCACGAAGGCGCTGACGAAGAGGGCTGTAACCTTCATCGCGAGGGTTGTTTAGGGCGCGACAAGGACAAGACGCCGAAGACGATGATTGAGGCAGAAGAACGTGCAGCGGAGGCGACGGTAAGGGAGCCACGACTTTTTATATCCTTGCCGGCCCATGTTGTATCGTATCAAGGATCTTGTCGCATCGCTGACCACTGAACGACGGAGCCATAACCTGTGTGTCCCGTCCGGTGGGCTTTGCCGACAACAAAACGCAGATCGAGAAGCCCATGGTGTGTAGATGATCACCGCCAGCCCGCCATCCTGGCAATAAAACGAGTGCTACATAGAGGAAGGTCAGTAGCTGTCGACGCAAGATTGGACTCTTGCGCGGTCAACCTGCCTATTGGAGATTAGCCAACGACCCGTGATTCGCGCGAGCAAAGGAGTGTGTGAGCGACCGGGTATGGCCTCGGCCCTACACGTAGGAGACACCCGTTGTTGACGATCGACTGCTACGCCACGCCCCGACGCCGATTGCGAAAGATGTACCGCATGGAGTTCGTATGCGGATGGGCTTGGTTGTGAGCCAAAAGAAAAAAAAAAAAGGTCAGGGAGTAATGCATCACCCGAATATGGAAGGTGTCCGGCTCTAGTGGGGGAGGGAAGCCGACGAACTCGTTTTTCTGGTCCGATGAGGCAGCTCCTCGACGGCCATGGCTAACTCGGCCTCTGCAAAGGCTGCTGTTTCCCATTTTCGTGCTGTCAGGATGTAACGTAGAGCGAAAAATCAGGAAAGTGAAGAGGTGAGACGAATCCGAAGAGATTACAGACAGAGGAAAAGGCTGGAATGAAACCTTTTAGAGACCTTCGGGCGGCTTCCTATTCCACTACCATGTCCAGTAGCTTTCCTCTTCCAAAACTCTCTTATTATCAAGTAAAGCGGCGGATCCGAAGCCACCAGCCGCGGAATGGCCGCCCGGACTCGGCAGCGGCATCGCTTCAACCCGCAGGGCTTCAGATCAAGTCACGATAACAAGCAAGTGACATCCCGAACTTGGATCGTCATGGTTATTGTTATTCGACTCATATGTAGCCCTTGAGAAGTCGTTTTGGTAATTGTATTGTACAGCTCCCTTTGCCTCCTCCCCCGTTTCTATGTCCCTGTGCCCCCGTCCATTCTCCTCCCAATTGTGATACACCGCTTGAATTATGAGTTCTCGTCATAGACCACAGTCCCATCCGGCTCCCTCCATGCACGCGCCCATATACTCGTACTTCTTTCTGTAGAAAACATATTATCCCGGTTCAGAGCATTCCTCTCCGGCTTCATACATGTCCGTCATGGTATATAGATGCAGCTTTTTTTTTCCGCCCGCAATGCAGTGAAGTAAAAAACAAAACAAGCCAAAATCATCCCCGGGTGACACGTGCGACCACCAGACAGATAGATGCTGCCTTGCTGCAGGGAGTTGTCCTCCCGGTCCAAATTAAAAATCGATTCGCTCCCAACCAGACTCCAGTGCATCCACGCAGCCGATCTAGCTGCACGGTGCACTATGTATTTCGATGCTAGCCCTTTCATTACGTCCCCAGTTGAAACGCAAGCATCACCACGATCTTTCTGTAAGTACAGTATGCTCGCATTTTTGCGGAGCTATTGCTGTTGCCAACAATCTTCGGGAAGACGGGCACGTTTGGTGCCCATTTAGGCATTGCTGGCGACCTGGGCGCCGCCACGACCTCGAGCAGCGCCGCCACGGCCACGGTTCTGGCCGAAATTGCCACGAGTGCCTTGGCTGTTGCGGTGACCTTCATAGCCACCGCGTCCACGAGGGGCGCCATTGCCGCGACCGGCGCCGAAGCTGGCACCACCATTGTGGCCGGGGGCCTTGGGGCGACGAGGCTCAACGACGATGTTCTCGCCATTCACAACGTGGGGGTTGCTGGAAACAGCAGCATGGTATCCCTCAAGCGTCTTGTATTCGACAAATGCACAATTCTGTAACAGTTAGTAACTTTGAGTTGCATGGTATGCCGCTGCGAAATCACGACATACCTTCTGGCGATTGATGTCAAAGTAGGTCAGCTCGCCGTGAGCAGTCAAGGCGGCACGAAGGTCAGCATCGAGAACCTTATCCGTCACATACTTGACATAGCCCATAGTGCCCTCCTTCTCACCTCCGGTAGCAGTGGCCTGGGGTCGGTGCTGGCGCTTCGAGTCGGCGCCAGCTGTCTGCCAGCCGGAGGTCTCCTTGGGAGCGGCCTCAGCGGGGGCAGGAGCAGCGGGGGCAGGAGCAGCGACTGCAGGAGCCGGGGTAGCAGCAGCAGCAGGAGCAGGCGCGGGAGCAGCAGCAGGAGCAGCAGCAGGAGCGGGAGCTCGGCTCTGGGTGGTGGCGGGAGGCGTTGCGGTCTTGGGCAGAGGGACGACGGGACGGGGTCCTGCAGCAGCGGCAGCAGCGGCAGCACGGCTGGCCCAAGTCATGGGCTTAGGAGGGCCAGTAGGCTCAGGCGCAGGAGTTTCAACCTTGGCCGGGGTCGGGGCTGGCTCCTTGGGCTTCTCCTCCTCCTTGATCACTTCCTCGGCGACCTGCTCCACAACAGGTTCAACGGCGGGGGCAGCAGGAGCCTCGACAACGGGCTCGGCCTCGGTATGCTGGCCATTGATAGGGGCCTTTTCAGCGACCTCGGAGATGAGCTTCTGCTCAACAGGGGCAGCCTCGACGACAGGTTCGGGAGCCGTCTCGGGAGCCTCGGCGGCGGGAGGGGCGGGTTGCTCCTCAGCCTCCTGAGTCTCCGGCTCATCTTGCTCGTCAATGTATCGCAGCATGTCGTTGAGAACGAAATATCCAGAGGGCTGCTGGGCGAGGACAAAAGTTTGGACAAACTTTCTGGGCTCGGCACCCTTGTTGGAGGTCTCGCCAATGACCTGGATGACAATGCTCTCGTCGGAAGCCTGGGAATCGACGTTGGAGACGCGAACCTTGCAGTCCTGGAAATCGAGGGACTTGAGACGCTCTTGAATAGCCTATGGACGCAACGCTAAATTAGTGCCATTGTTCGTTGAGATCGAATTACGACGGCGAGAGGCTGCAGTACCTGACGACCAACAGAGACGTTGGAAACCTCGGCCTCCTTGCCACAAACCAACTGGGATCGCTTGCTGTAGAAGAGCTGTGTGCCGGGGGTTAGCTCGGTTCGCTTTGGGCAGCGTAGCCAGATGGACTCACGTGAAGCTTCTCAGGAGACTTGCTCAGAGTTGTGTAGTACTGTTCGACGAAGTACCAGCCAACCTCGTCTTTGGCCAGGTTGCTGTTGTCGTTTGAGGAGGTGATCTGGTCAGCAGCGACCTTGTGCTGGTCCTGCTGAGCGAAGCTGCCGTTGGTAGCCATGGTGATGTGCGTGTGTGTGTGGTGCGAAGGGGATGCACTGCGGTTGTGTGGAGGACGGCGATATCGGCACGAAGGGGGAATGCGCAAAACAAGGATCCCAAGTTGGGTGCAAATTTGGAGGTGAGTCGAGAGAAGTTGGTCGCAGGCTGGGCCTAGATGGATTCTTGACACAGTGTCGAATGGGGTGATGAATGCTTCTGCCTGGGATGCCAAACAGGAAAAAAAGAGTCGGCTTGAGAGAAGCAAGACCAGAGGGAGGTTTTCGAGAGGAGAGAGAGGGTTTGGGGTGAGGAAAAAGTAGTTAAACTTTTGCGTGATAGGGGTGAATCGAGGGTGGATTCGTGTGAAGGATAGAACGAGGAGGAAGGGAGATGGAAACAAAAGCTTCGTTTGGTTGATGAAGTGTGTCGTCGAGAAAGATCTTGGGGTTTTTGGTGGGCAAGAGGAGAGAGGAGAGGGTGGGTTTTCTAGGTTTACTTTATTAGGTAAGGTGGTAAAGGAAGTACAAGTTTTGGGCGGCAAGAAAAAAAAAAGGAAGGCAACTTGATCACTGTGAGGGAGGGTTGGTCCGTGCGTTGCCACTTTATTTAGTAGTCACAGACGTTGCACCTTGGCTGCCTTGAACAACCATGGACCAAAGAGCAAACATCTTGATACGGATTGCAAGCACATATATTGGTTTGACAAAGACCAGTATTGGATTATGCGGTGCTACGGTATTCTTCGCAAATATTATTTTACCAAGGCAATGAGCAATTCTCGCTGCACAACTGGCGCCATCATCGTCGCACCTCCTCTGCGCTGAAACTTTGTCCAACTTTGTCAAGTCACCAAATCCATTTTCAGTCGCCACGTTGGACCAAGAGGCGTCGGTTTTGATTAACCTGTGACATCATCCGAATCCATCTTCTTCGGCACCAATTACAATTGCACAGCATACAGCTACCCCAGGCTTGCATTAGCCACGCCGCCACGGCCGCACCGCCACGGCCGCACCGCCACGAACCCTCAACTTATCACCACCAGTTAGGCTGATGATATTGTCAGCCAGGGCCATCTCGGACTAGGTGGGCAAAGTTGAAGACGGAAAATACAAAATGCCGATTCCGTCATCATCTCAATTCCTACCTATTAACTCTGCTTATTCCCAGTTCCGCACCGTTCGTGATGTTTCCGGTAGGGCGCACGCTACTTGTTATCTTGTCCCCACGTTGAAGGCGGGGATGGATGGATGTACTAGAACCATGACATCGCCGGTGGCCGTCATCTCCCGCGTCCTCACAATCAGAAACTAGAGATTAAACACATAGCAATACCTCATTCACCAAAAGGCAGTCACCCAATGGCGTCCAAGCTATCTCAAATCGTGGCTCAACACAGGCCAGACCTGGGTCCTCTGCAGGAGCTGTACAAGTACCTACACCAGAACCCGGAGCTCTCCAACCAAGAGTCGGAAACGGCGGCCCTGATCGCGGAGAAGCTCAGGACCACCGGGCCCGAGGACCTCGTCGTCAAAACCGACATAGGCGGTCACGGGCTCGCCGCCGTGCTCCCCAACGGCGACGGGCCGACCGTCCTCCTTCGCGCCGACATTGACGCGCTCCCCGTCGAGGAGCGCACCGGGCTCCCCTACGCCAGCACCAAGCGCATGGTGCACGCCGCCACCGGCCTCGAGAAGCCCGTGATGCACGCCTGCGGCCACGACATGCACATCACCTGCCTCCTCGGCGCCGCCGCCGCGCTCTTCTCCTCCCGCGCCACCTGGGCCGGCACCCTCGTGCTCCTCTTCCAGCCCGCCGAGGAGCGCGGCACCGGCGCGCAGGCCATGGTCGACGACGGCCTGTACACCCGCCACGGCGTGCCCGTGCCGGACGTGGTACTCGGCGCGCACGTGATGCCGTTCCGCGCCGGCGCCGTCGGCACCGGCCGCGGGGTGGTGGCCACGAGCGCGGACAGCCTGGAGGTGACGATCCACGGGCGCGGGTCGCACGCGAGCATGCCGCACACGGCGGTCGACCCGGTCGTGGTGGCGGCCAGCACGATCATGAAGCTGCAGACGCTGGTCAGCCGCGAGACGGACCCGGCGGACGCGAGCGTGGTGACGGTGGCGACGGTGCAAGCCGGCGACGCGGAGAACGTCATCGCCGACGAGGCGGTGCTCGGCATCGACACGCGCTCCACCACCGCCGCGACGAGGGAGCGCATGATGCGCCGCATCAAGGCGGTCGTCGAGGCGGAGTGCGCCTGCGCCGAGGCCCCCCGGGGGCCCGAGTTCAGGACGACAAGGTCCTTCCCGCTGACGGTCAACGACGAGGAGACGACGCGGAGGATCGAGGAGACGTTCTCAGTGCACTTTGGGGAGGGGAGGGGCGAGTACGACAGGAACATGCCGCGCCTAGGTGGCAGCGAGGACTTTTCCATACTGGCCACCGCGGTGGACAGGCCGTACTGCTTCTTCATGTACGGCAGCATCGAGGAGTCGAGGTGGGACAGGATCGAGGCCCAGGGCACTATTGCCAAGGACATCCCGGCCAATCACTCGCCGATGTTTGCGCCTGCCATAATGCCGACATTGCAGACGGGACTCGACGGTTACGTCCTCGGTGCGTTGACGTTCTTAGGCAAAAAGTAAACGTAAGCTGGTAGTAGATTTGCGTGTGTATATGTTCGCGGCGCTAGAACCCTGATGGCCTCCTCTCGCGGGGCAATCATTGAAAATACTTTTTGCCGTATGTTTATACTTGTCATCTTTCTTTTTGCTCTTGTATTTCTTGCTATTTTTAATGCTCTAAATCATAATCTAGTCGCTCTCTCTGGTTTCGCAAAAACAAACAAGTTAGAAAAGGTCCAACAAATCCCGTTTATGCCCCAGAGCCATCCTTCTCATGCTTCCAGAAGCAGTACCTGGCCGTGGTGACTTCTTTCCAGTAGCGAGCCGCCGTAAAGACAGCGGCAGGTCCGAACATCGCAACTGAGATCAAGGACGCGAGTCCCGCGCGGACTGCACTCCACGTCGTCGCGTAGCCCTGCGCCCGGGTGCTCACGATGCTTGTCAGAGCGCCGCCGACGAGACTGCCGGCCAAGACGAGTGCCTCGCGGGCCCTAAACAGATCCAAAACCTCGCTCGCCTGCGCCGAGCCTCTCAGCCACGGCAGCACGACCAAGCCCACGTGTGCGGCGGCCGCGGCGGCCGTGACGACGGCGTACAGGGCCTTGAGCGACGGGAGGTCGCCGTTGTGGACGTCCAGGAAGCCCTCCTTATCGTTCTTCAGGGCCTGCTCGTCCTTGGTCCGCGCGTAGAGGGCTTGCGTGACGGGTGCGACCAGGAGCGGCGCGAGTCTCCAGAGACTCGCCGCCGAGGCCGGGTGTTGGGTCCGCGCGGCGACGCAAAAGGCAGCCGCGGCGACGGCGAAGCTGATGACGACGGCGGGCGCGAGGGACTTGATGACGGCTGGCCGCACGGGACGCCCGACCATGATGTTGGCGACAGCGCCGGTGTTCTTGAGCTCGGTGAGACCGAGGTAGGCCGGGACCACGGCGGTGGCGCCGAGGACGTCGGTGGCCACGGAGTAGAGTCCAGTGCTGTACAGGAGTTAGGGGATCCAAGGTGAAATACGAAGGATGCCTCGGATATGCAGGCCGACTTACTATTTCATCAGCGGGCCGAGCATGGCCTGTCTGTTGCAACGGCGGTATCTCTCGAGTGTCCAGTAGATGGTCACTGTGGTGAGGAGGGAGGTGCTGTACAGGGTGGATGTTGCGGTGCCCCTAGAACCTAACCACGCATCTTGTCCGCTTCCTGTCAGATGCTGCAGAATACTTCTCGTGAACGAGGCCGGCGCGTCATCCGTCGTGCAGAGCATCCTCGCAGCAACCCACAGTCCCGCATACGCCGCCATCGCACCGGCGTTCCAAAGGCCGCTGTCGATGTTCTTTGCCGGCAGCTCGTCGGCGAACGGTATAAAGTGTGGCCGGTGCGGCAGCGGGAGCTTGTCCAGCCGCGCCGTGTTGAACATGATGGCGCGGTTCACCTCGTGCTTGGCGTCAAGAGAGAGGGACCCGGCCAGGAGCGGGAAGAGGCGGTTGAAGACGCCGTTCTGCATCGCCTGCGACTCCTGCATCTCGAAGGCGTCGCTCCGCGAGTACTCGACGTGTGTCTGGCGAGCGGTCTCGGTCTCGCGGAAGGCGGACTCGAGCTCCGACTTTGAAATCCGGTCGCCGAGCTGGTCCAGCCGTCGGCTGAGGGCGTTTACCAGGGCGGCGGCGTCCTGGATGGCCATGTTGCACCCCTGACCTGTGATGGGAACCATCTAGGAGAGATTTGGATTCAGTCTCAATATTTAAAGCGGAACTCGGCAAGGGGGGATAAAGATGTATACCTTATGCGCAGAGTCTCCCACGGTGACCAGTCGGCCAAAGTGCCATGTGTCGAATACCCAGTTCTGCAGCGGCAGCATGCCGTTGGTCTCGCTGCTGCCCTTCCATAAGTCGCCGAGGGTGACGCCGGTTACCACCTCGTCGTCGAAGCGCTTTTCTACGAGCGCGTCCATCTCGGCCTGGGTGTATCGAGGCGCCTTGCTTCCCTTGATGGGCTCTGGAAGTCTCTCCATCAGACCCCAAAATATACGGCCCTCGGCATTCCCGTATGTGAGGTACGACCGGCCTTGGTTGGCTGCCATTGCGAGCAGGCGAGGCGGGAAGGGTTTGTCAATGTATGCTATGCCGAACAAGGTTGCATATTGGATCTCGACATCTGTGCGTCCGTTAGTAGAGAGAGGTAAATAGAGAAAGAGAGAGAAGAGCTACTGCCTATGGAGCAAAAGGAGGGACTACCTACCGTCTTCCTCAGTGACGAGTGGATGATTCGGAGATGCCTTGGCGGCCATGCGTCGCATTTCCTTGCGCACGATGCTGTGGACGCCGTCGGCGCCGATGACGATGTGCCCTGAATAGACGTCACCATCTGTGGTGATAACATCCACGCCGGTCTCAGTCTCGACAATTTGGCCGACTCGTTTATTCGTAAGGATCTTGGACTGATCTCTGAGATTGTTGAAGAGCACGTTGAGCAAGTGTTGTCTGTGGCAACTACACGTCACGTAGCCATATCTAGATAACTTCTTGTTTAGTTTTTTTTTTCTTTTGAACTTCATCAAGGTAGAAGCAAAAATAGAGAATGTGAAGGTGTCTGTACCTCTGGTTAAAGTGCTCGGCGGTCGCGGGCGAAAACATGGTTACAGCATCAACGGTGACGCTCAGATCGTCAACCTCGTCGGCGCCGGCGTAGAAGGCGTCGAGGCAGCCGAGCTGATCTAGGACACGGAGAGAGTTGGACAGGAAGATGCCGGTGCCGATGCGCGGGGTGATGTCGGCGTGGGCTTCGAGGAGGATGTAGTCGATCTCCAGCTGCTCGAGCATGTTAGCGAGGGCCAGGCCGGTAGGGCCACCGCCGACGACGACGACTTTGAAGTTGTATTTGGGCATTAGGGTGGCTTGTAGATGTTGTAGGATGAATTGGACTCGAGTAAAAGTAGGGGTTTAGGGAAAGTTAACGGTCTAGATGTATGATATGTTGAGGCGTAGTTGATGTACGCATGTACGTGCACCCGGCCAAGGGCTGGCAAGATATACGAGCAGAAGAGAACGAATGTATCAGACTATACGCAGTACATTTAAAATATGTTTTTGGCAGCAGTGATTATGGGATTTTCTACAGGTCATCTTTGTCGATGTTAAACGGCATATCATCAGATATCCTAAAGCGGTAGGCATACTAAACGATGCTGGTCGGGGGTGTAAGCATGGCCGGTACAGGGTAGGCTGGAGGAGACCTAGATGGAGATGGGAGGAGAGATGGCGAGCACTACTTCAAGCTGGCTGTGAGTTACTCAGTACCGAATAAATCACTGATACTTTGTCTCGGAAATATTTGAGATTTCTTAAGCCCCTTGACAATGAATAATAATGACCTGTGACTCCCACATTTCCGGCCCGGCTGGTGCGCCACCCATCATTCACCACCCTTGAATCGCATCGAGCGATTCGAGGATTTAATAACCCCGAAATCTCACAAGCCCCCAGCTCGGGCATATTTTTACTGGTCTCTAGGCCCGCTGCAGTTTAGTAAACCAGGCACCTGCCGGGGCATGATACCTCACTGCTTACTCGCTATACTGCAACGGGCAGGTCAGCGCTGCCGCTAATAAGCCCGATCCCGCGCTGGCGTTTCGCTTCTTGCCAGGGGCAAGCCATGTCATGTCGGGAAGAAGCATCTGACTGCTGCGAGGTGAGGAGGGTAAGCATGTGTCTGTAATGTTGGACACTGCCATCATCTGCCACATCGGCGGCCTCCATTCGTCAACTACCGGGATACCACGACTAGGTACCATGGACAGATCGGGTAGCAAGATAGAGCCGCACCATTTACAGGCTAATTATTCCGTCAATGCCTTTCCAATTCCCCTCGGATCGTGGCCTTGGCATGATGCTGCCTGTGGAGAAGCCGGAAAGGCGCCCCCGGTCCAGGTATACCCAGGCAGCCATGCAGGTCTATTCCGGTGCTTCTGCGGCGAGATGCCGGCGCCGATAATGTCGATAGTCTTTAGCTGATGGCTATGTGGACGCTCATGAGGATCCCCAGGAATTAACGGTCCGGCCCGTACAAGACACCATGATAATACCATGATAATAAAAGTCCCCCCCTAGCCCACTGTCCTGGCTGCCTGTCAACATCTCCGAGATCTCACTGTCGTGACAAGATGATCAAGATATCTACCCTCCTGGCCTGCTCGGCCTCCCTGCTGGCCTCCTTGGCTGCTGCTCTTCCTGCTGCTGGAGAGTCTGCCTCCCTCGAGGAGAGTCAATCCGCCTCGTCCTGGTTCCTGCCCAACCTCGATCATACCTCGGGTCCGGTCCGAGGCTACGTGCCCAACCTGCCGACCTACGACTATCCTGTCTACAAGGCTGTCAAGTCTGGCGACTCTCAGGGTCTCGCCAATGCCATTACTGCCGACGGCCCCAGCGGTAACCGCAACAACTGCTGGCTCGCGGGCCAGCCTCGTGTCATCTACCTCGCTCCGGGTAAGTCGTCTCTATAACGAATTGTCTTGTTTCAGTCATGTCTGTCATGCTGACCGGCACCCACCCTACCAGGCACATACACGCTCTCGTCTACTCTCTACATGTACACCGACACCGTCATCATCGGCGACGCCTCCAACCCGCCCGTCATCAAGGCCGCCTCTGGCTTCAACGGCGACTACCTCATCGTCGGCGGCCAGGGCGATGGCCCTGACCGTCCCTGCGGTGGTTTCGGCGGAGAGACGCACTTCTCCATCATGATCAAGAACGTCGTCCTCGACACCACGTCCAACGCCGGCAAGAACAGCTTCACCGCGCTCAGCTGGGCCGTCGCACAGAACTGCGCCCTGGTCAACGTCAAGATCAACATGCCCCAGGGCGTCCACACGGGCATGATCATGGGCCCCGGGTCGACCATCTCCGCCTCGGACGTCTCCTTCACCTACGGCAACGTCGGCCTGCACTGGTCCGGCCACCAGCAGGGCCAGCTCAAGGGCATGCGCTTCGACAAGTGCACCACGGGCATCCTGATCGACGGTGGCAACACCATCAGCGTCCTCGCCCCGTCCTGCAGCACCGTCGGCAACTGTATCGTCCTCAACTCGGGCAACCCCTGGGTCGCCGTCATCGACGGCCAGAACACCAACTCGGGCGACTTCTTCACCAGCAGGGTCCAGTACCCCAACTTCATGCTCGAGAACATCTCCAACGACAACGGCAACATCAACCTCGTCACCGTCAGCGGTACCGTCAAGGTCGGCGGCAAGAGCAGTCTCGGCACCTACATCTACGGAAACACCCGCGGCGCCAACCCCATCTACCAGAGCAACCCGACGGAGAGGGCGCCCAATAGGCCCGCCGCGCTGGCCCCCCGCGGCAGGTACCCGTCCCTCAGCGCGCCCCAGTACGCCGACAAGAAGATCTCCGACGTCGTCAACCTCAAGGACGTCAACCAGAACGGCGGCTTCAACCTACACGGCGACGGCAGCGTCGACGACACCAAGGCCCTGCAGGGCGCCCTCGACACGGCCGCCAGCAATGGCAAGATCGCCTACCTCCCCTTTGGCATCTACAAGGTGACATCGACCATCACCATCCCGCCCGGCACCGAGCTGTACGGCGAGGCCTGGTCGACCATCTCCGGCTCCGGGAGCGCCTTCGCCTCCGAGTCCAACCCGACCCCCGTCGTGCAGATCGGCAGCACGCCCGGCCAGCGCGGCACCGCCCGCGTGCAGGACGTCCGCCTCACCGTCCACGAGGCCCTCGCCGGCGCCATCCTCCTGCGCGTCAACATGGCCGGCAACAGCCCCGGCGACGTCGCCATCTTCAACTCCCTCAACACCATCGGCGGCACCCGCGACACCAACGTCGACTGCAGCAGCGAGGCCAACTGCAAGGCCGCCTACCTCGGGCTGCACCTGGCGGCCGGCTCGTCCGCCTACGTCGACAACTTCTGGTCGTGGGTCGCCGACCACGCCGTCGACGACAGCGGCAAGGGCACCCGCGCGGCCGTCAAGGGCGGCGTGCTCGTCGAGTCCGCCGCCGGCACCTGGCTCGCCGGCCTCGGCTCCGAGCACAACTGGCTCTACCAGGTCTCCTACCGCGACGCCGCCAACGTCCTCGTCGGCATGCTCCAGAGCGAGACCAGCTACAACCAGGCCACCCACGGCGCCCCCGTCAACCCGCAGCCCTACTCGACCCTCGCCGCCTCCGACCCGGACTTTTCCTGGTGCGGAGGGGGGGACGGCACCTGCCGCATGAGCCTCGGCCAGTTCTACTCGGGCAAGAACACGGCGGTGCACCACTACGCGGCGGGAAGCTGGAACTTCAAGTCGCTGACGGGCGTCGACCAGGGCATCATGAACGTCATCCGCGACGCGGTCGGCGACGCCCACCTGCACGGCTTCTGCGCGGGGCCCAACGTCAAGGAGATTATGCGCCTGCCCAACGGCAGCCAGTTCGGCAACGGAGGGAACGATGGGTACGGCGGTTCTTGGGAGACCTTGGTCGCCGACATTGCCAGCCAGTCCTGAGCTGGACGAGTTTAGTCGCGTGACTTTTCAAGTATATATATTTTTGAGTCTTTTTCCTGCGACATTCGCTATTTGTATACATCACCCTGTAGATGCCCATGACGTTGAAAAAAAAAAAAAGAAACCATCCAAGCCAACGCCGATACAAAGAAATTTTGACCCCCACATGAATGTCATGCCAGCGATGATGCAGTGATTTATCATCTCGCGAGAAGTTTTCTAACTTTTTAATTGCCTGCCTTTTCCCCTTAGCATGTCGAGCTTCTTAGTCCTCTTCCATGGCAGATTCCTCAGCAGGCTCCTCCACCTCGGTGACTTCGCCAGTGGCCGCACTCCAGTACCTGCGAAACCCCACGTTAGCCAAACTTGCACCATCACAGCATTGCCAATGAACGGTGTAAAGTCAAAAGGAGAGGACCGGGGGCGGGGAAAGGGGCGGGGGGGGGGTTAGCACTCACCCCAGGACCTTGATCTGGAACTTGCTCAGGCAGACGTCGAACATTTTGAGCAGCCTCGTCTGCCTCGAGTCCAGGACATCCCCCTTCTTGCAAACCACATACGGCTCGCCGGCCTGCTCGCCCTCCTCGTCGCTGCCGAGCACGACGCGGCCCTTGACCATGCGCACGGGCACGCCGAGGCGGCGCAGCTCCGGCTCGAGGGTGTGCGGCACGAGCACGTCGTCCTCCGCGGGGACCTCACCGGCGGTGGCGTAGACGACGCCCGGGGGGATGGAGAAGGCGCGCGGGGCGATGGCGCCGGCGCGCGCAAAGTCGACGGGCGCGACGTCGCCGAGGTAGGCGAGCACGGAGGCGGCGTCGCGGTTGGTGAAGACGAGGCCGACGCTACCGGCGAGGAGCCGCGCGAGGGGGTCGATGCCCGGCGCGACGGCCGTCTCGGGCGTCTGGCCGAGGGCCTTGGCCATGAGCTTGGTCTTGCCGAAGAAGAGTCTGCGCGCGACAGCTCGCGGCGGACGGCCTTGAGGTTGTTGTTGCGCATGTTGTCGACGTTAAACACGATGCAGTGTTGGTACTCGGGGACGGCGGCGCGGATGTTCTGGAAGAGCAGGTCCTTTTGGCCGCGGCCCTTCTTGCTGACCTGCGTCAGGTTGAAGGTTTTGGAGCGTTTCGACTTGGGCATCTTGGCGGTTTGTGTTGTTTGGTCGTATGTCCTGATTCGGAAAAGGGAGCTGTGGGATCAAGTAAAATACTTCCCCTTGTCGTCGTCGTTACAATGGCGGTGTTGATGGCGAATGGCAAGAAAAAAGTAATGGGCAAAAAGTCGACTGATAAGATAAGGCAGGAAAAAAATTCGGGGTGGTGATTTTTCTGGCCACGCAAAAATTGCACTGGGGTCCGACCCCGCTAACTAACTGGTGAGTTACTCGGTAGGTACTTGTAGGTAAGTTGGCTATAGGGTAGGTATTCATATCACGTACCTCTAGAACTGGCGGAAATGGCGTCAGTCGGCCGTTGGCCTCAGCATCACCGCCTTACAGACCAGAACCTTCACCCCAGAGCAGCCCTGACGATTTTATGTTGCTGCGTCCAGCTAAATCACTGTCTGTTATGCCAAATCGAGATAGAAGATGAAAGCTCAGTTATAGCATGTCTGCTATTGTATGACTTCTATCGCTCTCTCTCTCTTCGCAAACATGTAAAGGTCTATCTACCTGATGGGCGGCGCCAGTCCGTTTCATTTTTGAATCCATCATCTTCTATCACGACGTAGACATTGACGTCCGCTTTCACAGATGCGGCTCGGGTTGCAAAATCAGCGAAGTCCGCGCGCTCCTCTTCCACAGCCAATGCTTCTTGCAAGGGTTGCAGTATTGACAGATGTAAAGGGAGTACTCTCCTTCTTTGGCCGCATCTAACTGCTATCAGTCGGTTAAACCAAGAGACATTGTTGGTCTAGACGAAGATAGGAATGCCGACATTCGCTGGTCAAGTACTCACCATCAAAGATAGAGGTGCAAGTCCTGTCATTGCTTGACCATAAGGGGCAGAATCTATCCCCCCCCCCGATAGGGGTTTACAATCTGAAGACGCTTCGTGGATCGAGTTGCCATCCAAGCACGCTCCGTATGAGTTACTTCGACTGCAATGCTCCCGGCACCACAGGGTATTCTATGGTCACCGATGGCATCGATATTCTCATGATAAATGCACACATACAGGGCAACAATCCGGCTTACGAGGATGTCCATCAGTCCTTTAGATGGATCTATATTCCGGTGGACGACGGAGAGCTCTTGACAGAGATCAGTACATGGAGTGGTTACTATGGTGGGGGGGATATGTTTGACACCATGGTAAGTTGTATCTTTGCTGTGAAATAGCCTTTCTTACAGATGACAATTTACTACAAACCGCGGGCGGAACACCAGGTCTGCATGTTATGCTCTAGTGTTTTTTTAAACCTTCGGACCGTATGTCTGCCTCAATTACAAGATTGCGCCTCTGGTTCAACCAATGGGACTCGATACCAAGCAGGGATGTAAGATACATTGCATTTGATCACTGTCCACAGCCTGTTCTTGGCCGGTCCCATCCAACTCACTCGTACCGGTTACTCCATTTCCTGGTACTGGACCAACTGAACCATTGCATTTTTTTGCTGCGACATGGATATGTCATGGAGCTTATTATTTGCAGGAATGCGTCGGTTGATGACCACAAACATATCCTGGGAATGCAACTTCGGTACGGAGGGGGTCACGGGGCATGCGTAGGCGGGTTTCGCTTTGACAAACTCATTGAAACGATTCAAGTTGAAGGAGCCACGGTCTTCTATCTAGGTAGCTAGAGGAACAAGCTGGGACTCCCTTGTGCAACGAAGATTACGATAGCTCGCCCGACGAACAACGAGGGTGACGTATCTTGGATAGAGATTCGCGAGAGTGGAAGCCTGGAATGGTTTTCCTCACTGCGTCAAACTCGAGTATATGTAGTATAGCTAATTTAGCTTCTCACGAGTATAATAATAGACGCCTCGATGACGATAGTACCAGGCTAGCTTTCCTTTGTACTGGGCGGTTTTCCAATCGCCGTGCTCGATAGTCTTGAGGCCCCTTTCCGTCTGGATCTCCTACTAATTCGGCCGGAACACATGGATACTCTTGCGAAACTAGGTCTTTTCCCATCTCTCAGGCTTCTTCTGGGCCGCGGTTGATCCTCCATCCTCCTCGCCACAGTCCTGCTCCTGGCCATAGCCCTGCCCATGCTCGTTGCTCGTTGCTCTCCAAGCCCTCCACAGGAGGCGTCATCGTCCCGTCATGTCCCCTGTCTGCGGGGAAAGAGACCGGCGGCATATTCGGCTGGCCGTGACTTCCAAGGGACGTGGAAGATTGCGCGGCTTGCTGGGACATGACCTCTGAGAGGTAGGGCATGCATCCCTTGCTGCGTTTCCTGCACGCTACTCTGGCCGTCGTCTCCGGCGTAAAACCCGGACCATTTGCTGTAGCAGGTGAGGTTGGCTTGGGACGATGGGCGCCTCTCCCAGCGGGACCTTCTCCTTCATATACTGGATAGCGTCCCGCAGGGAATATCCCAACCCCGAGTCAACATCCACGAACCCGCTCGGTGTGAAAGGCGTGCCCGTTGTTGTTTCTGGTGTAAACGGCCTGGGCTTCCGGTCCCGGCGGGTGACTTCCCACACGCGAAACGTGGTGCCGACAGTTGTCAACGTATATATATATATTAGCTTCTCCCTGTCGATGCACCGAATGGCGGCGTCGAGAGCTTGATCTTCGGCCGCTCTTGCGCTTCCCTTTGGACGCTTGCACTCGTTCCAGACCATGGACGAGAGATTGTGATGGTTTGGCTCGTATCGCTTCACGACGTGGTCGACCCTCCTCAGGCTGCCGTCCGGCGACATCTCGCTCGTGACGGCGTATGTCTCGCGCTCGTAGTCGTTCTGCACAAACTCTCGCTGCAGCCACACCTGCCAGAAGGCGGATGCCCCGTACTCGATGTTCTCCGAGACAAGTTCGCAGTACTTGCGGACTATTCCGGTCTGAGGCACGACGCTCATGGTTTTCCGATTGTATTGGTGGTGATTGATGATTGAAGGGGGGGGAGTACAAGACATTCTCTCTTCACAGTCAAGAGAGAAAAAGCGAATACGCCACTTCCAATAAGTAAAGCATCACCCTCGTCGAGTCTACGTGTGACACTTTTATATCATGCTTAATTATACAACACTGCCCGGACAGCCCAAGGAAGAGCTAACTACCTGCTTACTACCTGGAATTTTAATAAACCTCCCTTAAATTCTCTCTCATCCAGCTTCGGGTCGGAGAAGCACTTTGCCAACTTTTTCTGTACACTCGAGGCCAGAGTCTGCTTACCTCTCTGCCTTACCTGAAACCCTTCAAAGGAAAGCCGGTTCCGTGATACGTTTTGATTCTTTTTTTTTCCTAAGACAGTAATTTTCTCTTGATACTTCCCCTTAGACGCCGTGGTTTGAAATGCATATTATGGAACAGAGATATAGAGACAAGATAAGGAACGGTTACCTTCCCATGATACCACCGGGCCGCCATGAACACGCATCGCTTCCTCGCCTACCAAACAAGGACGAATGGATGCAAGCGGTGTCGTATCGAAGTAGCCTATAAGAATACGAGGCCGTTTAGTATCTGCGGATCTTCCGGGGATCCTCGTAGCCGCCGCCGTCATATCCTCGCTTCCGGTTGTCTTCGTCACGAGGCCGGTCGAAGTCTCTGTCCCGCTCGCGAAACCCACCGTCGCGTCGGCCGATTGGCTCGTTGTTGCTCCCGGTACGACGGCCACCGTCACGATCACCGAATCGGCCGCCATCGCGGGGCGGTCTGTCGCCTCTGTCGTGGTGGTCGCGGTCGCGGTTACGGTCGCGATCCCGGTCTCCGCGCCGGTCATCGTAGCGGCTGCCCCGGTCGAATCCGCGGTCGCGGTCGCCATTGCGCCTATCAAAACCGCCAGGGCCAGATGGCGCGTCTCTGGGCGCGAATCCGTTTCTGTCACCGCGGTCACCGCGGTCACCACGAGGACCGCCAAAGTCGCGATCGCCGCCTCGGAAGCCCCCACCACGACCACCGAAACCACCACGGAAGCCGCCCCGGCCGCGACCGCCTTCGAAGCCGCCTCTACCGCCGCGGAAACCACCACCAAAGCCGCCAGGACCACCAGGGCGAGCGGGTAGAGCTTTCGTATACCCTCGGCCTCCCAGACCACCACCCAGTCGTCTTGGCTTCCAGCCCTTGACAGTTCGGCCACGCTCGACGTCTACCTTGATCCGTCGATCTTTGATGCGGATTCCATCACAAGCATCCAGGGCCGCTATTCAGCATCGCGCAACAGAGCGCAATTGTTAGCAATGCTTACCAGCGAAATATAGTACTTGAAGGATGGGAAACAGAATGTGCGCTGAGACAGGCAAGCTTGAGGGCCGTGAAAGTCTCGTCGCGCACACAGGGTAGAGAGGGCAGACTTGAGGGCCACAGCTCTGGGAAATGCCGATATAATGGTCCTAAAGGATGAAAGCAATGGGGAAAATTACCTCTCATGTCTTTTTCGCGTTCAAAGACAACAAATGCATAGCCACGGTGTGGCTTCTTCTTCTTGTTTCCCTTTTCGGCCGCGTGCGTGTCGACGACAATGCGAGTCTATAGAACAAGTCAGTCAGTATTCATTGATCCGGCAACAGCACTACCACAATACTTACGCGCTCGATGGGTCCGAAGCGGCCGAATTCGCGCTCCAAATCACGCTCGTCAGCTTCGTAGCTTAGGCGCGCAACAATAAGGGTCTTGAACGCATCACCGCGAATCAGAGGATCCTCATTGGGTTTATCTGTGCAGAAAACAAGTTAGCACTTCTCTAGTGAGAACAACTACGATACAACTATCGCCACATACAGTATTTGGGCGCGTTTGCGGATAGCTCCTCGGCAGCCTCCTTCTTCTCGAGCTTCTTGCGATCGCGCGCTTCCAGCCAGCTCTCTGTCGGAACGCTGGTATCGTTCTCCTTGTATGCCTCCAGGTCAGGCAGGAAAGCAGCCAGTCCGTCGATGTGTGCCGTTTTGCGCTTCTCGGGGGCATGGTCGGGGGGCTCAACCCATCGCAGCGGCGGCCGCGGCGCAAACAGCGCCAGCAAATTCGGTGGGAGCTTGTCCGTCATGGCTTGACGCGAAGCAGCAGAACAGAAGAAACCGCTGATGAAAAAGGGGCTCGACCGTAACAGGCAACAGGCTAGTATGAAATGAGGCTGTTGGGTGATGAAGGTCGACAAGATACGCGTCGGCGCAAACTTGGATGGGAAAGGGCTGAAGAGGGCGGTTGCCTGGCGAAATTACTTGCCCTCCAGGCCTTTCCGTTTTAATGGTTTCAGTGGGTGACACAGCGCGGCAACTGCTGTGAGCTGGCAGAAGTAATTTTGCCGATACTGTGCCGCATTTTGCGCTAGTCTGCTTCGGGCGCCCCTGTGGCGGATGCTCGCAGGCCTGATTTTTCGTGTGACGATGAATGGTCCACGCGAGCGACGGCTGCGGAAAAGAGACAAACTTTCATGTACATGCACACACACAGCTCAGCCCACCATGACCATCAAGGGAATCAAGTCAATCGCGAGGGCGCATGTAAGCATTGCAACACCCAGCCGACGAAACACCGCGCAGCTCGGCGGCCCGCTAACATGGCACGCAGAACGGCGTCGGCGCCTTCATCCTCCAATGCAAGAAGATGGACTTTCACTACTGCGACTGGGCCGGTAGCTCCAAGGGAATGAAGTACGTTGCATCCAGTCCGACACCCCCGACCACTCCTCCTTTCTAACGCAATTACTGCAGCGGCTTCATCAAGTCATTACTCCCCAAGATCGCCGCCTCCAACCCTCAGGTCGAGTTCGCCGTCTCGCCGCGCCCCGGACGACACCCCGTCATCATCGGCCACTATATCAACGGCCGCACGAAGCCCATCTGCGTGCGGAACCTGTCGCCGTACGAGATCCTGCAAAAGGTCGAGCTGCTGCGCGACGCCAGCGGCAACAAGAACCGCCGCACGAACAAGGCCGTTGTCAGCACCAAGCCCAGCGTTAGAGGCATCTGGTCGCCGTACCACGGCAAGGGCATGGTTGTATAGGGAGGTGAGGAGACAGCCCTACCAAGAAGGGACGGGGCTGGAGAGGCTTCGTGCCGTGTATATTTTTAACTTGTATTGAGACTTATTGTGCGCATGATCAAGCGGTTTTCGACGTGCGTCACTGGAGCATTGGGATATCCCCTAATTATATAGGGTCGAACGACTGTTCACATCTACACATTTAGCAATGAATTTCCATATCACTTTTCAATCAACAACAAATAACATGAACTTTTTTTTATTCAATGCGGCCGTGATCTTGACATGTAGGTAGGCAGTTATTTAGCAGTCCACATGTGTGTGCAATTTACAACTTGCTGGAGTTGATGATGTCGACGACTACGAGAACAGTTAGCAGTGCTTTCCACCTTTGGAAGCAGAAGAAACTTACAGGCGGGCTTGAGAGAAGCACCGCCGACGAGGAAGCCGTCAATGTCAGCCTGCTTGCCGAGCTCGGCGCAGTTCTTCTCGTTGACGCTACCGCCGTACAGGATGCGGGTCTCGTCGGCGACCTTGTCGCTGACGTTGGCCTTGAGCCACTCGCGGATGGCCTTGTGTACCTCCTGGGCCTGCTCGGTGGTGGCGACCTTGCCGGTGCCGATGGCCCAGATGGGCTCGTAGGCGATGACGATCTTGGACCAGTCGGCGACCTTGGCCTTGAGGGCCGCGAGCTGCTTGCTGACGACGGCGATGGTCTTGCCGGCCTCGCGCTCCTCGAGCGACTCGCCGCAGCACCAGATGACGCTCACGCCGTTCTCGGTGGCGTACTTGGTCTTGGAGGCGACGAGCTCGTCGGCCTCCTTCAGGATGGTGCGGCGCTCCGAGTGGCCGAGGATGGCCCACTCGACCTTGCTGTCGAGCAGCTGCGAGACGGACAGCTCGCCAGTGAAGGCGCCGTTGGGCTTGTCGTAGACGTTTTGCGCGGCGACGCCGATCTCGGGGCGCAGCGAGTCGCGGACGAGCACCAGGTGGATGGCGCTGGGGGAGACGACGACCTCTGCGGCACTTGCGTGGTTAGGCTCGGCGGCGGACGGACGCGGGGGGAGGGGGAGGTAGCAGGAGAGTCGACGTCGACGTACCGACGGAGGGGTCGAGGTTGGCCTTGTTCAGGTTGTGGACAATCTCCTTGATGGACGACACGGAGCCGTTCCTACATCGAAGAAGCCAGCGGTTAGCATTTCATCAACGGAATCCGACTACTCCTCCATAAGGGTAGCAGATGGGCGGGCAGCCGAGCTAGGCCTCGTACATCTTAAAGTTGCCGCCGACGAAGAACTTGCGAGCCATGTTTGCGATTGGTCTTGAGGCGAGTATTTTGAAAGAGGTTGAGAAGGTCTAGACTAGAAGATAAACAGTACAAGAATGGCGGATAGGATGATAGAAGAAAAAGCGGCAGCGATGATAAGAGCTCGAGTTATGGCGGAAGAGGTGGGGAGGGGCAGCCAAAAGTCGCGCGTTGAGCCTTGGAGGGGTTAAGCTCTTCCCACTGCACCACTGGAGGGTAACCTTACAACTACCTCGTAAGTTGACTGTAAATCAAGCAAGGGATTTGGAAAATCGAGAAAGTGTCGAGCTAACACAGTCAAAGTCCTCATCTCTACAATCATCACCGTCATTATCGGCAATTCTGTGCTTGAATCAAAGCGCTCCGGCAGTTCTGACCGACTTGTGCTGTCGAGGCCCTTCAGGTATCCTGAGTCAGTGCCTGCTATCCTTGTGCATCTCTACCCTACCAAGTCAACTACGATTAAATCCTACTCGGGGTGGCTGTGACTTGTTCGGCGGCTTCGTCTTACTCCCTTTGGATATTTAATTCACAAACACTTCACCAGAAATGGCGCATCCAGACATTGGCAAACGTTATTCAAGCAAGGTCATTAAAATACAAATTTGAAATAGACAAAGGAGCGTCGCACTTCATGAAGGGAGAGTACGAGCACTGGTGCCGCGCTGCCATGAAAGTACGGCGCTGACTTGACTCTCCCATCGATTCACACAAAGGAACTTTGTCAAAAAGAAAGAAACCCCCCAGTCATAGAACTGTCACGCAATTCCATCTCTTTCTTACTCTGCAGTGTTGCTGTCCACCTCGTGGAGTTGCAAAAACACTCTGCAAAAGTCATTCGCGTCACCGCTTCCATCCTCGGAAGCCGTGAGATAAAAGACACCGGGCATTCTCAGCAAACCGTGCACATAGGAGACCTCGGACTCCTCCAGAAGTAAGCAGAGAAGTATGAAACGATCAGAATGGATCCACACGCCTCTGCAATAACATCCAAAAAAATTGACCATGCCATGACCAGGAAAAGTGAATTGGCTTTATTCTCACTGTAGTCCAGCTTTAGGTCGGCGTCCTGATGATTGTGCAATACGGTATTGGGTAAGAGAGGGTACTTCCACACAGGTTGAGTGGTCCAGTTGCCGCTTTACTCAGTCGCCAGAGTTGTAGATCTTCTTGGAGTCGGCATCCCGCGGCAGCTTGTTGGAGGCAGACACGAGCTGAGAAGTGATCTTCGACATCTCAACGGAGCGGTTCTGCACTTCGGTGAGCTGGCTGATGTTTCTCTGGTCACTTGGCCCACCCATTCCCTGGAGAATGCCCTTGAGGGCCTGGTAGTGGTCCTGCCACTCATCCAGAAGCGGCTTGGTCGAGTTCTTGCGAGCACTCTGCTGCTGGGTTGGCTTTGTTGGCGCCTTGCGCTCAACAACGACAGGCTCCTGGACCTCGTTCTTGCGCTTGCGGCCCTTGGCAGGGTTAACAGCGGGGGCGGGGGCGGGTGCGGGAACATCGCCGACATCGTTGTGAACTCGCTTCATGTGATCGCGAAGGTTCCACTGTCTGGGGAACCCGTTTCCTTCCTGGGCTCGCTCGCAGCCTTCATGGGTGCAGAGGAATGGTTTGTTTCCGTGCCCATGTAGACCATGTGCCTCCCGCTCATGGCGCAGACGGCAAGCAGTGGAGGAAAAGCGAGCGTCCTCACAGCTGGGGACCTTGCACTTGTATGGCTTCAGATGAGAGTCGACGTATTTGCTAAATTGAAATGTTAGTACTGTGGTAATAGTAGCCCAATCAAGGAGGTCTTACTCATAGTTGCATTTAAGTTTCTCGGGTTTGTGGCTACAACCTGCCTGGCCCTCCCAGGGGCAGTGAAATAGGCCGTCCGCCCCTCGCACGGCATTCTTGTAACGGTGGTCTTCACGAGGCGAGTCCGACTCAACACTGCTGCGCTGCTGGTAGTTGGCAGACATGCCCAAGTCACCGCCAAAGGGCACCATGGTGTCTTGAACATCAGTGATGAGATGAAGAGGCTTGTTTTCGGGGCTGCCAAGACTGTGAGAATTGACGTCTGCAAAGCATATACGACGGCAGTTCGTCACATACCTTGTGGGTTCACCCATAAAAGTCATTGGTGAGTTTGCCATTGCGGCTACCCGCCACGGCTCATCGATCGTGTTCGGTGACGATGTGCGGGAAATGGAACTTGAGACGTCCCAAGAGCTGGAGGGAGAATGGGCTGGTAGTCCGTCCAATCCAATGCTGACCTGGGAAGGGGCAACGTTCATCGAGTTTATTTCCTCCACGGAAAGGGTGCAGTCGCCGTTCAGGCCAATATCAAGCCCATAGCCGGGCCAGCAGATAGGTGAGCCTACAGGCTCTGACATTTGGCATCCGGTCATGCTGTGCATGGCACCCATGACCTGGACTGTGTCATCCTGGAAACCTTGGGCTGCGGTAATAATGGGAGTAGGCTGCACGAGATGGGATCTGGCTGAGGCAGAAGAGCAGCCTGATGTGCTTGAGCTCATCCGAGACATAGCCTGGCTCTTGGAGGTTGGAACTGGTCTGACAGTATTCCATGTTGTTTCCACCGGCTGGTGGGCGTGAGCGATCCTGGCTCCCTTGGGTGTGGTGTGTCCGGAAGTAAACATGGATTCCTCAATGTCCGCATGGTTTATTGATCCATCGTGGATCTCGGTAAGGTACTGTGAGCCATCTCCTGGCAGGCACCACGACGGGCTTGTGAGGAGATCTGTGGAGCTTTCGCCTTGGGAAAAGGCAAAGAGGGCGGCTGCTGATGAGGCAGATGTGGTAGGGAAGCTGTAGTCGCTGTATTGGGTTAGTTCGGATGTCCAGCGCCTGAAGTGAAACGAAAGGAGAGGCGTTCAAGTCGCAAAATCCAACTTTGGATCTACTTCGTCGTTAGTTTTTTAATCTCAGCTGTAGGGGTGAGGGTGAATACAAACCATGCGGTTGAGTAAAGCCTTACTCGGTATAGGAAAGCAAAAACGCCAACAAGCAAAAGAGAAAAAAGCAATGAAAAGAAAGCGAAGTCCAAAGGTGCGTATCAGGGAGGCGATCAGTGGCAGCGCAATTTCAGAGATCCAGTGCAGGTTTGAGGCAGCCGTCATGTATGAATGGTGGTCATGCAGTGAAATGAGTCGGGGTGCAAAATCCAGTGGTGGCAAACAAGCGGCAACGAACGCTACAAGTTGTCGTGGCAGAGAGCAGTCCGTGGTAGTGTGATGATTCGGTTGCATGTGGCTCCATTTTGGGGTTCTTTTGAGTAGCAGTGCAACGATCTCCAGGTGATCCATGATGTCGGGTGACGTGGCGATTTCAAAGCAGTGTCCATCTCGGAAGCGCGAGATCATTTACCTTTGAGCAGTTGATACAGTGATAATATTCAGAAGTAGTCAAACTGCGAGTCCCTATCCGTGGTCACGGATTGGATGACCCGATGCTTCAGCGGCGAAGGAGCAATGGGCTTCTCCAGATGAAAACGGTCCTTGTGCAAAGAAAAGAAAATGGTCCAAAAGAGTCCGAGTGCTGGTTCATGTCCAATCCCAAATGGCTTGATAAAACAGTGTCCAGGAGAAATGCAAATGCAAAAGAAATCCCGATCATAGTCCAGGTAGTCCATATCCGGTAAAAATCCAAGTCCTTAAGAATGTCCAGGATGAACGCGTAGATGAACGCAAAAACCAAGCGAGGAGCTCGCGGGCTAAGATGAGATCACTCGTTCGCTCAAAAAAGAAGACTCACCGTAGGCAAAAGCCAGTGTAAAGAAAGATTTCATTGATTTTGAATCCCTTGTCCGGCTCGGACAAGGCCTGATCCAGAATGTTTGTTTGTTTATCCAGGTGGGAGAAATCCAGTGTGGTTCAAGGTATCCATGGTATCCAGAGGCGCAGAAACTGAAATGATCCGAGAGTGCAAGAGAGGCATATACGCAAGCGCGTGCAGGCCAAAAGGAAATGAAAGCAAGTGAAGGAGCAAACGCAAAAGCAAAATGGATCCCGGAAATTTAGAAAAGAAAACAGTACCTGACAAGCGACTGAGCGTCTTCCAGCTCAGATTTGATGAAGCGAGGCATGGCTGCCGAGCGCGACACAAAAGCAACTGTCATTATATCCAAGGGCAAGGATAGAGAAATGGTTACACGAGTTTCCACAAGTATTGCGGACCTTGACTCGCGATGTACAGTGCAGTCTCTCTTAGTCAACTGTAGCACGGCCTTGGTGAGGAAGTGCTTGCAGGAAAGAAGAGTGAGAAGTGTGGTGGATAATGAGAGAAGAGAAGCAGGTTTTGTAGGCAAAACTTGGTTGTGTGTGGCAGTGTATAGTTGGGCATGAATCTGAGAGGGAAAGAGAAGAAAGAGTTGGGCAGCAGGGTGAAGGGGGGGCATGCGCTTTTTTAACACATTCTGAAGGAGTCATGGCTGTATTGAAAGAGACATGGCTTTGTCAACACGGCAAGTCACATTTTGCCTTTGCCAATCAATGTGCGTCGAGAGAACCAGGTTCCGACGCAGGCAGGGGCTGCATGAAGTTCTAGTGCGCAGTGGGAGCTGGCTGAGAGGCTGTGATAGGCTGCCGGGGCAGGGAGGGCGGACACAGGATGGCTGCAGCAGGGTATCATGGCTTGGCTTGGTGGAGCAAGCGAGCACTCAAAGACGGTGACGACGTGACGAGAAAGAGTGTCTGCTGCAGGACAACTCATCAGTGCAGCGCCATGTAGCCACACAACCACACCAGAAGGTGGTGGACCGGAAGAGCGGTGATACTGGACTGTCCATACGGGAGCGCCCGCGCCGGTCGCCTGCGGGCCGCTCATTAGCTGGTGGCTAGCAGGAGGAAGGCTGAGCCAATCATGCCCCAGAGCGCGGAAGAATGGCTTGCGGGAAGAGACGAGAAGGTTGTGACATGGCTGCAACACCATCAGCAAGTCAGCATCGTCGGCGATGAGCTTGCACATCCGTCCATCAGCCACGTCGACAGCTCGACAGGACAGCTGGCCAAGGGGGCAGTCTGGACCAAAGGTGCGCGGGCCGATACGGCAGCTGTCACGCTGCTTCAAGATGCGAGAGTTGGGCGCGTGGTCAGTTGACCTGCCGGCTGCGGGATGGTGCAGAAGCCGAGCATTCTTTCTCGCAGCCTCATTTTTGGGATCTTTTGTTGGGGTGCTTGTTTCCTCCTATTTTTGCTGTCGTTTTTGATGTCGTTTTTGATTTTTCGGTAAGACGCCAGGGTGTGGTGGTGTGGATGATGTGGCCACCATTATTATTAGCCAGTCAGCCAAGAGGCTCTTGGCAGCATAGTTGGTGCTCAGTCTCTCGCAAGCTGATGTCGGAGCAATGTCCACGTCGACGCACTCTTCATCAGTATACAGGATGAGCTCGTGATTGCTGTGCTTTGCTGCGAGCCAATCCCGCGTTTCGGTTTCCCACGCCATGATCATGATGTTGTCCCCATCACTTTGTCTCGTTGGGGAGAATGGGAATCAGGCAGATGGCATGCGTTACATGTACGGCGGCTTCCGACAGCTGGATGCGGATGGATGCAGAGGGTATCTTCTACCGGAGCATGCGGTGATGGGATACCGAGGTGTGGTGGCATGCGTGTTGTTAATTGAAACGTGCCTCGGAGGAAAGGGACAACGACGGGTGTGGGTGATGAATGCTGCGGCTGCGGGAAATGCCGTGATGTGCGATGTTGAGCGGGAAGGGAGAGTCTAGACGGCGTTTGCCAGGGTCAACTGCAGATGTGCCTTGCCTGACTGGAGGATAGGCTGGCTGGAGACTCCCGGGTAGGCCGTTTACACTTGGACAGGTAACCAACCCTCGCTCGCTTGTTAGCTACTATCCGTAATAAGCTCAGGTACATGCGTCGTCTTTCTGTCCGCTTGGGTAGGCCAGGTACCATCCAATCGGTACATGCCTGGGGCATCCAGGACTTCGGACAAGTTGTAAACGCTCACCGTGCCGCCTATCGCCATGGCTCGTCAACCGGACAATGCTCAATCGCAGGTCACGCCGGCATATACACAGCATGGTAATAGCCCGAGGCTGTCGCAGAACCCTTGCCCGTTTGAACGGAAAATATCTCAGGTCTCGTTTCAAAGCTCGAACGCAAAACAGACAGTGGTGTGCATTATTGGTGTCACCCTGTGTCTTGCGACAACGTCCATCTCCCATCTCCCAATTGTCGTGACGCGCCATTTATTATATCGACCCTGCGCGTGCAGGCCGGCAGGATACCCGGATGCCAGCATTCTCACCTGAGTGCCGGAATCTGAGACCTACTGCTCGCGGAAAAGAAACGTCTCGTCACATCGCACTTCCCTGGGCTGTTCGCTCCTTGGGCTGCCACTGCCATCATCATTCTAATCATATCCCCAAACTCACCCATCTAGCTACGCTCACCAGACGTCACACTGCAGCCCTCGCATCGTTGCGAAACCCGAGATTGCTCCAGGCTAGAACAGTGTCAAACTGGACCTGTGTGGACAGAGCACTCGTCGCGTAGCCAGTCAGATCACCCGAACCATCCCGCCGACGGGCGTTGGCATCGCGCACCACGCACCACGACAGCCTGCGCTCGCGCCGCCAGATGATGCACCAGGCAAACCGTCGTCATTGAGAGCCAATCCCAGATCGGCGCTGATTATGGATATGACAACACAAGCTCTTCAGACGCCATCTCCTGCTACGTAATTACGCATTCTAATCCGCTTTCGCTTCTCGCTAGCTCGCCATATCTCGGCTCTTGGTGGGACTGTGAGGCCCTCTGGCCCCTTGCTGCCCAAGCAAACCCTTTTCCCCCCTCCTCGGCACATCTTCATGTGGTACACCGCCTTTCACGCTATGCCCGCAGTCCTCCCCACGCGCTCCAGAGAGAGGGACGCCTCGACGCCACCAAGCAGGAAAAATACCGTGGTCATGCTCATTTTACCTTGGCCAGGTTCAACGGCGTCGTTTCCAAGAGCTCAGTTCCTTTCCTCTCGCGGCGGCCGGCAACGGGCTGCTGTCTGCTATCTCGGAACAACTTGCCACGCCCGCCATACTCACTTGAGACTGTGTGCCAGCCTCGCTTGCAAAAAAAAAAGTCAATCTCGCCATTTTGTCAGGGCTCGTATCAACGGCCTGTTGAATGAGACCAGCTCATAGCCCCCACGACGATGCCTATGAACAAGTGGATCGTTGAGACTCTGCTGTGGCAAAGTTCCCACCAGCGACTCTTGGTCTGATCCAAGGGAATGGTCCATGGTCCATTGCACTTCCCTACCAGCGCTTGAGATTGCCTCGACATTGCTGAGCCTATCCCCTGCGCCGTGTCCCACCTGCAAATCTCCGCAATGCCCCTCGCTCGCACAACATCTCTGACTTTCTCTCTCACTGCTAAACAGTTCTGGGGGCGCAAGGACCCAGGGCAGGGCTGGCCAGCCCATCACATCTGTCATTTGGCCAGAAATGCTAGCCCTGAGTCGTGCCACCAGCGACGTGTCGACTGCCAAAAGGGCAGTTTTAAAACGAGTTACATCGCCCGCTTTGATCCACCATCCTGCCTCGCCAGGCATGTAAAACAATCTCAAGGAAATGCTCGTCGACGACGTCCAAGGTTGAGAATGCATCTCGCATCGTATAGGGGGAAAGGGGCTCTCACATCTCGCCCTCAGACGCAATCTGCCGCTGCTTCCATCTTCCTTCCGCACATTGTTCCATCAACGAGCGCCTTGAGTTTCTTTACTGGCCCATTGGGCCACTAGCCGACCGGCACTAAAAGATAGTGTGTGATTGTTACCGCTCACTCGTCGAGTTGTATAAGTCGGCCTAACTTAAAGCTGGCTTCTCTCGGTCACCTGCCCAAGAGCACCACACCGCCATCCGGCACACTCAAATTATAACTCGACGACATCGTCTGGCGAAGGATCTCGGCCGTCCAGGAGTCATCTCTGCCCTTCAAGCTCTGTGAAAGGTCGAGTTATTCCTCTCACATTGTTTTTGTGGTCAATGCCCGACGTGGCGGGCGCTCCCCGCGGACTTTTTGGCAGTTGCATCATCTCCAAGCTCCTGGACTCAGTGAAAACCACCATTTCTTGACTTGGCCGTCCGGATCCTGGCTTTCCCTGTTGCTATTCACGTTTCTTTTTGCTCCTTTTTTGCTTTTTCCCGTGCTGCTCCGGTGGTCGCTCTTTACCGATTGAGCTCTGCAAGCATGGATCCTGCACAGATGGCTCGGCCGACTATGATGTATTCTGGCTCGGGTCCCGACTCTGGACCGTGGAACCCAAGACGGAGGTAGGAGCTTCCCGAGATGCCACAACACTTCGCGTGCAATTGCCATGCGCCTTCCCTGACTGACCCTCGCCCCCAAAGCAACTTGCCCAACTCGAATCCGCACGACTGGCCCCGGGATGAAATGTACTCGACTTCGAGGTAAGCTTGCTGCTCTCTCTCCTTTGCCTTCTCGCCTGGATATGCAAATTTCGCGCAGCCGATGGTAACACTGTCTTTCCGGATCCTCAAGTATGAATAGCTTTGGCGCCGGCAACACGTATGCTCCTCGCACGGAAACGCCGTCGATGGGCCTGCCAGGCTTCATGCCACCACCACAGAGTGGGCTGAATACGAACCAATTGCCCGCATACGGATCTTACCAGAGCTCCAAGGCTTCATGGGAGGCGCAAGAGAAACATTCCCCGACAGAATCCGTGGATGATATCCTGGCATCGCCGAACCTGTCCGAGTACTCGCTGGAGAACGGAGCCGATTCCGCCTATACCGGACGACGATCCAAGCCAAATAATGCCAACGCGAACGCCAACCCTAGGAGCCGGCCCCAGCGTCGTCCCTCTAACCGTGATGAATTTGACGGGCCTCATCAATTTCTTCAGCGCCCTCCTCCAGAGGTCATTGCCATGCAGGAGCGGGAGCTGCCTCATCTTCCGACAAACCTCCATGTGCAGGAGCAAGACATGGTGCTGGGCCAGGTCAACGATCGCTTATCACAATGCGCCTACGACTTTGTCGCCAAATACCAGTTCCCTATTCCTCTGTCGCAGAACATGCGACCGGTCGAACGGCCGCAGGATCGAGAATGGACCGAGTGGGTTTATCTGCTTAAGAGACTCGCAACTAAGCGACGGATTCCTGCTCGCGTCTTGTATAATGGTCAAATTAAGCAGTTTGTGACCATATTGGAAAATTCCCTGGAAATGAGACACGCCTCGAAACACCAAAGCCGACCACTCAAGGACGACAGGAACATTCTGCAGCTCATTTCAGCGGGCATTCAAGTTGCCAAGATACTGCGAGATGCATCGGCAATGGACTATCTTGACCGTCTGTACATTTCGACCGAGAAGCAGATCCAGGAACGTACTGCGTCGAGGTTTCGACCTTAGTACGTCGATGCCAACGACCACGGCCACTGGGAAACCTGACACGGCCAAATTATTCACGTTTTTTATAATCTTGCCTTGGAAACATACAGGCAAAACTTTTGACAGACAATACGTTTAAACAAGCGCCGCTGTTACGGAATGAGGTGCCGACCGGCGCAAATCATCAGAGGAGTCTCCATCGGCTGTCGAGGTGGGATTCAACGTCTTGCGAAATCCCGATGAGCGAAATGACATTCTGTGGCTGCCCGAGCCACACTTTACCTGCGGCATCTTTGACACAGCGTTGGGCTCTACTTCTGCCTCGAGCCCCTTTGCAATTTTTCTTTCTTCACCTTCATCCGTCGCACCCTCTTCCTGCCGAGGACTTCTTTACTACGACCAGCGTTTTATTTGAATGGCCATGATGAATACAATGAATGCAACACAGAGCAAACTATCACAGAAAAGACCCTTTCACGAGCATAAGATGGCAACGTTGTACCGTGTTTGGGGCATGGGAGGGAAGCAAGTCTGGCATTGGGCCTATATTTTTTCCCGCGAGTTGTTTATGGCGTTAACCGGGCTAGAGTCGAGCGGTTTTTGTGTTTTCAATCTTGTCTATCTTGTTGATAGCTTTGCGAATATACAGTATTAAAGTAGCAGCTGGAGCCCAACTGTACCTGTAGAGCCAGCCCAATGATGGGGTGACAAATGAACTGATCAATGGTCTGATGGGAGCGACGGCTCTTACTGCTTCGGTAGGAAGAGTCAATAGGATAATGCCCGTCAGTTTACCACCTATGATGCTTGTCCAGGTTGAACGTATAGGTAGATAGTGTAGCGTATGTCTGCCGAGTATGCCTCACTAGCCCCCGCCTCGGCGTCTGAATAGGTACGATCGCTTCGCGAAGAAGCAAATAGTTAACTAACTATAAATGCAATCCCGAAATGGCAACAAGCCGAGTTCCAGGACCGCCTCAGCTGCTGGAGCGCTCGGTATCTCTTTGGCCAGAGGAACGCCAACGGCGCGGGTGCATGTGGGCGTATAACGGCTTGTTAGTGGGCAGCCGTGCCATTCGGTGTTTCTTTCTGGTTAGCGTCCACTGTCACTTGCATGCTCATTTTCTCTGGCCGAAGGCACTTTCTGAGGCGCTGCTGCCTGGGACACAATGTCGCGTGCTGAACCGACCCTTTTAATGGCTTTTGGCCTTTTCCATCGCATCCAGGAGCGGCATCTTACTATACGTGGTTGCATCGACGCAGCGCAGTCATCATCATCACTACGACGACGACTAGAGTAACGACTGGCAGAGTCCACTATTGGCTGATTACACGACACGACCAGCGTTTGCTGTCTCCCGGTTGACGCAGTCGTCCCTGGAAAACAAGTATTTTCGCAAACAACTTCAAGCTGGGGTGCTAGAGCGTCTCGCATCGACTTGCCTTTGCCTTCCGCGTCGACCAGGCAACGCTCCAGAATGGCGTCCGTTTCCTCCCACAACGGCTCATCGCATCCGTCGCCCTATGACTTCGACTCCAACGGCGACACCGACGAATCATGGCAGTACATTGACTACACCAGCAGCGGTTCCGCGCCAGGATCTGTCGGGTTCCTGCCCAGCCCCGCGAGCGGCAGCCTGAACGGATTCGCCATCATTGGCCACAACACCACCACCACCACGACAACGTCTCCCTCGCTGCACTCAATGTCGCCTGGACCGCCACCGCTCGGGGAGGGCGACCAGGCGTTCCTCCCGCCGGCCACGGAGCTGCCCTTGGGCGGCGCGATGGAGGCCGGTGCCTTTGCGATGACGACGGCCGGCGACTTCATGGCCGACGGCATGTTCATGACGCCGCAGGAGTATCTCTTTGCGCAGGACGCCCTGTCGGAGTGGCGGCCGGAGGCGCTGGGACTGCCCGCCGGCACGTCCGGCTTTCAGATAGATGCTGTGCCGGCCATGAGCCAGGCGCAACATCAGCCCCCCGAGCTTGCGGCCGCGCCGAACCTGGAGCTGGGCGGCTTCCAGCAATTCCAGCTGGAGGGCACGTTTGTACAATGGGATCCTCATGGGCCTGGGGCCCCGTCACCGGGGGAGGGCCCCTCGATGACTGTGGCCAAGTACATGTCGTCGCCAAGCCAGCACAGCGTCGGATCTTCCAGTCCGCGCTCGACCGTGTCGGTCAAGTCCGAGGGAAGCGGCAAGACATCACCCATTGCGATTCTGAAAGTCAACTCTGGGAGGATCGGCAAGAGCAAGGCGGAACAGGCGGGCAAATTCCACATCGTCACGCCCAACTCCATCTCCGCCAGCGCCGGCCGGCCCAACCCCTACGAATGCTTCGAGGCGATGCGGACGACGCAGCGCGGCCGCAAGGGGCCGCTCGCCAACGCCACCAAGGAAGACGCCCTCCAGGTGCGCCGGCGCGGCGCCTGCTTCTGCTGCCGCAGCCGCAAGGTCAAGTGCGACACCGAGCGGCCGTGCAAGCACTGCAAGAAGCTCATGGTGCAGGTACCGCAGGTGGTCTGCTGGCAGTTTCAGGACTTTTTGACGATTTTATTTCCCGACTTCATCAGCGCCCACTTGAGAAAGGACGAGATGACCAAGTTCTTGCGGGACAACGTGGACGGGTTCCTCATCGGAGGCGCGCCGCAATCGTGTTCCGTAAAGCTCTTCTCCGGCGCACGATTTGTCACGACTCTCGACATCGAGGCCAAGTTCTTCACAGCCAAGACGTGCGACGTCTTGCAACACTGGCACCTCAACTCTGGCAGCAACGGCGTCCACTTGGACTCGAACGGCTCCGCGCCGATTGGGCTGGACATGACGGGCGGCAGCGGCAACGGCGGTGGCGGTGGCGGCCAAAGGGACGAGGTGCGGAAAAAGGTCAAGGCGTACGTGCGGCAGCTTATCGAGGAGCCCGTGTTCGCGGAGCAGGTGACGGACTCGCTGCGGTCGACGCGGCTGCCGGCCAAGATCCTGGCCATCGCGCAGGCGTACGCGCAAAAGACGGACTGCGCCATGGTGAAGAAGGCGCTGTCCATATACGCGATCCACTACGTCATGACGCGGCACCTGTGCCTGACGAGCGACACGGTGCGGGCGCTGCAGCCGTCCGGCTTGGTGCCGCAGAACAGCCGGTGGGTGACGCCGCGGGTGCTGGCGCGGCAGGTCAAGTCGCTGGCGGACGAGGTGTGCGCGCGTGAGATGCAGCAGCTGTTCGAGCTCTTCACCAAGGCGCTCAAACCAAAGTATCGGCGCGAGTGGGCGCCGAGCCTCGTGGCGTTCCTGGTGCTCTGCCTGTACATGGAGGCCGTGGAGACGACGACGGACAACTTTGTCATCTCGCAGAACGCGGTCAATCAGAGGAACGGCGACGCGCCGTCGTTTAAGCGCTCGTTCGCGCTCGACATGTGCCGCGAGGTGGAGAACATGCCGTTCAAGCAATTCGCGTACCAGTTTCACCACATCTACCAGACGCACTCGCGGGACCCCAACACGAAGCCGTTCAACCCGCTGTTCGACGACAGCTTCGCGGCGCAGAGCGAGCTGGACGGGCCGGCGATGGAACTGGTTGCCCAGCTGCAGGACCTGTATCAAGGCGAGGACTGTAAGTGAGGAGGGTATCGATAATAGGTGTGACTGTGTTTGCTAATCGTTGTGTGCGTGCATAGGGCAAGATATGCAATTCCTGGCAGACGACGATCTGCTGCTCAACAGGGGCGAAAATCCTGCGAGTATAGACACAGCTCACCTCTACACGGGAAGACTGGTGTCGAAATTCTTGCTATCCTTCCTGGACGAGGACCGCATCTTCGGCGGAAAGATATGAGGGAGGGACGGCGTGCATGTTTGGGAGAGTGTACTAGAGCGTTTGTTTTGCTTTTTTTCCCACCTAGATTTCAGACATTTGGCAACGGCATGGCCATGTAGAATGCAACGATAGATACGATACGATATATATACAGAAACAGAAACAACAAAATGTTTGTCCGATTTTAGTCCTGGTGCCACACTATACTTCTATGGCAACAGGGTGGAGCGGACTGGTTGTCTAGACCAGAGGTTTGTTCTCCCACTTTCGAACGAATATGTAAAGTTGACACGCTTGCGCATTGAAAACGCGAGGTGTAGGCATTCTGTGGGTTTGCTTGCAAGGGCACGAGGGAGGCTACATGTGTTACCAAAGAGCATTTGCTTACCGTTTGTGCAAGAGGAAGCCGAGGTAAGAATCGCGCTCGACGATCCCTGTTGGGCTACGAGGAGGGAGTCGGCTGGATCTGGACAGCAATTCCACCTTGCGAAAGATACACACCGGATCTCACGAGTTCAACGAGGCGACGGGGCGCAACACGGAAAAGGAAACGAGTGTGATGATTGTGAGGAAGAGAAGAAAAGAGATCTGGTCTGGGAGAAGGAGGAAGAAAAACCGTTCAGCAAAAACCCAGCCAGTGAAGTGGGTCGCTTGCACGTGATGCTCAGGAGGCTTGCGGGAGGGTCCGCAGTGAAAGAAACCTTGTGCCTGACCAAAAGTTCTGTCCCTTTTTTTCTCTTTTCTCCCCTTCTTCTTTACACTTTTTATACGCACGATTAATCAACCGATAGTGACTTCACCAACTTGCTGCCGGTCATATTTGCGTGCCAGAAGAACGGGCTTTCTCTAACCAAGGGAATTTTTCTTCTCTTTTTCGACGAGTTTTCTTTTTCGGCGATTCTCATCGGTTCGGGATGGAGGGTCCGACATGTTCCCATGGCATTTATTTCTTTCTCAATCCACCGCGTGACCAACTTGTTCGGCCTGGCCTCTCAGTAGCTCGCGTCTTTTCTGGCAGGTCTTGTAGAGTTCAGGTATCCAGGCCTACCTAGGTTCTGGATTCTGTCATTGCCAGTACTAGTTCAGTACTTGGGAAGTAGGTACAGTACATACATAGGTAGCAGATGGCTCTGTTGCCCTGCGAATACCGAGGCTTGCCGTGATGTGCTGTGTTACCTTGGGACTGGCTGCATTTTATTGTTCGCGGTCTTTCACAAGCCTCCTCCTCCCCCGCTTCGTCATGTGCGAGAAATGCCCTTCCAATTGCCGGTTTGGCACGATCTGATTGGTATCACCATTGGCTTGTCTCTTGTACGCACTACTGTGCTCGTACATCTAGCTCGCTGCCCGATGTGTCTCGCGAAAACCGGCAAACTTTCTTAGACACAAGACGGCGGGGAACGTGAAGTACTATTTGGGTATCTACCTCGCGACTGAGGTAGTGTTTATTAATTTGTCGGTATACGTACCTGTAAAAGTAAATGTTTTAGAGTTACATGGACAAAGCTACAGCCTGCCTAGGTTGCTAGACTGGCAGGCACATGTAAAGAAATGCCATAAAGGTTCCTGCTTCACGAACTTTGTACGAGTGATGCCGCCGCTCCTCCCCGCCTGGCTCTATTCAAATAGGAACGATACCCCAAGAAATACTTCGAACTATCCGCAACGCATCCTACGAATTTCTTCTTACCTTATAAATTGAAACATCTCTCCTACGCTTGTCTCTCCCAGACCCTTGCCTAACTAGTACTTACTACTACACAAGCATCTGTATTAGGTACCTACCGACCAGCCACCAGCTCCTTCACCGACTTCAGGGACCGACCGGGGGAGCCAGGCCACACATTTCTTGTCGCCGTGAAAATAAAGACACGCGACTGGACCCTTGTTTGTTCTATACAACTTTTCCCCTACTCTTTGCTCTTGTGCAATTCCACATCAAATCATGTCAGCCATCAACCGGTCATTGGAGGAGAGCAGACTCGAGATTATGATTCTCGCCATCGGCGTCCTGTTCCTGGTCTCCATGCTCGGCCTCGTTGTCTTCATCAATCTCCGCTTCAAATCCTACGACGAACCCAAGCGGCGGCACGATGACTACGTCTATGATGAAAAGCCCCGGTTCAGTGACAAGTGGGAGTCGTCATAGAGCGGCCTGCTCCCGGCCGGGACGGCGAAGCCTGACGATCACGGAGACACCTTCGCGGAGTCGGTCCGCCGTCGCAGCGCCTCGCTCGCCGACAACGGCAAGACAGAGCTCGCCAGTCTGACACGCCGCGCCACGCTGTCCGCTTCGGCCGACACGACAGCCAGCGGTCCAGACGTCAAGCCGCAATCGGAGCAGAGGCGCTTCAAGCTTGTGCCATCTACCGACACAAGTAACCATCACCTAGACCAACGAAGAGACGAAAACTGCGTCGTCTGCAAACGACGCACGCCATGAAGAAACTGGCCAGAAAATTGTTATGATATGACTGATACCACTTGGAAGGGGGCAAAGGCAAGGAGTTGAAAAGGAATAATGGTTATAGCCACTGTGTCATCGTTTTGAATTGATTTGGAGACGGTCGTGCAAGTTCGAGGGTCTTGTTGTACATTTAGAAAAAAAACTACCGAAGTTGAAAGTCGCCCCAAGCGTCGTTGCTCAGCGTGAATGTCCGTATGTCGAGGATCGTGTGTATCGCTTGCCGGCCCTTTCCCATCCCTAACCAACCTCTAATTTTGTACATGCCATGTATGGTGTCCGAGGCGGCGTATCGGCCCCCAGTTCGTCTATGAGCTCTTCTTGAGGTCGCGCGCGGCTTGCTTCAGGTTAAAGTTGCACTCCTCGTATGCGCGGCCGGCACCGAAGCCGGCGCCGATGAAGGCGGGCCAAGCTCTGCGGCGGAACAGGATGACGGAGAAGACGACGCCGAATCCGAGGCCGATGCTGGACTTGACAAGGAGGTTCGAGAGGCAGCGGTCCCACTGGTTTTTCATCGCGACAACCATGTTAGCGTTTCTGCGTCAATTCCTCCGTTTGGATCCTGCTCGGTCGTGCGGTCTGGGTACCTTTTCGTTGAGGAGAGTCTCGCTCACGGGTCGGGAAATGGCGCTCGAGGGAGCCGGGGCGGCGGTGTTGGATTCGGCCATTGTGGATGAAGGTCTGCAGTCGGGCGCGAGAGACGTTAGAGGAAACACGAGGGAGTTTATTGGGCTGTCACGCACCTATATGTAATGCAATTGAGCTGGGCAAAGGGGTGCGCAATGGGAGCTCGCTCACAAGCTTGGTTTCAATGACGGGACTTTGGACGCCAAACCTGACGAGAAGCAGCCGGCAGCCTGTTTGGCGTCCACACCCGAAGGCGGTGGGCAGAGCCTATTTCCATTCTGGGACGGCCTGAACTGGCAGAATTTGGAAATTTTGGGCTTTCGACTTTCGCATGTGGGGGCAGTTTTCCAACTACCAGAACATTTTCATAGCTTTGCATTGCAGCTTTGCGTTTTTGTGTCTCTCTCTTGCATAAATTTGGTGCTTTGGGGAGGAAAGTAATTGGCATGTATTGATTGGGTCCATGCGATCATGACAATGGTAGGTCGCGTCTACAGCTGTTGCTATAGAACAGCAGCAAACTAAGACTCTTTTCAATAGGACGCCGACGATCTCATCAAGATTGTACGAGGACTGGACCAGAGCGGTCCAGGCGAGGATGGAAAGAATTTGGATCTCCTATGGTCCAAGCTAGTCGCGTCATCGGATGAATCGTTCCACGCCGCCGAGGAGAGCACGCTGCGATGGCTGCTCAAGGTCATGAACGGCAATGCGACCACCGCCGAAGCCATGCGCCGCCATCCGCTGACCTGGACTATGCTCGACTGCGTATTCGCACGAATCCCCCTTTTCTCTCTCGCCAAATCCCTAGCTGATCGAAAGTTCGTTGCGGTCCTTCAACAAACGCTCAAGGACATCTCGACCGTCGCCGGCGACAATACCGAGCACACCGCCACCAAGAAGCGAAAGCGATCGTCGCCAGCGCCGTTCGGAAGCGACGAGACGAGACAGCCGCACGGCCGCCTTTCCACTGCCAAATCACTGTTGAACACGCTCAAGTCACTACTGGACCGTCTCGACGACGCGACGGCTACGACCGCCCGAGACAACATTGGTGCTGAGCATATCAGGTCCTTGTTCTGCATGTCGGCTGTAGATACGGCTGCGCTTCTGGTACCCGTGTTTTCCGTCTGTCAGCTCCTTATCGATACTGAAATGTACGACACCGAAGGCGCCGAAGAATGGGTTGCGGTGGCGTCGTCGCTTTGGAGCTTGCATATGCAGGGCGACGACGACATGTCCAAGGCTGCTGGCCTGCTGTTCACTACTCCGGCCTCCATTTTGAGTGATTTAGAAAACTTATCGGGAAAGGGCCCCAGCAATGCACCAACCACGCTCAAGTCGAAATGGAGCGCGGACTTGCAGCAGTTCCTCCAGCGCAGCTTGATCCTTCCCTGTCGAACGACGTTCCTAAATCGACAAGATTTTGCCGCCATTACCGTCGCATTGGGTGCATCGGAGGAAAAGATTCACTTTACGGCACCTTCACTGTATTTCCTGGCCACAAGGTCCTCAGACACAAACGCTGAAGGCGAGAGGCGCAAAAATGCAGTAGAATGGATGAAGCGAGTGTTTGAAGAGATTGAAAAAGCTGTGCACGACAACCCAGACCGCAACGCCCTCATCGAACTCATACTTCGCCAAGCGATCGGAAACTCTACACCCGTCGACGTGAAAAATTTGCGAGAGATTGCCCGCGGGTATGTTTTGGAGCAGCGGCGAACAGACTGGACACTGCTTGGTAGCATCGTGACGTGCGACCCTGCAGTATTTCAAACCAGTGGAGACGGCAGCGATCTACTGGTGTCGATTTGCGACAAAATTTCAAAGTCTACTTCGAGCGAGTCGCAGCAGCCAATCGCTGAGGTCCTGGGCGCGATACGACAAAGCTTCGTAATTCGACGCGATCTCGTAGCGTTTCTGCAGCTATGGTTCACAGAGCTAAGGAAGGCCGAAGAAAAGGGGCAAGCGAAGACATCGCCTTGGTTCGGGGAAGGGCCAAAGCACTACAAGGGCAAGTACTTGCGCGACTTGATCGAGAAAGAGTTGAGCGCATCTCAGCTTTCCGAATTTGTTGCCTGGCTCGAGTCACAACCCACACAATCCAGTCCCAACTCCCTTTGTGCAATCAATGACACTATATCCAAGGGCTTGAAACGAGAGACGTTTATCGACGCGGTTGACCTGCGGCTCTTCCAGATGACATGGACGGCTTGCGCCGAGTTGGCTGATTTACCGGCTAGATGGCGCATCAGCTCAAAAACAATGGCATGGGCAAAACCAGATGGGAGAACTGTCGTATGGCAGTCGTTGAAGGACAAGGTCAAGCAGACTCTAAAAAAGGGCTCATTAGACGCCGAGGATACGTTCGAGTGTTTCCGCTTCTGCTATAGTGCCTGGGATGCTTTAACGACAGATGCTGATACAGTCAAGGAGCCAACCAAGCTGATACAGAACTTTTCTGAGCGCCTCGCCAAAAAAGTCATGTCAGAATCTGCAATCCAGAAAATCACAATCCTGGATGGGGCTGATGCTGAGGTCTATGCCTTTGACAATCAACTGCCAGCAGCTTGCTACTTGGACGTCTTCCTTTCCGGGGGCAGTCGATTCAACCGGTTGTTCTCAATGTCGAATGACACTGTCCCTGAGCCGTTGAAAAATGCGATAACAACCTCCGAGCTTGCTACCAAGGATAAGCGGGTTCTTTGGCAAAAAGTATTCTCTAACGACATAAATCTCAACGAGGCAAAGCTTGCGAGAACGCTGGTTGATCAAGTTATCGACGCGCTAGATCAGTTGGGCAAAGAAAAAGGCTGGCCGGGTAGCGACGCGACCCTCATTATTCAGATTCTGAGTCGCATTCCGCTCGACAGTTTTAATCGGTGGCAGCGCGAAAAGATCGTCAACACGCTGAATAAAAGCAGCGGCAAAATGATCAAGTCTCCAGAGAAGACGCTTCTGGCTTCTTGGAAACAAATACTGAGCCTGGTAACCAAACTGATGGCGCGAGCGACATTCTACGACGGGATGACGTTTGATCATCTTGTCATACTGGCTGAAGCCGTTTCTGTCTGCATGGCAAAAACTTCTACTAGCGACGAGGAGACTTTGGAGATGATTGAGCGCTTCTCTCAGATGGCATCTTCCGTTATTCGCCAAATGGCGGATCAGGTGGACGAGAGAAGTACAAAATACTTTGGCGAGTGCTCTAAGTATATTACTGCGACGACCACAAGCAACTTCAAGCAACTCCATGGTCTTCATTACTCATTAATCAAGTCATTGCTTTCCGTTGTCTCACGATCACCAAATACGCAAAACAACGATGAGCTTACCAAGCTCGTTGCTGAAGGTCAAAGTATGCTGGCCAAGGCCATCATGTCTGTCATCAACCCTCTCATTACGGCCAAGGCGCTTCCATCCGCGGCCTCTTCGAAAGAGAGACTTGAACTTCTAGCGGCAACAGACGCCGCGCCCTCCGCTGCTCCGCTTGCACAATTCTACAACGGCAAGCCTGCGCCCCTGCAGACGTTTGCCAACAACTGCAGCAGTAAGATGGTAGAGGGAGATGTTCTCGCTTGGAAAGTCCAGATTCTATTGCGCAATGAATTGCCTGCCGCGTTACAGCTACCAGCGCCTAAGACATTCGATGCGCTCTCGCCACTCCCACGGAAGCTTCAATCGAGGCTCCTATGCGACTTGACAAACTCAATCACGAAGTCTCTGAGAGTACAAGAGAAATTAGCGTACCTGCGAGACCTTGTCGATGCACTGCGCGCCGGCTGCTTCACAGATAGCCAGACCCTGGCAATACAAGAAGTGGTAAGCCAGCTTGTTAGTTCGCCAGAGTATCAGGGCAAGTTTGAAGGCTACGACCTTGCCGCAGCCTACAGTGAGATTGTCACGCTGCTCAGCAAAGCCCCGGCGCCGGGCAACGTCAGTCTGTGCCGCACGCTGCACTCCCTCCTCGAGCGAAAACCGCAGGCCGTCAGCCAGTGGGACGTGGAAGCCACGCTGAGCACCATCTGCGAGCTGTGTCCCGTCCAAGGGACCGGGGGGTTGCCGTATGTCTGGCTGTGCAGGCTCACCGACGTGATCATTAAGAAGCACCGGCTGCGTCTCGAGGGCCACTACCACCTGCTGCTGACCGTGCTGCAAGCGCTGCTGGAGCGGCTCGTCGTCGGCGAGACGGGCGGCGCAGGGGACGCGTCGCGGGAGGCCAAGGCGCACGCCTACGCGCGCCTCATCACGCTGGTGTGCGAGCCCACGGCCGGCGCCGTGTCGCGCACGCAGCACCAGAGCTCGCTGGACTCGGCCACGGACGTGGCCAAGCGCTCGGCGGGCCGCCACATGCACCTGGTGCTCATGCGGTACGTCCAGCTGCAACTGACTGAGGACGTGCCGCGGCCGCTGCGCGAGGCGCTGGAGCCGGCGATGAACTCCATCTTCGACATCACGCCGCCGGAGGGGCGCAAGATTCTCAACGATGCCATGGACGCGAGCGGGCGAGCCATCTTGCGAGAAATGTTCAAGCGATATGTCAAGTTTGGGAAATGGAGCGGAGTTTAAAAAATAGTGGTAGTAGAAGGGAAAAGGGGGATGTACATGAAGCATTATGATATACAAATACTGTTATATAGATATATACACGCGTGTGATGGCCCTTGTTGCGCCAATTAGGGATTCCGTTTCGTTTTGCAGTCGTCTTTCTTTTTCACTCTTGGGTCTTGGCGTATGTGCTCGGATGGCCGTGCTTCTTGCCAAAGTTGCGCACGGTGCTAAGCTGGTCGTGCTGCACGAAAATCCAGATGAGCGGCACGAGCCAGGCGCCGAGGGTGTCGAGGAGCCAGCTGTTGCGGAGGGAGCCGCCGATGACGCCGAAGCGCATGAGGTGGCCGAGCCAGTTGACCACGACCATGAACTGGCCGGCCTCGAGGCCGCGGATCGCCGCGCGCGCCACCTCCTCAGGCGTCTGCTTGGGGTCGGCGGCCTCGAGCTGGCGGGTGACCTCGGGCTTGGTGCGCTCCTCGGCGACGAAGCCGGGGGAGAGGATGGTGCCGGGGAAGACGACGTGGACGCGAACGTCGCGGCCCGGGTAGAGCAGGACCTCCTGGGAGAGGGTGTCGGCGAGGCCGCGCAGCGCCCACTTGGAGGGCGCGTAGCCGGCGTACCCGGGGATTGTGTAGAGCGCGGCGGCGCTGGAGGTCATGACGAGGTGTTTGGGCGACGAGGTGGTGTCGGGGCCGGGGGCGAGCCAGGCGCGCAGGATGGCGTGCGCCATGTCGGCGGTCCCGTGGAAGTTGATGTCCATCTGGCGGCGCAGGGCGGCGGCGTCGGTCTCGATGAAGAGCTTGGGCACAGCGACGCCGGCGATGCACCAGACGACGTCGGGCGCGCGGTCGCCGTTCCAGGCCGTGGCGGCGGCGACGACGGTGTCGGCGTACGAGGGCACGGAGACGTCGGCGGGGATGTAGTGGAATCGCTGCGTCGAGGGGTTCTTGGCGGCGGCCTGGGGAAAGGAGAGGGCAGATCGGTTAGCTATGGCGGCAGACAGGGCGCTGCAGGAAGATTGGGAGGGACAGCGTACCTTGACGGCCTTCATGGCGTCTTCGAGCTTGGCCGCGCTGCGTGAGACGAGGATGAGGTTGGCGCCCTTGGCAGAGAGTTGCGTCGCCACGGCGAGGCCCATGCCCTCTGATCCGCCGGTAATCAGGACAGTCTGTAGGAGAAGAAGCGGTTAGGACATTTGTTGCGTTGCAGCCGGGTAGACGGCGAGAATCCAGGGTCCATGGGGTATCCCTTACCTTGCCGTCCACTGGCATCCTGTTAGCACCAAAGAGACCCATTGTGTTTGCAATGACCAGTGTTATGGCCAGCGTGACTGCGACCCAGAGAACCGGCGACTGCAGCAGGGCCATCCAGGGCAAGAATTTCGGATTGGAGGTGATTGCTTGCTGGATGGTGTAAACGAGGAGGGTTTGTCGTTGGATGTTTGTTGGAGGGGAGCCTGGAGCTGCCGAATTTAGCGGCCGCGCCAGAGCTCCCCGCTAAAAATAAACCGCCAGCAGCGCGGCTGCCTTGCTCAACGTGAATTCAAACACAACGAATGCAACGCACTATAACATCCTGCACATCGCCTGGCGAGCTATCAGTGCGGGCTGATCTACTGACGACTGATTTTTGAACTGGATGACGTCGTCAATTCATCAATTTTCAATGCGCTGACGTCGTTATTCCACGCCGCGCAAGAGCTTGGCAAGTTTGGAGTCGGGACGCGACGACATGGCAAGCGGCGGAGCAGACGAGCTGCAGGTTCCGAAATTTGGCTCGTTCAAATCAAAACAAACGCAAGAGAAGCCCAAAGAGACGGAGGAAGGTCGGAAGCGAGACTCAGGCCGCGACGGGAAACGGCGGTCCCACCACGACGACAGGCGGGAGCGGCATCGACGAGATGGCAGCAGAGAGCCCAAGAGACGAAGAGAGCGTCCTCGGTCACATGAGCGCGAACGTTACACGGACAGGGAACCAGTCGCGCATAAATCGGCCGCGCGCGCATCAGGGCCGGAATTGTACGTGGTTGACACAAAAGGCGATCCTCTCATACGAAGATACGGAACGCTAGACAGGTCAAAGGTACCTGCCTACTATCGTGACGGTCATGGGCGAGTATTAGGGACTTCTGGTCGACTCGTCATCTATCGTGATGGTCCCATCGACACTTTTAGTCTACGTATGCCGGGAGAGGGCATAGCCCGGTACAGAGACCGAGATGGGCTCCGTTCGAAACGGCCGATGGCTCACCCGCACCCCATTTCGCTTAAAAGGCGCCGAGTAGCGCCAGCAGCGAAAGAGGAAGAAGAAGATGATGATGAAGGGTTCTTATCTCTGAGGATCTCCAAGAAGCAAAGCCGGAAAGACGACTCTTCCGATGACGACCAAGGGCCCTCGTATCGATCCATAGAAGGCAAAGCCAAGCCCAAAACTGACGACACTGATATGGACTCGGACTCGGACTCGGATGCCTCTGAAGACGCTGACTATGTAGAATCGAACAATCCTCTTCAGTGGAAGTCAATCCAACTCACGCGCCGCGTCAAGGAGAACCCGGAGGATACAAACTCGTGGCTGGAACTGGTTGAGCACCAGAACGAACTGCTGCGCGCCAGCACCGCAGAAGGCACGGCTCCGGACAACGAATCCCACAGTTACAGCGAGATCAAGGTCTCCATGCTGGAAAAGGCCTTGCAGAATGCGCGAGACCCCGCGGACCGAGAGCGCATCCTCGTGCCGCTGATGCGTGAGGGTGCCAAGGTCTGGAGCAGCAAGGTTGCGGCCAAGAAATGGGCCGAGGTCGGCAGCCAAGCAGACTCGCACGGCCTATGGCGCGTGCGACTGGAGTTTGCCATGACGAGCATTGCTGACTTTGACTATACCATCGTCAAGACGATGTTCGTCGAACGTCTGCGCCATGTACTGTCCAACAACCCTGAGAGCACCGAAGCCTATCTGCAAGTGATTGAGGTTTTTCTGCTAGCGACCAGATTTGTGCACGATTCCGGATACAAAGAGCTGGCGGTTGCGGCGTGGCAGGCCCTTCTGGAGCTCACCTTCTTCCGACCAGATGTCCATGGCGCGGCTGTGTCTGTGCCGGACTCGTTCCAGGAGTTTTGGGAAAGCGAGGTAGCGCGCATTGGCGATCTGGGCGCGTCTGGGTGGAAGCACTACGTCGAGACTGGCGGAGAAGACGAGCCGCCCGAGCCGCTACCAGCACAGTCCATTGCCGCGACGGCCGCGGCCCGGTCGAAGAACCCGTTCACGGCCTGGTCGCAGCTCGAGATCGAACATTCCAACGAGGCCAAGCTACCGGCGAGGACCATGGACGATGGCACGGAAGAAGACCCCTTTCGAGTCGTCACGTATACCGACGTTGAACCGTTCCTCTTCATGATCCCGCTGGCCCTGGTCTCGAGCATCGGTACTTCGCTCTTCGATGCGTTTCTCATCTTCTGCGGCTTACCACCTGCTTCATCGAACGACTGGGCTAGAACGCTCTATAAAGACCAGCTACTTGCTCCCGTCTGGGGCGACGTACCAAGCGTTGCCATCGGCGCCGGGACAACGTCAGCGTTGCAAGACGATGAGTCCATCGTGCGCAGCCCGCCGCTCTTCAGTCGGCCCTACAGCGCCTTTTCGATATCGTCACGTTTGCTATTCCCTGGGAAGGAGTGGTTCTCGTATCTCCCGTCGCCATTGTCCGGCACTTTGATTGATAGTAGCTGGCTAGAGGCCACGCTCGGGCAGTTGATCTTCTCCGCGGGATGCGATGAGCTATCAGAGTATTACCTGGCCGTTTCCTCCGCACGGGATCCGTCCTCTGTGAAGAAGACGGCCAAGAAACTGCTGAGGCGAGGCCCGGAGAATGCCGCTCTGTACAACGCGTATGCACTCGCGGAGCATTCCCGTGGAAACAGTGATGTGGCAGCCAACGTCATCGAATCGGCACTTGCATCCACCTTGGTGAGTTCCGCCAGTGCTTTACTATAGGAATTGACGAATATTAACACAAGAGCAGATTTCAAAGCAAAGCAGCCGCCTTCGGCTCCGTCACACGGCGGCCTGGATGGCACTAGAAAACGGACATCTTGCCTCGTCCAAAAAGGCCCTTTGCGCCGGGGACGGTTCGGAGGCGGAGGCGGAGGTGTCCTTTGCCGACGTGCTCAAAGCGAGCTCAGCGTTTTCAGGCGGCATGTCGGAATCCTTGTCTGTCGGTGACGTCGAGTCTGCAGAAACGGCGGCAGAGTGCCTTGTTTTACACAGCTACTTGACTAGCAGCGAGGCATCGGAGCCCATGTCACTCTCGCAGGGCAGCATATCGGCGGCCATGCAGACGCTAGACACTGCAAGCCAAGAACTGGTGGTGCGCGGACACGGCGGCAGTCCCGCGTGCGAGCGGCTCGTCCAATTCGGCGCGCATCTTTTGTATCTCCACGCCGCAAGAGGGTACGTTTCTGACAGCTGTCGCTCATACACACATCTTAACAAGGAAACAAACTAACTCTCTTCTTCATCGTCCAGACCGCATCGGCGAGCTTATATTCGGGGACAGATGCGCAAGCACCTGCGCAGCTTCCCCGGCAACGCCATCCTGCTGTCCGTGCTCGAGTGGTCCGACTCTGGGCTGCGTGTCGTGGACGAGACCCGGCAGCTCCTCCGCGACCACGCAGCCGAAGGCGGCGGCGTGGGCGGCCAGCTCCTGGCCGTCCAGCACGAGCTCCTCCGCCGGGGCGGCGGCGCGCACGCGGCGCGGGAGGCATTTGAGCAGGCGGTGCGCAGCGACGATGCCGGCCGGGCGAGCGCGGCGCTCTGGACGTGGTACGTGCGGTTCGCGCACGCGCACGGCGGCGCCGCGGTGGCGGTGCTGTACCGCGCGCTGCGGCACTGTCCGTGGGCCAAGGCCGTGCTCATGGAGGCGTTCCGGACGCTCGCGGCGGAGATGCCGGAGGAGGAGCTGCGGTCGGTGTACGGCATGATGACGGCGAAGGGCCTGCGGGTGCACGTCGAGCTCGACGAGGTCCTGAAGAGTCGGGTTGGTGAGGGCAAGTGGTAGATGGGGGTGAGCATCTGCGCGGCGGACGGGAGATGGGACGATGTTTTGAATATACTGCGGCAGCTGAGGACAAGCATATTTATCATTGCATGCTAAACAAAAACTATCGTGACTCCGACGTATTTGTGATGGCATGACTATGTAAGTGTCTATATACATGTCTCTCCGTGGGTGTTTATGTGTATAGTCATGCGGTATAAGCAAGTGTATAATGACAGGCGGCTTTCTCGTGCAGTATGTATAAAAGACAGAAAGATATCCAAGCTCTTTCCAAAATCGTGTAAATCGATCAAACGTATCCGTAACGTTAAAGACAGAACAAGCGGCTAAGCGTACGCTGGCTGTGTTAAGTGTGTGGGTGAGGAAATGAAGAGAAATGAAAATGGCAGCGCTTTCATCTAAACATCTTGGCGACGCCGTTAACAAAGCCGTTAGTCCAGTCATCGCCGCCACCGTGGCTCCTAGCGCGGCCGAGGCCCTCAAGGGCGTCAAAGGCGCTGCCGCCGTGGCGGGAGTAGGAGTCGCCGCCGAAGCCGCCGCGGGAGCTACCAGCGCTACCGCCACCGCCAGCCATGCGGACGGCGTCGCTCACGAGGCCGAAGCCGTCGCCCGACGCGGCGCGCGATGCCATGCCCAGGGCGCGCTCGAGGGAGGGCGGGATGCGCAGGCCGAAGCGGGCGAGCAGGGCGGTCAGGGCGCCGCCGGTGACGAGGGGCATGATGACCATGAAGAAGACCTTCCAGGGGTGGCGCTTGAACCAGTGTATGAGGTCTCGGATGAGGCGCTTGAGCTGCTTGTACGCGCGCTGCATGAAGCCCTTGCGCGGGGAGCGCTTGTAGTACGAGGAGCGCGAGTTGCCGCCTTGTTGGTGTCAGTGAACGTGGTTGCGTGCGGGGGAGGGAGAGGGGGAGCTGTTACCTCCAAAGGAGAAGAAGCTGCTGCGCGAGGTGTTTCCGAGGGGCATGCCAAAGAAGGAGCTGCGCGAGGCATTGTGCTTGCTGTAGGAGGAGTCCTTGCCAAAGAGGTCGCTGACGAAGGAGCCAGCGCCGCGGTCACGGTCGCGGTCACGGTCGCGATCGCGATCGCGGGAGTTGGAGCGGGAGCGGCGGCGCTTGCTGGTGCGATGGCGCGAGGAGGAGCGACGGTGGTTGCCGGTCGAGGCGACCGAGAGGGCGTCGGTGAGGCCGGGAGGGAAGAAGGGCATGGTGTTTTGGGGGGTCCTGTTTGGCGTATGTGTGTGTGTGTGTATACTTGTGGATGGATCAACAGGGAGGAAGGAGGTCGAGCGTCGCTTCAGGAAAGGCCGACGAGTGTTGATGCGCCGTTAAGCAGAGTCAAGTCTCCGATGTTGCAGCTTGCGACACCAGAGACGCACCGAATTGGTCCGCTGAAGGAAGCTGGTGGTGAGGCAAGTCTTGGGTGATTGTGTGTGACTTGGTAGTTGCCGATGACATGTGAAGGGAGGCCGTTTTTGTATCGCAAGGCGGAAGCCGTGCCTTTTTGTTCGGTTATAAAAAAGGGCAAGCAAGACAGGCTAGGGAGGATGCAATTGCTCAAACAGAAGAAAAAAACCTGTGCGATGCTTGTCGGAGATGGAGAACGGGTTGTCGTGCAGATGCAAGATGCAGGCAAGAGGAGTTGGTACGAGTCGGGGCCAATCCATGGCAGTTGTCTGTGTCTCTCTGCCCAGAAGTGGAGGGCAGCGGCCAGTGCCAGTGGATGGACAGTGGACTTGGCTGACTTGTTCGGTGATGAGGTGCAGCAACAGCACCTGCAGGTGATACTAACTGGTAATACCGTAATTCGAGTGGCTGGGAGATGGGGATGGGCGGGGGAGGCTGGACACTAGCAGGTTTCGCTGGGCAAGAGTACTGTGGTCTGTTAGTGAATGGGATGCAATCTACTGCAGGGGTTGTCGCTTTTCCCTGTGGGTGCAGCGAGCCGAATTATACATTACATGTAACAGATTACGGAAAGAGAGATGGTTAGTACAAATTAGAAATGCTAAATATAGTAATCTGTAGGAACAGGAAGGGAGAAGCAGAACCAGGCATATAAAAAGCATAAATGTGAAAACATGTTGAAAGTAGCTCAGAACAGATAGTATAAAGGTATAGAAAACATAACTATATTCTGTGATGCGCAAAAAGTGTGACACAAACAAACGGCTTCTCTTTGCCTCGACCGGACAGATGCCTGCCAGCTGCCAACTGCCAGCTGCGAGACCAACCAACATCGTCACACAAACGGGAAACTTGCCGCACCGCCTCGTCTTCACCGTGCTATACGTAGTCGAAATCATCACCAGCTACCCGAAGTTGTGGTTTTGCAGACCTCCAGTCCACGACCAATTTAGCGAACAAGTGCTGCGTCTCCGAACCGAGTACGAGCAGCGCCGCGTCGCGTCGCCTCCAATCTCCTGCCTGTAAGATGGTGGTGGAGATGGAGACATCAAGTCACCGCCACAAACAGCAACTAGGGTTTTCATCCACATCTGCATCGCTTCTACAGAGATCCATCGAGATGGAAACATCACCAGGCACCAATACGGGTCCCGTTGGGCAGATATTGGCATGCGGCGCAATGGATAGAACCACCGGCCGTGCGCTACTGCTCCGTCACGACGCAGCAACACCAGATGACACTCACACATCGCCTCACAAAATTCCTTTTTCAAAATAGCGTGCTTATGATTGTTATCGAGCTCGGCCAAGTCGGGCACAAACACCATCTCCATTCTCTACCCAACCCCTCATCGGGTAGTGTAGCCACCGTTGGCAAACAGCGTCTGGCCCGTGATCCAGCCGCCCTCGGTGACGAGGAAACGCACCAGCGGCGCAACGTCCTTGACCTCGGTCAGCCGCCCGCCCAGGCCCTGGCTCTTGTGAAACGCCACCGCCTCGGGCGACTCTTGCGGGTAAAAGAAGGCTCATCATTCATCAGCTGATTGTTTCGCGGTGTTGTAAAACGGGGAGAGACCGAGGAGGAAACTTACGAGTATCCATCGGGCCGGGTGCGATCGCGTTGACGCTCACCAGCCGCGGCTGCAACTCCTTGGCCACGCCCCGCGTGAAGTGCTCGACCGGCGCCTTGGACCCGGCGTACGACGTGTACAGGCCCGTGAACGCCGCCAGCAGCGCCGTCACGATGGTGACAATCTTGCCCCCGTCTTCCACGTACTTGCTGCCCGCCTTGAGGATGAAGAAGGCCGCCTTGGAGTTGATGCTTTTTCACCCCATCGTTAGTTACACAATCAAAGGGAAAGAACGGGAGGGAGAGAAGAAAAAAACGTACGCAAACATCGAGTCGTACTCGGCCTCGGTAATATCCCCGATCGGCTTCTTCAGCACCTTGCCCACCGTGTTCACCACAATGTCGATCCGGCCCAGGTCCGACTTTGCCGACCGGAACAGCGCCTCCACGGCCGCCTCGGTGGTCAGGTCCGCCTGGTAGAACTTGACCCGCGCGCCGGGGTGCGCCGCCGCCAGCTCCCGGCCCAGCGCGTCCGCGTCCGCCGCGGACTTGGCCGAGTTGTAGTGCAGCGCCAGGTCGGCGCCCTGTGCGGCCAGCTCGCGCGCAATCTCGGCCCCGAGATTCTTGGCGCCGCCGGTGACGAGCGCGACCCTGCCTTTGAGAGACATTGCTTGAGTGTTTTGATGTGTGGGTGTGTTGGTATGCCTGTGAGTGGGCTGTTGGTTGGTGGCTTGTGGTGGCGAGAGTTGTTTCAAGCGAGAAGCTGAAAGGTAGGTAAATTCCTTACAGGGGAATAGAGACTCAGGGTCAGGGGGGCGAGGGGGGGGGGAGCTGTTTAAATAGCCTTTACACGGAATCTTCTCTCCTCCTCTTCGCTACCCAAAACCAAGCCTTCGGACTCTGCAATGACCACAGAATGGCTTCCGTTGCCGTTACTCCCCTTCAGCCCAGCCACAACATGACTTTACGCTCGCTTCTTCTCCACCCTCGGGGTAATCCTGACCTTGCTAGATCCGAATCGAGAAACAAGGCCAGAAAGATCAGAGATTCTGATAATGACAAAGCCCCGCGCGGGTCGGACGAAGAGAAAGATCGACATGGCTGCATCGGAATAAAGGTGTGCTAGCTGGATGGCGTAAATCCGATAATGGGTAGGGCAGTCGTTGGCTCCGCCCTTCTCCATGAACAGAACAACCTAATGTAGGCAGAAAAACGGTTGGCTAATAGAGTTTCCGGAGCGGGTTGAGCAACAGTCGTGTAAAGCCGTTCTCGGTCCCCATCACTAGCAAACCTTGGTCAGTTTGTGCAAGTTGGATGGGACAAGCTTCAGCGCCGCATCCCAATGCTTCATGACTATGCATGAAATGGACATGACGCCAGTTTCGTCGTGATCAATTACCATATTCAAGTCATGCACTACCTCCAAAATCAAATATGCCTAATGTAGTATATTCTACAACACTTTGAATGTGATGTGCTATCTGCAAACCTGAATTGTCCTCCTTTTCTTAGGGGGCTTTTTTTCCTTTGATGCAAAGTCTTTGTTTTATTCTTGCAAACAAGAAAGAGAAAAAAAACGTAGTTAAACCTGAAACTGTCTGTTAAACAAAAAAACCACCGTCAAAACACGTTCGACCCTTCCGCTAAAGGCAAATAAGCAACCGAGGCTGGGCAAGGACAACCGCAAAAATCAACATGGCAACCGTTCCCAAGTCCTCATGCGATGAGCTGTACTAGAAAAAATAGGAGACTGGAAAGAAAATGTTATATACATCATCATGGGCAAGTGCTTACATTCCTCTTCCTCTCTTCGTCCACAAGTCACCAATGCTGCCACGAGATATTTCCGCTCTGTGCAGTCATTTCTGACGCCCGGCTCATCGGTGTTTGCGTCAAAAGTAATATTTCCTCCTCTTGCATATAAGTCAAAAACTCGCCCTCCTGCATAGTATGTGCAATATCCCGCCACACGGCAAAGCGGGAAAGCAAGAAGCTGCAGTGGCGCACGAGGCCTATGCGGGCCGGGAAAGATGTGATACTTCTTTTCTGGGTCGTTTTATGCATGCTGAAATGCTCTCATGTAGATGGCCCGGGTTTGCTTGGCTTCCAGAATTGTATCATTCGCCCCAACTTCTTCGTCCTGCTACTGCGTGCGGCTCTGGTCTCGGTCTCTTCAAATGTCAGCTCAGTCGACAGCTTACTACGCTCTCCATGCGAGCTACTAATAAGTCGACTGAGACTGATCAAGCTGGACCGCCGACGACCAAACGCTGCCGATGAAACAGACACTGGTCGCTGATCTCGCAGTGTGCTCGGCCGAGGGCGAGCTTGTGGATTGAAACTGCCCTCTCCCGGCATGGTTGACGTGCTAGATGCAATAGATGGAATATCGTAATCCATCGAAATACGAACTTCGGGGCCAGGTTCGCCCATGAGGAGAGACTGAAAAGAGTTGTCTTCAGCCACGGAGGAGGGAGCGGTCGAAACACGCTGCGCATCAGACATGGGTGACCTCGGGGACGGATGTGAGGACGCAGTGCTCATCGAGTAGGGGCTAAGTGGCATGATGGCGCCTTGTGGAAGTGTCAGAGGAACCGCATCAACGGGCAAGGGCTCGCTATTTGCCATGGGCAGAATCCTCTTAGGCGAATGCGCACCCGAATCTGACGAATACCTGCGACTGGAAAGCATAGCAGGGCTTTGCAAAACAAAAGTCGACCCAGACGGCTCCTCGACGATGACGCTTTCATGCAGAGAAGTCCTCGAGCATTCAGCACGCACAGAGCGAGCGCCGCTCTGGTCCTTGTCGCTAAGTCCCGAGCTCTTTCGCCGCATAGCAAGACCACGAAGGCTGGTGGTTTCAGAGCCACTATCGCTAAAGAAAACATTTGTGATCTTGGACTCTAAAGGGACGTCCACCCCCGGCGTAGCTGTGGTGTTGCCGCCGTCACTGCTGCCACCATCATCTTCCTCCTCTTCCTCCTCAAAGACATCAGCCATTGTAGAGTTGCTACTAAATCGATTGATACCCGCTCGGCCAGCATCAAACGGTGGCAGATCAGGCGCCGATTCGGCTCGTCGATGGTAGTGCATACCAGGACCCCCAAAGCCCTTCATCCCCTGAGCACTGTGCAGACGACGCCTGCCAGCACCACCAGCCGCACGCTGTGCTGCCTCCCACTCCGGATTATGTGGCAGTGGTGTGTTGAAGGGGCCAAGTGCAGCATCAAGATCAATCATAGGTGACATGACCTCATCTGGTCGGCGTGGCTGCTGCGTCACTAATGTGGGTAACTGGGGAGGTTGAATGTGAGCAGAGAGGGCGGGGAAAGTCTCTTGTCCAGCGCAATCGTCCTCGTCATCCTCGTCCTCGTCCAAAGGGGTAACAGACGGCGGCGGAGTGGGTGGTCGCACGGCACTCGGCTTGCATTTGCGTTTCTCTCCCTTGCCCTTGATGGGCAAAATTGCGCCTGCCCAACCCCTCACAGTCCGAGTTCGAGACTTCTTGCTCTTCTTCTTATGTTTTGATTTTGAGGGATTGGCAGCGTCAGAGTCCGATTCTCGATCGGAGGACGAGACTGTGTGGGTACGAGAAACAGAATCAGAAGAACTTGAGCTAATAGGCCGGGTTCTCGATGACATGCTCGAGGGGCCGAAGGTCTCTAGTCCGAAGAAGGACCATCGTTTCGAAGCTCTTGCTGGGCTCGGCAATGCTGAGTCGGCTATTGAAGGTTCAGTAGCGCCAATCAGTGCCGGGATGGAGTTTCGACGCCTAGGCGATGTGTTTGTTTGCTCGGGCTCGGTGCCAGCAACAGTCTCCAGAATGGCGCCAGCAGTCGATGGTCTCGATTCCGGCATCTCTCTAGTCGGGCTTCGTGAGAGAGCGGAAGGGCTATGATCATCACTCGTCGAAGCAGGGGAAACAACAGAAGAGATGCTCTCAGACATGCAGTGTCCTGGTCGCGCGGTCACGGTGCTGGATGTATCACTAGACACCAAAGACAGTGGCCGAGGAATGAACTCGAGAGTATCTGAGAAGCCGACGCGGGCCCTGTTTGTCGTTCTCGCAGGTCTGGGGCTGGGCGGGATGGACACGTCTGGTTCCGGGGCCGGGGCTGCAGGGGAGGGGGGCTGATGAACGGGTTCGGGCAAAGCAGTGAGAATTGTAGAGTCGTCTGCAAGCGGAATTGTGGCGTTTATTCCTTGGTCAAAGTTGGTTGGGCTGTTAGGAGCGCTGCTACCTTTGGGTGTCCAATCCATGGTGGGGGGTTGCAGGATAGGCAGGTCGTTGGTGGAAATAGCACCAGACAAGCCTCTTTTATGGCCTCTTCGCCGTGGCGGAGGCTGCAGCGACTGGGGGAAGCCGGCTTCCTTGGTTGGGCTTGTACTCATGACGGCAATAGAATTTCCATCGCGTATGCTTCCGCCTACAAACTCGCTGCCACCTCTACGGTGGCCATGGCGAACAGGTCTGGAGGAAGGCGTGGGGTTGGGGGAATGCGGCGAGGTGGGCGGGCTGAGAAGCGCAGGCGAATGGAGACAATGAGGGATCGAAGCACCAGGATTGAAGCTAAAGTCAGGCAGGGCGGCTGGCCGGTGAGGAAGATTGTCGCGTGAAGGAAAGCTGAACTCTTGGTTGTTGGCAAAAGCGGAAGCTTGCATCGGTGATTCGAAATCGGGAGCGAAATCGGGGGTAGCGGACTGGGTAGGAAAGACGAAATCGGGTATGGCGAGAGGCGCATCTCGCCGTGATGAAGCGGGCGAGCGCGAGTTTTGTCTAGCATCATAGGTCAAGGGTTGGAGCGTCGGGGACGATTCATCACGGCCCGTGACAGAGCCGAAGGTAGCAGCCATCATTCCTTCGGCCGCGCAGCGGCAAAATGTTGAATGATGGAAGCTAGAACTATTGGACGGTCATAGGACGACGCGGGAGGCGAGATGCGTGGGGAGGAGCGTAGAGATGGGGGAGAGTCGTGATTCCAAGTCGTAAGATGCGGAGGGGGAAAGTCGTGAGGGCGAAAAGTCTGCTTCATAAATAATGTATCTAGATGTCGGGCGGGTAAGTTAGGACAAGCAAAGATAAATTGACGGGCAGCAGACGAGGATGGGTCGAATGCGGTCTCGCGACGGCGGGGGATGCTGGTCCCAGCAACAGCATACACTGTAGTCGGTACGCACCTTGGGAAAAGCAAACAGGGCAAAATGCTGGCGCAGGACAATCAAGGCAGAAAAACGAATGAGGTAAAAAAGAAAGGAGCGGACGGTCAAGACCAGCGCCGACTCGAATTTCGAGGAGCAACTGGAATCGCACCAAGGGGCGAGTTGAAGAGGCGCACGAAGGCGTTTGAAGTTGGGGGGAAGAGATGAAGATGCGGAATGGAGGAAGGAAGAGGGAAATGGGGCCGGGTAAAAAGAAGAATGGGATGGATGGGAGAGACCAGGCAGGCTAGGAGGCCAGGCAGGCTGAGTGGAGCGGCCGAAAGCGAGCGAGAGTGAGAGTTATTAGTGAGTGAGTGAGAGAGCCAGAGACACACAGCCAAGCCAAAGACAGATGGCCCAGGAAGCCGGCGGCCAGTGGGAGGCCAAAGCAGGTGTACCTCCAGGAGGCTCCAGTAACCAAGTGCAGCCATGTGGCGCTAGGCCGGGTTTGTTTGTTGGCCAGTGGAGACGATTGTGGGGAGCGTCTCCTTCGATTTGCCCGGGTTGGCAACTGGTTCAAGGAGAAGGCCCCTCTGTACTTTAGGCGCAGACCAGCCGTTCTGGGGAGGGCAGATGGTACCTCTAGTACTTGAACAATGACTTGTTAAACATGGCAACTAGAATGAAAGATTGTGTCGACCGGAAACTGAGAGTCGCATGCCAATGCAGGCTCTACCAATAGTTACATACAGGGAGGCCGCTGGGCAGATATTCACCAGTAGACATGACAAATATAACTAGGTGGTTATACGGCAGTCGATAATACCACCACTACAGACGAACCCCAGACAATTGGCAAGGCAAGGAGTCAGCAATGAAAGGGCAAAGGAAAGGAAGGGTAAAGGGCAAAGAGCAAAGAGGGACTGCACTGACTGCACTGGTACTTGAATTACTTGCATCGCCTTCTTTTTTGTGGGCTGCAGCGCCAGTGCCCCAGCAAGGCGGCCGGTTGCAGGTACATGTGACCCTGGCATTGAAGGGAGGCTCCTCCTGTAACTGCACCTGCTTGTGTGGTGTACTGGCATCTCGGCCGGCGCTGAAGACGGCCAGCCAGGCACGCACCCACTGTACTGCAGGGGCAGCACTCTCCCCAGTTACATCTGCTTGCTTGCTGATGTTGATGCTGATGATGCTCCAGTGCGGCGTCTAATCAATTCCCTTAAACGGGTAATAATTGCGTTCGGACGGTGTCAGGTCAGTGCTCCTAGTCAATCTGCGAATAGATCTTCCCCAACTAGTTTTTATTATTCGCCAAGTTGGCGGTTTGTTGCTCAGCTACCACACATCAACAATGCCCGAGCCCTGCCTTGTCCAACCTGATAATCTGCCCGATACGGTAGCACCTCAAATGTACCGACCATGATGCGCATGCATCTTGGCTTCTGTCGTGCACCATCCAACTCCTGGATTAACAGATATAATTAGACGGCGCACAACCATTGCCATGGTGCCACCACACCGCCGCACACATGTACGGTCCTCGACCCAACGGGATGCGCAGGAATGAAACGGCGCACGCTGACAGGTCAGGACACGACAGCCCGCAGTCCCGGAGATTGAACACAAAGCCCCCGTAATACAAGAAGGCGAAGATGCCTCGGGGAGAAAAGGCCACCAGCGCCATCTGCACGCTGCATTGTGGCTTGACGGGCTGCCTGTCTGGTCTTTGTTTGTCTTGTGCTGCTGGCCTGGCCTGGCCTGACCTGACCTTGCACCCCTTTTTCGACAGCGAGACACTCACACGGCTGTGCAAGCCGCCACAGGCAGCTGACGCCAGTGACCTGCAGGCTGCGGATCACACAAGCAGCACAGGCAGGACCGACAGAAACAGACGGGAGACGTTCCGCGTGGGATAAAGTAAACGGGATAAAGAAAATGTAACAACAAACAGCACTTGCCTTTGCACCATCCTACATTACTTGTACTAATACAACCTGAGCCTCCGTTTTTCCAGCCGCCTGTTACCTCACCATCGTTGCGTCCAGTAATACCAGGCACCTCACGTTTTACTGACTTGCTTTTTCCCCCTCATCATCAACTGATGAGTCCTCTTGTGCCTCATGCCACTTTGCATTCTCCAATGGGTCACTTGCTGCACCAATGTACCATGTGCCAACTTTACAACCAGAGTTACCCAGAATCCAACACCACCTCAGCTGCTCAGCGCAGTGCTGTGGGGTCCGCTAGCCATGTCCCTAAACCAAGGCCCGCACGGTACGAGCCTTTTAGCGCTCTACGCCAAAACGCCCAGTCAATAGTCAGGCACACAGCCTGATGATCCATTCAAACATCCACCATCTACCTTCCAACCTCGATCAACCATTAACAATGGAGCTAATATTGCCTTTTATTTATTTCCCTCATCACCGTTCTTTATCGTATACCATTATACGCTAGTCGCGGTATCCGAATTCAGTCTCATCTTGCCGCTTGGCTCTGTCCGATCCACACAGTCCCACGATGCCACGCCCTCGGCTCGCCTCCTGTTGCTTTTTGCCTGTCAGAATCGACGCTGGGGCGACACTGCATGTGTCATCTCTTCTGTCCTACATACATGTACATGCCATGTGTCAAACATCAGAAAAGGTCTACAAGAACTAATTACGCCTCTTCTACAGGAGTCTTCCACAAGTCGTCAGTCAACCTCTTATGGACACACAAAGCACGGCCGTCCATCGAACCACACGCACCTCAAGTTAGCCCCAAACAACACCAGCTGTAAATCCATAATATAGAGTTGCATGATGCTTCTGTCACGGAGTCTCTGCGCACAAGATCATGTTGCTCAAATCCAATGGCTGCGTCAATTCTCCGGTCCGCAACACCACGCCAAGAAAGGTCAGCACGGCAGCCGGTGTCAGACCACGATAGTCCTCTCAAACGCAAAACATAAACAAAGCCCAACGACGTGCACGCATAAGCCAGCGTGTTCGTGTCTATCCGCATCTATGTAGGGCAAGGCATCAATCAATATATACACGCCCAAGCACACCTGCAAGCCTGCTGCCGGATTCCTCCCCGTCGACATGATGCGACATGACCCAACGTTGGCCCGTGTTTGACTTGACCTTCTCAAGTTCCCTTGAAGTCAAGTGCCAATGAGATAGCAGGAAAGAGCTGGCGGTCGTCTTCCGGATGGCGCAGCGCAATCATGAACATGGGTGAACTGGTCGCGCAGCCGCCTTCCATCTGCACCAGGGCATCAGCTTGGTCAATGCAGCGCGCGGAGCCAGCCCGCGCCTTGTTTTGTTGCTCACTTGTGAGTCTGGATATTCATAGACGCTTCGTATCCCTCGTGCACGCACCATCACGCTCTCGTCCGCGGGACTGTACCTTGCAGTTTGCCGCCTTGTCTCTGAACCAGAGCCTCGCCCATGTTCCCTGTCAGGTTGCTGGCATGCAACCCCGGACGGAACCCCCTGTGGGCAGCGATCATACTTGGTACATCACAATAACGGAACTAACTATAGTTAGTTGGATGCATAACCTGCAACGACTTTTTTTTTTTTTTGGCTTGCGAATTGCCTTCAATTTTGGCAAGTTTCGGTTTCCCCGGATGGCATGAAACCGGCCATGGTCAAACTCCCCATCAGACAGACAAGCCGGATCGGGCAGGTATTGACGGTGTCGAAAACAATGGCCTCTCTACGCAATGACACTATTTTCGTGCGGGCTAATAAGACTAGCAACGATGATCCTGATGGCCTGCCGATGACAAGGGCACGCTTCCGCCGTTACGGCGATAGACGACAGTGCATATGCGCAACAATTGCCCCGTAGCGGCAAACGCAGAGACAGTATGTGACGAATGTGCATGGGTCTTCCCGCTCCCCACGGCAAGAGTCAGATGTTGAGTCAAAACCTCCATGTAATCTGCAAGCGTGACCGAGATGCCTACTACCAGTCCAGCTCACGACTCGGATAGTTAGACGACTTCGCATCGCCAGGTCTACCGGGTTCAGCGGTGTAGGCTGCAACAAGGCACGAGTCGATCAGAGACATGGCTGACAGCCAAGCGTCATGCGAACGACCATCAAGGACCTGCCCTCTCCGAGCACCCTTTGCAACTCCATACCTATTGCCACCTGCTCCCCAGTGCTAGCGCCGCCAATCTCCCTCCCTTGCGCAACGCCTTGGCATTGCGATTGGCCTGCTAATATCATTCAGACTTCCTAATACCACCATGTATGGCAGCTGCACTCGATCAGTCCAGCTTCTTCAGCTTCGGCCAACTCGTCGCGAGATGCGACTGTTAATAATGGACGAATTCCTCCCCCGTAGTGAAGTAGACAGCCAAGACTCTCGGGTTCCCCATACAAGACCAACTAATAAACGGGCCCGAATTCGTCACAGTCATAATTCCTACTAGGATGTGTGGGATTCCTTTTTGCTTCTTTAATTGCAGTGGATACGGGGGGAATTAACTCTGCACAATCGTTATGCGCTGGCCCTGCAGGAAAAAGGTCGCCAGTTCGTTCTCGATAACCCCTGGTCGGCGCTAGTTGCTGAGAGATGCTTGGTGGGCTCGTGTATATTATGCAACTGTTTTTGTTGTATTATTTTCCTTTTTTTCCTTTTTTTTTTCTTTTTTTTCTTTTTTTCTGGCTGTTTTGCTTTTTTGCATTGCCAACGGTTTGCGTTAATTCCGGGTCCGGCGCGTACGCATGCAAGCCCAATTGTTCCAGTGCGCGCGCCTCGACAATTGCTCACAGCTAGTCCGTATTGTAGCCGCCCTTCCTACGTTCGACGATAATAATTAGCTATGCTCTTCGTCACTAATTATAACAACAGACGAAGTATCGTGTCCGCAAAAGCAACCATTCTCCAGGCACCCACCAATAACTCTGCCCATGGGAACGAATCCCTGCGAATGACGTGGGCTCAGCTACTATCGACGATACTATCCCGGCACTGGTCCTCTTTGCCCCCCTGTTCTCATGAATCGAAATCTCAAACTGGTTTCGCCCAGAATGGCGAAATGAAATCCTCGCCCTCGACTTCGCACTACTTTGTAGCTCCTCCCGTCGTCGCAACGAAAGGCCCTCGCATCGCGTTGTCGGATGGCACTCTCACTATGGAAACGTATTGAGGGGAGTTCTCCTTTTTCTCACTGCGCCAATCACCACGGCTTGATATTCGCGACCTAATATCATCCCATTCAAGGTTTCCGTCACCGATTCTCTCCCTCGTGTACCTTATTTCCGCCACATTGATATCGTGACTAGTTCATAGCCTAACTCCAGCGTACCAAATATTAATCTACATCACGGTTTATGTATACCCTGATCGCATGTGGGTGCTATAAATGCCTGCTTCGATTTCCCTTAAGCTTCTCGCCATCGACACTATCAAGACTGCGAAATACAGCCAACGCCTTACTTGACAGGGGCAGCACTAAGATCTGCTGATATCAGGACCGGATGTCTCCAAGACATGTGTTCGTTCTAGCGGCTCTCGCCCTGTGTGTGATGTTCAACTTGAGCGGCCGCTTTACATCGCTACGGGTCTCAAAAGGTCTAATGTAGCCCCCAACCCTGCGTCTCAGTTGCCATTGCCAGGAAAGCGAGGGATACATTTCAACAATACAAACACAATCCCAGTAACTTACCGGTTATCTGCATGTTGCTGGCATTGTTTGACGCAGCATTTCAGCAATCCCGCTGGTTTGATTTGTCACTATGCGACACTGTATGCATGAGTTGTAGGCGGTCCGACGGGATCAACCGTGGGGCGAGTTGACGCATAGTTATAGTTGAGTAAATGTTTGTCTGGGGTGTTCTCGTTGGTGTCTTGTTTATTACCTTATGGGTTGTTTGCAAGGTCCTGTCATGTAATGCCTTACAAGGCTTCATCTATTATGTAGAGTGATTGGTTGAAGAGTTGTTGACAAGGTCAACCCTGACCAAGGAAGACAACGCGTATTTGTCATGGAACATGTAGCAGCAATTAAAAAATTGCAAAGGGCATTGCATAGCATTACTGTAAGATATCTCTCTGAAATTCCATTGCTAATGCCGCTTCGAGGTAGCATAATGTCACAATTCAAGGTACCGGGTATCTAGCAAATGATGTCAAAGCGGCCAGCATCCACACCGCCTTTCCCCATCCGCGGGCGGTCCCGCTAGCATATGCTTTTAAGCGGCAGAAAAAAAAAAATCACTGCCGTGGATGGTGGACTAGTTTTGCGCTGGCGATGGGATGTGAGGCAGAATCGACCCAAGCAGCCCAATAGAAAAATGACGGAAACTACATCGATTCCCGAAGCGACCCAGGCCGACAAGCCCCTGGGTATGCGACAAAATGGTAACTACCTCCCGAGTGCTTATTGGCGCCCCGACGCTGACACACCAGTCAGGCAAGCAGTGGCATGCGCCGAAAAAGGCCTTTCGCCCGACCGCAGGCCTCACATCGTACGAGAAGCGCACCAAGGAGCGCGCCTTGATGGCGCAGATGAAGGCCAAGGAGAATGAGATGAAGGCGGAGAAGAAGGCAGAGCGCCAGGTACGGACAAGCACTGGCACCAACACGACCCTGCACAAGACTGTGGAAACTGACATGACCTCACGCCCCTTCGCAGCGCAAGGTTGACGCGATCCGCGAGAAGCGAGCAAAGAAGGAGGAGAAGGAGCGATACGAGAAGCTGGCCGAGAAGATGCACAAGAAGCGCATCGAGCGCCTGAAGCGCAAGGAGAAGCGCAACAAGCTGATCAACTCGTGAGCGGCGCGCCGACGACGAGCATTTGACGAGACACGCGTTAGCCGATTCAGCGACAGTAACATTCTCTCTGTTTCCTACAAACATGCTCCCTTTGTGTGCTGGCTGCAAAGGTCTCGATTACCGCCCCAAGTTTGGAAGGGCATTCCTAGAGTCTCGGCATCGTCACGGCTCGTGCAGCAAATTGCATTTTAATAGGATATGAGATGGAGGATCCATAATAGAGACCTCATTTCGGAAGACAATCTGAAAGCGCTCGGTTGGGGGTGTTGTCTTCTATCACGATGCATTCCTCCTTTCGTTTTCTTCCGATATCAACACGCGACCGAAATACCCGGCAATGACACCAACCAGCAAAAACTTTATACGGAAAGGATAAATCTCATGACTGCCATAGTATTGCATAAAGAATTCAAAGTATTACAGGAAGTCTGGTGTATTAAATCGATTTTGTACTGAGTGGTACAGGGTGTGACCTGCGGGCAACTTTCGGGGGAATGAACAATAAAGAACGCGAGTATTAAAATAGAAACTCCAATATTGATGACGATCCGCCGTTTCATTTTCCGTTGTTAATTGTCCGGCCTTGTTTACTATGTGGTAACATGGGCTTAGACAAGGTCTGGCTTCTTTGGCATGTGAATATATGAGATGACGGGGACCAAATCTGCGCCACCTTAACAGGCGGGGGTGGTCACCCGGATTTTGCAACTGGCCACTACTGGCGTAACAAGCTCCGCCTCGTCAAGCTCGTTTTTCCCACCGAGAACATCTTCTTGCAACCGCAGTACGAAATGAAACATTGAAAATACACGAGATAACAATCCTGATTGCATTTACCCTGTATATGGGGCCTCGGGCTACGTAGGTGCGGTGAGGCTCAACCTTCCAGGACAAGATAGCATCATGTCTAGCACAAACCTTGCCGCCTCGCCCCAGACCACGACGTCGCCGACTCGACGCCATCAAATCAAGCGATCGCTCTCCGAGCTTACATCCCCGGGCAAGCCGAGCCGGACCCGAAAGGAGCGCCTGGGCAACGGCAACTACGATGAAGGAAGCGGCGTTGCGGGGGCCAGCGGCACCCGGCTTCTTCGCCAGCCGCCTCTGGCCCCCAGCGACGCTCGCATGTCGCTTGACACGCCACGCAGCAACAATTTGTCGCCTACCATGAGCCCGGACCAGAGCAGGCGAGGCAGCGTGCTAATCCCGCCAGTCGCGCCGTCGCTGGCCAGGGAGAGCAAGGAGCAGCAGCAGAGGGCGAGCTCGATGGAGAGCAGCGGCAATGCTGCCCAGCTGCGACAGAGCCAGGCGAGAATAGCTGGCCGCACCGAGTATGTCTCCGGAATGCACGCACTGTCACAAGGGTGGGAGGACGATTTTTAGCTGACCACGAACGGATAGGACGCTCACGCAATCCCTCGCCGAGCTCAATGACTTCTCGGCCAATGCATCGCGGCAGCTCGACGACGCCTACTACGCCGTGCTCGAGAAGATGAGCGCCCTGCACGTCACCATCGCGTCGCTCAAGGGGCTGGCCGAGACGTCGCACGCCATCCACGAGACGTTCGAGAGGGACTCGCGCGGGCTGGAGAACCAGATCGCGACGCAGCTGGGCGCCATGGGCCACTTCCAGAACCACCAGGCCAAGGTGACGGCGCTGCGGCGGCGCATCGACAAGGGCCGCGCGCGGGTCGGGGCGCTGGGCGACCGGGTCGACGCGGTGCGGCAGCGGATCGAGCGGTGGGAGCGCGCGGACCGTCAGTGGCAGGAGCGCACGCGGCGCCGGCTCAAGATTGTCTGGTCCGTCATGTCGGCCGCGGTGCTGGTGCTGATCGTCTTGATGTGGACGGTGAGCAGCAGCGGCGGCAGCTCCGGCACTCCTGATGGTAAGGGGCGGGCGGCGGCGGCGCGGGGCGGCGCGACGGACGACCTGGGCCGCGCCATCTCCGTCCTGGAGCCGCTCAACTCGTCCGACTCGAGGCAGCCGCCGGGGCCGGAGGTCACGGAGACGAGGCGCACGAGGATCCTGTGGAAGACGCCGGTACGGGGAACGGATCGCCTGCGGGCCTTTGACGAGCTCTAAGAACATGGATCATTACCATTTCCAGGGTGGGAGATGACGCCTGCCAAGAAGGGAAGCAACATTCGACATTGGCAGCTCCGCTGTTATTACGCCGTTCTTTGGCGCTGGCCGGGGGGAGCCAAGTTGTCGGCAGCCCCGAGTTGGCTGCATGAGGCTGCAGCGAAACGTCACGCGCTGGGTCACTGCCACTGCCACGGCGGAGCTGCAGCTGAAGTTGTTTAACGGATACCAGTCGTGGAAAGTTGTTGTTTAACAGCAAGTGGGGAAGTCTCCGTTTGTGTTTTTTTTTTATTTCCTCATCTTGCATGAAGCGTCATTTAAATCTGTATTATTTCCTTTTTGGCGGAAATGAGTCGAGGTCCAGGCCCTTTGCCGCCAGCCTCTGACGAGCCGCACATACATTGCGTACTATACCCCCTTGTATTCGAGTAATTGAATTAGCATTCTGCCAGCTATCCAATCAGAGACCCTGAGGTGCACTGCCTAGTTATACTGTTCTCGGTTCTGCTTGCCGAGGAACCAGTTTACAGAGAAATTGGCGATGGCGAATGATAGCACTTTTGTAAGAGAACTGATGGCTGAAGAAGAAATGAAGAATGCCGTAAGGATTACAAGGGATAAGTGCTGAAATTCCCTGACGCGGCACAAATCGGCACCTCGGCGCCTTCACGGCTACATATGTTTTTGGACGGCGATGCAGCCTACCTGACTTACTAAGTTAGTTACACAGTAATGCGGGAACCATGCCGGTACGGAGACAGCTTGCTGCTTGGGCATAGACTGGACCGGATCAGTTGCGTAAAGCACAGCGGCGCAGAAATGCAAACGCAATTACAAAAAAAAAAGAGTAAGAAAATAAACAGGAAACGATGAGAATAGCAAGCTGCAAGGGCCACATTATACACGTCGTCCTTGTCCTTGTGCGTCCCACGCACTGCCTCGGTGCCAAGAGCGCGTAAGCCCTGCTGAGCCACATACTACTCATCTTCGTGCATGGGCAGGTAGAACGGGCTAGAGAATTGGGCATCAAGAAGGATAGAAAACCGAAGTACTTTTTGCCGCCTCATGATGGCCAATGGCGAAGTTTGCATGGGTTTGATGTGTTTGGGCCGACACCGGTGCCAACCAGAGCTGGTGATGCTCAGGAAACAGGCATGAATGCATTGAATAAGTGAATGGCGGCTAGTTCTCTGCGACCTGGCAATAAGACGGGTAATTAATGAGGCATGGGCGCCTTCTCTCCTTTTTATTTTGGATATGGGACGTAGGCGGCGAAGGAAAAAAGGACGTACGTACTCGTTGATGTGTATGGGAGAACCATATTAACGACGTCATAGGTAATTGTATGATGGGCCTTCGGCATATGCAGCCGAGAACGCGTAGGAGGGGGGAGAGGAGGGGGAAAAATCAAGTATAAATTTAGGACGCAAGCTGAGGCACGTTGGCATTTTCACTGGCAAGGAAGAAATTGTTGGCCTAGTAAACAATTTCAGCGTCATCGGCGTAGTTTTCCATTATCAAGCAAAGCAGAGGCAATACAGTGGGCGAAGTTGGCCGTAGCCCCTCGTCCCCCGCTGTACAAACTGTTATCTCCAGTGTTGTAATAAGCGCCGCAACGCTGCCGTGAATCAGCATCAGCCACATCAGAGAGGGGCAACGCCGCAAGCCAGCCTCGGGCTGAGCAACAAGGCGTCCAATCTCAGCTGTCAGAAAGCTTTCCCCAGTATAAGGTTATTACGCGCCCAGTTTGCTGCTTCCAAGTTTTCCCCTCCTCCAAGTTTTCCTTCCTAGCAACAACTCGGCAGACGAAGCAAGAAGCGGAAGTACGAGTGTCTTGTAGTCTACTGTCTCTTCTTCTCGCCCGGCTTTCTTTATTCTTCTTGGCTGTGTCGTACGGCCTTGCGCCGCGACCGCTATTGATACCCAGTCGTCTCCCGTTTGCCGTTGCTGGGGTAAGCTCCTACCTTGTACCAAGCTGACGCAATTACCGCTTTACAACCTCTTGTCCTCCCATCTGCTGTCCTACGACCTTTCTTCCGCCATTTCTGCTTTGAGTGGTCCAATTACACTTCGCAGCGTTGACCCGAAAGCCATCGCCGAGACCGAAGGCCTAGACATACGTTGGGCTGATTATCGATAACACCCACCACACCCACCACACCAACCCGAAACCCGACGCACCAGGAAACATCACCACTTTTAGCCATGACCGGCGACAATCAAGAAACGCTCGTCGAGGCCACCGCCGCCCAGGATGGCGCCTCCTTGCAAATTACCAAGACCAGGTCCTCTGAGCTGCCCCCAGAGGGACAGTCCCTCACCGGAAAGCAAGAACATTGTGAGTAGCTGCACCCCCGCCCCTCTCCGAACGCCGGAGCCATTCGCCCAAGCACCTACCTACTTGCTAATGCGCCATTGCTTCAGACCTGAAGCGAGAGCTCATGGCCGAGCAGAGTGTATATGAAATCAACGAGCTTAATTCTCCCACTGCGCTCCAGCGCTTCGGCTCCCCCTTTCGATCTGAACACGGCGAGATCTCCCCGCAAGAATCAGAGCTGCCCCTTCTGCGATACATTTTCGTTCACCATGTCCGCGACTTTCCCTTTCTCGACAAGGCGCGCGAAAAGGAATTCTGGCAGGACAAACTACAAGTCGTACGTCTCTTTATGAACCTGACATGCAATAGTCGAAACCGCAGCTGCTAACATTTTATTACCCCCGCAGTTCCTCGAGTCCTTTGCAACCAAGCACATCTCCTCTTCAGAGGACCGCCTCGAAGAGACAAAGCGGAGAAAACTCGCCATCAAAGCCCAAAAGATGGTCGAACTCATGATGGTCTCTGGAATCGGCACTTCCTCTGGCTTCGAAGAGCGCATCCGATTCTCCGAGCTTGATATTGTCGATTCCAACGCCATTGACACCGGTGTTATGCACACTATCCCCGAGGGAAACTACATCAACGGTTGGGACGTGAACGTGGCCGCCGTGCGCACCGTTTCGATCAAGCGCAACATTCGTCAACATAAGCACTCCGAGTTTATCCTCCGCGTTAAGAAGAAGGGCGAACTGGAGCACTTTATCGCCCGCCGCTACGGTGACTTCAGCCGTCTACACAAGCGTATTCGAACTGAGCTGCCCGGCCGCGCCCTCCCCTCATTGCCAAGGAAGAACAAGTCAAGTTCCACGGCGTCGACCATAATGTCCGCCTTTGGTGGCAACGCCGACTCTGACGATGGAGCTAGTCTGTCCACCGTGTCGACGCGATTGACTCGCCTGTCTGTGGAACCTGATGCGCCGTCTGCTAGATTATCGCCTGGACACCAAAGAGCTGGCTCTCTTAGATCGATGCAATCAAGCACTTCCAGGAATGGAAATTCGCCTCGACTCTCTGCTGATGGGAGACTGGCTCCTGGTGGCGCTACGCCAGATCGTGTTCCTAATGGAGATGTACGTATTGGCGTTAAAATTGAGTCGGAACAAACCAACCGCTAATTTTATTATAGACTGTTGTACTCGGCCGCGAGAAGCAGAGAATCTCTCTGCGATCCTTCATCCGCTCTATGCTACACAATCCGCAGGTGGCCAACACAGTTGCCATGGAGCAGTTCTTGACTACGGACACCATCACACCAACTGACGAAGATGTTGAGGATATTGTCCGCCGCAAGGCCCTAGACGAGAAGCGTGTCGAGGAACAAAAGAACTTTTACGAAATCGCTCGCAAACGTGCGGCTGAGCTTGATGAGTACATGGAACAGTTTCGACGGGACATTGTCGAGCGCAACGGTCTCACCATGCTCTTCAAGGAAATCAAGGAAAAGAAGACAATCGGAGACCTCAGCATCCAGTATCGGAAGTTTGCAGAGTGGCTGCGCATCGAAGTTGCTGCCGTCATCTACCACCTCTTTTTGGCTGAGGACAATTCCCCAGAGGTATTTGCGCAGGCCCGGAGGATTCACTCGTTGGTGCCTTATACCATCATCAAGAATATCATTCGCATCGCCAACCCGGCTGCTGTCATGTCAGGCATATTGGACGTGTTCATGGCGCAACCGTTTGGTACGCGCTCGTTGCTGCAGCGCATATTTTCCCTGACCTTAAACGACGGCATCAGGAGCTTCCAGAAATCTATTGACATCCTCAATGGCAAGATTGGTGACCCGACATTCTCGGAGAAGCTACAACGATATACAAATGCCGAGGAGCACATTAAGACGGCTATTCGGCAAGAGGCAGAAGACGAGAACATGGATCTCGTTGTCACCATTTTGCGCTCGGATTTGTTGGAGCCTGAGCTGACGGGACCACAGACCCAGCGGCTCTTTAATGCCTACGTCGCCTTCAATAACGCTGTAGAAAACATTGACGAGGAGCTCAAGCAAGGCGCTGAGCTCTTCTCTCACCTCAAGCAGCTTCTCAAGTTGTGCACGCGTCAGCGTGACAAGGCCATGATGCTGAATCTCGTCGAGGAGCCCGTCACACTGCAGCTCTTCCGCGACTTGTTTACTATTTTCTACGAGCCCCTCGTCCGCGTCTACAAGTCAGCCAACGTCTACAACAGTGTGACCGACTTTTCAGATTTTTTCAACGACATCATCCAGACGGTGGACAAGTGCCGGGAGCAAGACGCATCCGCGGACCCCAATCAGACGGTTCAGGCGTTTATCGACTTGTGCCAGCGCCATGAGCACAATTTTTACAAGTTTGTTCATGAGGTCCACACCCACGACAATGGGCTCTTCACCCAGCTCATGGGATGGATTGAGGGGATCCTCGAATTCCTCCGTAAAGGCCCCAAAAATGGCACGCTTAACGTCAACGCGTTATTTGAAGGTGGCGTCAGCACGGGCACCATTGACAAGGAAAAGGCAATTGAGGAGATTAACGCGCTGATCGCGTGGCAAGAGGCGCGAAAGAAGTGGCACAATGACAAGACGCGGCAAAAGATGGCCGCCGAGTCCAATGCAGCCGGCGGCATGGGCGGCAGCCTGGTGACCGGCGGTCTCGGCTTTGACGTCTCCGACTTTGGCCTCGACAGCGCTGACGTTGAGGATTTCAACAACTTCCACGACGAGGACTCGGAGGACGAGCTCGAAGCCGAGGCCGAGGATGAGCTGGACCCGATCGAGGCAGAGCGCCGGCGCAGGCAGAAGCAGCAGCACACCCTACGGCGTAGGGCGGGCGAGCCGGTCAAGCCCAAGATTGAGGAGGTGCACAAGCTCCATGACAACTTTTTGGTCATGCTGCGCGAGGTTCTCGCAGATTAGACTTGGATGGAACACTAAATATGCATCTCTGTGTGTTGTGGCTGGGAAGAGATATATACATGTTGTCCTGCGGGTTGTTCATATCATAGAGTGTTTTTGTCAGTGGTTTCTTTCGAGAGTGTCTTTTTGGCCTACGATACACACCAGTTCACATGGCATTACTACATAATCGCATTGCATTCGTCCGTTTCCTACATCTTTTCGTCCTATTCACGTAGGTTGTTGTTCATCACGGCGCTGGTAGTTTTGCTTCTCTTATAAACTTTTTTTTTTCAATCGTCATTCGCTCTGTAAACAGCATCATCTTTAAGGGAGGACATTAAAAAAACAAATAAACAAGACCCCCTCTCGCCAGTATATCCTCCTTCAAGATCATCCATCACCCCACACTTTTTTCTCTCTCTATTCAGTAGATGAATCCCGAACAGAAAAACAATTCAAGTCGACTTGGTTTGGATACTGTCGACTTGTCCCCAGCCCTCTCTATTCTTCGTACTTCCTTCCTTCCACCCCCTTGTCCCGTTTTCGTTTCATTCATGCCAAAAACGAGCCATAGGGAGAACCCCCTCCTCCTCAATATGCGTTATACTTTTCATTGCGCCGTATACATGGTATTGAACTTTGCAAAATTTGTCTTTTGGTCCTTCTTTTTCCCAGCCGAGACGAACCTTGGGGAGACTTTTGTGTGTTTACTCATGCGTCGTAGCCGAAATAACATCCCCCATCCACCAATGATGATTTTGTATGCGTGCTGGAAAAAAAAGAAGTAGACAAACAATTAAAAACAGGCTCGTCGACACATCTTGAAATTAGTCGTCGTTGTCAGTACGTTCGCGCTGCTGTCGGCGACGCTCGCCGCCCTGGTTGCCGCCGGCGCCGGCGCCGGCCAGCTTGCGCTCCAGCTCCAGGGCCTCGCGCTCGCGGGTGGCCTTGGCGGCGGCCTGCTCCTGCAGGAGGACGGTGAGGACGTTGCCGAGGGTGGCGCGCCAGTGGTCGACGCGGGTGGCGAGCTCCTGGTACTGCTTCTGGCCGAAGACGCGGTAGGTGACCTTGTGGACGAGGAACATGCGGCGCTGCTGCGAGAGCTTGCCCTCGACGAGGCCGGCGCGGACGACATCGATGGTCCAGCGCTCGACCTCATCGGTGGGGATCTGGAGGGCGCGGCAGATCTTGTCGTAGGCGATCTCGCGCGAGGGCGTGGCGGCCGCGAGGCTGGCAAAGGTCAGCAGGCGCATCTTGCGGTGCAGGCGGTCACCGTCGAGTTTCTGCTGCGCGACCCAGCCAGCGTGCTCGTCGTTGAAGTCGTTGTAGTCCTCGAGGTCCTGCTCGGCGAAGATGTCGAGGAGCTGCGCGTAGACGGGGTGCGTGTCGGCGAGCGCCTGTATCGAGGGGATGGCGCGAAGGTCCTGGAAGAGGAAGTAGGTGTTGGAGAGGAGCGCAATCTTGACGGCGCGGAGGGACAGGCGCTGGGCGTCGTCCGAGGTGAGCTCCTCCTTGTCGTCGGCGTCAAAGGTGCGGAGGGCCTTGAGCAGGAACTCGTAGCTTTCACTTTGAAATGGTAATTAGCATTCCCCTCTTAGAAAACGTGCGTGCATCTCTATCTACATCCGCCGACGGCAACGACATATTGGGCAAGGCAACGTACCTCTCTTCGCCAGCCTCGGCGGCCACGTCGGCCACCTCCTCGTAAATCTTGCGCTCAATCTCCTCGCCGGCACCCCAGGACTCCAGCCACGCGGGCAGGCGCTCGAGGTACGTCCGCAGGCTGTCGAACATGCCCTGGGCCTTGAGAAACTTGAGGATCTCCATGAAGACGCGCGCGCGGATGGGGTCGGCCGGCTCGAGCAGGTTGAAGACGGTGGAGAGGGCGTTGAGCGAGAGGCCGGCGCCGTGGACGGGCGAGTTGCCCATGGGCTTGGCAAAGTTGGCGCAGAGCGCGGGCAGGTACTTTTTCGGATCGGCCGACTGCAGCACCAGGTGGATCATGAGGTTCGACGCCGCCGTGTACTCCTTCTCGGGGACCGTGTTGAGAGCGCTCGAGGCCGCGACTAGCTTGGCGAGGACGTCCTCCTTGGAGGGCGCCTTGTCGCCGCTCAGCAGCTGCTTCGCGTCCTCGGCCTTGAGGTAGTCGGCCATCTCCCGGGCCAGCTCCTCGAAGGAGCCGTCGACGAAGAGCAGCTGAGGCTGCGCGTCGCTCTTGGCAGCAGGCATGTTGTCGTCGTGGGGTTCCGCGGTTGTGCTTCTGCTTTGGTTGGTTTCCGTCGATCGAGGTTCAGGGTGTATTTTGGCGATGGGATATGCCCTCGTTTTGGCAGGGTTGATTATCGACGCGGAGGGACTCTTTCACCACACCACACACACAGTAGACAGTAGGCGGGGAGTGGGAAAAATTGGACACACGAGGCACAGCACAGAGAGGTTGACTCAGCGGAGGGGCCAACCGAAAAGGTAAAGGTGGGTGGTGCTTTAGCGTCAACTTGATCCCAGTGGTGGATGTCAATGAGAGGAGGGATTGAACTGGGCTACCAAAGTGTGATACAGGGCGGGCAGTCAGTCAGTGCAGTTTGCTATAACCCTTGGGGCGGGGCTGTCTTTTTGGCAGTTGCTGCTGTGTCGCTGTGAACTTCCAATCCGTGCTTTCCACCAAGACCCCGCCAAAATTTCTGCCGTCTCAAAATGTGGGCGCTAAGCGAGAGCGGTGGCCTGTAAAGGGGCAGGTGATTTCGCACGTGACCCTTCTCAATACCTTGCAACTTTCAACTTTCCAACAACCAAGCATTGTGTATTAGTAGTTATGTATTATCACGATGAAGACGAACAAGGTCTTTACTGTAGCAATGTTGATTTAAGACTTTTGGTACTCCTAACCACCATTCCAACATGAAACCCGAGAATGAGTTCAAGTCAGCACGTAACCTAACAAAGCCACCAACAATCAACGTCTCCAACATCCCCTCTCTGTCCATGTGAACCCAAACGTACAAACAATGTCTGATATCTATGTACAATGCAATGAAAAAAAAAACACAAGAATGCCAATACTCGAATGCTGCTATACATAAAAAACGGTTGATAGAAGAAAAAGAAAACACCAAGACAGCGTATTAACGCGGCACTCTCAGTGACTGCCCTTATCTGCCTTTGCCTTTGGCATGGTCTGGATAAAGGACTTGGTCACCTTTGCCACCCATCTCCATAAATTCTGCAGGAGCTCGCTGCGCTGATGGTGCTTGTTCGCGAGGGACGTTGATAATGCGATCCCTCGGGTTGAAGACCTTGACTGGGTTTTTAGCATTGCCAGCTGTGACATGCTCCGGAACCAGCACCTGATTATAATGGCACAACAGGGTGCGCTCTCGCTTTGTGGCCCTACGATTCACCTCAAGACCAGCAATGCCGCCAACAAGGCCACCGGTGCTATCGTTAACGTTCATCGGTTGCTGCGTGAGCCATGGGTGGGAAAGGCATTGGTCGACCGTGAATCTCTTCTCAGGGTCGACAACCAGCATCGAATCAATGAGATCCACTAGGAAGCCGTTAGTTTGGTCATGCCAAGGATTGATTGAGGGCTACTTACAGGCTGGGTCACCGACAGAGTCCCAGTACGGCGACGGGTAGTCGAAGCGGCCGCTCCTAATCTGCTGGGAGAGGTTGTAGGGGAAATCCGCAGACAGGAGCTCGTCAGAAAATGGTGGGAAGCCGCACAAGCAAATGTAGAGCACAACACCCAAGGACCAGATGTCGACGGCCTTGGTGTACTTGCGTTGCTTAGACTCGGCAAGGATCTCAGGCGCGACGTAGCTGGGAGTGCCGCAGAGTGTAGTAGTAAATGATTGCTCGCCAATAATCTTGGCAAGACCAAAGTCAGCCAGTTTGACGTGGAGATCCTTGTCAACCAGCAGGATGTTCTCAGGCTTGATGTCCCGATGAACAATGTTGCGCTCGTGAAGATACTTGATACCATGGAACAGTTGCTTAAACAGTTTCCTGGTCTCGTCTTCACTGAGCTTAGACTTGGCAACAATGTAGTTGAAAAGCTCACCCTCCGGGGCGAGTTCTAGAACGAGATAGACGCGGTCTCGCTCGCTAAATGTATCCTTCAGACACAGCACGTTCGGGTGGCTGACGGCCATGAGCATGCCGATCTCTTGTTGTAGACCTTCCGTCTTTGACTTTTCGTCCACGCCAGGCGTTTTGGTGAAGATCTTGACGGCAAAGCGCTTGCCAGTCGATTTCTCAATGCACAAGTAGACTTCGGCAAAGTGACCCTTACCCAATTTCTGAAGTAGTGTGTATTGTTGTAGGAATGCGCTGGTGTGACGGCTTTTGGGGTACCGGAAGACAAATCGAGCGCGACCGTGAACGGCAATTTCATCGCCGTCTTCAAGTTCACGGCGTTGGTTGCGGCCAACAATGGCCTCGTTGACAAATGTACCGTTGCTGGATAAGTCCTCCACGATTGCAACTGCATCATTTCCGTTGTTTTCGGTAAAGATCAGACAGTGGCGATTGGAAACAACGCCCTCGCTCACGACAACATCTATAGCTAGTTAGGGACTAGAGGCGCTATGAATGAAAGAAAAGGGGTATGGCCATAACACCTACCGCACTCTGGGTGACGACCGATGAGGTATCCACGAGACGCAATACCGCCGATCTGTGTGCGCTCATAAGCCTCCTCTTCATGGATCGCGGGTGGTGTTTCACGGACGTTATCTTTCTTCTCGGCATTAGTGGCCGACTTGATTGAGTCATTGGGTGGGCAAGCGCATCGCTTCTTGAGGACCTTGGGCTTGTCGCCGTACTTTGCGTCCAGTGGAACAAGGAATCCCCAAACGCCCTCCTCGGTCGAGTCCTGTGCGTCGACGTCGAACTCGAGATGCTTGTCCAGGAGCTGGCTGACGGGCTGGGTATCCTGGGGAGGCGAGGAGAGGGCCTGGAGCTGCGCGTAGTCATCTTCGGTTTTGCGTGGCGTGGTCTCATCGACCGTCTTTGCGCCGGCAGGCGTGGGCGTCAGCTCCTTGGCGTCGCTCGAGCCGTAGGTCGCGTCGGTGGTGAGGGGGGACGGCAGGTGGTTGTCGCGGGAGACGGGCGTCTTGTCCTTGGCGGCGCCGTTGGGCGCATCGCGGTCCTCGGCGGAGATGCGGTCGGAGCGGCGAGGCTTCTTGCTCTCAGCCGGTTCGTCAGGCACGGTGCCCTTTGCGACGAGGACGTTGTCAGCGTGGTGAACGAGGAAACCAAGGAAAAAAAGACGGGCGGCGCGAGCACAAAGACTTACTCGGGCCCGCTTGAGAGAGCTCTTTTCGCCGCTAGGCGACATGACGAAGAGCAGGAGCAGAAGAAAAGAACGAGCACAGTAATAAGAGATCTATGTTGGTCGAGGGAAGCCAGGATAGCTAGGCAGCCAAGACTCAAGATGACGAGGTCCAGGCAGACAGTCAAAGGCAGGGAGGTTTCGAGCGAGGAGGGTCAATAAAAGGAAAGGGGGGGGAGGGAAGGAAGTCAGAGCAAGAAATGTGGCACGGATGCCCTTGTCGTAAATACAAACCCTCCGAAATAAAATGCAACTATGGAATTGGGCGTGACGCGCTGGTGCAAAGCGCTGGTGGATGAAGAAGAGAGGGAAGCCTCGTGCAGGTTTGGGGTGGGCTGATGGAGTCACTGGAGTCGCCTGGAGTCGCCTGGAGTCACTGCCGATGGAGCAGTTGGGATAGCAGGTGGTTCGCCTCGGCGGTGCGCACTGCATCATTCAGCAGACTCAATGCTGGTAACCAGCACCACTGCCACCAGGGAGGGAGCGAGTGGTCCTATGCATGTACTGTACATACAACATAAGGTAGGCTAGTGGTAGCCTGTTCTAGCGACCTGCTAACAACGGGGGGGAACTGCCTTGCTGACCGGTGCGGTGCCGCTTTTACCAGTGCTCTTTACCAGTGCCACTACATGCCCTCCTACATTCCCGGGGAAAAAAAAAAAGTAACAAATAAATTGGTTTCAAAAATATCAATCAAATTATCAAAGTCCATGTACATAAATTTTTAACCCAACTTCCCTCGAGAGCAAATGACCTCGCAGACTGTCCCAATGGCCTTAGGTTGTCTTGCGCCTCTCCAGCTAGACCAAGGCAGCCTTGTCCACCTAAAAAAAAGCGGCGTCCACTCTAGCCCTTCCAAAACCAGCAGCACCATCGCCACGATCTGGGAGCACCTACATACATAGACGTACCCACCAAGTACCTCTACACCCACCATAGCTGTAAACGGTACCCGTCCCAAACCTCGTACAACGCTCACCAACCTTCAACAAAAGTTGATGCGTGACTGGCAAGGCAGCCGACCAGGCGAACCATTCACACCCTGACAAGGCGTCCCTCCCTTTCCCCCCCTCCCCTTCTCCCCTCGTGAGCAACCAACCATCCAACACGAGGGCGCTCCATCGTGCCGCTTGGATTGATGTTTTCTTGATCTTCGGACCTGCCATTTCTGCTCTTCAACAGGTTGCGGCTCTCGCACCATACAAGGGAAAAAAGACCACTGAAACGGGTTCCTGCATTCCCTCATCTCGATTCCATGCACAGATCTTTGTGCGATGGAACATGGGGGGCCATCACCATGCCACGGGAGAGCTTCAATGCTTCGTCGCCACCCGCACTTTTGTGAGACAAACTTGTCATCACGTGGAAGGCCCCGCGTCGTAGACTCATCGTGACTCGATTTCCTTGTAGCTCAACGTCATTACCTTGCGCTTCTGTGTGTACAGTGCTTCCAGCGATTCCCCAACTACCATCGGCGTCAACAGCCATAGGGTAGCTGCTAAATATAATTGAGCAATAACACCTCGGACAAACGACCCGGTTTATCACATCTAGCTTTATGTGCTCCAGAAATGCTTCGTGAATTCCTGTCATTATTAATTACAGAGTACTTATGTTCCGTACCATCATGTCGTGTCCAACCATCTGTCGATATGTATTCCAGAAACAGAGAAAAAAGCAATGGGAGGAAAAGTCAAACCCAAAAGGCCATCCCGGAATTTAAAACCATGTCGTGAAACTCTATAGCCTTGTGGCACACCAGCTCTGTGTAGCTCCCCATTGGCCTCATCATCCATTGGTCGTGAAGAAAACCGATAAGCTGTGCGGGAGAAAGAAAAGTCGCCGCCACGATGTTGCTCATTGCAGCACCTTGGATCTTGAGAAACGAAACACTGTAGTAGTTCATGTGTCGCTGTCTGGCCGCACGCCTCGACTCCTTCTTCCGGCAGAAAAGAAAAAAGAAGGAAAAATAATACACGCCCTGTCCTTCTGCACGAAAGAAAAAAGAGAAGCGACAAGGGAAGAAGCGGCAGGGGCAGAAGGCAATGCTAGAAAAGCAGAAGAGACAAAAAAATACACCAGCCGCCAAATCAAAAGCAAAAAACCAGCGTCAAGAAGAGAAAGCGCCACAAATTATACCCAACCCATATTAACGTACCGTCCCTTACTTTAATAAACGTAACCTGTTGTTCATCCGTCCCATTAAATCGTGGCGGTTAAGTCGTTCTGCATTTCTGCGATAGCGCACTTCCATCATGTGGTAACATAGGCCAAGCCCCGTTAGTCGATCCCAAATGCCGTTCTCCTATTTCTCAGGAATTGGCGACCTGGCCAGTCTCCCACCGGCGCTGATGCGCTTCTGTAGTTTGGCAGTATCGGAGCGTGTTCTCTCCACCTCGCACCCACTGTTAGGGAGCACTTGGACCGAGTCTCTTACTCCTGCTCGAGTCTTGCCCTGCTTTTGCTGAACGTACAGCTGTGCGAAGCGGCCCAGCGGGAAGGCAGGCGGTGTCGCTGGGATTTCAGCACCATTCTGCGTCAGCAATTCTGCAACTGGGAATGGCACTTGCTTTCCCTCCTTGTCCGCGGTAGCCCCGGGTGTTGGTGACGGTGACGCTGGATCGGCCGCTGCCAGTGCCAGCCACACGGCATGTGTTCCCCTCATTCTGTCAACAGCGTTGGGGTTGGCCTTGAGCGCCAACGCATACAAAACCTGCTGGATTTCATTCTTCTTAATTGCTGCCAGCAAAGTCTCATCGGGCGTTGCGTAATGCGACAAAGTCGATGATATTGGTTGCACGTAGCTTCGGTTGACGTATTTATTGGTGATAAACTTGAGGCGGACCTCGCGAGTTGCTTGCGGAGCAAGTTTCGTCGTGGGATCCAGGGTCGCCTCCCAAACCATGTTTGAAACTCGGTTTCCAATCAAAACGAGTAATTCGACAATATCGACAGTGAAAGACTTGATATCGAGAGTCAATGACCGCACCTTGCTGATGTGAGTACCCAGCGAACGGTGAATGCCGCTGCACTCGATGCAGAGGATAATGCCCAAGTTGATAGACACCCACTCAACCTTTGAGCCCGATCCACAGTCAGCGCACCAGTTATTGCCCTGGTCATTGTCCCGAAGCATTTGCAGAAGCTGGTCGGGGTTTTCATCGTACCCTGCGCTGTGGGTTCGTACTGGCGCGGGTCGAGCTCCAACAGTGATTCTGCGGAATGGGATGCCACTCGAAGAACTGCCGTGCGAATGACTACTGCTATGCATCAGCGCCTGGGTTTTGCCGGTAAGAATAGAGCCAATGTCTCTCTTAATGGACGAGTCGTGGCTTGTATTTGCTGGTGCGGCATATCGTTCACGGCCGCTTCTGCCTTCCACGGCGCTTTGCAAGGCATTGTTGATGGAAACTATCCAGCTGTTCATGTCTTCTCCCGATGTAGCCTGGTAGACACGCTTGAAATTAGGGGTAATTACTTCAAAGCAGAAGCGACGTTCAGCATTGCGAGCCTCCCGCACAGATGCCATCCTCAGGTCAATGGGATCCATGTGGAGGTCTAGTTTTTGTTTCCAGTTACTGTATTCCAACAGCTGACCCTGGTCTAGCACAATCCAAAACTTGTGCCAGCCTTGCTTGTTGAGATTTCGGGGATCAACATGGCCACCGGGGCGATTGAGCGCCCAGAGAAGCCCTTCTTTGCGATGCGGAACGGAAGACTGTGAAGGGTTCGGTTCCTCTAAGTCACGGAACCCCTTGAATTTGGTGTTTTGAGAGGGACTGCCGATGGTTGTGGGTAGGCCGCCTTGGGGGTTGACCACCTCGACGCCGGATATGCTGACCTGACCGCCAGATGACGTCGACCTCAGTTGAGAGCCGGTGCTATCAGCCCTGCCTATCTCCGAGTCGGAATTGTGGCCCGTGTTGCCATTAGAAGACGCGGTCGGAGGCGGAACGGCGGCAAGGCTGGCCTGTTCGGGCTCCAGATAGGGGGTGTTACTCTTTTCCAGCAAACGCCGCTTTTCTTCGCGTTCTCGTCTTTGATATTGGTATTCCTTGTCGGCCTCACTAACTTCCGAGGACAGAGCGTCAAGCTGCGGCAGAAGAGCTTCTATCTTCTTTGCCGTGGCGAGGAAACCCTTGGTTTGTGCATCAGCATACTTTGTCAGGTGCGACAAGACTTCTTGCTCCTTGCGACCACCATGCAAATCCTGCATGAAGCTGGAGTAGTCGAATCGTTTGAGCTCGAAGTTGCGCCTCTTGTTTTGGTATTTGGAGTCGCTGTCAGCGAGTTTCTTAGCCTTGACCGAGTCGTGGCGCTGGCCAAGGTATCGCGATACGTATGCGTAATACTCTTTGCTCTCATCTTCAAAGTCGCGTTTCTTTGCCTCTGCTTGCTTGATGTCGAGCTGGTAAAGCTTGTTTATCGGCTCGATGATGATCTTCTGCAGGTTTGCAGTGTTCTGGCGGTCGTAGCTTAGGATTTCACGGGCGATCTTGTCAAAATAGTGTTCGAGCGCAGGCTGAACTGCGTGCGCGTTGGTGCTGGAGGCTTCACGCAAAGCGTCCATGAAAGCGACCAAAGCCTCATTGGCGACTAGTTGGCAAGTATGCGCATGTTCGGCACTCTTTAGCACTCTCTTCATGTGGATTCGCATATTGCCAGTCTTTTGCTCCAGGGCTTTAAGAGTGGCCCGAAAGACAGGACCATCATCCGATACCGACACATCCTCACCAGGACGCGGACATGAGACGTCGACCTTGACGGGCTCCTGGACCTGCGGTAGTATCGATGGCGAAAAGGTTTCTAGTGCGCCAGGCAAAGGCGATAATGGTACTTCGTCGATGTCGGAGTGTAAGCGAGAGTCTACTGATTGAGCAGAGGCAACACGAATCTTTGGAGGCGAGCCGAGCAGGAAGCCAGGGTTCGGAGAGTTAGGTTGACTGGTGTAGGCTGGGGAGACCGGAGAGGCTGCGATACGAAGGTCAGCCGAGAAAAATTAGCGACACGATCCTGCGAGGAAGTACATACAAGCTACCCAGAAAGAGAAACTGGCGAGGGCGTGCAAGCGATGCGCACGGGAATCATACTCGACAAACTAGGCCATGTCAGCACTCGGGGGAGATGGCACCCAAAACGGCGGGAACTTACACTGCAGAAATTTCTCCAACCGCCGATCTTGTCCTCGACGGGCTTGGGAGGTTTCCATTTCCAAGTCCATTCAAAGGTGACAGAAGAGCTGCCGCTGGTGGAATAGTCTCCGACGAGAGCGACGTTGTCGTTTTTGTGGAGGTTCGGGTTGGCAAGAAACTCGCGAGTTACGAGGTTTTCGACTTCGCGCGAGGTAGAGCCGCAAACGAATGTTAGCCCAGATATGCTGGTATCGGGAGTAGCGGTGGTCGCATCGGGAGGAGGGGAGGTAGGCTGGGTTGCGCTTGGCTGGCGCAAGACGAAAGTGAATGTGAAGATGAGTTCATCGTCGCTATCGAGCTTGAGCAAGAAGCCTGAAGCACCCGGCTCGGGATCCTAGAAAAGCCAAGTGGTTAGAAAGAGAAGACAAGTCGAAAGAGACTGGCCGCCAACGCACCTGGACGAATTCTACAGGGGCCTGTTCACCAGATGTCCGGATGACAGCCAGCCTGGTCGCAGGGAAGGTGTTTGGGGTAACATGGACAGATGTGCGTTTTCGCGGATTGGTAACGATGAGGGAGGAAATAGTCACTAGGTAGAGAGAAAATGTTAGGGGGGTTGTCGGGAAAACTGCAGGCTGCAGATTGCAGGTGATGAAGGGATCGCGGGGATGGCATACAGCGATTCTGGTCCCTGAGGTAGAGGGCGGCAGCCTGGTCATCGGGTTTGCTGGTGATATTGCCCATGTTGGCGGTCTATCGGCTGCAACCGCGGGCGAGGATGCAGGAGAAGTAAGCGCCGGGGTAAGCAGGCCGGTGAGGGCTAGGAAGAGGAATCGACGAGAATAATAAGAGTGATGTGCGGTGCAGGCGCTGGCTGCAAGGAGCGAGGATCCAGGAAATGCAGGCGGCGCGGGGCTCAGAGTGGGACAAGAGCAACGGCCGTCATCTGGCTGGGCGGCAAAGGGTAAGGTAGTTGGAGGAGAGGAGAGCGTCACGGCGATGGAGGGCGCGTAGCGATGAGCAAAATCGATGTAAGACGGAACAGGCGACTCATGGAGTGTGGGTTGAAGGTGGCAAGAGACGTGGTGGAGGAGGAGGAGGAGGAGGAGGAGAGGGAAAAGAGCGAAAGGATGGTTGGTGGTTGCGGTTGCTGTTTGCTGAGGGTCGAGGCTTGGAAGAGAGAGAGACAGCGTGCTGAAGCTTTGTGTTTTGGTGGTGAGGAGCCGTGGGGACACTACCTGGGGCGGAGGTATCTTCGTGGGGAAAGTGCGCCAGCAGGTGACTTTGTAAGGTAAGCAGCCCAAGGTATCTCGGTCTACCTCACTACTACTAAAACTATCCGCAGACAGGTTAGACTTTGGGAATTGAGGGGCTCCGTGAGGATCTTTATTTCTTCCGTCAGAGGAGTCTAGAGTGCCCTGGATTTTGGACTTTAGCGGATCCAGGGCCAAGCTGACAGCTGGGCGTAGCGCTGAGCTGCTGTAGAAGGGTCCTGTCACGGATATTTACATGTCATTTATTAATCAACTTGGAGTTTATTATCTGGCAGCCGATTAGGGTTCGACGTGAGACGGTTAGTCAAATAAGGACTGATTCGTACTGGTATCCGTTTAGTGTCAAAATAGACTCCTTTCCTGGAATCAAAAGGGGCTGGCACATGTACTGCAGTATCGAGGTAAGACAGCACCGCGTGGCCTGCGCCGCCTGCATGCACAGCCCATATCACTCCACGAACTTGCTGCTGGACGGCGGTATCACGAGCATGTCTCGACTGCTAGGCAGACAGACGGGTGACTGATTAGTTTCTGGTAGTCAAATTAGTATTTTGTAGCCACTGGATAATTATAGTCGAATATTGCCACCCATTTCTAGGTTGCCACTCTGGCAGTTCGTTTATGTAGATGCCTACTTACCTAGTAAATAGGTTGATGTACGAATTACCACTAACAGATATCGGAGACGAGCACCTGCCAAACACTCAAGCAACTTGGTCTTTGCTATTGAGCTGTAAGAAAAAAAACTCCCCATTTCCTTAGGTTTTTGAGCTCTCGGTAAATGCACCTAGGAGCCTGATATTTGCATCAGCTATGTGTTCCTTCAACATCTTGAGCGCCGTACAAGCTAACTACTTGGTCGCACGGAGCCAACCAGTGTTGCGTTTTATTTCGTGATGTGACATCTCTCCACCTTTTGCCTTGATTGCGCATCTGATGCGCTAGGTAGATCGAAGAAGAGTTTAGGCGACAATAGTAAGTTTGGACAACACGAAAGTAGGCAAGCGGATTCGCATGTTGCCATGGCGGTTCAGTAAAGGGCCCAGCAATCGTTCCGTGACTAGCATGAATTAGAATTGCCGCAATTCGATGATAAAATGTTTGTTTGTTTAATCTTTCTCAAAAAAAAAAAAAAAAAAAAAAAAAACCCCGACTGCCGTCGACTCGGTGGAATGCTGGCCACAGTATTGATCTGGGATGTGGCATCCTTGTGTCATTCCAAGAGGTATATCCGTAGTTATGCCTGATTTTCCAAACTCTACGGCCTTCCACATGGATTTTCTTTTCGTTTTTTTTTTTTTTTTTTTTTTTTTTTTTTTTTTTTTCAAAACTGAAATGAACTTGGTCGTTGATAGTTGTGGCTCTCTTGAAAAGTGTAGTTTTGGATATGCGCAGCATCGTATTGTATTGTACTGAACTTGGCTTTCTAGCAAAGGTCCAGATGCAATCTTTTTGTTTCATTTTCCTCAACCCTCCCTCACATCATAGATACCAGCGATGACCGCCTCGTCACATCTTTGTCCTCATTGTCTTGCCCATTTTCCGTTCCTTTGCCCCCACACGCTCTTCCAGTGCTACCCAAGTTCAGTATGGCGCCCGTCTTTGGCCTCCTTCCAGGGCCCTGGCGCTGCTACTATTCTTGGCTCCTTTGGTCTTGCATTCCACCGCCTCCACGATACCAAGAATGGCGTGTTTCCAAGCTTGTTTGGTTGTTTCAGACAGGTCTCCAGGGCAAAGGCATTTTTTGAGCGGCCCAAGCTCTGTTGCTAGGGGCGCTTCTGTCCAGTGTCCACACAGTACCTACGGAACGCATGCCTTCCCCGACCCAGCGCTTGTACCTGGAAGACAGAGACAGGGAGGGAGGGACAAGATGACGTTGCGCTCCCAAGACTTGTCGCACCTCTCGTTTGGGCTGCCTTTTCCATCTACCTGTCTACTTTCGAGCTTCAAGTTACATCTGCACAACTCCAACTCACAATTCCATCTGCTGGCAGTCTCCAACTGCCGAAAGCCACACTTTTTTTTCCCTGCCGCTCTTTCAACCTCCCTCCTGTACCACTCTGTCTCTGTCCTTCATTCACTCTCCCGCCAGTCACCAGCCGCCAACCTGAACCCATCACCGTGACGCTAAATATCCCACCTAGCTACTTCAACCTTCCGCCCCTCGTTCGCCGCCTGCTACCCGATCATCACAGTTGCTGTCGCGCCCATCTCTGGACCTAGGTCATGAACCACCGCAGAAAGCACTCTACGCGTCGACTTGCTTCTTGAGTCTCCCGCCATGTCCCAGGATTTTCGCAGGTCCTCGGTCGGCCGCCGTCTTAAGAGCAGCAGCAAGGACTCAGGGCGCCGCGCCCACCCCAAGTCCAAGTCCAACATCACCCTTGTGGAACATGATGAAGCCCGAAGCTTCGCCCTACGAACCGCATACCTCCACTACCTCCTGCAGCCGAAAGCGAAACGAAAGCAATACGTCGCCGCTCCCAAGCCCCCAGCTCGCACCCACACCAGTGTTGGCCAGCTCGTCCAGGAATATGTGTCTGGCAGCGCATCCGCCCTCAAGCTCCCCAGTAGCTTTCCTGTCGCACTTCTCGATCGTGTCGGCGGCGTCTTAAAAGGTTCCGAGCGCTTGCCCGGCTTCAACGATGCTGCTGTGAAGCGGAGCTTCGCAGAGGCTTACATTGCCTTTTCCGAGAAGACATTTTGCAAAACCATTGAAAAGGAGCGCAAATTCGAGCCCCTTGTTCTCATGTTTTACTCATCTGCGACCAAAGCCGCCCAAAAAGGGCGCGCCCCCGACGATGACTCCTGGAAGCTTTTGCCCGATCGTCACCTGGCCTTGTTCGTCCGCCTCGCCGCCACCATGCTCCGAGACCAAGGTCACGAACGCGACAAATCTGAGTTGTTCTCCAGGCTTATTACCCTGGAAAACAAGCTCCTGACCAATGACCAAGATCTCGTCAGTTCTGGCTCCGATTCTGCAGGCACCACCATTGAGGTTGTTGTCCCTCTGAGTTATGATGTCAAGGACATGCCTATGGTACAAATCGTCGCCGGTATATTTGGGCTCAGCCTCTCCGACGTACAGGCCGAAGTAAATGAGAAGCACACCGTTTGGACTGAGGAAGCAGCTCTGAGGGATCTCAAGACGTACCAGCAGCGCCTAACTTCCAACGGCTCTGGCGCTCTCCGCAGCGACGACTTTGATGTCGAAGAATCATTCACTGAGTGGCAAAAGTCGGAAGCCCACTTTCTGTCGCAAATGATGCTGGAAATCTTGACTGCCAAACCGGAGCTTACAAAGTCGTCTTCGTCTGGCGACAAACTCCTGCCCAGTCGCCCACAATCTATGTACGTGGAGGACCAAGCCTACGCCGACCTCAGCCGTGCCATCTCTTCGCTGGACACTTCCCTTGGATTCGATCCCTTGGCTTCCATATCCTCCATCTCCAACGACGCGAGCAGCATTCGTACTGTCGAAGAAGGTGGCTTGTATACTTTCATTCCGCCCAACCCTCGAGCATACTATAAATATATTCTCCAACACGCTGTAGCTTTTGACCAGCTACATGCCGACCCCGCACTCGATTACCAGCCCCTCTCCAAGCAATCCATGGATCTCATGACGGAACTTTGTGTGCGTTGGCGACTCCCGCAGGCTTCACGATTAATAACTCTGCTTGAAATTGCGGCGCGCAAGTTCCTTGACCAGGAGATTGTGCCCGAGGAGCTTGATACCATCATCGAAGTCGTCAAAAACCCGCAACCAGAACCCAAGAAGCCACCGTATATTCAAAACTATGCATTACCCCTGACCGATATACCACCGAGCAAATGGACCATACACGACTTTGCCGTCTATCAAAGCACATTTCACTCTATTCATGACGCTATATTACGAGAACTTTACGACATAATGGCACAGTGCTACGATAGCAAGCCTCCAAATATTGGCGCTGTCATGTTTATCCTCGAAAACCACATTTACAAGGACGAAATATTCACACCGAGACCCGAAGCAGTGGCTGAATTCACAGAGTATCTTACTACCGCCCTCCGGAACAAGGCAGTCGAAGTTTACCGTGAAAATATGCGTAAAGAAATTCCAGTCGTCAAGGAGGATTGGGAGTTTGCGCATGTTGTGAAGCTCGGCAAGACCATTACAAAACTTTGTGACCGTATTCGCAAGAGATACAAGAACAACCAAACCATCATCGGCGTGGACCCTTTTGCAATCCTGGTGGAAGAAATCTTCCCAAATTTTGAGAGCGATGCCGGCGCCATTCTCGAAACGATTCTTGGGCAAGCGCAGGTCAGCGGTGAAGACATTGATATTGAAGACGGATTTGAGCTCTACAAGGAGCTTGTTGCTATCCGACGCATCCACCATGACTATCTTCCCACCAAAGCGTTTGCTTTCAATATCGAGAACTTGCTTGTCGACTTCGTCTGGCGGTGGATTCGCGTCGCTGAAGGAAAAATGTCAGACTACGTCGACCAGGCAATCAAACAGGACCAATTTCAAGTTCGCACCGCACATGTTGATCACATCGTGCGCGACTCAGAGAGACATAGCGTGTCTGTCATTGACCTGTTCATGCTATTCAACCAGACAGTTGACCAGGTCTTCAAGCTGGAGTGGGACAATGATGAACACCATGCTCGTTTTATGACGGCGCTTGCCCGCAGCTTCTCGGCCGGCTTGGGCCGCTACTGCGAAGTGATTGAGCAGCGGTTTACCAAGGAAATGGATCGTCCATCCGCCGAGGAGATTGCTTTGCAGAATAAGTCGACGCAGGAGAAATGGATGCAATTTGCCAAAGATGCCTGGAACAACAAGGAAAAGGCGGAGCCCTTCCAGTTCTTTGCCGAGTCCTTCGTCAAGCTCAACAATATTGAGTATGCCATGCAGGAACTTGACAAGCTGGAGAAGAGTATGAACTCGGATGCCTGCGCCGAATTACTGGAGAAGATTGATGGCCCTAGGAAGCAGACACGGAAGCCAAGCAAGTACACGTTCACCATTAAGGTTGTTGAAGCAGAAGATCTCAAGGCTTGCGACCCAAATGGTTACAGCGACCCGTATGTGGTCTTTGGAGACGAGTATCAGAAGCGTCTGTACAAGACCCGCATCATCTACAGGAATCTTAACCCGCGCTGGGACGAGTCATTTGAGTTTACTGTGCAAGGCCCGGTAAATCTCATTGCCACTGTTTGGGACTACGACTCGTTTGGAGACCACGACTATGTTGGCCGGACGTCGTTGAAGATCGACCCGGCCCATTTTGGTGACTATCTCCCTCGAGAATTCTGGCTGGATCTGGATTCTCAGGGTCGAATGCTTATCCGAGTAAGCATGGAAGGCGAACGAGACGATATCCAGTTCCACTTTGGGAAGGCTTTCCGCCATCTTAAGCGAGCTGAGCGAGACATGGTGCGCAAGATTACTGACAAGGTAGGCCTCATCAAGTGCGTTGCAGTTGAAAATCGGCTAACCAGAGAAAAGCTCACGAGCCAGATCAACTCGACACTTTCTGTCGAGACGCTCCGGGGCCTTCTGGGGTTGAATGGCCTCGGTTCGCAGGTTACTAACCTGTGGAAAAAGCGTACATCCACGCTCCCAGTACTGACGCCTCAGCAAATCGTACATGCCCTGACGCCGCTCTTTACCTATTTCGACGAAAATTTTGCCATTATGAAGCAGACGCTGACTGATGCGACAATGATCGCCGTCATGACGCGATTGTGGAAAGAAGTCCTTATGACGATTGAAAACTTGCTCGTACCGCCAGTTTCCGACAAACCCTCCACGCAGAAATCACTCAGCAGAAAAGAATTGGACATTGTGTACCACTGGCTTGAACTTCTGTTTGGCTTCTTCAACGCCAAGGAAGAGCACTCTGGCGAGCAGCTCGGCGTTCCTGCCGAGGTTCTCAAGTCGCCTAAGTGGCACGAGCTGGCGTCGCTCAACTTCTTCTACTTTGAAGACACGCACAGCCTCATCCGCGAATCGGAGCGCATGGCTTCGGCCACGGCGCAGCGCGCGCAGCAGGCGCTCCTAAGCAACCAGCAGACGATGCGCCACTCGGCGCCGCCGGGCTTCGGCGCGGCGCTCGGCGGCGCGGGCGCCTTCGCCAGCATGGGCACGATCCGCCGCGGAAAGAGCATCATGATGAGCCGCAACCTGGGCACCATGCGCAAGGCCAAGGAGGCGAAGCGTCGCGAGACGCAGGCGGACCCCAGCGACGACATGATCCTCCGCATCCTCCGCATGCGTCCCGAAGCGGCGCACTACTTGAAGGAGCGCCACAGGCAGAAGGAGCGTCAGGCGGCGACGGCGGCGGCGGCACTGATTGTCAAGAACTCGATCACGCAGGGCTGGGGGGCGAATGTAGCTGCAAACGCCTTTGGGAGGGTCAATCTGCCTAGACGGTGATTCGTTACTTTCTCGTTGCTCTTGCATTGTGTTTTTTTCATGCATGGCGTGTCTATTTTTATTTATGTCGAATTTTTGTGTCATGGAAGCGAGTTATCATGATATCCCTGCTTACTTTTTATATGGGATGAGCGCTGGTTTCTGTGTTGGTTTGTGCAAAGTTGAGAAGGAATACAGAAGAACTTGCAAGAAGCAGGTTTTCCCATAAAATACAACCGAGTTTATTATGATGTATTTCTGAAAACACGTCTCGAGGAGTGTTGGCTAGGTACTAGGCACCTTATAGAAAGTTACCATAAAGAGCTGACTAACCTGCGGTCCTGCTTCTGACAACCTCGCTCGCCCGTCATGTGGCCGCGACGCATTAAGTCTCCGCGTTTCTTTTCTTGCGGCCTCTCGCGTTCCGTTTTCTTATCGCCCTACTCGAGAATACAGCAGACGGCCGCCATGTTTGCCGGCTCGACACGGAAGCGCCTTGCAAGCAAGTTGGGCTTTGCTACCCAGACGCCGCCCTCGCGACCAGGCCCATCGACGTTCCCTTCCCAGGGCTTCACCGTGATCCCTGGCGACCACCCACTGGAGGAAGAGTCTATGCCCGAGTATCAAGCCGATCATTTCTATCCCATGGTCCTGGGTCAACTCCTCCACGATTGCTACCAGACCGTGGCAAAGCTCGGCTACGGGTCCTCCTCGACCGTATGGCTGGCGCGCGACCTTGAGTAAGTTCAGTCAGCCAGTGCGAACCGTTACAAGAAACAGCAGCATGGCTAAACTTGACAGCTTTATAGAAAGAACCAATACGTAGCTTCGAAAGTTTATATGCATAACTCCGTTAAGCATCGCGAACCTCCCTTCTACCAGCACTTAGAAAAGGCACTGCCTAGCCGCCACACCGGCGCATCCAATATCAGGAAACTTTTGGCTGCTTTTGAAGTTGCAGGTCCCAAGGGCAAGCACATAGTGTTGGCTATGCAGGTCTCACAGATGAGTCTACGCGACATGGATGCCTATGAAGGGACAAGGCTTTCGTAAAAGTCTTTGTTAAGAGTGCCATTAAGGAGCTCCTCGAGGCACTTGATTTTCTCCATACCGAAACCCATACCGTTCACACAGATGCGTACTGATTTTCTGGTTCCTGAATCATCCCCACGTACCAAAGACAACCGCACGTCAAAATTGTTCGCGAACACGAACCATCGCTGCGGATTAGACGTCCACCCAGGCAACCTGTTGCTCGCGCCTAGAAGACAACACCGCCCTCAAGAAGCTCGAAGACGTCGATCTGACGAGCCCTGTTTCCCGCAAAATCTGCCCCAATCGGACAATATACTGCTCGCCCTGGCTCAGGCCGCAGGTTGGGCCTCTGCTGCTCTCCGACTTTGGCGAGGCCCGACTCGGCCCAGGCCCGCACGCCGGCGACATCATGCCCATCATGTACCCCCCTCCCCCCCCTCCCTTTTTGGAGGCAACGTTTATAACTATCATAACATTTTGTTTTCAACTTACGCTATACTTGCTATACACGGCCGCGGCTATGGTCGATGGCGTTGTTCAAAGGTTCAATCACTCTACTGCGGTGTAGGGAGAAGATTGCGTACTATATTCAGCGAGGAATTTGCAGCTCAATATTAGAAATTGTAGAATATAACATTATTATTAAAACAATTCAAGAAATTGCTATTTGCGGATCAATCGCTCCTTCCTCATTTGGCCCCGACTGCAAGTGATTACAGACAACTGCGTGATCCAATTCCCAGCACTCTCCAACCCTTACTTCCAGAAATGTGTCGAAGCACTCGGTGGGACATCGTTCGGACCGCTCCCCCAGCCGCTCTCCCTCGGCCCCAGGTGCAGCTCCAGCACACCGCCCTCGCGGAAGAACTCGTGCGTCAGCCAGCTCTTCATGAGTGGGCTGCCGTTGAGCGTCGCGTTCTGGATGTAAATGTTCCTGTACGCAGCGTCAAAGTTGTGCGTGCGCACTGTGGCCGTTTTGCCGGTCACGGAGTTGAGCAGGCTAAACTCGCGGAAGAAGGGCGCGGTGATGAGGTAGACGTCCTGACCGCTCATAGGGAACAGGCCCATCATGGTAAGCGCGGCAAAGCTGGCCATGGAACCCGAGTCGTCGTTGCCGGGGATGCCGACGATGGTGTCGTTGAAGGCGCTGGGAATGTAGCGGTGCGCGTACTCGGCCGACAAACCAGGGCGGCCGATGTAGTGGAAGAGGAAGATCATGATGTATGACTGCTCATCGCCAATGTAGAAGAGGCCGGGCGTCTCGTGCAGATAGCGCAGGCGGCGGAGGAACTCATCGGTGCCGCCGAGCGTGGGCACGAGCGTCGCCACGTCGTGGGGGATGTAGAACGTGTACAGCCAAGAGCCAGCCTCATATGTCTCGTGACCATCCTCATTAAGGTAGCAAGATGTGAAGTTGTAGAGGTCAGTGCAGATGGCCGGGTCCTGGTAACCAAAGGTGCCATTGAGGTAACGCGGCTGCAGGAAGCCCTGGAAGCTGCTGTCGACGAAATCGGCTTCGTTCTTGCTGCCGGTGAGGTTCAGCCGGGAGCGCGAGGTTGGGTCGAACATGTTGAGCCAGTTGCCGGAGCGGTTGAGGTACTTTTCGGCGTCGTGCACCTTGCCCATGTCACGCGCCATCTCGGCGATGCAGAAGTCGTTGTAGCTGTACTCGACGGTACGGGAGATGCTGCGAGTGTAGATGCCCACTCCGTAGGGGTCAAAGTCGTCCGTGGGAATGTAACCTAGGGTCTTCCAGGAGTGCAGACCACCACGACCCTCGACAGTCCACAGTGGCGGTTCATCTTCACGGATAGTCAGTACCGGTCGACAGAGATGTGATGCGAGTACTCACCTTCCGCGTCGGAAATGACAGCTTCATACCCAGTCTCCCAGTCAATTCCATCAGTCAGGCCTTTGAGATACGAGTCGGCCAGCAAGTTATCCGCGTTGCTGCCTCCTTGGGTAAATCCCTTGCAAAGAGACATTCGGCAGTCAGGCATCTTGCCCTCATGACGGTAAACATCAATCAGACTACGAATCATCAGGGCCTGAGCATGAGGGTCAACTAGGGTGAGAAACGGGTGAGTGCTCCGGAAGCTGTCCCAGATGCAGTAATAAGAATCGAAGTACGGCTCGTCGCTCTTCCAGAGAGGGTTCTCGCCTACACGAAATAAGCCATAGGAAGGTTAGAGACGTGTCAAAAAAAGCGCTTACCGGTGTAGTCCTGGGGAGATATGAGACTTCTGTAGAAGCTGCTCCAAAAAGTCCTCTGCAATGACTTGTCAACACCTGAGCTATCCACCTTGACGACATCAAGCTTGGAGCGCCAGGCAGCCTCAGCCTGATCGCGGATCTTTTGGAAGCCAAAGTCAGGTATCTCCCTCTCCGCATTCTTACAGGCCTGCTCGGCGCTGATGAACGAGAGTCCCACGCGCGCCAGAATTTGGTTGTCTTTAGGCGGCCTAAACTGAACCCAAGCGCCGGCAGGGACTTTGTTTGTCACGTTGAGACTTTTGGGGTCGTTTCCTGCACGGTTATTGATCCAGACGCCGTTGTCGCGTACCTGGGCGCCGTGAAAGTCGACGCAGAAGTGAGAGTCGTATGTGCCGACGCCAAAAGAGGGGTTAAAGGTGCCGTTGCCAGTGATGCGTCCTGTTGTCCCGTCCACTAAGACCGTGGCCTTGCTGCGCGACTCGGACAGATCGGACAGGTCAGCAATAATGAGGGGAACATAAGAAACGCGCGGGTCTGTATCCTTTGTTGGGGAACCGTCTGTGGGAAAGGTGAAGCGGTAGAGGGCCGTATGGTTGGAGACGGTCATCTCCGCCGTGATAGACGTGTTGAGGGAGATTGCAAAGTAGCCGGGACGCGCGACGACTGTACCATTCTTGCGTTTAGAGGCCCGTGTGATCTTGTTAAAATAGCAACGGTTCAGCTCATTGCCAGGACATCCAGTCTGGGCGAAGAGGGGAAAATTGCCCATCGAGGCGCCCTGAGATTCGGGATTTAGCGACATCTGTCGTCGGCCATCCTAGGGCCGGGCTGGTCTTCGGTGACTTACACCACCAGTTCCACTGTCGTGCATGTGAGAAAAGCCGGTGACTAGAAGACTGTTAGCTGCTGATACTGTGAAAATGCATTGATTCACATACCATCGGCATCGTTGGAGGCGAAACCGCCTTGGATTTCCTCGTTGACGTCGGCAACAGCCTTGGCCATGCTATATGGCAGACTGGCGCCAGGAAAGACATGACCTGATGAGGTGAATTAGTCTCTATATCTCGTTACCCGGAGCTCACGACTTTGCCCACCCCCGTTAACAGTTCCAATGAGAGGGTCTACATAGTCGAGGACGTCAAATTTGGTCGAATTCTGCGCGTAATTAGATACCTGCGCAGCGGCAACAGCAGCGTACCGAAGCTGGCCCAGAGCCGAAAATCTGAGAAGCATCTTTGCGGGCAAGCTCAAGCCAAGGGAAGTTGGCGAACGAGGTAAAGATGAAGGGTGAGAATCCCGCGGCAGCAAAGTCAGCCAGCTGCCTATATGTACAATGCGGGGGAGCAGCAGTAGGCCGTGGAATATTGCAACCATATGCAAGAATTAGTTCGGAATGGCCGGTCATGATGTCGTGAACTCGCTTAGCGGACTCATGCTGAAGGAGCGGTGGGTGAATCGAGACATGAAAGGAAGCGGGGTAGTTGTCAAAGGCAACCTCTGTGTAGGATCGACATGACACTAAGATCGGACCGCGGGGGAAAGCAGGGAAGGTGAGGTCGTCGTGCTTGATGGCTGCAGCACTTGGCGTGTGGTCTTGGCCTGCATCATCGTTACTAGGCTGCTAGCCTGCAGCTAATACGAGTGCTTGCATGTAACGAGCAGCCGGTGCAACCGTCTTTGCTAAAAGTTGGGCAGAGACAACGGTGTCGGTATTTACCGGTGTACCTACGGAGCGCAAAGCTCTGACCTCAGCCTAGGAAGCAGCGATGAGGGCCATGACGCTTGGAAGGTGCATCTCCTAGCCTCTTGAACGGCAATGACGAGCTGAGTTTTCTGCTTGGTGCTCTATCGATTGCATCAGTCAATCGAGATTTATTATCACTAGAATGACCATCAGGCGTGTGTATGACCCATGTGCCCAGTTTCAAGCCCAAATCTCTTTCGGTCTCTTTTGCCGTCTGTCTGCGTTGTTCTGCCCGGTTCGTTCTGCCTGGTTGCCTAAACAATCCTCGTAATCGTCGGATTCGACTAGGGTCCACGAACTTATCGGTCGGTGCACGCAAGTAGTATACTCGCTCACGAAAGTAGTCAACGATCCGGTGACGCTTTGTGGTTCACGATGGATGTATGTAGATGTCAAATCTGCAATTGCGTAGTACCCCTGGCTGATTCTGTGCCTGGTCAAGCCACAGAGGCTGCGATCGGTGGCTCGGCGTGCGATGACCCGCCTCCGCAATCTATGTAGGCGCGGAGCACCAAGTTCTGACTTATTAGACGGCCAACACAGTGCTCCAAGCAGCCACAGCTAGCCGTCATGCGCAGCGAATTACTATTGGTGCTGCTATTACCTAGCCGTAGGCTGCCTACATAGTTGTGCTCATGATGCTGCTGACTGAGGTTGCTGGCCTACAATTGCCCTGTGGCAGCAGTCCTAGTGGCGGTGCTACATCGCTGTGGAGCCGTTAGTGGCTGATAGCTGCTTCCATCTAATTGGACAAAGGGTGACATAATCAGTCAGGAAACGGCAAACGCCAACAAGTCACGAAGCGTCTTGACTGGCCCAATCCCACCGATACATCGCCCTCGCACTTGTCAAAATCGGGCAAGCACAAATTCAACCAAATGGGGCCTGTCAAAGAGTTCGCTCCTTTTGGGCTGGACCAAGTCCACTGATATGCTGCTGCCGAAAGCCTCTTCTGCGCCGTCCCGGGCTCCAATCGCCCGCCAGATGTGGCGCCTCCAAACCAACAACGCAGTCTCTGAGCCGCAAATCAAGCCGCCTCCGCACCCTATCATCCAGCTTATTACCGTTCCCTTTATCAATGTCAGCCCGTCTTGTCGTCTACTCTCGCTTTGTGGGCCGTGTGGCTATCTACAACTAGCCTTCTCCCACCATCGATATCTGCGACGATTCAGACGCAGCCGGGCTTGTCCCACGTTGGCTTGAAAGTTCGGTGTCCCCGTGAATTCCCGCTCTTACACAGGCTACATCAGACACAATTCTGCCGCGGACTGCCCGACGGGAAGCCGAAACTGCCGTGGATGCAACCCGATGTGTCGATGCAGCTCTGCAAGGCCCGTAACTGATGTCGCATCATCCACCGGCGACCCTTGTCGAGCGTGGTAGCTATCGGGCAACTAAGACGAGTATGCGTTACTCTATGTACAATATCGATATCACAGCTGAAAAGAACAGTCGGAACATGTGTGGCCATGGACATCTACATGCCCAACGACTTGCTGACCATGGTGAGTTGCGCGACATGACAACCCCCCAACCAATACCACATCGACGGCAACATATGTGGCACTATCTGGTCTGGATGGCTCACGATGAACCAGACGAGACATGCATAGGCTCGTGGCCAACATGCACATGCTTGCGTAGACCGAAAACCTCCGAAATGGGGGCCGTTCGGTGGACTCTTTGAGCCTCTTGCCTATCGCCGATTGGGCTTTCCCATTACGCTCGAATCCGCTTAGAATGAGGAAAACGACACTAATGCAAGGCTGGCTCGCTCAGCCCAATGCCATTCATTGTTCCTGACCCATGTCGCTGATGCTCAGGGTCTCGGCCAGGCTAGTCTTCTCCATGTTCCCAGCGTCGCGGCTCAAATAGAGTTTTGCAACCAACGTCTGTCTTGGCGCAGGGCATCTCCGTTTATCGCAACCTCTCCGGGATATACCTCTATCGGCAAACCTTGCTCATCTGCTCCTTCGGCCGAAGCAAAACATAGCCGTCCGACCTCGCCGCTCCTCTCTTCCGTCGCTGCGCTATCTCACGACACCCATAAGCCGTCTGCCTAGTCATTCTTTAGACTCTACTCTGTGCAGCATCCAAAGTGGGCAAAATGATGTTGCACAATTCATTCGATGAATTGGCTTTATGCCGCTCCGCTTCTCCATTTTCTAGTTGCCTGGCCCTGGATTCTGACGGAGCAGCTCCATCGTCATATCGTGGGTGAGCTTGCTAGCTGGATGGCGTTTGATAATAAGAATTAGCTTGGCTGCTCTTCCGAAATGCATTTGGGCTTTCGTTGTAGTTCATTTCTCTAGGACATTTGTCTCACCCTGTTTTTATACCCGCAGCATAATGCATATTGCCTTTTTGACGAACCCGGCCTCGGGTCAGGTCAATGTGCACTTTGCAACGGCACAACAGCTCGTTGACGAAGGCCACCGCGTCACATTTCTCTCAGCAGAATCGTGCGGTAGCAAAGTTGCCCGTTTCCGAGAATGTCAGTCCTTGGCACAGCAGCCTCTTGTTCACTTCATTAGCTTGGGCTCTGCACAAATCATTCAAGACTAGTATGCCTATCCCGGCTCACACAACCTTACTCACAAAACTGACCGTTTATAGCACAAAATTGGCACAGGTTGAGTTGTCGACCATGCAAGGAACCCCTGGGAGCATTAAAAGCTTAGTGACGGGCATCAATGGAGCATTTGGACCCAGTGAGGTCTATGCCAATATGGCCGTCAAAGTCTCACAGAGACTTGAAGATCTGGACCCCGACATGGGTAAGTGAACTCCAGATATTCCATCACGCGAGTTCCATCACGCGAGGCAAGCAGGCTAATATTTGGGCAGTCTGCGTCGACTGCTTCTCGTCTCCGTACATTCACGGAACGCGGCTGGCCCGGCGCAAGTACATTGTCTTCGTACCCTGCTCGCCTGGTCTTACCGCCTCACGCGGCAGCTTCATACCGCATCCCATTGCTGGCAACCGCAAGAGGTCATGGGGAACATTTTTCGAAAGTAAGTAGACTTTCACTAGAGAGCGAAAAGATGTAAACTTACACCCCTGTCAGATGCCGTTCTTCAAGCGCACGAGTTTCTTCACAGCCGCACCGATGCCAAGCGACGTGCAAAGCGCCGCTTGCTATTGGGCGGACTCAAGCTGAAGTCTTTTGGATACTCTGAGGATACATGGATCCTGCCGCCATACTGGAAGGACCCTGACTGCGTGGCCGGCGTGCACTTCAACACGCTAGGCCTCGCCGACTGCCCGGAGCAGCCGTCGAAATTGGCTTTTGTGGGAGCCGGTCTTTGCCCCGACATGTCGCCCGCCAGTTCCGCCGTCGACGAAGACGTCGCTTGGATGGATGAAGCTTTGAACAGTGACGAGTACGTGGTCTACATGAACATGGGTTCCATGTTTATCTGGCGAGAGAAGGACTTCTGGAATTGCATGAGGGTGTTCCAAAACATCAGCGACCAGCTCTTGGGACGCGTACGCTTCCTCGTCAAGATCAACTCGCCCATGGCCGCTGTCAAGGACGCTTCTCTGCACTTCCAGATCCCACGAGAAAACCTGCCCCCCTGCGTCCGCCTCACCCACTGGGTCCAGAACCAGGCGGCCATCTACTCGCACCCGGCGCTGCGCGTCTTCATCCACCACGGCGGCGGCAACTCGTTCAACGAGGCGGTGCACTTTGGGCTGCCACAGCTCGTGCTGTCGCAGTGGTTCGACACGCACGAGTACGGCTTCTGCGCGGAGAAGTTTGGGCTCGGGTTCCGCAGCCGGCGGCCGCCGCGTATCGAGCCCGCCGACGTGGAGGCGAAGCTGCTGCGGATGCTGGGCCGGCAGTGGCCGGTCTACAAGGCCAACTGCATGGCGTGGGCAGTTCGCAGTCAGATCGGGGGTGGTGCGGCCGCGGCGGCCAGGCTGGTGATTGCTCATGCGGAACAGAGTGGCAAGAGCGAGACGAGTCAGTCCTCACGATCGTCTTCGATGTGCTACTTGAAAGAGGAGCGCTTTGCTGAGAAGGTTTAGCTAGAGTTTGCTGGTACTTGCGTTGATCTGTGTAATGAGTCATGTTCTAGATGTTACAAAAATAGTGCGGATATGCAGTTAGAAAGTCATGAATTGGGCGCTGTACGTTTTAGTCTACCAGCTTGCATCTTGCCATAGTCTCCCGGTATTGCGACTTTCCATTTATCACGTGTATTCTTCTTCTCTCTTATGTAGTGCATGATGAACCATCTACTAGCGCTCTCACCATTATTATCCATCAAGGTCTGTTCGACGTCTAACCATGACAACTCAATAAACATGCTTCCTGATGGGCAGGGGTCCTGGGGCGTGATTCGGGGTCTTGTCACGTTCTAGATCTTTGCAGCCGGGGTGCCTTCATTACCACCACCACCATCCTGCACGGAAAAAATTGCCCGTCTAAAAATCCCCATGACCGTCTCCATGAGCGCCATCACGTCATCGCGGTCAAAATACTTGGCATCGAACAGCAGGTTGCACCGCATATCGCCCCGGAAGCTGTACAGCGCAAAGCACACGTTCGGATCCGTGTTCCGCCCTCCGGTGCGGAAGTGCACCAGCCTGGCCCTCGGAGGGATGCCCTCATCCGCCCGCTGCTGCTGCTGCTGCTGCTGCTGCTGCTGCTGGAAGAACTCTCCCTGGGAGGTCAGCGTCGGCCTGCTGACGAGCGGAACGACGGGCTGGTGCGACGACGCCGACGAGGCCTCCATCATGCTCCGGAACGCCGTCGGCGCGAGCTCGTCGTACACGCCGACAATGTGCTCCGAAGCCAGATCTCGGCCCTGCCTCTCCTGGATCGCTCTGGCTACGGCGAACACGTTGGCCGGCGAGCCCGCGTCGTCAGCGAGCAGGGACGCCTTGCCGAGCCACAGCGCGCCCGGCAGCACGCTCATCCCCACGGGCGGGCCGGCCTCGGCGCCGAGCCAGCGCCGGGCGTTGCCGCTGAAGACGAGGTGCGCCCCGTCCTCACCCCCGCGGGCGTGGCGCTTCGCCACGCCCACGGCGATGCACGCGAAGAACAGCGCCGTCAGGCTGACCCCGCGCGCCCGGGCCGCCGCGAGGGAGGCGGCGGCCTCGGCGGCGGAGAAGCGGACCTGCTCGTTGTGCACGAGGCTGGCGCGCGCGCGGTGCGCCGGGTGCACGGGGATGCCCAGCGAGGCGGGCAGGCGGGGCGTGAGGGCGGCGGCGGTCTCGGGCGAGAAGGCTCGCTCGAGGTCGGGGGAGGAGGAGGGCGAGGAGAGGTTGGCGACGAAGGAGGCGATGATGTGGTAGACGTCCAGGCTGGTGAGCGTGTGGGAGATGTTGAGCACGCAGCCCGGGCGGCCGGAGGGGGGCGCGAGGATGACGGTCAGCTTGGTGAGGTCGGAGGCCTGGCGGACCTGTGCGAGGAGGACTTCCTCGCAGGTGAGGCCGTCCGCGAAGACGCAGGTCTCGGACACCCAGCGCCGCGCGTCCTGGAGGGAGCGTATCGGCTGGAACGAGGCCTGCTCGTGGCCGAGGGTGACGCCGACTAGAGGGAGGCTCTGTCTGGTGAGCCACCAGGCTGCCTGGCATCGCTTGTGAAGCTCTGCTCTTGGGATGGTGGTCTCAAACTCTCCCAAGATGTTCAGTTGAAACTATATGAAAAATGGTAAATCCCGGTGCCGTACTCAACTATCAGACGCGACAGTTGTCCAACTCACGTTGCCGTTGTTTGTGAGCTCAGAGGCCCTGACGATGAGCTCTGCTCCTCGCAGCTTTCGAGAAATCGAGCCCGTGGCCGGGTCCAGATTCCACTCCGACTTGGCTTGCACCATGATGCTTGCCCTTGGTGTTGCTGTGGGCTCTTCCTGCGTCATACTCATGTTCCGTGATGACCACCAGGGCGAGGCAACGAGTAGTAAGTAACCTAGTAGGACTCGATGCAACTTGGTAGAATGCGGCCTACTTGAGTTGCCCCGAGGCTCCTCAAACCCAAATAGACGTTGGAATCATCAAACCCAACTACCGGACATGTGCAAATTGCGTCAAGATTGCCCAAGTTGATGGGCCAAGTCTCGACTCTCACGTCCTGCCCGAATCCCACTCCCGCTGCGACTTCCACTTACACTGGCACTTGGACATGACACAAGGCGAAGAATGAGAGCCACATGCCGACGACCGCATTGTCGGTAGGCTATCGCTTCCGCTAGTCACCACAACCAACGACTAGTGTGATCGCCCGGCCCATTGGCCTGGGTCCGCCTACCTACGGAAAGTTTATCCAGCTAGATAAGGCAAGGTTGAGGGTTGCAGTAGAGACTAGCGGATTGAGAGAAATATTGAGAAATCTCACGGGCTTGCCGAAGATGGATGGTGCGGAGGATTTGTCCGTTGACCTATCTCGGAACGGAGAGGTCAGCTTGGGATCTGATGAGATAACGGCCTGCGAAAGTCAATTTTGGGGCGGGCTAATAATTAACTTGCTACTTCTGGTAATACTTGCAGCCACACCCATGGTTCGCTAAACCTACGCCCTCCCGACCTTTATTGTAGAATGGACGAGTGTTGCCTTGTCTCGACCTACCTGTTGATGAGCAGCAAAGTCACTTTCTTTCAAACACCAAACCCTAGAATCGCCATCTTCGCAATACACAATGAGCATCGTTGGAGAGACGGAAGACGCCTCGCACGTCTGGCGCCAAACCTCCCCCGGCACCTGGTCCCGGGCCTGCCTCGGCGAGGAGCAGACGGCCTCGTACACGCAAAACGTGCGCGACGGGCACACCGAGCTCACCATCGCCGTGCCCTTTTCCTGCCGCGGCGTGCCCTCCGCCGCGGCGCTCACCCTCCGCGCGCGCAACGCCTGGCTCGCCTGCCACGCGCGCTTCCCGCAGGCGGCCGCCGAGATGTCCACCGGCACGCGGCTCCCCCAGCGGCTGACCTACGCGGCGCTGCGCTCCGACGAGGAGGCCGCCGCCTGGCTGCGGGAGACCCTTGTGGTGGTGGACGATGGGAGGAGCGCCGAGGAGGTGGCGAGGTACACGTACGGCCGGCGGCTGCCGACGAGGGGCAAGAGGAGCATGCTGTACTTGGTGGTCGGCGCGGAGGCGCGGGGGGAGCACGCGCTGGTGTGGAATGTGAGCCACGTGGTCTCGGATGCGTTTAGCATTCCGGTGTTCATGAATGAGATGCTGGGGCAGATGACAAAGGTCCCGGGCGACGTGCTGCTGTCGGTCAGGGACATTGACTACGAGGGCGTCGCGGAGCGGCTGCCCATCCATCCCGCGGTGCTCTACGAGGATCGCTACCGGCCGACCGCCGAGCAGCGGGAGCAAGCCGTCGCCGAGATTCTCGCGCAGGAAGACCTGTATTCGTCCCGTGTAAGCTGAACACGATCAACTTGACCCCCCCCCAATTGGCACCACCCTTACTGACCGTTGCAGATCGGAGAGTCCATCAAAATGTACCCCCGGGCGGACAGCGCCTCCCGGCCGCACGAGACGCACTGCCTGACCCTGCAGTTCACCCTCTCCCGGTCCCGAGCCCTCCTCGCCGCGCTCCGCCGGGAGGGCGTCAGCATCACCTACGCCGCCGCCGCCGCGACGCTGCTCGCCGTGCGCGCCGCGTACGCCCGCGGCGACGAGGCCGGCGCGCTGCTCGGCATGACGCGCAACGCGCGCCGCTGGGTCGACACGGACCGCGCCTGCGCCAGCGCCTCCAGCGCCGTCTTCCTCTGGATCCCCTTTGCCCCGGAGGAGCACCGGGGGTCGGCCCGGGATGCCGTGCTCGCGCTCGGCCGCACCATACGCGAGCGGCTGCAGCCCTACATCGCGGGGCCGCACCACCTCTCCCTGCCGAGCCTGGAGCTTGCCTCGCACCGGGCCATCGACGGCCTCGGTGCGGAAGCGCCGGAGCGCGCGGAGCCGTGCCCGCCGGGGTTCTCTCCGCAGGGCAAGTTGACGCTGAGGCGCGCGTTCGGAGGCGAGGGGGGGGTGAGCATTGAGGCGAAAGACTTCCGGCACACGGGGAGGCAGATCAACGAGTCGCCGTGGGTGGGCTTGTTTTCTCTGTGGGATCGGCTGACACTGTCGCTGGGCTTCGACTCCAAGTATCACGATCCGGAGATGATGGCCAGGCTGATCGCCGACGTCCAGCAGAAACTCGATTCTGTCGTCCACACATCTGCGAATCTGTAGAGTAGGGTTGAGGTAGTTGTACATGAATTGACCGTTGTTGTAAAGTGCTTCTGCGCCCTGGTCATATCATGCTTGAATGTTTACGTGCAAGAGCAACCAAGTTGTACATGCATTTACAGTGCCTGTCAAGTCTTTATCATACCATGCTTGAATACGCACGTCCGAGAGTAAACAAGTTCTGGATACTACCTGACCTGTAAAGTCTTCATCACTACAACTTGCTCCTCGGCTCTCGCAGCAGCGTCTCATACCTTCCAAAACTGCGCGGATCCCGCCACTGCTCCCTGCTCGCATACCCCAATATCCAGACGCCCCCCTCCACGTCCCCCAGACAAATGTAAAAGTCCCTCCTCGAGCTCTTCACCACCATGTGCCCATCCACCGCACTCATCTTCACCACCGCGGCCCCCTCGCCCGGCAGCCGCGCCGGCGAGAAGTCCACCTCCCCCAGCCTCACCGCCCGCCAGTCCGTGATGCCCGTCACAAAGTCCCCCGGCTCGCACGGCGCCACCACCGCCCCCGACGGCTCACGCCACCGCCCGTGCGCCAGCTGAAAGTTGAGCCACCGCTTCACGCCCTCGGGGGTGGTGCGCGCGCGGATGCCCTCGCGCACGTGCAGCGCCAGCTCGCCGAGCGGCAGCGCGGCGACCCGTCCGGCGGTCAGGCCGGGCAGGGCGATGGCCATGGCGCCGCAGAGGAGGTCGTTGTCCGCCAGGCTCGCGGGGTCGGCGGGGAGCCCGGCGGGTGGGCGGAAGCGCCCGTTGGAGATGGTCACGGCCGTGCTTGGCTGGTCTGGGGGGAGGTGCGCGTGGCTGTGCTTCAGCAGCCACGCGTACAGCACGTCCGACCGGCTGACGTACAGCTTCTTCCTCTCCTTCTTCTCCTTTGTGGTCGTGCCGTCGTCTTCACCCTCAGGTTTCAGCTTCTCGCCGTCCAGCCTCTTCTGCACAAAGGTCAGGTCGTACCGCGCCTTCTCCTGCAGCGCCGCGACAAACTCGTCCGGCAGAAAGATGCGCCTGTCCTCGATGGAGCGCTCCGGCCGCTGGACGTAGTGGTCCCACAGGTACCTCCTCATGAACCTCGCCTTGTCGAGCAGGCCGTACACCTTCCAGCCCTCCGGCGGCGGCGGCGGCGGCAGACCACCACCACCACTCGCCAACTCGCCGCCGGGCTCGTAGCCGAGGAACGGGTCCGCGTCCACGCGCTCGTACGGCCGGACCTCCCTCCCGTGCAGCGCCGCCTCCCACGCCTTCAGGAACGACTTGATCGTCACCAAGTCGCCGAACGCGTGGTTGACCGACATCGTCACCAGGGTCGCGTCCCGGAACCGCGTCACCTGGATCGTCGTCTGCGGCCGGTCCGAGCGCCGCAGCTGGTCGAAGCCGTCCACCGCGTTCAGCGCCGCGCACCGCTTCTGGTCCGCCGCCTCGGGACCCTGGCTAATCACCACCACGCCGCCGTCGTCGGAGGCCGCCGCCCCGCCGAAGCCGGGACAATAGCTCCGGATGGACCGGTGCGACTCATCCAGGCAGCAAAAGTCGCGAAGGTGCTCCGGGAGCGAGTCCTGCCGCTTCAAGTACTTGGCCATGCCGGTGGGGGTGCGTACGTGGTAGGCGAGGCCGGAGGGGGCGGAGGGACACTCCCGCATCGGCGCCTGCATGATGGGCCGGGCGTGGAGGGCGGTGATCCAAGCAGAATGGAGCTTCTCAAAGGAGAGCGGCGCGTTGAAGATGACGGAGACTCTGGCCTGGAGGGAGGGCTTGGTCAGTGACTTTGTCAAATAGAGATGAACTAACACGCTGTCTGTCACCAGCCGAAGCAGCACGTACCATCAACTCAACGCTGTCAGCAGGAACAAAGTATTAGCATCTGATGCAATTCTCATTTTGCGAATTTTTGTCAAGTACATACTTGCTCACTGTGGCGTTTAAGAGCGGAATGGGGACTACCGTGTAGTCTTCCGGGTGCATGGCTGTACTCATGCTGGGCAACACTGCCTTGTTTACTGATGCCGTGTATGCTGCTCGACGATTACCACGAGTGTAAATGCCGTTCTCGACGTTGCAAAACCTTTGGCCATGGAGAATGTGCTGCAACACAGCTAAAATAACATTGGTGATGCACATTCCCAAAGCACACACCCGGGGCGTCTCGTTAGTCCGCACGGACTATGTCAAAATGCCCGATGGTCTAGGCCATCATACCCAGCCAGGTCCTCGGTTATAATGCAGTTCATCATACCACACTACCTACCTCTATGCACTATGCACATCTCAAAGATTTAGACTTTTGGTCGTCATTGTCTCCTCTGAATGACCGAGGGAGGGGCTTTCTTATCGTGGCCATCGCCAGGGTCCGTCCGGCATTCGCTGCGCAGTTCGCTCTCTCAACCCCAAATCACGGAAGCCTGTATCAGTTGGCAATTCGTCAACACTGCAGTCAGGATATATTCATTGCTAGCGATGCAGCTCATTTTACGAATTAATAATCTCCATCGTCATCGTCTTGCGCCGGCGGCCGTCTTTGGGCCGTCTCGCACCAAGAGCCTGACTTTGCCGTCGCCAATCTCCACGCCTTGGCTGAGTATGTCTACCGACTTATCCTCTTGTCTAGCTAATGATTTATCCCAGCTTCTTGCGTCTATTCCGAGGATGCCTCCCATGTTATTCCGGTCCCCCGGAACCGAAAACTCCCGGTAGGCATATCTCCATTCGTTGAGGAAGTTTCTAATTGACTTGCCCACCTTGTCTTTTCCATTTTTGCTGTGATGTCCGGTACCGGTAATGGCATACACAGGTCGGGATTCCTTGGAATTGTCCATCAGAATCTTTTCCAGGTATTCTACCGCTTCATCAGGATGCAGCCCGTGGAGGTCAACATAAATCTCGGCCATGTCGCCGACTGGCTTGTTACGCTCTTCGTAGAGCTCACGGGCAGCCTCGCGATGGGCTTGCCTCATCAAGTCGTTCTCGCTCTGGCCCCGTAAACTGAGAGCCTTGGCTGCTCTCGCATCATTGCGGTTCCAGGCTTGCGCCGCGCTATGCTAAGATTTAGCATCAATGATACACACACTGTACCATCTGCAGGACTTACCTTTGAAGAAATTTGTTTCGTAGTCCACCGTGCTTAATGGCTTCCTGGCGAGCCTTCAAATACGCCTTGTTGGCGTGCTCTCCAGTCTCCAACCACGGAATGTGTTTGGGACTGGGAATCGCGAGAGCCGCAGCGCTATTTTCTCCGTTTTTGAACAATGCCGCGCCTCCGTTGAGCCTCCGGGCCTCTAGACGAGGTGAGCCGCCGGGGACAGGCGAAGGCGCCGTCTTGACGATGTCGGCAAGGGAACTCGGAGCAAAATTGTCTTTATGCGCATGGCCGTGGCCGCCTCTTTTTCCGTGATGCTTCTTGCCCTGCTTCAGCAAAGCGGAGCCCAGAGTCGGGAATGCCTCGTTGTCATCCAAGGCTGGAGCGGTCATGGGTGGCTCTTTCGCATGCTGGCGACTGCTAGGACGAGATCGCGACCGAGGGCTCTCTGTGCCATGAAAAGGTCGAAATCCAGGCGGCGGCGTGGCAGTTCCGCTGTGGTATCCATCTGAAGCTGGTCCTGAGCTTAAAGAGGGAAATGAGCTCAAATCTTGCAGCTGCAAGGCAGACTGTCCCCGAGAGGGTGGTGTACTAGAACCGTCCAGGGTCAGTCTGCTCGCCAGTTTGGCAGGATCATGAGAGAAGATGCAAGTTTCGCCCGCTAGACAATTTCCCATGACCCAGTATCTAGAGGCGCATTAGTAGTGGGTAAATAGATAATGGCCTTCTCAATGTATGGCTACACTCACTTGCACAGATGATTACTGAGGTCGTGGCTAAAGCGGCAGTCGGCCCTAAGACACTGGCCGGTCGACATGTAGAACTTGCAAATGACGCCAGCCTTTTGGGCCGAGGTGGGTGTAGCTGGGCGGCTATCCGGAGCTATGGACTTCCCAATCAAGACGTTTCTGGTATCATCAGTTGTTGTGTAATTGCCGTCGGCTGCTTGGCTTTCCATGATGGAGGCGATGGTGGCGCTCAAGTCATAGCCGTGAGATGCAAGTGCATTTTCGATTTCGTCATCGGTTTGGGAGTGGCCCAGAATAGAGCGAAGCATATCGTAGGGGGACATGTCAAGCTGCTGTGCAGACATGGAGGAAGAAAATTCCGGAGCAGCAGCATTGAGCCCACTCGAAGTTCCGACAGACGAAACACTCGCATTATCGTCATTGACCAACCATTCCACATTTTCCGTCTGATAGTCGCCTAGTATCTCGGGAGCAGGAGTTGGGTCACTGGCGAATTCGTAGGCGTTGAGGTTGGGGCTATGGGGGATCGCGGGTGTTGCAAAGGCGAGGCGAGGGGAAGCTCGTGGCGAGGAAAAGGGCGATGCAGTTGATGATATGGATCGGTACGTCGAGGGTACGAAGCCGGGCGGCGCAAGAGGACTGACACCAAGGCGCGGAGAGCTCGACGCGGGAGTTCCGCCGTGACGCCACGATGCGGGAGAAGGGCGTCTGAGGATGGAGTGGCGGATGGGCGGTGGTGAGGCCGAGGCCGTGGCACCCTCTCGAAATCGCCAAAGGGCGTCGAGGACTACATTGTCGAGCGACGTGCCGGTCAAGTTGGTCTCCTTCTTCAGCAGCTCCTCGAGCTTGTCTGTCTTATCTTCATCTTCGAGGGCGGTGTCCTGCAGGATGGGCAAGCAGAGTTCGTAGTGCTCATCCGAGACCATGACGACGACGGGTAGAGGGCGTGGCTTGAATGAAGCTGCGCCAACGGGTATATCTCGAACGCGACAGGCCTGGGGATAAGCCTGGGGGTATAGGTATTGGATGTCGGGGGCTGGTATCGAGTGTGAGAGTGGAGAACAATTCGTTGCGAATGGCAGCCGATGGGTTGACGCTGCGGACAAGGACGAGAAAAGGGAGGACAAAACTGTGTTTGTGCAGGTCAGGGACTGCACGGTTTGACGTTACATGTGCAGGCGCGAGTGCGCGGCAAAGTCCGGGAGTTGTAACGAACGTACCAGGAAGCCACAGAGAAGGCGGGGGGGATTGGGGGTTCAAAGGTAGCAGAGGGCTTCTAGTATAGTTTAGAAGCAGACGGCCAAGAAAAGAATAAAGAGAAGAAAGAAAAAGGGCTAAAACGGCGCTGGCAAGGGAATGCGTCGAAAAAAAAAAAAAGACCGCGATGATGCACTGATCAGGGGAGAACTCAAAGAAGCGAAGAGCTGCAGGTAGGCATGGTGTCGCAATCTACTAAGGTATTCCCCTCCCGTCACCAACGTCACCGGGCGGGCGTCAAGCGGCAGTGAATCAGTGAGACAGGATCGACTGGGAGAGGTGAAGGCGTCGGTGTGTGGTAAGTAGCTGTCGGTGGTGAGAAGCAAGTTGCGGGGTTGGGCTAGGAAAGCCGAGGCGCCGGCGCAACAATAGAATGTGCTGGCTGCTGATGTCTGAGGCGAGATGCCAGGGCGTCTCGGGGAGATGGAATCTGGCGATGGAGAAGCTGTTTGGGATGGAGGACGGACGCACGCATGCAACAGGGGGAACAAACAAGACGTGCTATGACTGGACAAGTAAGGTGTCTCTGCTGGTGCTGGAGCTGTGGTGCTCTGCGGATGCGGGTGTGAGGCTGAGGCTGAGAAAGGATTGGTTGTAAATAAAACTGGGCTTGGTGAACATCTTGGTGGCACTCTGCAGGTACATCCATTTGTGTGGACATTTCATAGCCTAACAAGTACCGGACGGCGATACCTTTAATACGCTACAATTTTTCAGCCAACTTATTAGATATTCACGCCGTATGCTGAAAGATTTGGAAATCAAGCAGAGCCTAATACCTTATTATAAGGGTCTCCCGCTTATGAGAACCTGGCTACGGCGCCCTAGTCTTGCCATGAATATCCCTAGAAATAGTGTTTTTTTTAGAGCGCCGGTAGTGGTGATAGTGATAATGATAGTGATAATGATAGTGATAATGATGATAATAAGTGGTGATGGCGAGAATAGTACTCCGTAGGTAGCGATAGTGACAACGGCTAATGCCATTGACAATAGTGACGACCCCGACAATTGCGATGGGTATTTTAATTGAAATACTATTCTAGGTTCATGCACATCCATCACACCATAATTCTGGACTAGAACCTTGGTACATTCATACTCTCATATCCGCTCTAATATTCCCAGATAAATTCACCATTGATATACAAAATCCAAAACCGCAGCCTCGTCTATGCAATTCCCTCTTCATCACCCCCAAACCCAAAGCTGAACCCACCGCTACCACCAGATTGCTCCTCACCTGCCTCGACCACAGCATCCCACTTCCGCTTCCTCCCCCCCGCTCTATCCGCCAACTCCAAAGCCTTTTCCAGCATTTCCGGATCATGTGCACGAAGTCTCTCCTCGAACAAAGCAAAAGGCTCGGTCACGTCGCAGTCGAAGCCCGATACTTGGTCCGGCTTGTCTCTCAAAAAGGCCAGTGCCTCCGACAGGAGCCTCAGGTTCGGCGACTTTGGGATAAAGTTTTGCGTCAGCGCAATTCCGCTCTCCAAGTTCACCACCAGATGCCACCATCCGCTGGGGACATGTAGGATCTCGCCGGCGTGGCAGACGCCCTCGATGCACCCCGCCATCTGCCGCGCTTCCTGGTGGAACGTCAGCAGCCACTCGGCGATGCTCAACGGGCTGGTGACCTCGCTGCTGTCCTGGGACACGTAGACACCAGGGACTTGAGCAGTCGGAGGAAACATGATCCAGTACTTGGCGCCTTGGACGACAGCATTCCACGCGCTCGTACCGTTGGGGTCCTTGTGGAAAGTAGAGCCGCTTCGCTTCGGCCCAACAATAAGCCATCGATGCGCCGGCCTCTCCGCGCCCAAGACTTCGAACAAGTCTGGGCCGAAACACGGAGGTTTCCAATAAGAAGCCCCGGGGTCTTCTCCGACTTGAATACCCATCTTTTCGGCAAAGTTCTTATCGAATAGGTACAGCGGGCTCTCGTCTCGGTTGTTGGACATGTAGTCACTGTAGCGCGAGAAGGTCCAGTCCACAGCCTCGGCGCGGAATTCAACATCGGCAAAGGACTTTAGTAAGGAGTCTGCCGTCCATTTTGAGCACACTGGCCAGTTTTGAATGCACTCCGTCAAGATGAAAGGCTCCTCCGTCCAACTCGTCGCGAACTCGTCGTATGATATGTCCTTGAAACGCCGTATTTGATTGTGCTTCGGTATTGTTTCCGCATATTGCTCGAGTTGAATGTTACTACATGCAAAAGGTCGATGAAGTACGTCAGAGAAAACTTGACTGCAGTCCACCTTGGCCTCGTCGCTAATGGCAAGCAAAGTACGGCGCCATGTTCCGTTCCATTTTAGCCTTGCACTGGCGGCAACCGGTTGTCTATGGAATAGGATTAGCATTCACTCTATGCATGAACCGTGTGAGCTCTTTAACATTTGTAAATTGATTCTGCTCCTATGCTTATTTTGCAGGGCTATTTTGAGAGCAAAAGCAGCCAGTTCGGATGCAACATGGTTAATTGAGGGAGGCAGATGACCTACTGTAAGAACAGAGCTTTCCAGAGCTCATCGGAATGCGAACATGCATATAAAAATCTACATGATGCACTTAGACTTTGAAGACTAGACACATCTAGCCGCTCCAGCAACAGCATGAGCATCTCATCGGGCAGCCCTCCGAGAGTGCCTGCGAAGAGGCGGGCATCGGTGCCACCGGATAAGTAACGGTTGCCTAATGGTTTAACTCCGAGATGATGCGTTGGAATGGCATCCAGTGGCGTTGAGTCACTGGTCTTGAGTTCGCATTTGATGTTGTGCGCCAAAGGAAGCGCTGACGATATGGCGGAAGGCATTGCTTCTGCAGGACCGAGGTACCGTGGTGCAAAGTGGTTATATGAGTCAGAGTGGCGCAGGGTTGATGAGAAAGAAAACGCCTATTTGGTAGTGGGCGGGCAAATCAAAATAACATGAGTGGTCAGCCACGATTGCAATGACTGCAACGACTGCATGAGGCAAACGAGGCGAGTCACTGAAATGGCGGATGGGATTGAGATGTGTCTTGGCTCCCTCGAACTGGTGGCGGTATCAAACCGCCCGCAAAAAAAGTTTATGCAGACCCAGATTGGGTACCCATGTGGTACTTGAATTTGGCTGTACCGCCCACAGTGCAGTATGTACCTGCGCGGGCGTACATCCACTCGAGTCACAGTGCTTGCAGCACCAAGAAGCAGCCCGCCCAGGATTGAAATCGAGGCTCTCCCATTACCTAACTACCAGGGAATCAGTGGGCAGGACAGACATAAAATAATGAATCCGTTTCCATGGCCTGCAGCTCAGTGATGCCACGGGACGCGGTACTTCTGTCTTTGCTGGCCGGACGCGCTAATCAGAGAGTACCCTAAACCTCACCCCACTTCTTTCACACGCGCCTCATTGATTGGCTACGCACTGGTGGGCGGGAAGAAAAAAAATAATACAAGTCGAGCAAATCGCCCCTCAGCTTTTTTTTCTTCTCTTCTCTCAACCCTCTGCAAACAACCAACCACCAGGTATAATACGCTTTTTCTTCCTAGGTTCTTTGACTCTCGTAGATTTCGAGAGCATTTGAATCTAGTCGACTACTTTTTGTTCTTTTTACCGACTTCGCCGGCCGCAGTCTTCCTTCGTGAGAAGCCTGCGATTTTTTCCTCAACCGCAACCACCCCACGAATTTTACACTTCTAGGTCGAGCTGCGCTTGATCTAGATTTTTCTTACCCCAAACCGCAATCATGGCTACCGACAAGGGACTCGAGGATGTCCCCGAGGGTGAGTGATCCCCTTTCTCTGACGCTCTTTGTTGAGCTGGCGAACCAGTCGCATCGCTCGCAACTCGTCGCGGGGCGGGAAAAATCCTTGGGGCAAGGGGCGCTACGCGGCCAGCGCAGGGCCCACTGCAATATTTTCCCCTCCATGGCATTTGTGTGCGCCGCGATAAGGCTGGTCCTGCGCCTCTCAGCGTCGCCAACAGCAAAACAAAGACGACAATGCACAGCATCGCTAACATGCCTTTTTCTTGCCAGCACACATCGAGTCCAACTATGATGAGACTGTTGACTCCTTCGATGACATGAATCTCAAGTCTGAGCTTCTCCGTGGTAGTAAGTTTACCTACTATCAAGTTATGCGCGACTGCGCATCTCGCCGCCAGCAGTGTCCTGACCAGTCGCCTTTCTATAGTCTATGCCTACGGTTTTGAGCGCCCCTCTGCTATCCAGCAGCGCGCCATCATGCCCGTCATCAAGGGCCACGATGTCATTGCCCAGGCCCAGTCTGGTACTGGCAAGACGGCTACCTTCTCCATCTCCACCCTTCAGAAGATCGACCCTGCCGTTAAGCAGTGCCAGGCTCTCATCCTTGCTCCCACCCGTGAGCTGGCCCAGCAGATCCAGAAGGTCGTCGTCGCTATTGGCGACTTCATGAACATTGAGTGCCACGCCTGCATTGGTGGTACCTCGGTTCGTGATGACATGAAGGCCCTCCAGGACGGCCCCCAGGTCGTTGTCGGTACTCCTGGCCGTGTCCACGACATGATCCAGCGTCGCTTCCTCAAGACCGACTCCATGAAGATGTTCGTCCTCGACGAGGCCGATGAGATGCTTTCTGTATGTTGTGACAGCCTGTCGCTTTTGGACTTCGGATACTGACTCTTCCTTAGCGCGGTTTCACCGACCAGATCTACGACATCTTCCAGCTCCTTCCCCAGTCCACCCAGGTCGTCCTCCTCTCTGCCACCATGCCCCAGGACGTCCTTGAGGTCACCACCCGCTTCATGCGCGACCCCGTCCGTATCCTGGTCAAGAAGGACGAACTCACCCTGGAAGGTATCAAGCAGTTCTACATTGCTGTCGAGAAGGAGGAGTGGAAGCTTGACACCCTCTCTGACTTGTACGAGACTGTCACCATCACCCAGGCTGTCATCTTCTGCAACACCCGCAGAAAGGTCGACTGGCTCACCGACAAGCTCACTGCCCGTGACTTCACCGTCTCGGCCATGCACGGCGACATGGACCAGGCTCAGCGTGATCTGATCATGAAGGAGTTCCGTTCCGGTTCTTCCCGTGTCCTGATCGCCACTGACCTTCTGGCCCGTGGTATCGATGTCCAGCAGGTTTCTCTGGTCATCAACTACGACCTTCCCGCCAACCGCGAGAACTACATCCACCGTATCGGCCGTGGTGGTCGTTTCGGTCGTAAGGGTGTCTCCATCAACTTCGTCACCGCTGAGGACGTCCGTATGATGCGTGAGATCGAGCAGTTCTACAGCACCCAGATTGAGGAGATGCCCATGAATGTCGCCGACCTCATCTAAGCACTTCTGCCGTCTTACCGGCCCTCTCCTGCGGGCACCCCTCTTTGAGTGCTAGGCACAAAGGGCGCAGAGCAGAGGGCCTACAACAAAATACCGCCTTGTTTTTTCTTCCTCTGGGGCCGCATTACTTTTTTTGTCCTATTTCTCCGTTTTCCTCTTCTTAACATGAAATCTCCCCCCGCGGCCCCATTTTACGAAACCCACGACGTCTTTATTTTATGAACGCGCGGCGATTTTAGTACTATTTGTCCTACGAATCAAAAACTACCACCACTTTTTTGCATGCGGAGGACAAAAACGAAATAGAAGGGAAAGAATGAGAGCAGTGACGACACGAAAGGAATTGGGCTTCGTTGGCGATGGAAGAAAGCCTGAAGAAACAAGGTCTCTGGCAGCTTCCTTGTTGGCACCTTATTTAATTGCGAGGTGTGGGAGGGCTACCAAAAGTTAATTGCAATGGCTGATTTCCTTTGTATTTCAAAATACTTTTCTTAAACTACCGCTCCGTCTGCTGCGTGACTGTTTCGAGTGCGTGTCATGATCAACATAGATGCAGATAAAAGTAAGGGACGCAGCAACCACGCACACACTGAATAATGGCAACAGGCACCGCCACCAGTGGCCAAGGTTTGACAGTACTGACTGACAGCATGTATTCACAATGATGTGTATTAAATGTACTTGAGAGTACCGTGAGATGTACGATGTGTAAAGAGAGACTAGAAATATAAAAAGAGACATGATCTGGCGTCCATCGACATCCGAGCCGTTGCGCATCCATCAAAGTCATCTGCTACCCTGGTTCCAGATCCAATGTACAAAGGAAACAAGGAAACAAAGAAGATGAAAAAAAAAAATTCAATCAGCACACAAGAAAGTTGCCAATGCTTGTAAGCAAACAACGCCGTACATGGTATAAAAGTCCCCAATGCCTATCGTTCCTGGCTGTTCCAGCAGTTTTTCCCCCTTTACAAACTTCCAACAACCACAACCGTCCGGCTCTAAGCGTGACGGAAGTGCGCCTGGTCGGCGGGTGGACTCTTGACGGCCTGGTCCGCGTACGCTCCCGGGATGGGAACGGCGTCGTAGACCGGCTCGTTGGCCGCTTGGGGCGCGAGCTGCTGCGGCAGGGGCTGTGCAAAGTCCGGAGCCGGGGGCGGCGTCGCGGACGTCGGGGTGAAGGCGCCGCCGCCGAGCTTGGGGGTCGCGGAGGGCGCCTTGGCGGGCGGCCGCTGCAGCTTGAAGCCGGGCGAGGGGCTGCCGAACTGCGAGTCCGGGACGACCACGTTCTGGCCGCCGGGCGTGAACGGGCTCGCCTCCGGGACGGGGCCGGCGCCCATGTTCTGGTACGCGGCGGGCGGGTGGCGCGGGGACATGGCGTACGTGCTGAAAGCGGCCGGCGACTTGGGACCGCCAGAGACGAAGCCGGGCGTGTTGGGCGCGGACATGGAGCGCAGCTGGGCGAGGTAGAGGTCCGACCTGGCGCGGTCGCGCATGTCCATCGACTTGGTCAGGCGGCGCTTCGTGTAGTACCGGTAGAAGACGACCGAGTAGAGGGTGATGCAGATGACCTCGACGACGATCTCGATGATCATGCAGATGAGGCTCCAGTTCTGCAGGCGGCAGACGAGCGCGTAGTCGACCTTGTCGTGGAAGACGTGGGCGCGCTGGTTGTCCACGCAGCTCCACCCCCACATGTCCTTGTTGCCCGAGTTGTTCTTGGAGTTTTGGAAGAGCGCGGCGGTGACCACCCAGAGCACCAGGGAGACAAGAAACCAACCGATGGCGAACATGGTGTAGTAGGTGCCGATGCGCTCGGCGCGGCGGTGGCCGCCGCGGCAGTAGGCGAGGAAGACGAGGACGCAGGCGCCGAGGGAGACGCAGGACATGGCGAGGACGAGCTTCTGCGGCCAGGTCTTTGTGTTTTGCGCCCAGGAGGGCATCTTGCTCTGGGTGGGCAGCTGCTTGGTGCTGTTGAAGATGGCGAAGGAGGAGGAGATCATGGCGAGGATGATGAGGGAGCAGCTAAAGTTGACGCCGCGGAGGGCAAACTTGGCGAGGCGGACGCGGGTTTTGATTTTCTGTTGTCACGTTAGGGATTGAACAGCCACCGAGCGTGTAGTTTCCCAACTTACGAGATCGCGGGCCTGCTCGGCATCGGTCGAGGCCTCGCGCTTCTCCAGCATCTCCTCCTCGCGAAAGGTCGGGCTGAGGGGGTTGGCGGCGAGGTGACGGCCGGGCGTGCCGGGCACCTTCATGGCGCTCTTGAGGGGTGACTTGGGTGCGGCGCCGGCGCCGGCCTCGTCGTCGTCGCCGCCGTGGCCGATGTAGCCGAAGCCGACGGCCTGGACCTCGTGCTGCTTCTCCGGGTCGTCAAAGGGCGAGCGGCCGTGGGCGCCGGCATGGTCGACGGGCGAGTGCACCGAGGTGGCCTCGGCGAAGCGCGGCGTGCGCGGGGCCTTGAGGGAGGACGAGTCCGAGTCCGTCGAGACGGCCGTCGCGGACCGGGCGGGAGTGAGGTTGAGGGCGGTAGGACGCCTCTTGTCGTCTGAGCCTGGAACGTGTGTTAGAGCGGCTAGCTCAACGGATGGGCAGATTGGGTGTACGATGCGCACCGATCATTGTGAATAAGTCTTTTTTGTCTTTGTTTGAGTTGGGGGAGAGGTGAAGTCGGGCTTGGAGTTGGCTTTCGTGATCCCGTCTAAGTGGCGCGACACTGAAAGAAAAGCCCAAGTGTAGGACACAGTCCTGTGAACCTCTCCGTGTAATGTGAGTGGTGCAATGCAAGTTGAGGAAAGATGTTTTGGGCACACGAGAAGGAGGAAATAAAAATGCAAACAGAGATCGAAAAGAGTCACGAGAGAATACGGATGAGACCAGCTAATCGAGAGGGAGAAGGCGAGAAGAGAGAGGGAGGGGGAGGGCTTGGTGGGAGTAGAGGCAGTTTTGAGGTTTGGCGGCAAAGGCCTGGTGTGGATTTTTAGCCTCACAAGAAATAGTAGAGGGACAGAGACAGAGAGGGGAAAAGCATGTACCAAAAAGAGAGGAGGTTGCAGTAAAAACAGGCCGTGGATAGTGAGGGTGGTGCAGACTCGCTCTGATAGGACTGGATTTAGGCGCCCGGGTTGGAGATGGAGGAGGGGGGGGGAGGAGAGTGGTCCTGCGCTGTAAGAGGGCGGAGAAAAGCTGTTGGGGGCGGCGGCTAGAACGGTGTGCGCAGAATTAATGTACAAGGATAATTCTCTCTCTTTCCTTCTCTATGCTCTGAATTATCAATAATTTTCTCGCCTTTTCCTAGCAAAGATGCAGCGATGATGCAACGGAGTAGTACGAATGTCGAGTTGACGGACGGGGCTTACACGAGGGGGGGGGGGGGCATGAAAAAAAAAAGAAGAAGAAGGCAAGGGAAAGGGAAAGGGAAGCGGGAAAAGGCCTCACTTTCTCACTGAACAAGTCATGGGGATAGAGGAGGAGGAGGAGGAAGGGTTGCATGCAATGCACGAGCTGTAGCACCAACCTGCCTGCCTTACTCGCTGCTTTGCCGACACAAGGCTCAAGCTCAGGTAGGCAAGCAAGGTGATGGAGGGAGGGGCGTGCAGTGCATACTGACGAGACAATTCGACAGAACAAGGGACAAGGTTCGGGATGTGGAAGCCGGGCGCGTACGGAGGAGAGAGAGAGAGGGCGTGATGAGACTCGGGTGGCTGGAGAATGTACAGATGCTGCAGGCTGGGAAGACGGACAGACAGACAGACAGACAGACAGATCAGTGCGCTGCAGCTGTGGGCTGAAGCATTGAACAAGGCAAACGGGTAAATGAACCCCTGCTTTCTCTCTGCAGATTGCCCATGCTCCTCCTCCTCCTCCTCCTCCTCCTTGTTGGTGTGAGTGGCTCAACAAGCCTTCTGTGAATACCCTTGCCCAAAAGCCATCCATTGGCCATGCTCGCAGCCGCTCGATGGCCCAGACACCGCTAGCGAGCTGCCGGCGCCGGCCAATCACAGCCGCAGAGGACCCCCGGGAGTTGGAGGGAAAGCCCCCGGGCCGGTGCGGGGGCAACAAGCCATCATCGCGCGGGCGGCTACAGCGGCCTCGTCATTCGCCCAAGCTGGGACCGTTGCATGCCACCCCCCCCCCCCCCTTGTTGCTTGGTGATCTGTGCCATCTTCCTCCCACCCCAACACCACACAACACGGGTTCTTGGGCGATCCGTGAATGGCCGAGCCCAGAAGATCACGGCGGTGCTGGTCGCGGTACGGGTACATGCCGCTGCGAGCGGCCGATAATGGGCCACAGGTAGGTAATAGCTGCTGCAATCAGTCAATCGCCAATGTCTGAGATGAGACGGATCTTTCTTTGTGCGGATATCCGAAGACTTGCTTGTCAAAATCAAAGATTTGGCAGCCGTTGTTTTTATGCACGCGTCTGCCTGCACATCTCCTCATACCGTGCCGCGACTTTGTGCAGCCGCAACTTGTGCACAAGACTGTTGCATAACTGGTACACACAAGACAGCAAACCCAACCCTCGAACCAAAATTTTACTGAATTGTATAGTTAATATGCCAATCCTCACAAGCAAACTCCTCTATAATACCTTTCTCTCTCTCCTTCTTTTTTTATAAACAGCCCGGTTCCATTTTCTACTTTCTACACACCCAATCAAACGGATAAACCCAAGATTGATTCACTCCAGGCAGCCCGTCTCACTCCACCTGCTGGCCCCAACCACACACCGACCACAAAGGCCAGCCTCCTTCCATCCATCACGCCATAGCCTTCCGCCTTTTGTGTTTATTCTTTCTGCTTCTTCTTCTTCCTCTTTTTTTTGTGTTAATTCTAACTGTACATGCCTTGACCTTCATTTTTCCCAGTACCATCATCTCACATCTACCTCTTCTTGTTCTTGCGCTTGCTCGCTTTGCCACCCTGCTCTGCGCCGCTCGACTTGGCCTTGCTAAGCGACTCGGTGCTCTTGCTGATCACCTCATAGTCCTCGCCTGCAGAGTCCGTGCTCGGCGTGTTCTGCGGCACGTCCGAGTCGTCGTCTGCCGCGGCATCCTCCTCGGCATCGGGCTCGGCATCGGCCTTGCTGCCCAACAGACGGCCTACGGACGCCTTGAACAGGAACAGAGGGACCTGCACGACGGCCGTGTCCTTGTAAGTAGGCGCGGCCAACTCCTCAGGCTAAAAAAAAACATCTCTGTCAGCGATTATGTTCCCCTTTCATCATCATTTGTAGCAATACGTCAATGCTCTACTTACGTCAAGGAGGTACTCGTGGACGTTGCCCTCCTCGTCCTGCTCCTCGAGGAAGACGTCGCCCTGGGAGTCGACGACGAGAACCTTGCCATTCTCCGCAACGACTCGCTTCTTGATGCCGGTCGGCGCAACAGAGGCATCTCGCGACGACGACTTGGACGCCACGCGCGACTTGCGGTCCTTCTTCTTGGACGGACGGCCCTCCTCCTTGCGCGTCTCCTTCTCCATCATGCGGCGCTCCTTGCGGTTACGCGGCACCGGCATGGCCGGGTCCTGCTCCGCCTCCTCCTCGGGCGCCGCGGCCGCAGCAGCCGCGGGCTCCGTGTTCAGGCCCGGGATGTTGCCGCCCCAGGCCGTGTTGCGCGCAAACTTGACGTAGCGGCCGACGAATTCCTTCTGCCGCTTCCAGTTCATGTACAGGATCAGGTAGTGCACGGCGCCGCCGGCGAAGAGGAGGAAGCCCGTGATGGCCGTGCCCAGGCCGGGCCGGTACCGGTTGTAGTAGTAGTCCGTGCCCTTCCACAGCGGGAAGCCGTTGGCCAGGAAGTGGTCGTAGCGGTCGCGCGACGGGCCCTTGAGGATGCCCGCGATCAGGGACAGGCGCGCCTGCCGGTCCGACGCCTTCTTGACGGCCGCGTTGATCTCGGACGACGAGGGGCCCTTGACCGACTTGGCGCCGTCCTTGGGCTTGCGGGCGCGCAGCTGCTGGCGCACCTTGTCCGGGTGAAGCTCGCGCGACTTCTTGCGGTACGCCTGCGTGATAATGTCCTGCGAGGCCTGCTTGGGGATGCCCAGGATGTCGTAGAACGTGGCCTCGGGGTCAACCTCGTGGGCCGAGATTTCGTCGCGGATACGGAAGATTTCGCGGTCTTTGCGGCGGGAAATACGTTAGCAAACAGCACCATTGATCACGCCAACGTTATAGCGAGCCCGTGCAACGGATCTTGGAAACCGGCAGACGTGGCCGCTTCTCTTGGGGTCGACTCACCTTCCTTGCTCCATGCCGCCGTCAATGGCGTCAGGAGGGCCAGAAGGCCGACCGACAGTGTCGAAAACCTCATGATTGCCTAGTCTGACGCGTCGCGCCCGGCAGATGAATTGATTGTTGGAAGCCGCGTCGTCGTTGGACCTTGTAAGAGGGAAAGAATGAGGGCCAGTCCGAATAATTTCATGCCCTACCAAAAGTATAATATAGTGGCGCGTCGCTACCCTGGCAGTTCGAATCGGCCAGCTTGCAGCTTCGACGACCCCTGGAGCCCCGTCGCAGGGAAGAAAGTGGGGCAACTCGCATGAAATCAGAGCATAAAATACTTCAACAAACGGATAACTCCGTAGCTGTTTCTACCACTTCAGGCCACGATTAATGTTCTGCGCATTGCACGTTAGAAAAACTTTGGATTTACCCAAGGCGCCATCACCAATCGCAGCATGTCGCCATGAGCCCGACCAACCAGCCCGGCTGCCCCGAGGCCCAGGGCGACGACGCCGAAGACGACTACATGAACATGACCTTTGACGACCCCGCGCCCGCCACGGAATCCTCGCTCCAGCGCACGCAGCGCCTCAAGAAGGAGTCACGCGCGCGCGGCGTCATCAAGTCCAAGGCGCAGCTCGCCGAGGAGGAGGCGGCCGCGCGCGACAAGGCCCTGGCCACGTCGCTGCTCGACGACCCGCGGCGCGCCAAGACGAGCAAGGGGCTCGCCATGATGGCCCGGATGGGCTTCGCCGGCGGCGGCCTCGGCAAGAAGGAAGCCGACGGCACCGCCCGCGGCCGCACCGAGCCCATCCACCTCAGCCTCAAGGACGACCGTGGCGGCGTCGGCATGGACGCCGAGAAGAAGCGCCGCTTCCGCGAGGTCGCCGAGGAGGTCATCGGGTCGGACGCGAAGGTGCAGAAGCTGGACCCGGACGAGTACCGCGAGCGCGTCAGGAGGGAGCGCGAGGACGCGAAGCTGGAGAAGCAGTTCCTCGCCGCGCAGCGCCTGGTCGAGCGCATGGACGAGGAGGAGGATGGAGACGGGGGTGACGCCTCGGCCTCGGAAGACGACGCGGAGGGGAGGGACAAGGGCGGCAGGGCGCCGCGGCCGATTTCCTCAAGGCCGTTGAGATCCGTGCCTGTGCTGTACCGCGGGCTGGTGCGCCACCGCGAGGAAAAGGAGCGTGACCGACGGATGCGCTACGACCTGGAGCAGTCGCTCTCGCGCCTCCCCGCCTACGAGGAAGAGGACGACGACCCGGATTACAAGACGGCGCTCGGGAAGCGCGGCACAGTGTACGCGGTGGCCGAAGACCTGGACGAGGAAGACCCAGAGCTAGACGCGTTCAATGCCGTAGATGTGCATGAGCGGCTGGAACGCCTGCTGAAGCATCTCCGTGAGCAGCATAGATATTGCTTCTGGTGCAAGATGGTATATCCAGATGCTAAAATGGATGGTTGTCCGGGTCTTACAGAAGAGGATCACGATTAGCACACCAAAGATGGCATACAAGACACACAACATGAAGAAGAACTGCCGATATGCCGTCTATTTTTGCCTAATCCAGAAGCCATTTTCGCCGTTACTAAGTCGTCTCGTGATAAAGAAATTCACTTGCTCTTTACGCCATTGCCATGCCCTTTTTGTTCACAGCTCGGTTGCTACATGCCTGATTCCGCACCGTGGATGAGTATAGTTGTAATCGTAGCCCGACAGAATACCAACGAAATGGCTCACCGAGCCAAGAACAACAAAACAGTGAAAGATTTGGTGGGAGCACCCCCAAATGTCGAACCTTCCCGGTAGCCAGCACTCGGGAAACCGTGTCTATCGATTCATCGTCAGCAGCGCACCACAAACATCCACGACCACCAAGGTCACTTACAACCAGAAAAGCAACGCCGGTGAGCATGAAAACGGCTTCGAGGTAATAATAGTTGAGCCCAGACTGCTTTTGCAGTTGATCATACGGGAAGAGAAGTACGGCGTGAAAGATGGGAATGAAAGCCGACAGGCTGAGGGCGAGGAACGGCAGCAGCCGCGAGGCCAGCCAGTCCTTGGACTCATTCTTGCCGTACAGCGAAAGATAGGAGTTGTATGCGCTCATGATGAATATCTAACCGAAAAAAACGTCAGCATCAAAGGCCCCTCCGCCCAAACCTTGGGGCATCCTCGAGACGACTGTCACTTACAGCGCCGAGATAGCCGCACAGCAGCCCCGGCTCGCAGTAGAAACCCATGTACAGCCCCGGCACGAACGACGCCATGATGAGCAGCGAGATGCCCACGTAGTCGATCCGGATCCAAAGGTCCGCCAGCTCGCGCGAGTGGCACAGCAGCGTGTGGTACGCCGCGGACAACCCGAAGCAGGCCGCGCACGCGGTCAGGTAGACGTGCAGGACGGCGCGGTCCACGGGGGAGGCGCCCGGGTAGCGCGCGGACAGGTAGTGGTGGAGCGCGGCGTTGCCGAGGACGGCGGCGACGCCGGGGACCAGGTGCGTGTAGATGTTGCCGCTCTGGTTGTGCAGGTAGGCCCAGCTGCGGAAGCAGGGGCCCGCGGCGGCGAAGACGGGCCGGTAGCCGGTGCGGATGTACGGGTTCTCGGCGTACCACGCGGGGACGGAGTCGAAGGGTAGGAGGAGGGTGCGGGTGACGGCGCGGGTGTCGGTCTCGGCGCCGGCGGAGGCGAGAGAGGAGGAGGAGGGCTTGACGGGCGGGTGGTGGTACTTGCTGTCGGCGACGGCGTCCGGGCGCGTGAGTTTACCGCGATACATGGCTGCAAGGTTGACTGGGGTTAGATGAGGAATGTGAGGCCAATGGATGATGGAAATCTATGAGGCTAGGAGCAAAGGACGGCAGAAGCAACTGGTCATCGATACTGCACGTCCAAGGCGCGGAGGACGTCGACTGTCGACACTGGCGATGAGGCATACGAGCAACATAGCCAGGCACAAGGTACGGGTATGGAAGGTTCAACGGATATGATGCGTGCTACTATTATTACCGCAAGGCGGACGGCAGGGAGGTGTGCGCGTGAGGTCGGTTGAGCCCGGTGATTGGTTAACTGGGTAGTAGTGTCGATACTAGGCGATACGATATCTCATGCCAGGGAAGAGGGAAGAGGGAAGAGGGAAGACGAGGAATGAGAAAGTCTAAGCTATAATTCAATAAAAACATGCATCTATATGGAGGAGTATGAATCTTTACGATTTGTTTGTTGGTTCTGGAATTACCTGGTAGCCGATCTGTTTCTTGTTCCGTGCAAGTTGTATATCAAAGTGGCGTATTCATACAGCTTTGTCACCGACACTCTACTAACTCTCGGCAGAGACCGGGGCGAAGACAACTTCGTACAAATAAATTAAGACAAATATACGTTGAAAACGTGATATTTGATTTGAGTGACCGTTTGCTTTTTCTGTCTCTGTTTTGAGGTCGGGGCGTTGAAAAGCCGAAGCTGGTGGTACGGATAGCTACCCTGCATGTTTCTATTCCGAGGTCAGCCGCGCCATGTGCCGAAAAGCCACCAGCACGCCTGCAGCAAAGTAAAAAGTAAGACAGAAAAACACAGGGGAGGAATCCTTGCTGTTCTTGTTTCTCACCTATGTCCTCCAACAGAACTAGCAGACATGTGACAGTTGATAGCTTGTCTTATTGTCGTCCGTTCTGGGAGCGTCCCGAGCGGGAGCGTGGAGGACCGGCTACAAGACCAGGTAGAAACAATCTATGTACATATGTTCTAGGATTTGTAGGGCATGAGAAACGTATTTGTCTATCCGCATGGCATGGGGATTGTTTGCGACGGCACCGCGGGATGGACGATATTGATTGATGATGAAGCGATTTGGAATTGTGGAGGAGATCAAAGACATCATATCATATAGCAGTGCATAGAAGTCAGGCGGGCGCGGTACATGAGTAGATCTGATGCTGCCATCGACCATGCCACATGTGGCTGTGGCTCTCGAGTGGAGCCATGCGTGGGACTCAGTAATGAGGAAACAAACGGGCGTCGATGATTTGGAATACTTTCTTTCGTTACCTCTCTCCTCGCAGCTCGGATTTGCGCTTGCGAGGCTGTCTCTCAGCTCAACACCGATTCCAGCAATAAGCAGCAATCTGTAATACCAGCAGCAGATGAATTTTCCATCGATGAAGAACAGAGATGACGCCTCGATAACGGGACAGCACCAACCTGGAGCATGCAGTAACTAGTGGACAGATGATGGATGCATCACCAACCCCGAAACACTCAAGCCCGCTAATAATAAGCTACACCTGACAAGCTGCCCCTAGATTGCCCGCTTATTACTGCCCTCTTACGACCTTACATAGGCCAATACAACATACAGTACGGATACCTTACCTCGCCTTATTCCTCCGACCTCCCCCCAAACCAACCACGCCATCGGCCTACCTGCCTGCATATCTCAAATCCTTCCATTTTCCCCGCCAAGACGGTACAGTTCACTCAACGGACCTCGAGCTAGCGGAAACATTTGCATCGGCCGCCCGCTTTGATCGCTCACTGTCGCAGGCTTCACGGTCCCATCCCAACTGTCGGCAGGAGCACACAACGCTGTCATCCGTCCGTCCCGCCAACAACATATGACACACCACGATGGCCGACAAGGACCCCGTCGAGCGCCCATCCTTCCTGTCCTACCTCAAGCGAGACAAGGAAAAGGGAAAGGATAAGAAGTCGTCGGGCTCCAAATCCACGACTGCCACGTCCACTTGTGAGTAGAAACAAGAAACCTCATCACGCCCGCGCCCTCGCTCGCCCGCCGCAGACCCCCCGCCCTGCTCGTTCGTTCGGTTGCATGGATCCCTTCCCTATGCCGACACGATTTCCCGCTCGCATTCTCTTGCCAATTCGTTTCCCAGCTGCTGCTTTTATTCCCGGCAACTGAGATCCCAGCTTTCCCCCTCCTCCCGCCGCCCCCCTTTCCCAAAACAACCGTCAAGGCCAAAACGCTACCTGCCAGCTGGTCGTGTTTGAGCACCAAGCACGCTCCATCTCCATGATTTGTCATTTCCCCTTTTGGAACGGCCAAGATGGCTCCCATGCCAAAAGACGCCGCCTCCACCGCCTCGTTGTCAGTTGAGCGTTAATAATAATTTCATATATTCCCCATACTATGCAAGCCCAGTCGCTTTCTTAGCCGCCACTACGTTGGAAATGTTCGCTTCTTATCTCTAACCCTGGCCGTCAAGCTCGCAAGATTCCATCCTTCTCACCCCTCCACTACACATCACTTATACACATGCAGAGCTTCTACCCCTCTTCCCTTCTCCTTCCTCCTTCACTGTGGTGCCGCAGCAAGCCCTCATCATAATGCCTTTTATAATATCCAGCGCCGCTGTTCGAGACACTGCCAGAATGAAGCGCTTCAGAAGAGACAAGTACCTGACCAAATCGTTGTTAGCCGGAGCTACGGACAGCAGTCCGGGTAATCAGGATGGCTTGTCCAAGAACCAAGTTCGCCGAGCTCAAGTTCGTCGGGCTCAGATCCAACATCGCCAGCGTAAAGCAAACTATGTCAAGCAGCTCGAGATGGACATTTCACAGCTCCGCGAGCTCATCACACAAGCCCAGCACGACACAAGCGCCCTCAGACGCGAAAATGACGACATGATGGCCTTCCTGGATCAAAACGGCATTCCCAGCCCTCCGGGCCTCACTCATAGCACAGGGTCTCCCAGTGCCGCGACGGTACTGTCTGACGCACAAAACACGGACAACTCACAACAACCTACGCCCGCATATCCTATCATGGACAACACCGACTTGCTCCTCTCCGGCAACTATGGCTTAGACGAGGAGCTCATCGTCACACTTAGCTCAAACAAGCTCATGGGAACACCGGCTTTCAGCGTCAACCCCAGCTCAACCAACAGCAGCTACTACACGGGCCAAGTGTCGGCAGCTTGGTCACAAGGCCAGGTCCAACTTACACCCGCCCAAGAGCTGAGCGTCATCAACTTTATTCTCGCGTAAGTACCAAATCCCAACACCAAAATTGCTCGCAGATCCTAACACTGCCGTACAGTCTGGAGCACGTCTGCTGGGACCACTTCTGGGTCGGCGACTGCCACAACCACAGCGCCCAGACCGAAGAGGAAAAGGGCCACACCCTCATGGCCTCGTCCTACCTCATGGCCAACGCCCCCGAGTCCATCTATACCGAGCGCGAGGCCTTCCGAAGCCGCTTCCGCAGCGCGCCCACCCTCCGCTGGCCCGCCTCCACCGTCACCCTCGACTCCCTCTACGGCCTCGCCCAGTCCCTCAACCCGGGCGGCGACGAGGTCGCCCCCGTCCAGGCTTGGTTCGAGCTCGCCAGCCGCTACCCTGTCGACGACCTTCTCCGACCCGACACCCTCGAGGCCCTCAAGCGCGAATTCAAGGGCGTTGTCCGCTGCGTCGCCTTTGGCGCGGCAATGGAGCGCGGCGCCTTTGAGAGCATCGTGCTGCGCGTCCTGGGTCCAGACGCCGATGCGCTCGCATTGCTGTAAAATTCATATCAGAAATAAGCGGTTACTGTGGTTTCTTTGGGAAGAGACAAGAGGCGAAATGGTGGTGGTGAGCGTGATGACGAAAGAGAAAATGTTCAGGCGTTTACATGGGATTTATTGGCGTATACTGGAATATTGGGTAATTCGACGTTGCAATGTCTCGCTTGAAAAGGAAATAAAACAATTTTGAACAATATACGTGTAATAAAAGAAGAATACAAAAAGAACTGTCATTACTGCGTCTACGTGAAAATATCTGTCCCCCTTCCCTCCTCCCCAGCTGCGCCTCTCCCTCGCCCCCCTTGCTCACAATGCCTTGACTATGGTCCTGTCGTCAAAGAGGTCCCGCAGCAGGCTCTGCACGCAGCCCGGCACGTCCGGCGCGCCCATGGCGTACGTCGACTCGAACGCGAAGATGCTGAGCTGCGCAAAGAACGGCCGCAGCACCTTGGCGACCAGCTCGTCGCGGCGGTCCAGGCCCACGCTGTCGTCCGCGATGCCCCCGGGTCCGATGAGCGGGTGGCGGCGGCCGCGTTGCATCGTCGCCGCCGCTGCCAGCACGCCTCCGTCCTCATGGTGGGTGGTGGTGGTGCTCGTGGCGGCGGCGCTGCCGAGGTCCTCGGCGAGCTCGTCGGCGAGGGCGACGGGGCGGGACGAGGAGGAGCGGTAGACGGCGTCGACGCTGTCGGTGATGAACAGCCACTCGCGCAGCTGGAAGTCGTCCGGGGCGAGGCAGACGAGCAGGTCGAGCAGCTTGCAGGCCTGGAGGACGGCGGCGGCGGCGTGCATCTCGGCGGCGGAGCTGCCGTCGGGGGCCGCGACGGAGGAAAGCGCCGCGTGAAGTTCGGCGCCGACGATGGGCCACAGCCCGGCGAGGTGCACCGGGTCGGTGCGAAGCACGAGCGCGCGCATCACCATGTAGACGTCAGCGCGCGTCGTCGACGACGGTGACGAGGTGCTGGTCGCGGCGAGCAACTCAACAAGCTTCCCGACGACGGTGGGGAGGTCAGAGACGAAGGCGTCGTGTGCGCCGGCGAGGATCAGCGTCGCGGCGCGGCGCAGGTTGAGTTGCGACTTGCGGTCGGCCTCGAGGCGCGCCGAGGTGGCGCCGACGCCGAACACGATGCCCGCCGTCGTCGGCGCCGCGATCCGGCCCACCACCTCTGGCAGTCGCTCCTTGTCCGAGGCCGTCCACTGCCGCAGCAGCGGTAGCCAGTCGTCGGCTACGAGTGACAGGGGCATGCCGAAGAACCGGCCGTCGTTGAAGGCGTCCCCGACATCCTTCTTCCAGGACCGCTGGTTGTTGGGCAGCCGGGACAGCTCGTGGATTAGGCGCACCGTGCTGCGCGTGACCGAGTCGGGAAATGTCTTGGTGCGCAGCGTAGGGCCGATCACGTTCGCGGAAATGGTGCCGGCCGCGGACAGCACCCGGTCCGGTTCGGGTAGGACTTTGGAGAGGCTGGGCACCACGGTGGCTAGAATGTCAACGACGTCTCGCGCATCGGTGGCATCCCCCTTGGTAGACTTCTCTGTGGTACCGTTGGAGGCTGTTGACTCGGTAAAGGTGATAGGTCGCGTAGTAAACAGAGCCGCAAGGAGCTTAATAAACAAATCACCAAGTTCTCGTCGCATCTTGCGTTGCTCGCCGAAGTTTGTATTGTCAACCTTCTCGCCCAGGATGGCGGCGAACTGCAGAAGACTAGGGAGTGTTTGCCGATGAGGAAAGGGGTTGGCGAGAATGTCCTTGAGGAAGATGATGCAGTCTTGCCAGATCTCATCCATCGCATCATCATCAAGAGATTGCGTGTACTTGACCAAGAAGAACCCAAGGTCTATGTCCTCGAGCGAGATCGTCAAGGTAGACGTGCGACTAAGATCGAGAGCGGTGGGGTTTGTCCGACTGTATATGGCGTTGAATATGGAGGGCACTGTTTGTCGTGGGCGAGAAGCCTCGAGCGCAGCTAGAAATTTGAAGACCTCAGACTTTTGAGCGTCTGAGCCGGCTTGCTTCCAGATGTCAACGATGGTTTCCAAGCATTCCAATGTCTCAGCGGTAAAGAGGTGCTCCAAGAGCCTTCTGGCGCGATTTCTCATACGCAGGGACGTGTACATGAACGAGGCAGCCGCAGAGCTGTCGCTGGCAGCTACGTCGTCCCCTTGGCCCCAGGACCAGATATTGTAGCAGATACGGAGAGCATCTTGAAAAGCAAGAATCACCGTGAGACGGTCGTTTGCAGTCGCGCTGCGACCTTGAGGAGCGTCGGACTGAAAAACACCAGACACCATACTGCCGAAGAGCGACTGCGGTTGATCGGGGCTTTTCACTGCTTGCGCTCGCGCTTCGTCTGCCAGCAGCTGATCATGCGCGCGAGCAAGGGCTTGCTCTAAACCATTCAAGAGATATAAAAGTGTAGTTTCTGGCGCAGCAACCTGTGCACTCAAGCTGCTTCCCGCGGGACCAAACGTGGCTCTCAAGTTTGCAAACGTTATACCTATCTGTTTGCAGAGAGTCTCAACCAACGGAATGACAATTTGGAATATAGATCCACCAAATAGTGGGAGACAACTGCCGAGAAAATTCACCCAACTATCAAGAACGAGCTGGGTGTTTTGAGCACCAAGCCCCGAAAGAAGACATTTCAAAAGCTGTGGAGGCAGACCATGTTGGGGCGGATGGCTGTCTGTATTTGATATTGAAAGCCGCGCAGGTCGCGTCAGATCTGTCATTGATGAGTGGTACTTTTCGGATGTCGCAGAAAGGGGACGCTCAGTGGCCACGGGTATTTGGAGTTTGAGAGCTGCGAATACAGAGTCAAGAAGAAGCACCTGCATATGAGGGTCGGGCCCTGCAATGGATTTCGAGAGTCTGTCAATCAAAATATTCTCCACATGGAAGTGAGCTAGGCGACCAGGTTGGGATGCCGTGAGGAATTGGTTGAGAATCATCACAGCATATCTTTGCAATTGGCAGGTTCTGTCGATAAGACCGCTATTTTGCGTCTCTGCTTCTCCAGTGACGCATCTAATCAGGGTTCGAAACAGAAACTCCTGGAGCGTCATTTCTTTCCCTTCACCGCCAGCTGTGATGTATTAGTTTCTGACTGCTGAAGTGGATAGGCATTGGGAAACTTACTGCTGACATGCAGCTTTTCATCAAACAGGGCAACATGCCTAGACCCCATGATAGCCCAAGGGATTTCGCCTGTGCAGACCAGAACATTGTGCATGGTTCGTAGGTAGTACAGACAAAGATCCAGATCGTCGCTTTCCGAAAATTGTTGCAGTGTCTTGTCCAGTTCGTCGGTGGTGATGACATTCCTGACAGCCCTCAAGAAAGGAAGGCTCGAAAGTTTAGATGCGAACAGGAGAAAAAGCCTAGGTGAATCAGTATGCTATCTCCAGACGCCTCGCAAGCACGTACCTATCAATGCCGATCATGCTATTAAGCCATGACCTGACATTCATATACAGGTGCGTACGTTCATCCAGTAATACGTCAAGGACAAGGAACAAAGGTTGTGTCAGCATAACTTCGAAAAAGTCTGCGCCTGGTAACCGCGAGCGAGGCTCGGAAAAAAAACCCGTTCTTGAGCCGCGGCGCTCTGCCTGATTATCCTGCAAAGTATGCGTCCAAAGCACACTGAACGTCCGGCTTGTATCTGCGCCATCACGGTTTTTCTTTTCAACTATCAAAGTGGACAAGGCCGCCTCGATATCGCGACGTTCTAATGTAAGAGCGGTTTGTAGCTGCCAAAGGCAGCGGACAGTCTCGACATGGTATTTGGGCTCGGATACGGCCAGGTATGACCAAGCGTGGCGAACAAGAGGTAATACCAGATCACATAGTCGTGTAAGTGATATCCTATCCGTGTAGTACAGTTGACAGACCATAGTTAGGATGGAGGAGAACGCGGCGAACGGTAGAAACTTTCCGTCGGACACCTCTTGGCTCGTGAACAAAAGAAGCTCTTCCTCCTCAAACTCATATTGCCTGGGGGTCTTTGTGAGCACCTGCAGGAATATTCGTACCCGCATATTAATTTCTGCGGACAGACCAGCCTTCTCATCCCGGTCGTATACATTTTTGGCAGCCTTTTGAATGAGAAGCTGTCCACACTCGAGAGCTGTGAATGGCGCGGGTGAGACATCCAGGTTGCCCTGCTCGTTAACATAAAAGTTTCTTATCTTCTTCAGGAGATCCATGTTGGATAAAGACAAGGCTTTCGACCCCGGAGTAGCGTTTGTCGACGGTACTGGAAATGTCCGCTCTGGAACGAGATCCAGCAATGACGACACAATCGACAAAACCTCATTCGCCAATTCTATAGCAACTGCGCCGGCCATTGCTTGCCTCTCGCGGAGGTCTTCAAGCATGTATAGGGCAGCGAGACAAGTCAGAGGCGCGTGTATAGTAACCATTTCCTCTTCCCTGACGTTGAAGTTGGCGATGATGAAGCTGACGAGCGATAGCTTCTCACTGCGTTGCTCGGTTCCCAAGTCGCCAGGCCCGATAGCTCGAGCTAGAAGAGCAACAATCTCACTATATATGAGACCACTTTCTATGCCGTCAAAAAAGACGCTTGCGCTTCGCAAAACTTCCTTGAAATCTGCCGGGGAGGAAGCTTTTTGTTTGAAGCGCTGAACACTCTGAACAACTGGTAGAAAGATTTCTGGGACGACTAGCCCGCCAATCTCCCATCGATCCATGAGAGATAGACAAATGCGATACGGCCTTGCACGTTCTGAGACACTACTGGACTCGGCATCTTTGATCATACCAAGGAGCGCTCGTGTTAGTGCTGCAAGTCCATGCTCCTCGAAATACTGCGTTCGAGCTGAAAGATCGGCGTGCTGCTGCTCCGCTTGAGCACCAGCGGTATCGTGAGTATGCTCAGTTTCTAGAACTGCGGGTTCAGGACCCAGCAGCCAAGCCCATAGGCGACGGTTTAGACTCATGTCTCGTCTAATTACCACCCCAACAGCCGATTTTAGTAGGAGCTCCAGATCAGAGGTCTTGACACGAGTTTGTAGGACAGTTGAGTCAAGAGGTAGATGAGATACGAGTAAATCGAGGAATCCACGCTGAATAAGAACCTGCTCGTCGGCTAGACCACTGGCAAAGCATCTGACTAGTAGCCCTGGCTCAGGCGACGTCACAATGGTAGCAAGTTCTCGGCTGCGTTGGTCGGCGTCTGAGGCTCCGGCCGAAGCGCCAAGTGCTGGAAGGTGTCGTACGAGATAGGCTAATGCACCACCGCGCCGGCTGTGACTGGTAATGGAAGCTAAGAAGAAGCACTGCCAGAAGAAATCGTCACCGACAGAGTGATGCTCTGTCAGCTTTTTACTATCAGCCGGCCTAATAGCCTTCTTGAAACTTCCGACCAGCTTCAACGTGCGGTCAAAGTCTTCACTTGTCTCGTCCTCTAGACCTGGGAGAAGAGCTAATATTATTGAGCGCATTGCGGGGCGTAGCGACCGCGCGTCCAGCTTGATCAAATGTTTTTCGAGAAGTTCAAGAAATGGTGATCGGACGGAGAGCGAGGCAAAGGATAGCGTCGGCGCAAGCCCGGGGAGGTATAGTGGAAGGTCTCTGGATAGACCGTCTGCACCGATGGTGTCGAAAACGTAATTGTAGACTTCGAGAGCCTTCTGGTGGACGCCGGAGGGTAACGTGGGGTTCAGGCATTGCGACAAGCGTTTCGACAGGAGCGCCTTTGCTGGTATCGTGGTGTTGGAGGATGGTTGTGCTTGTAGAGCCTTTTGGACGTTGTCAGTTAAAGATTTCAATTTCCGAGGAGACGCGACGAACCTTGAGAGCCCTGTTGAGGAAAGATATGTAGTCGGCCCATTCTTCCAGCGCCGTCTCGAAGAGAGCCAGGGCTTTTTCGACACCCGACGCGTATCTTCGGTATGCTTTATCTTTAGGAAGCGCTTCATCTATTTGAACCATCAGTCAGCTGTCGTCGGCTTGGTCAAACGAAGCGCGCACCGCCACCAGGCTGGCTGCGCCATTGTCGCGGGATTGGGGAATCGCGACCAGAGCTCTCGGGTGAGCCAGTCCACGCTCTCGAGCCAGGATCAAGCGCCATGGCAGCGGATAGCTTCCTTCATGGGGGCTCTCGAATTGCGATCGGTGTCTGCTGCGTTGGAAGCCGTGGTGCCGTGTGCGCTAGAGGTGCGTAGTTGCTTCGTGGAGCTATGAACGTTGAGCGTCGACATGTGGACACGGCAGCGTTCCGAATGGAGGCAAGTAGCCAGGCACCACCCATAACCCAGAGCTTACTAAGTCAATGCCAAACACTGCACAAGTGAACGAGTCAGCCAAATGCTACAAAGATGCGTGGTAGTTGACAGATTACTGCTAAATTCAAGCGAATATCATGAAATTTATTTAGAAAAAAAAAACTGATGCAACTGCGTTCGCGGGGCCTGTTAAAGCCGCTACTTGTAGATACACTACGCGCTAACTAACATGTATCAATCAATCAGTAGATACACGGCTACACAGGTCAACGAGTCATTCCAACTATTAGCAAGGCCGAAATGATGGATTTTCTTCAATCTGCCAAGTGCTATTCCTCGATGGCCCTGACCCAGCATGGCATGCAGTACCCCTTCACGCCCTTAACCCGCGGCCTGTCTACGATTTGGACCTGTCCATAAACATCCTTCATCCCATCATGTTGGAGAAACTCGAATTTCGCGACCAACAAGGCCAAGCTAACTTTGATTTCAGAAATGGCCATCCTATATCCAATGCAGTTTCTCGGGCCAATTGAAAACGTCATCAAACTGCTCCAGCCAGAGTGCTTGTGGCCTGAGATCACCGGGTTCAGTCCGCCGGTGTAGTACCTGTGGTTTGGATCCTGGAGCCAGCGTTCTGGCCTGAACATGTTCGCATCAGTGCCCCATAACGCAGGATCTACGTTCATCCACTTCTGCGGAATGATAACATCGTCGCCGCGGCCGATGCGGATCTCGCTGGTCAGGCTCCCGTCACGCAGCCTGATGGGCTTGCTGAGAGGAATGACGTCGTCCTTGGTGCACGTCCTGGGGATGGAGTGCGCCGGGCTGTAGAGCCGCAGGGTTTCTCGACACATGGCGTCTAGGTACGGCAGCTTCTCCAGCGCCTTCGAGCTGCTCTTCCAGTCTTCACAGCCCGATGGCGGCGCGAGCAATTCCTCACGAAGGCGCTTCTGGGTGGACGGTGTCTGGGCCATGGCCATGACGGCATACGACATGGCAGACGCATTATTATCATAGCCCCCTGAAAGCAGTGTCGGGATGATTGATACAATCTCATCGTCCTCGAGGCGGTGCTTGGCGTCCGCGGCGAGATTAGACTGCACAAGCAGGCCGAGAATGTCCCTTCTTCCGGAAACCTTCTCATCCGCACCAGTGTATTGAAAGTGCGCCTTGGCGTTTTCAACCAGTCGCAGACTGATGGTACGAATGTTCTGCTTGAGTTGGTCGAGATGCATCTGTTCCCGGACGAACCAATGCCCAAACGTCTCTACCAAGGGGAGCTGCGACCTCAGAAGAGAGTAGAGCGATCCAGTGGTAGCGGCTTGTGCCACCTCCACAAAGGCAGCTTCAAGCTCTGATCTATGTCCTTCCAGTGACCCGAACCTATACTGGAAGCCGCTTTCGCCGATCATATCCATGAAGAGATTCTCAAAGTCTCCGTACGCGTTGACTTCGATGGCGCGCCGCGTTTCATTTGCAGCCGATTTGGCTTCTAACGAGGGAGAGCCAAGGGCCCGGTACCACCTCTTTGCTAGCTTCTCCGTAAGCGCCGCAAAAACGGGCAGCATACTATCGATGGCTGTGCTGCTGAACCCGGGCCCGATGGCTCGCCTCTGGCGCTTGTGCTGGTCTCCGTCCACCGCAACCAAGCCATCCCCGAATATGAGTCGTGTGGTTCGCATTTGTACCTGGGAGCGGGCGTACGTATGCGAATCATTCAGCACATGGTGGATGCCGGCGAGATCTCCAAGGACTAGGCTGGGTCTGCGGTTTGTGAAGAGCGAAGCCCATACGCCGTCAAACTTGGCGCAGTATTCTAGTAGAAGCGGCGACATTTGAAATGCCTGAGCCTCTTTAGAGCTTAGAAACCCAAAAAACCAGTGCTGAGTTGGGGGCCCCTGGACGGCGTTGAGAGGTGACAGTGACATGGCGAGCCAGTAGGCTCTGCAGATGGCAACCGCATAGATGAAGAGCACAGTGAGGAGTCCAGAAGTGAAAATGCTTCGCACATCTAACTCTGAAACGGAGAGAGATCTCAGTTGCGGCGTCTCCATGGTGCTGGGAAATATCGGTGAATCGTGAGTATAAGAGAGTTCCAGGGACAGACAGGCAAGGTTGAAGACGGGGTATCAGCGCACAAGGTGATTCAAATCTGATCAAGCTGAAATCAATTTTGAACTTGGATAGCTACTGTTATAAGGGCCCCGGGCTATATACCCCAAAGTTCCAACATAAGCTGCAGAAGGAAGGCCCGTAGCGGGTATGGATGTTGGCGATCACAGGATTCAGCTCTCTTATTATGTAGCACTCAAGGACGGCTGACAGTAGCAGTTTGCAAAATGGCTAGTCGCATTATCTTACTTGCAGTCAACAATATAATACAGCGTTTTTCGAAACTATGGAAGAGGCGAGGGACATGTGATATGTCTCTCTATCCTCGTGTAGAGAACGGCAATCGGAGAAGTCCGCACAGCCTTTCAGGTGACTGTCGCTTTCGGACGGAGAAATACTTTGGCCGAAGAAGACAAAGACATCTTATCAAGCAGGCAAGTTTGTGCATTCTTGAACCCAATCTTCCATTTGAAGGAGTGACAGCTTGGAAAGGCGGCGTGCATAGTCTCCAGCCAGGCTTCTTTATTGCCCTCGAAACTCGATTGAAGCCCAACAAATATACCGCAAAGCAATCACGGTGGTAATGATGGACCAAACTGCAGATACGAGGCGGAGTGAGGATGTGCCTCATGACGATATTCAGCCTATGCCAGAAGAAGCAAACACAGAATCAGGCCCCGAAAAACTCGCCGGTCCCAAATGCGTCGCCCTCGTCGCTGCAGTCAGCGGCGCAGGCTTTCTCAATGTCAGTATCCATCCATTGTCTGCTCTGCTGCCGCAGAAAACACAACCCAGTCCGTGCTAACCATGTCCAAATAAAAAAAAGACCTTCTCCAGCCAAGCTGCAGTCATCATTCTTCCCACAATTTCCAGAGACCTGCATATCCCGCCCGGCCGCCAGCAGCTCGTAGTCTCCGTCTACGGGCTCGCTTTTGGATGCTTCCTCCTGCTCTGGGGAAGGGTTGCCGACATCTTCAGCAAACGAACAGTGTTTGTAGCCGGTAGTGTCTGGGTCACGTTGACCACGGCCATCACACCGTTTGCGCCTAACGAGGCTGCGTTCCACGCATTCAGAGCCTTGCAAGGAATTGTACGGTGCAGTCGTCATCCCCAGGGACTTGTAGCTTTATCTTTTTCTTGTCTAACATGCCTAGGGCGCTGCGGCGAACGTCCCGACGGCTATTGGGGTCCTCGGCACCACGTTCTCCAGAGGAAAGGCCAGGGCATACGCGTTTGGCTTCTACTGTGAGTCCCTCCCTCCCATGGAGCGTCCTGTGCATCGCTTATTTTCTACTGGTAAGCCGCTGCAACTCCGCTTGGAAGTGTAGTAGGAAATCTCCTCTCGGGGTTTATCGCGTCCTCTACCAGCTGGAAATGGGTGTTTGGCGTGCTTGCCATCCTCGCCGCCTGCATCACCATTGCGGGATATTTTGCAATTCCTTGTCAAAAAAGTCCGACGGCCATCGATGACGCTACGTTGCGCGGCCGTCTTGACTTGGTCGGGGCCTTCCTTTCCACTGCCGGCCTGGGCTGTCTCCTGTTCGCCCTGAGTACTGGTAACCAGGCTGGTTGGGCTACGCCATGGATACCAGTCCTCATCGTCGTGGCTGTCGCGCTCATAACGGCCTTTCTCTTCTGGGAACGGTTCCTAGAGGCAAACGGCAGTCGGCCACCACTCATGAGAGTATCACTCTTTCAAAATCGCGAGTTGAGTGTTTCTCTGGCAGTAATGTGCATGCTATTTGCGTCCTTCAACGGGTACCTCGTTTACGCTACCTTTTATTATCAGGAGTATCAAGCTCTCTCGCCACTGCAAACGACTCTCCGCTTCATCCCAACTGGTGTTGTCGGCGTCATCATGGCAATTTCTGTCCCACTGCTTCTTTCACGCATTCCTACCTTTGCTGTCCTCCTTTTAGGAACACTTTCTACCTCGGTGTCATCGCTGCTCTTGGCAGTACCGATCCCAACCGATACTTCCTACTTCAAATATGGGCTCTGGGCCATGATTCTGGCCACATTTGGCGCGGATTCTGCTACTCCTTGCCTCTACTCGATCGTTTCGCACGCTGTTTCGGGCGAATACCAAGCCATTAGCGGTGCTATGCTCAACGTCTCGATGCAGCTTGGGCGAGTCCTTGGCCTGGCTATCGCGACGGCTACACAAACCGCCGTCATGGCAAGAGGGAGAGACGCGGAGGTTGATCATGGCCAGCTTCTGCCGTGGGACCCAATCTCTTTAGAGGGCATCCGGGCAGCAAATTGGCTCAATTTTGCATTTGGTGTGTGCAGTTTTTTTATTGTTCTCGTCTGTTTTACCAGATCAGTCAAGGCAGTCTGAGCTGGCCCAAAGTGTAAATGCGGGTCGACGGACGGTACTATCTCCAAGTACTTACCTGGGTAGACAACTGAGTAGGTGGATAAAAGGCTGTGCAAGGGGCAAAATAATAATAATACAAACTCATCATAGTTGAGACGCATACCTAATATAATGCCATGTTTATTACTCCTGCTAAGGGAGGTACAAATAGGTAAAGTAGGTTAGTACTATGTACACACATACATAGGTACCTTAGTTGTAGGCTTGCTTCAGCGGCCTCCACTGTAATTCACCAACGTGTCGTCATTTCTTGAAACGGGGGTCACCCCGCCAAAGCTACCACATCTCCTGCATCGCGTGCCACCGACAGCCTGTCACCTACACGCGCCGCCCGCTTTCCCAAGAACTCGCACGACTGTCCAGCCGAAATGATACGGACATTGCGGCCTTGATAGGTATTCGAGGGCAACGCTGGCGCTGTGTCGGCTCTACCAACACGACATAAGATGACCTCGGACATACAAACGAGACAATGGCAACAGATGACAGCGCGTCGGCCGATGGCTCAGGCGAGGCATCGCAAGTCCCACCAAACGATTCCACCGATTCGAAAGCCTACACAGGCCAGGCGACTACGGCACTGACGACTGTCGACATTCAGACACTCTCCTTCCCCGACGGCTCGCGAGGCACATTTCAAACCCCTGCGCCGAGGTCTGTGTCGACGCCAGTGTCCAGCGGGTATGCTTCGCCCGGCTACAAAGCAAGCCACTCAGGAGGGGAAGGAGACGATGGAGCAAGTGTCATGAGCTTTGCGCCCACGATGCGACCGGCTGGCGATATCGCGAGCCTCTTTGTCGGCGACTTGAGCAAGCGCAGCATCGCCTGGAACATGCTGCGCTCGCAGGCACCCACTGTCCAACCGTTTGAGACGAGTCGCCATCGACAGGGCGACATCTTGACAAACTTCGAACGAGAATTCGAATTGGTGCCGGCAGAGGCAACAGAAGAGGTGGATGATGCGTCGCGTGTGGCCATGTGGAAGGCAAAGCGCAAGCACTACATGATTCTCTCGTCCGCTGGAAAACCCATTTGGAGCCGCCACGGAGACTTGATGCTCATTAACTCCTCGATCGGAGTTATGCAAACGATAATATCTTTCTATGAGGGCGCCAAGAGTCCGCTACTGGGATTTACGGCCGGCGACGCCAGATTTGTAGTCCTGACCCGGGGTCCCCTTTACTTTGTGGCTGTGAGCAAGCTTGGCGAGAGCGACTCGCAGCTTCGTGCGCAGCTTGACGCGCTCTACATGCAGATTCTCTCCACGCTTACACTGCCGACCCTAACAAGAATCTTTGTTAACCGACCGTCGTCGGATCTAAGGAAGCCACTCCAAGGCACCGAGTCGCTGCTTTCTTCACTGGCCGACACGTTCACGAGAGGCTCGCCAACGACGCTGCTAGGGGCACTGGAATGCCTCAAACTTCGCAAATCACAGCGACACTCGATCAACAATACGTTTCTCAAGCTGCGCTCAGACAAGCTGCTCTACGGACTCATTATTGCGGGCGGAAAGCTCGTTAGCGTCATTCGTCCACGGCGGCATTCGCTGCACCCGAGCGACTTGCAGCTCATATTCAACATGCTATTCGAGTCCGATGGCATTAAAGGCGGAGGGGGTGAAAACTGGATACCCTTATGCCTTCCCGCCTTTAACAACGAAGGCTATCTATATATGTACGTCAGCTTCTTCGACGACGAGGGTCAAGAAGCGCAGGAAGAAGCAAAAGCAGACAATGAACAGACGACAGGCACAAGCTCGCAGATTGCCATGGTACTGATTAGCACCAACAAGGAGAGCTTCTTTGGCCTCCAGAAGATGCGTCACGACGTGGCTCAGCAGCTGGCCAAGAGCGGCCATCTAGCCGTGATACGGGCCTCCGTGCGGGCCGGGCGGCCGCGGACGAGCCAGATTGTGCCCGGGAACCCGATGAGCCACTTTCTATACAAGTCCAAGGCCAACGTGCAGTTCTGCATGGCCGCGCTGGAGCCGCCGCTTGACGCCATCTCGGAGCGCCGTCGGCTAATAAGCCTGTACCACGAGATGCACGCTGCCGTGCACGCCAAACATGCGCACCTCAAAATCTTGCATAACACGGGCGAAGATTCCACGTCACTCGCGTGGGTCACGCCCGTCTTCGAGCTGTACTGCGTGGGAGGGCCCAACATGTCGCGCGCGACCATGGGGCAGGGTGCGAACAAGATCATCCAGTGGGCAAAGAAGGAAGAGCAGCGATTGTTCATCATCGGAGGCGGTGTCTTTTGATTGCCGCTATCGTGAATATAAAACCACTGAAGAAGAATAGGTTACCAACCCCGGAGCGTATACATCGCTCGATAACGGGGGATTATATACAAATAATAGAATAGAATAAGCAAACACCGAGCCCCGAAGCGCCGAGTATGAGTGATTCTGTTGTCACTCGTGCGTATGTCCCACCCATAATTCAGAGAAAATTAGATAAGTAAAATCGACCGTAAATCTTCAACCCATTACTCGTTCAACACATAGAAGATGAGCCTCTCCGTAGCGATCACGCCCAATTCATTTGGGTGCCTCTGTCGGGGACGCTTCGTTGGAGTGGTCCGCCTTGGAGAACGACCCCCCGGTCGCCTCGTCGGGCGACGCTGGACGGCTCTTGAAGATGAGGGACCTCCGGGCCCAGCCGCGCACCCGGTCGTTGACACTGGACTTGCGCTGCGTCGCCCCTCGAGTCCAGGGGAACTCGCGCCACTGCTCGGTGGGCGACTGCGTCGGGAACGAGGGCGTGCGCAGGGAGCTGCCGGGCGAGCTGCGGCGGAGGGAGTCGAGGCTGGGGCGCTCCTGGGACGGCGAGCAGACGGAGGAGGAGGACCCGGCTGCGGCGGCGGCGGCGACGCTGTTGAGGGAGGCGTTCATGATGGCTTCGGAGAATGGCGCGTCAAAGTCCTCGTGGAATCGCGGGCTGCGAGGGCCGGAGTGGTGGGAGAGGCGCCGGGGCGGCATTGCGATGTGAAGGGTCGGCTTGGTAGACATGGTGGAAGGTTTTGGTGTCTCGCCGTAGCTGAGGTTGCTGGTATTGAGGGGTCGGTCGCGATATTGGATGAGGCGGGGGAGGAAGCGGCGACATATAGCGAGCGTTACTGAGATGAAGGGATGCTTGTCGAATGCAGCACCAGATGTGGCAAGAGGGTGACACACTGAGGGTTAGAGCTTTTTAAAACAAGTTGCCGGTCACGCAGCGAAGAGCAAGTTCCTGTTGCAGGTGTGGGGTTGAAGGGTCTCTCTGCGTTCTTGATGCAACCCACCCCAGGCCTCAACGCCAAGGAAACAAGGAGGTCAGCACCGAACGGGCCTAGAAAGACTGGGATGCGGAGACTGTCCTATTCCCTTTTGTCTTCACCAGGGAACAATTGGCAGAGTAGAGTGACAAAGTGGTGGGTACATGGCTTTAATTAGCCCAAGGTGGAAGCCCAGCAAGTCCAGACCCTTTCAACCTTTGTCCGGCTCGTCGACTTGGAGACGACACCCACTGAGGGCCACCGCTGGGACGTGGTGGGCCACTTGGAAATTACTTGAAAAAAACGGTTCATCATTCAGTCGCTAACCCCAGAACTGTCAGTGGCGTTTGCCGATCGCCCTGGTGCAGGGCCAGACCTGGTCGATAGAGTTTGAACCTTGGCGAGGGGCGAGGTACAACAAAGGTTAGCCAGGGGTCAATGATGCCGAACATTTGTTGCTTGAGTGAGCCAGCTTGAAAAGGAAGAAAATAACGAACCGAGACGAAGTTACAGCTCTCTTGGTGATACCTTTTGGCCAGCGAAATCCTGCAATGCAGCTTGTGTCTTGCAGAGTGTGACAACCACGACAGGCCATAGGTTGGATTGGACTTCAGCCCCACGGTCATTTCGGCTCACAACGGGCCACGGACAGAACAGACTTGACTTGACCGGGTCATGGCCCCATTCGCACGTGAGCGGTCGGGCTGGCAAGCCGGCGGCGACGGAGGGTTGCCAACACAACAAACAGGATAGGCCGGAGAATAGGGGCAGAAAGAAGACAAAAAAAAAAAAAAAGAACAAGATCGACGGGGACCGTGAAGACGCTGACACAAAACGGGGCCCCCAAGCGCCCTCCTTCTCTCCCTTGCCTCCCTCCCTCCCTCCCGAGCCTCTGCGCTCGTGAGCAGAAGATGCGCGACGATCAAGCGAGCATTGGCTTTTTTTTTTGTTTGCCCCAGTTGATACTAAGAATAAATGCCGGCCGGTCAGATGAGCAGAAGCACGAGTAAGGTACCGATACTGAGAGATGAAAATTGACAATGTGCAGCCAAGCCGACTGCCGCCGGTTGCATACGACTTGTCGCTCTTCACTACCCCTCCAATGCCTCCAAACCTCCAAACACGATGCTGCCCCACCTCCATCACAAACGTTGACCTTGGCCCTCTGTCGCACCAAACGCCACGCAAGCCTCACATGTTATTGCCGCACACCATCTCCACGCTGCATCGTCGTTGTCATCCCGCACTGCACAAACGGCCTTCCAAGATTAAAGAAATACAACACTGCAACAATGCAACAATACATTTTTACTTTCGCCTGCACTCGCCTCTTCTCGCCTCTTGCACCCGCACCATCGTAGTCTCCATGTGAAGAACGCCCACCCTACTCTTTTGCCCTCGCGCTCTTGCCACAGCCCGAAACCATGTCGTCAAGTGGACGACAAGGCAGGTAGGTGGGCAGGTAGGCAGCAACTTGCTGCCACCACTCACATTCGAAAGCGAACCGCTCTCATGCATTAGACTTCCTACACTCTGCCATCCCACCACCTGGCAGACGACGCAATGCACATCTTGCTCCGATTCACTTGAAAACTTGCTCTTGCTATACAAGACCATCCTCCGAGGCCATCGATTTCGGTCCAACTTGGCCTGCTGGGTTTGCTTCCAACTTTCGTCATCTCGGCTTATCTTTATCTTTACCAACGTTGACCTACCCTCTCACCCCCGGTGTGTTACCGCACGCCAGGAGACTGGCGAGGCAAGGCTCTGCACATCGGGATGGATACACCTCAACACCAGACGGCCGGTGGTCTCCATCCTAGCAGTCCAACACGCCAGGGGCCCGCTCCAAGGCCTTTGAAGCCTCCCGACCCAGTACAAGAGTCAGCAAGATGGCCTCTGCAGACAGTTGACGACAACACAACGGGCGACCGCCATTTTCCCCCGGCTTATGCACGGCATAAATCGTTACGCGAGTTTGATCATTTCAGCCATCATAACACCCCAGATAGAGGCCTCCCTGCTACGTATCATGCACCCCTTCGCGCAAGACGTGGTATCGACGACCGTTCCTTCTCCAGGGGACCAACAGCCCGGAGCTTCGAGGAAGACCAATTCGCCCATGAACGCAGGATACGGTCCTATAGAGACACGACATCGGAGATTATATCACTATATGCGTCTCGAAATGCAGTGACTCACAGTTCCGTGCTGTCTCGAAACGATGACGATGCTTCCTCAACAACGTCGCACTCAAGGCACCCCACTGCTGGCCAGCGACACATGCAGTCAAACAACGGCCATCTTCGCAATGCCTCTTGGCAAAAGTCAAGAACACCCGGGCCTTATCCCACGCGGTTGAGACGTCCCGGCACAAGTATCACGTCGCCCCCACTGGCGGAGACTCGGGGCAGGGACTACAGCAGAATGATGGAGGGCGAACGTGGCCCTCAGGTACGTCGGGATGTGTCACTTTGAATTTATGACTGCTTACACTGGAACAGAAATTCACCCACAATCTTTACAAAGCCTCCCTTGCTAACAACCAAAGACGAGCCCCTCCACTGTCACTCCGCGCTGAAATGAACAAATCGTCCAGCACACTGCCGTCCAGATCTTCACCCGGTCCGAACTACTACATGACAGCGTCGGGTCGCGCTAGAACGCCGAGTTCCACTGTGTCTTGGGCATCAAGGCCATCTGATCGGTATTACATGGGCTCGACCGACCAGAGCAGTAGATCTGCAAGCTTGACTTCGATCGTTGAGATGTATCAGCGGCCGATGACATCTAGCAGCACGTGCCCAGCAATGCGGCCTACCGGCACCCCCTACTATGATTACACCGAGGATTTTAAGGACCCGGATTCCGAGGGTGCCCGCGAACCAGATATGCCGCTCTCTCCTGTTCCGCGCAGAACAGGTAGTGTCACGAAGCCAACCATCCTGCAGCAGGATATGCAGCTGAAAATGCACGGTGCCATCGATAACCATTCAATACCCAGACCTTCAAACGGTGGATACAGATGCGGCTATAGTCAGACAAATAGCAGCATCGACGAGTCGTTTGACTCGTATCTTCAAGGTAGTCATGATGATTCCATCGAGGAGATTGAACGGGCCATCACAAATGCAATCTCAAATGCAGCGGCAGATAAACTGATGGCAGCGTCAGAACATTTGAATTCTAACCAAGACACGTTGCGAAACAGACGACCAGACAATCAGCCCGCCCCGCCGAATGTCGCTGATATTTCTCGGCGACTACCTGCCACAGAACGACAATACGGCTTGAGAACAGCAGCACCGAACATTGAAACCAATGCTAACATCAGAAGAGCATCGCAATTGAGTCTGAATAAAAACAACATGGCTCTGGATCCCGCATTTGCAGACTTTACGTCTTTACTTTCCTCATTTGAGAGATTAGCCAAGTCTCCATTTTCAAGACTCAGCGATGAGGATGATATTGACGAGCGACACAGCAGACGAAGCAGCAAATTATCGACTATGGAAACACTCGATGAGATGGAAGCCATGGATAACCCGTACCCAAAACATCATCAGCACAGCGCAGCCATTGCGCGGACTGGCACGCCAGCACTCAGTGCCAGCGAGTCCCTGACTGAACATCCGTTGTCATCGGGAGAGGATACAATGGTCCTCACGCCTGAGCCTCTATCCCCTCGCCGTGGAAAGAAAGCCCAGAGTGAACTACACCAGAGATTCATGAAAGCCTTGCCGCCTCTTCCAGCGGAGATGCTTACTACACGGCCCAACCATGCACTTCATGACTCCGCCGACAAGCAGAGTAAGAACGATTCTGCCATCTCCCAGGTTAGGTCATTATCCCTTCGAAGTCACATTTCACGCTCAGGTAGCCCTGGTAAATTGAGGTTGCGCGTTCGAACGCCATCCTCATCTGGAGAGACTGACCCTGCGCCTCCATCGCACCATACTCGACAAGAACGCCGCTCCGCTGACGAGTGCAGATCAACTACCAATTATAGAGCCCCTCCGAAGCTTAAGTTGAAAATATCGCGAAATCAACTAGGGCAGGGACGAAGTCTCCAGACTGGATCAGTGATTCGTAACAACCGGCTGAAGCAGTGTAACTCACTGGCCGACGTGGCACAGCCACCACACATTAATATCGAAAATAAAACAGAGAAAACCAAAGATATGTTGAGAATCAAGGACCAAAACGATGTGCATGAGCTATTGGCTACGAATATCGAGCAACGGGATAGCGCAGGCGGATCGTACCAACCATCCGATCAGTTCAATCTTTCGTATCCCCCCACGCCTGTCCAAAACGCAGATACTATGCTACCACGGCGGGAACCCTGCCGCGAATCGACGGAAGAGCTGCGAACTGTGCAATCAGAGACTGGTGAGGCAGTTGCACGTCGCATAAAGCCAAAATTTTCGTTTCTACGACTACGGTCTCCGAACCAAGCAGCGCCAACGATGCTGACCAAACCTGCACCTGGTCCTACCTGCACCAACGGCGTAGCTGATGCGAAGACTGTTGAGACGAACATCGCCGGTGTCGCTGCCAGTCAATTTGATTCGACCGTAACTGAGAAACCTGCTGGAAGTGTTTCGGTGAAGTCGGAGCGGGTCGGCAATCGAGTGAAGCGGTGGGCTTCCGATGCCAAACGCGTAGTTCGATCATACGTCAGACGTACGCTCATTCGGACTCCCAAGAGTACAACTACATAAGTCTATTGCATGGGCACGACTGGAGGACATACAACTGGCAAAGTTTTCCGGGGTACAGAAGACGGTATGGGCTCGCTCACGCTTACACGCCCAAGAGAGTAGAATTAGTTTTGATAGTACAGACTCAAATCAGCAATATCATCAACTTCTTGTCCATCATTGGACTCACTTCTCGATGAACTTCAATGAGCTGCGGCGTGGGACGTAGGAGTGGCTTGGGCTGGCGGAGGTCCAAGTCCGAGGTGCCGACGACACCCACTTATTAACGAGCCATGGGAGCTGGCGACGCGGGTCGGGATAAAGCTGGATCAAACAACTACACGTCTCTTTAAGAAGAAATTTGAAGCGAGATTGTTTCTTCGTTCATCTTCTTTGCCAAAAATTGACGAGCATGGTTGAGCGAGACTATGCCACAGCGACGGGCCTCGACGTTCGCCTTGCAGCGCGCGAAGGGAAGCACACAGGTCCGACTGCGGGTCTCGCGCCGGGCTTCCTACAGGCGAACCTGCTCGTGCTCCCCGCCGAGTACGCCGACGACTTTCGCAGGCTCTGCGCGCGCAACCCGGTGCCGTGCCCCCTGATCGGCGAGTCCTCCGGCCCGGGCATCTTCGACAGCGTGACCGGCAGCGCGCCCCGGTTAAGCATGGCGACGGGCTGCGACCTGCGGACTGACATCCCGGCCTACATGGTGTACGAGGACGGGCGGCTCGTCAAGTCGCACTCCCGGGACGTCCAGGCGGAGTGGACTGCCCGGCACGTCGGGTTCCTGATCGGGTGCTCGTACAGCTTCGAGACGGCGCTGGCGGCGGTGGGCCTGCGGCCGCGGCACGTGGCGCAGGGCCGCAACGTGCCGATGTACCGGACGACGCTGGCGCTGATGCCGGCGGGAAAGTTCACCGGCGCGACGTGCGTGGTGTCGATGAGGGCGTATAGGAGGAGAGAGGTGGACGAGGTGCGGAGGGTGACGGCGAGGTTCGGGGCGACGCACGGGGAGCCGCTGGCGTGGGGGTGGGAGGCGGTGGGGAGGTTGGGGATCAGGGACGTGGACGAGCCGGAATGGGGGGACGCGCCGTTGACGGAAGATGGGATGCCGCTGGGGAAGAGGAGGAGGGAGGGTGAGGGGGATGGGGAGGAGGAGGAGGAGGAGGTGCCGGTGTTTTGGGGCTGTGGCGTGACGCCGCAGGAGGCGGTGATGAGGGCCGGGCTGAAAGGGGTGGTGATGGCGCATGCACCTGGTCATATGCTGGTGCTGGATGCAAAGGATGAGGATATTGTCGGCTGAACGGAGGAAGGGAGGCTTGATATTGTGGTTTTGATATTGGCTTATAATTGCATAGTTAGCGAGTACCTGGGCAGTGAGTGGCCATTACGTCTGGCCTCTTGCAACAGAGGGGAATAGGTACATATTGAATCGGCTTCTCTCCCCCCGAAATAATCTCTAAATTTATTCGTGATTTTGATACTCTACAAAAAAACGTCCTTGAAGCTGAGCACATTTGTGTCGCAACCAGCCCGTTCCCCAAGAGCGCTACTACCGGCAACTACTACCGCACTGAGAACCCCGCCTCCCCGAGGAGGCTGACGCGCTGAAGAACGAGGCGCTCAGAGGACCCAGTTCAGCCGCCCCGGTCCGGAGGAGCTTTAACCTCGACCTGCGTCGTCATTCTTCACGAAATATCATCAAATCCCGAACATATTGACGTTGGGCCTGCGGGCCACAGGTTTTGATTCAAAGTCCAGATAAAGCTATCGCATTTGAAGGTCAATTTGCCACGCACCCGGAATGGAGGAATCACAGACTCCCATGGGGGAGTCGATTCGCACCTCGTGAGTCCCATCGAAACCTCCGTTTGTTGGTTTCCCAGACATGCCACTGACACGGTACTCGACAATAGCTGCGAAAGATGTCGCCGACGCAAGGTTGTCTAATTCGCACCTTTTGTGATTAAGTTACTCCAACTAATTACCCCTTGATAGATCAAGTGTGATCGCAAACGACCTTGCTCGCGTTGTGTCAAGGCCGGCAAGGAATGCATCCTGCAAGGCACTGGTGAAAAGCAACGGTAAATTTCCGAGGCCTCAGTTATTCACCTCTCGACCCACGCCTGACCAACACCCATCATAGTCCGGTCTCGAAAAGCTACGTCACCGCGCTCGAGGGCCAGATTGCGGCTCTTGAGCACGTTATCCGTCGGCTCGCCCAAGCCGACAGCACGGAACGCGATGAGATTCTCGCCCAGCTCCCTGCCCTGTCCGTTCCGGCTCCGGATGGCGCTCAAGCACCGGAAAAGACGGAGACGCCGTCTGATCCCAGCGTCGTCGCCGCGCGCCTCCGCTCCGGCCAGCTGCGCCGCTTGCACCCTAGTCAGGGCGCGCAATTCTTTGGCGGCACCAGCTTCCTGCAGATGCACCTGTCCAGAGAATCGTCCGTCCCGGACAGCACCGCCGCGCTTCTCGAAACTTCAACGGCGAATGATTCACTCCAGGACTTGACTATTGACCCCACCGCCATACCTCCCATCCCTAGCTCTTCAGCAGGTCTAGCATCGGAATCGGATGAGTCGCCGCCTCACAATAGCGCTTTCCAATATGCCCCGCACGATGAAATGTCGCAGAAGCTCATGGCAACCTTCTTCAAAGAACAATACCAATACAGCATGATCGTGTATAGGGAATACTTCCTTCGCGACTACGATGTTGGATCCGGCAAGTACTACTCGGACGTCCTCCTGTATGCCATCTGCGCGCTCGGTGCGTTGCAGTACGACGACACGCTTAACGTCTCGGAAGTCTTCGCCGGACAAGCCCAGGCGCTACTCTACGGCTCCCTCGACAACCCGGACCTCACGCTCCTGCAGGCGCTGGTGCTGCTGGGCTACCGGGAGATCGCCGTCGGGCGGACGTCGAAGGGGTGGCTGTTCTGCGGCATGGCGTTCCGCCTCGCGCACGAGATGGGTCTGCACCTGGATCCGAGTAACTGGGACGGCTTCACGGGCTTCCACCGCGACCGCGAGATCCTGCGCCGCGTGTACTGGGCCGTGTTCACCGCCGATAAGCAGCTTAGCCTCTACTTTGGCCGCCCGCCGGCCCTGTACCCGAACGAGTCGGACGTCCGCAACACAATACGCCTGCAGTACCCGCCGGACTGGCAGGGGCTGCTGGAAACGTACCTATGCGAGAAGGTGTCGGCGACGGAGTTTGAGGACGGGGTCGCGCTGGTCGGCTCGTTCATCTACCGGGCGGAGCTGTCCAAGATTATTCACGTCATGATTACGGACCTGTTCGAGAACCGCCGCGGTGACTCGGACCCGGCCGTTGTGGCAGCAAAGTCTCGCCAGATCCACGTGTCCCTCACCAAGTGGCTTTCCAGCTTGCCGGGCACTGTGCACTGGAACCAATGGACGGTAGGCAAGGTGCCGCCCTCGGTACTCCATCTGCAGTAAGTACTGGCTTTCCCCGGAGCAGAGGCCGAGTGTTTGACTGACCGCATATTAGCATGGTGTTTCACACCGTCATGATCATCCTTCACAGGCCACCCTCCAACATGTTTGACAAGCCTGGTATCGCCGAGAGCGAAGACGTGGAAATCTGCTACGAGTCGCTGCAAGCCATCCAACGGTTGATGAGGAGCTTCTCGCGCTTCTATAGGTACCGGTCGCTGCCGTTGGACTTTGTGCAGACGCTGGCGACGGCGACGGGCATCGTGCTGATGCGGCGATACCTGCTGAAGGCGTCGTGGACGGACCCGGAGGTCGAACGGTCCGTGTCGCTGCTCCTAGATGCGATGAACGACATCCAAAATACGTGGCCGCCGGTGCGGGAGATTCGCGACGCGCTGGTGCAGGCGCAGCAGAGCCAGCAGACAGTGCTGCCGCCCGACGTGCCCTTTGCAGGCAGTGACCTGATGACGGGCCTGCACCTGGACGCGGGCGGCGCCATGGGCGACTTCCTGCTGACGTTTGACGCCGGAAAGGGTGGTGGTGGAGGTGGCAGCGTGGGCGACGAAGACATTGACACACTCATCACGGACGAGTTTTTGAGCGCGCAACTGCAGACTACGGAACCGATTCTGCAGCCGTTTGACTTTAATCACCCCCCTGGGATGAGTTGAGGATCGAGGAAAGGGCCCATGAGCTTGGGTATTAGGCCCTGATCGTGACTGTTTTGCCAAACAACATTAACTGTTGAACCATTCGGGCCCGCTTCAATCACTTCTCCTTCGCGCTGATCAAACAGAAGATATTCATTCACGCCTCTCGCGCCTTGCCCCAACAATAACAATCACGAACACCGCAATCATGGCATCAGTCCATCCCCTTCACGATGATCAGCTCAAGCTCGACGGCAACGGTCATGTTACCATCCGTCCCGGCGTCAGATTCCTGTGGCCGGAGTCGATCGGCGGCGTCAGCATCCCAGAGCCCAGCCAGGCAAAGAACAGCCCCAACAACCTCGCATCCCTCACCGCGTTTCATCTTATCTACGCCGTCCATCGAGCCGGGCACAAGTATGGGCCGCTCATTAACGATCACGCTAGCTAGAGACCGCGTCGACTTTTGGAGCCAAACACCCGTACCAACAGCCGCGGCATCTTCAGTGTTTCCCTTGGGCAGACGCGCCCTCGCCAGGCCGAAGGCGTCCTTCACCAGCTCTTTGGCACCGAGCGTGTCGGCGAGGACAGGTGCACTGACTGCCGCAAGGGCTCCGGCGCGCTCACCGGCTGCTACCAGATTCCGGAGTCGAGCCCGGGCTGCGCCAACTGCACCTACTGTTCCCGGGACAAGGACTGCAGAAGGGGTGATCCCTCGGCGACTCTCAGCCGTAGCTGGTAGCGCCAGCTCAAGAAACAGGCTACGGATGAGGCAGCTCGTCAGCTTTTCTTGTCCCAGGTTCGGGAGCTCGTCCCCGGTTCTGAGCCGGATGTGCGCAACTTGGGCGTGTAATTGTTTTGAGAATTTTGGGGGACTATCACGGAAAGGTACAAGTAGCCGGCTAGCAAACGAGGAGTGAGATGATATGAAAGACTTTTTTTATTCCTTGAAGGAATATGTTTTCATTCTGAACTGACGCCTGTCCAGTATCCCTCAGTCTGGGCACTACAGTTCGCTCTAAACAGCCAGCCTCCGGAGCCAGTAGTAGTCAATCGCAAGCTCTCGACGTTCCTAGGACTGATTTGAATCGATTTGTATAATTTTATCAGAGTTTAACCCCATTGAGTAGGCGGTTGTATTATCAAGTAATCTGTAGCTGGAGCATCAGTACCAGTACGTCAAGGAAAGTTGATGCGGTGGCAAGCTGCATGGCTAGCGGCGTCGCCGATGCTCACTCTATTAGGTACCTACAGTATGCAACGAGGGCAACCGTGACGATGAGCAGGGTTACGATGTTTACCAGGGCTTTTGCTTGGTGAATTCCCAGCAAAATTTCTCGTGAGCGGTGGCTTGCACGGGCTGCTTATTATAGATTTTGTATCAATATCATCCGTGCACCTCGGGGAATGCTAGGCTGCGCTGGGCGCAATTGAGACCTGCAGGGGGCTGCTGGGCTGCTGGGCTGCTGGCCTGGATGGAGCCTGAATCGCTGCATGCAGATATCCGTCGTGTAGATGGATGAGCTCGGCACTTTCATGGGTGGTGGTGGGCATATGTGGGAGATAATCTTGCATGAGACGGGCAAATTGGATGACCCTACGTGTCGGCGCGCTGACGACGACGATGAAGATGATGAATATTGAGCGGCGCCAAGTCTTTGGGCGAGGTGAGAACGCGTAGCGAAGTTGTGAGTGGTGGAAGCATGATTCAGATGATTCAGGTGGCGCGCCATGAGGCTGGCTGCGACGGGGTAAGATAATCGTGCTTCATTACTTGGTAATCTTCATTTATAAGAACATATATTTTTCATCTATGGTAATAAAAGCATTTGGAATATTCATATCGTTATTAAAAGGTATTTTCCCTTAGTTCTACCTCCCATAACGACTCCGTCATTGGATGAATATGAACGTCACAATTCTTCCGTGGGCCATCATGATATTACCCCGCGACGAATCTGTCTCACATTGGCATAGTGAAAGTATGCGAGATGACGAGTCGACGACTGGGACGAGTCTAAGAAGGCCAGGAGCCAGGATGGAGGACATGTCGAGGGACAATCTCGCAATCTTGCTTGAGGACTGGGATAGGCAGTACGACTGCTGCGAGGAGATGGCATGGGCGCTTTGGCAGCCTTTGTTCAAGGACGGAGAGAACTGTTGGTCGGTACCGATATCTCGACTGAGGGAACAAGTACACTGCGTGCCGAGACCTTTTTATGAAGCGATTTCTAATAAATGTACACATGTCAGATAGTTGTTAGCAGAGCGGGACACTCTCAGATTGCCCTAGCCCCCATAATAGAGGCTATTGATTCACCGTGGCGAAGTGGTAATGGCGAGCTCGTGTTGCTGCCCGACGCGGTGATTGCGGGCCGCCCGTTATGGACAGGGTGCAGCATAGTGGCAGGTGAGTAGGTGAGTAGAAGGACCCGACGACATGTGGGAGCGGTGTGGTTGACTTGGGTGACGTTGATAGGGATGACTTCTCCGACAGCGGGCGTTTTCGAGCTGTTAGACGGAATGTTGTTTGCTGACGGGCCTTGTTGCTACGGATGGATGTTGATGAAGAATCCAGCGTTCCAGCGCACCGACCGTTAATTTGTACTGGTACTAGTCGCCCGCCGAAACTCAGAATAGTGCGCCCTGTCCGTCAAAAACGTCACCGCCCAACCCCAGCGGCAAACGGCAATCCCCTACTAATAATAATAAACGGCCCCCTAATAATCACGGTAGCACCGACTGTCCCAGGCGCGCCGCTAACTACTAATTGGCTACCCAGTAATCTTGTACCAAAGGTTAGATACCCTGGCAAGCTGGTAACGCTACTACCAAGCCGCTCGTCAGCCTTCTCACGGCTGGCCTTGCTTCCTTGTTTCCTTGCCTCACTGCCCAAGTTCATCCTCTACAAAAGTCTGCCTGCGAATCTCGGCGTCCTTCTATCCCCCATGTCGCCCAACGTCTAACCGGCCGCGGCCTCTTCCCTCCTCATATGGCCGTAGCCATCATGGATGAACAAGATACATCGACCGCAACATCGCCGCCGTCCACGTCTCCTCCGCCCAAGCCCGAGCCTCGTTCCCCCGCAGCCGTTGCCGCAGCCGTGTGCAGCAAGACCTCGTCGTCGTCGCCCTTTGACAAGCTCCCCGACGAAATCATTGAGCAGTACGCAGCTTCGAACCCGACTACTCATACATCCCCCACTAACGCACCCTTCTTCCTTGTCCAGAATCCTCCGCGTCGCCGACCCCGATAGCTTCGCGTCCCTCCTCGTCCTCAACCGCCAGGCTCGCCGTGTCTCCCAACAGGCCGACCTCTACGCCAGCCAGCTCCAACGATGCGCCTCCTACGCCACCGCGCATGCCGCCTTCGCCAACGTTCATGATGACGACCTGCCGCGCTTCCGTCGGCTCTTTGCGCGAGAGGTCAAGCGCAACCTCTTCAACGCCTATAACCGCCCCTCCGAGACCCTCGTCAAGCTCGTATCCAACTCCAACAGCTCCTCCTCCTGCCCCGGCGGCGAGGGCATGCAGTTCAGCGCCTCCTCCAAAGGCCACCACCTCCTCGCCTACAACTCGGCTCGCATCTACGTCCTCGGCGTCCAGGGCCCCGATCTCCAGGTCAAGCGCGAGCTCAAGATCCAGCGACGGCCCGTCTCCGCTACCATCACCGATGATGCCGCCACCCTAGTCGTCCTGTCGACTGAGATGCAAGTCAACCTCTACGATCTTCAGCAGAAGCCTCCAAAGAGAAAACACGCCATCATCCTCGACAAGAACCCTCGTGCCATTGCCGTCTCCTCGTGCGGCTCCGTCATGGCTGCCGCTTACGAAACCGGAATCGAAGTCTCCTCATTACACCCCAATGCCATGCCCACGGAGCGCCGCGAAGTCAAATGCGATCCTGTCGATAGCCTCGCCTTTTCCTTTGACGGAACGCAGATCCTTGGCACCACGACGCACTCGAAACCTCCCAACACCGTCGTCCTGACTGCCCCATACTATGACCCCAGCACCGTCGCCGACCAGGACAATCTCAGCGCCATGTGGACAACTTCGATTCTTTTCCCCAACACCAGCCATGACTGCAGCCATGCTGTGCTCTTGCAAAATGGAACCAAAGAAGAGGCTTTCTGGGCCTTTACCTACGACCCTAGCTTCGAGACGTTTCGCGCCATTCGCATCGACGACCTCCGTAACGGCACCACCTACTTTACAGGCCCTGTCCCACAACCATCATCGCAACACAAACTACTCCCGAGCACACTACCGGCTGCCGCCTACCATGGCCAACTTGTCGCGGCTGGCTTCCATGGTAGCCAAGTTTGGGTGTATGGCGTGCCTGAGGATTTGGATGCTGTTCCAGAACACCATCCAAGTGTCTCTGATGGTCCCTCTATCCACGCGAGGAGGAGCAGCCAACGTAGCAGTATCTCCCGGCATGACTCCTCTCGTGGACGAGACGAAAATACCAGAGTACCTCAGTGGCAACTTTTGTGCGACAAGCTTCGCAACAACTTTATTGCAGGTCGAAAGGTCGCCGAGCTGACCGCCATCAGCACTGTCAAATGGGTAGAAGGATTTTCCGCTTCATCAGCCAAGGATCGCCTGCTTGTGACCTCGCGAGGGATATCTCCGACCAGGCTAGTTACTGATGAGGAGGACATTGACTTTGTCGATGGCGGTCGGGTGTGTATCCTTGACTTTGAGTACGGACCAAGAAGCGGATCGAAACGTGAGGTTGTCATCGACGTGGGAACAGAGGACGCCGAGGTCTTGCAAGAAGAACAGCGCGACATTGAGACAGAAGTGGCCATTGTGCGCCGCCGCACCGTAGTGCAGAATCGCTCCGGCCGCAATCAGTTGCTTCGTGCCGCCACCACGGCAAACCAGAATCTCCTGCCACCAGTGCCGCGCAGACAATCACCAGAGCATGATGATCCCCTCGTGCCGAGAAAGCTCGGTGTCAACCCTGCCAGCAGAACTGATAGGGAGGAAGAATCCATTGCTTCTGTGGATGAGATGGAGGCCTTGGATGCCCCATATTCACATGCAAGCCCTCGTTCCACGACAACCCTGCGGCGTGCCGCAACTGCCGCTGCGGTGAATCGTCGACTTAACCCACGCACGGCTAACGGTCAGAGAGTCGTCTATCGCCGCGCTGACGGCCGAGGCGAATTACCACACGAGAGCGATGCCGATAACTGGGTTCCTCCGCCCCCTCCCTATCAACCAGATGATCCAGGCACTCTGCCCGCGTTCCTCCGGCGGCCAGCCGTTGCACCGCTACCGTCACCCGTACGACCTTTTACTGCTGTTACGCCAACGCAAACTCAAGCATGGCCGGGGCAATTTTCTCCCCGCGCCCAACAAGCACAAATGGACGGGACCAACGTCCCTTTTCGCCAACGAACTGCAAGCGACGAAACCACGTATAGCAGCAGCAGGCAGCGATTCGAGGAAATCCCACGTCCTATCTCGACGCCCTTAGTCATGCCGGGCGATGCAGAACCCAGAACAGACGATTTGTACGGAGTCTCCCCGTCGGCCTCACCTGCTCTGGAGAGCCAGGCCATGGCGGAGGGGCCACGAGCGGAACCCATCTCGCCAGATATGCGTCACTCTGAAACAGGGACTGCAACGACCACCCCCGCAACCGTCGAATTTTCAGACGCAGTTGAGCATATCCAAGCCCAAGAAGGACAAGCTAACAACTTGATCCTATCGGTTGCCATTCCATCGGGGCAGCTGTCCCCAGTAGGCGACGCGCCATTGCATAATCGGAGGCTTTCAAACGCGCAGACCTGGCCTCGTGTATCCCCGAACCAACCGCAACAAGCGCCGCCACCCATCCCGCACAGCATCGCAACGTACTCGGCACCAGCTACAGAAATGACGATGGCCGAAATAGCATCCGCCTCGCTCCCGCCACCGCCCAGCAGTGACCAGATCAGTCGGCTCAATAAGAGGATAAGCATGGGTGCTCCGCGACGTCTATCGGGTGGACTTCTTAACCAGTGGTCTGCCTCCGGAAGCAGATCCAGCCTGACGGAGCCACCCCCCATCAAACAGCATACTTTCGAGCACGAGCCAACGGCCGACGTACCGCTCGTCAATCCCGACGAAGACCAGCCGCTCATCATAAGCACCCCCGCGGGTGTGAGCGGTGCCTTTGATTCCCCAGGAGAGACGCAGATCTTGGCGCCAGTGCCTCGCCGTCCTCGACAAAGCATCCCTTTCAATCCGGAGCCCGCCCAGCCTGTGCGGGCGCTCTTCCCGGCGCTACCGAGCAACAACGGCGCGACCGAGGCCAAGCAGAAGGCGCGCCACCTGCCCTCCTGGCTGTCCTCGCCACCTTCAGGCTCGACGGCGAGGTCGCCGATGCGCGTCAGCCGGAAGCCCAGCAGGGCGGAGCGGGGAGCGGCGAAGAACATCCTCGACGCGAGGAAGCGTGGGTGGAGGCCCAAGTCGAGGAAGGCAGCGGAGCCGGAGCCGCCGTCTCTCAGCGCGGAAGACTCTGGCTGGACTGACGTCCCGCCGCAGCCTGCCCCAAAGGATCACAAGAAGTGCGTGATCATGTAGATTTTGGGCGGCTGTTGACGGTTTTTGCTCTTTGTTTGTTTTCGATCACGTAGAAGAAGCAAGTTTGTATTTGTGCAGGGTCCGGATCAATCTTTTGCAAAAGCGATTCAAGCGATCTGTTTTTCATCTACTTGGGCTATATTTCCCTGTTTGTTGCATTTACGTTTAGCTTTTTGATACTTGAGCTCTATTTGCTCTTTTGTTGCATTTGCGTTTCTCTTTGACGGAAATCACTACAAGGTTGTCACAAGTCATCATCATACATAGTTTGAGGGTTTGCAGCGAGCGGGTATACATAACAACAGCAAAATGAAGTTGACTTGATGTTTTTTTTCCCATTTTTTTATTTCATATTCATCTATGAAAAAGTCCAAACAAGACCTAAAGATGAAAAATACTGCGGGTCGTATGTAAATGATTTGTGTGTGTGTACATCCCTCAGTCAAAACAGAGGATCAAATCACCAAGGGACAAATTAAGAAAAAGAGTAAAACCAGAAGACTCCGACACCTAGAACAGAACAATAAACTAAAAAATAGGAGATGAGGTAGATGGATACTGTTTTCCCTCTCGTATATGTGTATATGGGAATTCTCAACTTTGTGTGAGAAAGAGGTAAAGAGTTGGGTGGTGTGTAAAAATGTCAATCGCTGTTTGTTTTTGCTTGCCGTTCTTGCATTTCTTTTTTTGTCTTCACAGACGTGGCGTCCTGTCCGGCACGGGCACGTACTTCTTCTCCCCACGATGAATCGCCCCCAGGCCCGCGTCGTCCATCAAGCCCGAGAACATCGTGTCCCGACCCCCTGCCTGCTTCTGCTGCTGCTTCTGCTGCTGCTGCTGCTGCTGCCCCCGCAGCGGCGCCACCACCGCATACTCATCCGAGAACACGTCACTATCCGGCCGGCGCCCCTCCTCCTTCTCGTCATAGTAGCCGTAGCCGTGCATGTCCTGCGGCTCCACGTTGCGCGAGACGACCCGCCGACTGTCACGCAAGTTGTTCAGCGACGGCGCCACCGGGCGGCCGACCTCGCCCGTCTTCGCATATCTCTCATCGCCCTCCTCCTCCTCCTCGTAGTGGCGGCCGTCGTAGTCGTAGCAGGAGCCCGGGGAGGTGAGTCCGTTCCGGCCGGGGTCCGGCGAGGCGAACGGGTTCGGGATGGACAGCCGGTACTGGTCCTCCGGCTGCGGGTCCAGTCGGGGCGGGTGGGTGAGGTTCCGCGGGGCTGAGACCGCGGCGGCGCCCCCCCCGCCACCGCCGGAGGAGCGGTCGCCCTCCCACCGGTTGTTGATGGGCCGCTGGCTGATGGAGGAGGCGGCCGAGGGGCTCTTGAGGATAAAGTCGGTGCGGAAGTTGTCCCGCTCGATGATGGGCTCGGAGATGAGGAAGCCGCGCGCGCGCACGCTGCCCGCGTCGTGGGACGGCGCCGAAGTGCCCGACTTCTCGCGCGACGAGGACGATGCGTCGTCGCGCATGCCCTGCTTCCGGCGGCGGCGGCGTCGCACGCACAGGATTCCGATGACGGCGGCGACGACGAGCACGACGGTGCCGCCCACGGCGCCGCCAATGATGGACGTGGTCTTGGACGTCATGCCCCCGCCCCCTTGCCCTTGCCCTGCTTCGGAGGTGGCGGTGGCGGACTGGGCTACCTGCGTGGAGGAAGTGTGCGCATCCGTCGCCATGGCAGAAGAAGAAGCCGGGCTTGTCGACGTCGTCGTCGTCGTCGCCTTCGCGCTGGTGTTGGGGGCCGTCGAAGTCGCCGAGGCGCTGCTGCTCGTCGCGCTCTTGGAGGCGTCGGCGAGCTCGGCGGGCGACTTGGACTGGTCGGCGCTCCGGAGGCACTCACCGTTGTCGCAGGAGTACCCAAAGGGGCAGCAGCCGTTGGCGCAGACGGGCAGGTCGAAGCTGAAGACGGTGGTGAAGATGACGGCGGTCGGGTGCTCGGCGGGGTCCTGCATGCGCACGTCGCAGGCGATGGGCTTGATGCGGTCGCAGTCGCTGCCGGAGGGGCAGCACAGTGCGGTGGTGTCGGCGGCGAGGCCCTGGCATTTGGTGTCGGCCGGGCAGCAAAAGGGTGCCGGCAGCTTGGAGGGGCAGGCGAGGAGGTCCTTGGGGCAGGTGTAGTTCTCGGGCGAGGAGTTGGAGGCGCGGGGGGTGAAGAGGTCTTGAGGGAGGGCGGTGGTGGTGGTGATGGTGGTGCTCGCGGCTAATAGCGCGAGCACGGCTCGACGTCTGTGCATTATCGTGGATGTGGTTCTGTCGGTCGGTCTAGGCGATGAAGGGGAGAGAGAGGATCAGAGGTTTCCAAGATGTTGGTGGTGGATGACGATGGTCTGTCTGGAGGATCGATCGTTCCCGGGTATCTATCTGGGTGAGGCGGGAGGGGGATCGGTGGATTAGGCGGCAGGTAGGATTATGTTTGTAGATCGTCTGTCTAAATGATGTTTGAATGCCACGGGCCGGCCGCAGTTTCCGAGAACGAGAGAAGGACAGAGAGAGACGGAGAGAGGAAGGATGGGAGTGGCAGTGAATGAGTCGGGAATTGGAGCAATATTCAAAGATTTGCGGGGGCGCGTAAAGAGCAGCAACACAAAGTAACATGTATCGATATGCCGGCGGGAGCAGAAATTAAAAAAGATTTTGCATGTATATGTTTGTGTGTTGCGTGTGTCTGGTTCACAACATGCCTTGTAAGAGGGTAAGACAAAGGAGAAGATGAGCTTGTGATGGGAAGGGGAAAGGATGAAAGATTGCCACCGAGGGAAGAATTATTGCCGAGATGATTGTATGGGATTGGCAGAGGGATTAAGGAAGGGAGACGGAGTCAGGAAAGGGTAGGGAGAGAAGAAAACAGGACAGGTAGATGAGAATGGCCTCAGTGAAACGTGGTATGGCCGGTTTTGGGTGGACGTGGAATACTCGGAAGCGCCCAGATGTCGACGCGGGCCGGACACGAGGTTGGCGGTAGTCTAGCAGACATACAGACAGGCACATAGAAGCAAGGGTCAGTCAGAGAGCAGGAGAGGGAGAGGGAGAGACGAGAGGTCAGCAAGGACTGTCTGCAGCGGAGCTTCGGTACTGGGCCCCATGCTATCATGCCTTGACTAGCGTTTATAAAATTCTCCAGCTAGCAGGAAAGTACGAGAAAAAACATGCATCTGAGTGGCAGTGACAAGGTAGGTAGACTTTTCTCTTGTTGGGCTGGTGAGTGATGCGGCGCAGCACGTTACAACAAGCGCGAGGTATAAGTGAATCAAGAGGCAGAGAGCGGCCTGTTGGAAGAGAGGGGGGGCGTCAGGGTTCCACAGGTCAAATATAGATTCTTGCCAGGGTGATACAGGAGGGGGTTAGTATCGACGATTTAGATGAAGAGAGATGAACAAGAGGGAAAAAGGTAAGCGACTGGGTTTGCCGCCGTGGCGGGTCAGGGGAGAAGGTGAAGGAGGTGAAGATGTCGCAGCTTTGGCCGAGTTGGGAGACCTGGAGGGTTGTGATTGGCTGGAATTAGCTGTTGGGGCGGTGCGGTGCGTCATTGGACGAGCCAGTGGCGGTGCAGTTGAGCCACAGCAGGATTTGAAGATGAGGAACTAGAGGAGCTAGACACGCGCAAAAGAAAAGAATATAAAATATATATAAATAAATATATAAAAAAAGAGAAAATGAAAAAAAAAATTGGCAGGATATTTTTCCGGCATTCCGTTGTTATTTTTATTGGGATGAAGATGGGAGGAGAACCAGACAGACCATCGTCTTGCTCAACCATCTGCAGCAGCCTACCTGCCCTGCTGCTGGGCGCTAAAGCACAGATTACAGGCAGTCAGCCTCAGCCAGCCCTGAAGCAGACCCTGTAATTACACACGGTGGCTCCTGCTGCAGCAGCCCGCTGTAAGGCATCAGCAAGCGCCCGCACAAGACGGGATGACAGCCAGGACTGATTTGCTTGCGGTTGCATGTAGTAACTAGTAGACGCAAAGAAATAATGTAGTAATTGTTATGTGTGTTTGAGGAAAACAGGGCCCAGACAAGACGAACAAGGCGGACGGGAGTAACAAAGGAGGAGCAGGCGGTAAGTGAGATCATATGCTACAGGATGTGATTCCACGAGCGACAAGAAACACGCAAGAAAGAGGGACAAGGAAGAATACAGAGAGAGAGGCCTTGTTCGAGTACCACCAGCGCCCACCGCTCGCTCCCAACCCCGGCTGGATGCCTCACATGCATAGAAGACGACATGTTAGCCTCCGGCCCCCAACGACCTAACACCAGGGTAAAAAGGAGGAGAGTACAAGGTAAAAAAGGACAGGCCCATGGATTGAGTCGCTCAGACCGTGTACACGCCGCCCCGCTGGCTATCCGAAACAAGCATCCCGAGGGCGTGTGGCAAAGAAGAAGAATAAAAGACAAAGAGTTCTCGGAGAGACAAGAGACCGTCCGCCGTCTCTTGTCTCGCATCACGAGACGAGGCCAGCTCAGCGCCTGCTGAACTCACGAAAGTCGGTCAAAAAGAAAGGATGCAAGTCGCACTCGTCGTTTCTGCACAAAGGTCTCGGATGAGCCAGACGCACCCCAACAGAGGGAGAAGAAAAAAAAAAGAAGGACTGGGCATGTCTTGAATTGTGTTCCGAGAACCGGACCCGGCATGCCTCCCTCTTTGTCCTCCCACACCCATGTAAAACGAAACGACGGGAAAAGGGCCATTGCTGCGAAACTGCTCTTTCCGTGCTCTACGACTTCCCCAAAGAGACAAACAACGAACACACACACACACACACACAAAAGCCTCATTCCAGCCACCCTCTTTTTGCCATATGCAGCTGGCAAGCCTGGTGAGAAAGAGCGGATGGAGGGAGGGGGGGGGGCGTGGGCTTGAGGATGCGTTGGCGGGCCGCGATTGGGCATCCACGGCATCAACATCTATCTAGTCCGCATGTTGAGAGTAAAAGGAAGAACTTGCTCCGCTCTCTTCGTACGGTGCGAGGAGGAACCCTCCTTCTGCACGCCCCTCGCCAACTTCCTGTCCTGCCATGTCTTTTTTTCTTGCTTGCGGCGCCCGGAAAGCCCAACGCGGGGTGAGCTATCAACTATCAACTTCTTGATTGATTGTGCCTACCCTGTACGTACATGTAATAACTAGAATGCTCATATACATGCACCCTTTCAAACGCAAAGTACAGCAATAATTGCATGCAGCAGCGGCAAGTCATGCATGCTCTCTGCAATTTCTTCTTCTTCTTATTTTTTCCTTCTTCTTTCTGTTTGTTACTGCTTCGTCGTGATGCGTGCCATTCAGTCCACTCATCAGGGCTCTTCCAGCAGGGCCAATATCATGGCATGCACCACGAAGGCTAACGTCATGGCACAAGTCCCGTCTCGTCATTCACCAAGGTGGGCTTCCCTCGCTTCGGTGAACGGGCATTGACATTCCAGAAGGACCAAGTGGCGTTCCTTGGCCGTGCGCCGATGTGCACCGCTCATGTTGCAGCCTCGCCTCGCAGACCCAGATCGTGCAGTGCACGGACAAATAGACACTGGAGAGAAGCCAAGGAAACGACGAGATCAATCAATGGAAGAATATTTCTTAAATTTTATGTCATTTTACAGAAAAAGCCAAAAGAAGCTCAACTCTTCCAGCGTCCCCTATGAGCTTTCCTTCATATGGTATATGGAAATCATAACGAGTGATGGTGGTATAAACTAGAAATAAAAACAAAATCCCACAAATGCCTCCCAGGGCCGTTTGTCACGTAAAATCCAATCCAAAATCAAAAGCATCCAACTCCAATCCTCCTTCCAAGTGTCCAAAAAGAAAAAGTCGTTGCCAGCAACAGAAGTTGCCGGTTTCTATTCCGCCAATGAGATCTTGTCCGTGGCTGAAAAACCCCATACACCGCCTCGCGGCGTCCTCTATAAAAGAAGTTTGAAAAAGAAGAACCGGAACCAGCAGGTATAAATAAATAAATAAAAAATGGGGAGAGGAATGGGAAGAGGGGGGAGAATATGTACGAAAAAAAGTTGACAACAGCATCTCGCAAGGCCAGCTTTGAAAGATGCTGGCCTTTGGCACTGGAAAGAAAAAAAAAAGTCAGATGAGCAAATAGTCCCATCCGTTCATCTGCATTACCTCTCTCCAGTGAAGGAACGGAGGAGGGACGTCCGCCGGCGCCGCTCCGGCCTGCTCAACCAGCAGCCGATCATTGTGCCGCCAGAGCTCACGCATCAGGCAGACCATCCGACCGAACGCGCCGCACTTGGCCGCGTCGCCTAGCATCGCGATGCGCTCCTCAAAGAGCTGCCGGAACTCGCCGCCCGGCGCGCTGATCGAGCCGCCCATCAGGTACACCCAGACGAGGCTGCGGTCGAAGCCGTCCGGCCCCGCGGGCACGCCGACGCGCAGCACGCCGACCAGCTTGTCCAGCAGCGAGGCCGGTGACGCCGTCAGCGGGTGGAAGCCCGGCACCAAGCTGCACAGGTAAATGCGTGCGGCGATGCGGAATGCCGACGTGATGTTGCGCGCCAGCTGCTTCGGCGAGAGAGCGCCGGTGGACGGGTGGAAGGGGCTGCGCGGGACCGGGTCGGCACCGACCTCGGTAAGGCTGATCTGCTCGCCCAGTGAGGATACGTGCTGGCACAACACCAGCTCGTCCATCCCGGCCGTCTTGAGCGACTCCAGGCAGGCCACCTCGGAGATGAGGTACATGACGCGGTCCTCGCAGCCCATCAGCTCGCGCAGGCCCAGCTGCGGTGTCGCTGAAAGGTGCTTCTCGCGGTACGTGTGAGCGAAGGTGGGTGACACGCCGAGCATGGAAGCGCCCAGGATGTCGATCCACGCCGTCAGCGTCATGTTGAACGGCGTGCGCTGCAGGGGAGCCCCGGGGCCCGGCGCTTCGGAGACGAGTCGCGTCAGGTCCAGCTTCTGCACCAGGCTGATGGCGGCATGGAAGTGCTGGTGCCAGGGAATGTCGAGCAGCCCGTCGTCGGGCCGGCCCACGACGCACTGGAAGAAGATGAGGGCGAGCGTGGCCTCGAGGATCTTGTGGTGCTCCTGGTCGCGCTTGAGCGCCTCGCAGAGCGACCAGATGGTCGCGTAGCGGTGACGCATGATGGCGCCGTCCGCCTCCGTCTCTTCGTCGTCGCCGTCCTCCTTCCCTTGGCCCTTCTCCTTCTTGGCAGCAGCGGCAGAAGCAGCGGCGGCAGCAGCGGCGGCGGCGGCAGCAGCAGCTGGATCAGCATCGGCGAGGGCCATGTCCAGCGTCTTGACGTGCTGGGCGGCCGCGCTCAGGCAGCAGTGCAGGTAAGTGTTGTTGGTCTGCAGTGCGGGTAGGACCAGGTCCGAGCCGACGGACCCGTGCTGGTTGGCCTCGAGGATGGGAAAGATGGTCGGCAGAACGTACTGGATAAAGTGCGCCAGCAGCCGCTCGTCGTTGTCCTCGAGCTCGAGGCGGACTTGTCGCGATTCCTGGTGCGGGCCGTGGGAGAAGTCGAAGAAGTGCAGGTCAAGAGCCTCCTCGGCGAGCGACTCGCGACGCTCCTGGTGGACGTGCTCCGTCCAGGTGCCGCCGTCGGGGGGGAGAGGAAAGGAGGAGCCGGCGGGGAGGACGGTGCCGGGAGGTGGCGGCGTGTGCATAGTGGAAAAGGTCGAGATGTGAGATTCATGGACGGTGGGCACGTCGTTGACGAACATTTGCCGCTCCGTCTTGATATCAACCTCATATGGCGCGACACCGGCGCCGGGATGGTGGTAGCCGGCGCCGTAGACAAAGTCGGGGTGTATTTGTGAGTTGTAGGCGACAAAGTCGGCGCCGCTGGGCGGGCTGTTGAAGTTGAAGTTGCTGCCGGCATGACTGGAGGCGCGAGAGTCAACCGAGGCGGACCGGTTCCGGTGGTCGTAAAAGTCGGAGGCGCCCGAGACTGAGGTGGGCATTGAGTGGCTGAGGCTGGGCGGTGGTGGGCTGACCGAGGTGTGATGATGCATATCGTGATGTTGGGCGGCCGACTTCTCGGCCAGCTTCTTGCGCTTGATGATGATCTTGATGTCCTCCTTGTTCCTTCGGCGCGCATCGTTGTTGCTCCACCAGATGGGCCGGTTGTATTCGCATTCGAGGCCGAGATGTTGGCAGGCCGAGCAGAAGGGCGCGACCTCGTCGCATTTCTTCCGGCGCAGTCGGCAGGTGTAGCATCCTGGTCAATCGGGACGGCAAAGGTCAGCGAGGGGATTTTCTCGGAGAGTGAGTAGGATGTGCTGTATTTAGAGCGAGAGATCCAATCCAATCCGCTGCCGTCGTGAGAATGACATGAGGATGAAGGATGGAGGGCGCGTCTAAGTCGAGCTCCAGCTAGCTCCAAGCAGGGAACCACGTACCAGATCTTGAGCGGCGGTGCATTTGCGTTTTCGATTTTGAGATACCGTCGATATCAGAGGCCTTGGCCGTCATCTTGGACTTTGCAGTCTTTGTCGTAGCCATCTTGACAGAATTGACGAGAGCATTGGCAGGTGTTCTGCGCATGCTGGGGGGCAGGGTAGACATTTGTATGGGCTGAGCCGGGGTGGGATATCAAAGCTCTGGTCTGGCTGGAGCCCTATTGTCGGGGGGGTGTGTGCGTGTGCGTGGGCGAGAGAGCCTTGGTTACCTAGCACAAGAGAGGAGGACCTTGGGGATTGTTTGTACAAGGTCAACTTTTGGCAGAGGGAAGTGAAGCTGAGAGCACCTGTACTTTTTGGCAAGGTTAGCTGGATGGCCTGTCTCTCTTAGTGTCCCCGGGACGGGAAGAGGAACAACGGCGACGAGGACGAAGACAAGGACGAAGACAAGGACAAGGACAAGGACCAGGCCTAGAGAGAGACAGAGCAGAGAGATACAGAGAGAGAGAGAGAGAGACGGGCCGGGGAGGGGAGGGGCGTGTAGGTGTAACCGTCAGTAGAGAGGGAGGGTGTGCAAGTATAGGAGCAAGGTGCAGACAGGGGGGGTGAGGCTCGAGGTGACACGGTGTAAGCACTGTGCGATGGGCGTACCAGTAAGAGAAGAGAGGAGAATTGTAGGACCAAGTCAGTCAACAAGCCGGGCCTTTTTCGGTAGAAAGAGAGAGAGAGAGAGCGGGCTTATTGAGCCGGGATTGTAGTCTGGTCTGCTGAGGTTGCTGTTGCTGATTTGTGCGAGTGCGGGAGATTACTCGGAGTCTGGAGACGCCCGCTGCGACAATGGATTGGTCGGTGCTGAGATGTCGACGGCTGCTGCTTCTGGTGCAGGGAAGGTTGGCTGGCTTGTAGTGCTTGCCTGCGGTATCATGTGGATGTTGATGTTTTATTTGGACAAGACAAAGAAATAAAAGAAACAAGTAAAAAGAAAGTAAAGAGAAAGTTGCCGGTTTGCGGGGGAAATGGCCGTTCCAAGTCGAACCGGAAATGAGATCAAAAAATGAACAAAAAGAAGAAGAGGAACAAAAGATCGTTTCCGAAAGCAAGGCCTGCTTGCTTTGTGCGGGTGGTGGTGGTGGTGGTGGGTGGTGGGTGGTTGTGTTGGTGATGGTATCGAGAAGAGACCGGGGGGACTGGTAGGTAATGTGAGAGAGGCGAGGATTAAACACGAGAATGGGGGTTAAATCAGGGAACAGCAGGAATAAAAACGAAACAACAGACTTCTTCTCAAAAAAACGCCGAGAAGAAAAGAGGGTTAAATTCGAAAGCTGGGCGGCAAGAGCATTCGTCTTATACCACGGGTCTCTAGACATCGCGGCCAAGCGCTTGCTCTTTCTGTCTCTATCCCAATGACAACCTGTATGTCTGCAGGTATGTATGTATGGTGAGCTTGCAGATGTTTCTATTTTTGAACACACCTCTTCTCTAGCTTCCAGCCCTTGGCCTCCCCTCCTCCTCCTCCTCCTCCTCCTCCTCCTCCTCCTCTTCCTACTGCCTGCTTCCTACTTGATAGTCTACTCTACCTGCAGCCAGCCAGCCCCAGCCGTGCAACCTTTTTTTTTTTTAAACCAGTCCCATCTGAGTTAGCGATCTTCCTCTTCCCTTGCCCCTCCCCATGCACGGTCAAGTTACCTCTGCGCTTACAGCTACCAATCACCTCGACAGGAACCGGCATTCCAGACCCGCTCCCTCAACAGCCGTCCTAAAAAAGACGATGTGCTCCATCGTCTGGGGGCAGGGGTCCAGTCCAGTCCTGTCCAGTCCAGTCCTGTCCTGTCCTGTCCTGTCCTCGTGGAGAAGAGACTGGGCAAATCAAGAGGGAGGAGATGTGGACATGGATGGGACAGAGCATGCATGTCCTGTGAGTCCCGATGTCTTTCTGTCGTGGATGCCGCTCTTCCTTTCTTCCCCGCTCTCTCTGTATCTTTCTCTCTCTATTTTCCTCTTTCTCTCCCTTCCTTCTGTGCGCCAAATTGGGCAACTGTTGAGCCGTGAGCTGTGATGCTGCCAAGCATATCCCGATACCTTGTGCTCTTCAACCCCCCTGCCCTGCCCTTCCCTGCCCTTCCCTGCCCTTCCCTGCCTGCCCGACGGGCTGACAGCGCCCATCGCCTCACTAAAACCCAGTCACTCACTACTGAAATCCTCCGGTTAACCGAGATTGCACCTTGTCATCAAAACAAATACTCGGTGGATTATTCATGAATACTACTCGCATCCATCCCGCCCCAAGGCTAGATACAGCAGATCCTGCCGCAACTCATCGTACTCCAACTAGTTACTCCGTTACGTGTATTATCCAGGCCGAGTACTCGGATGGGATTCCTTGATTTGTTTTTTCCTTGTCCCTCCTCTCTCCACACCCCATATATGTACGTCCATGACTGGCAGAAAGTATGGATGGTATGACCTCTATGGCTCCCACTTGCTCCAATTCGTTGCTCCGATGTGCCACCTCCTCACCTCGACACCCCGAATCTGACCCGCTTCCGCCTATATGCAGCTTTTCGCATGTCCACCCATTAACCGCACTATTATGCTGCAGTTGCTGCTGTTGTTGGGAGAAAGATTTTGCAGTCTTGCATCTATCGAAACTCCGAGTTTTTTTCTTGCTGCATTTCCATGCGATGTGATAACTACATGCAGTTGTACCCCGCAGGAATAGTTTGTCGCCCTGTATTCATTCATTCATTCATTCATTCATTCATTCATTCATTCATTCATTGTCCCCCTCCTCAAAGACGGGGGAGTACCAGTACCAGTATACCAGTACAGCGGCCTGTATGGAGTACAGTGGCCAGTACAGCGAGTGGGCAGAGCGCAGATACGCGGTACACTAGGCAGCCACGGATACAATGCACCCGCTGGACATTTCAGAGTCGCACGTGTGACGGATGAATCTTCCAGATACCGTCGGGTCCTTGGAGACGGACGGTAGGTGACACAAAATAGCGGTAAGGAATATGGCGGGTTTCTGGGCTACAAAGGGCTGGCTTCCAGGTCAAGTGGCCTGGTGTATGGCACGACAAAGCCTTGTTGTCGAGCTAATGAATTACAGCACAGTGGGAAAGGCGGCGGTTTGCTCAGCGTTCAGCGGCCCGTCTCGGGAGGGGAGAAAGCCAAGGAAGAAAGAGCTTCCGGAACCATTCCGCCATGCAGAGGTACCCGTGCTCAGTTTAGGGTACGGATAAGTACTCAGTACGGAGTACATGGACCGGAAGTCGTCAGCGCAGAAACAAAAGGTGGGTGAGAGACATGCCCAGCATTCCTTGGGGGCTGCAGCTGGAGTAGAGGCGAGGCAAGGTAAGGCCAGGGAAGGCATGGCCTTTGGGGGGGGGGGTGGAAAACCAAGGGCCCAGGCCGACACCACTGCAATGGCCACGAAGAGAGAGGAGAGAGGAGAGAGAGAGAGAGAGAGAGAGAGTACAAGGAAGAAAAGAAAAGGAGCTAATTCGTAGAATCATGTGGCCTTTTGTGTCCCTCGTATTGCAATTTTCTTGTTGCAACAAGTAGGACAAGAAAACGCGGGTGATGATGATGAAGCTCTCTCTCTCTGTCATCTCCGCTTTCTTGGAAGACGCACGGGGCAGCGCGGGTTACACTACACCTTACAAGGAAGGGAGAGGAGGGTTCACTGACCAGATAAAAACACAGGCGCGGGCAAGGACGGGAAGAAGGCGCCCGCCCGCATGGAAGGCTCAAGGCAAGAGGGAACAATGAAGGAAGAAATGACTCTTGAGTTATACGGACAGTGGACAGTGTGCGATAATAAAAGGCCGAGCGAGGTTCATGAAAGAGGCGGGCGCGGCGGCCAGGCCAGGCTAGGCTAGGCATGCGCGGGCTATCCGGTATGGCCATGGTGTGCAACTGTTGCTGGTGGGTATTGGTACGGAGGAAGTTGACAGCCAACTTTGTCTCTGTTTTCGTTTCTCAGCAGGGCACTTGGATGAGAAACAAAACAAAACAAGAAGGAAAAACAACAACAAAAAAAAAAAAAAGGACAGCCAAACTAACTAGCAAGCAAAACCCCATGTCGACAAAAGGTGACAGATGATGCATTCTCGTCAGTCATTGGCGCATTCCCCCCAGCTGGTGTGACGAGACGGTTGAGGTGCATGACCGGTTGCGGGCCCTTTCGTCTTTCTCTTTCTTTGCACTTGATTCTCTACTAGTCAACTTCCCAGTAGTTTATCGGTAATTATAGCACTTTACCAGTAATAGCACGTTACCAGTAATAGCACGGTTACCAGTAATAGCACTTTACTTTAGTTACTTTCCCCATTCAACCCCCCCCCCCCCCCCCCTCGACAACCCATACCAGTACTAAACTTTAGCGTGCTCGCTCAGAGGCCTGCTGGTGATCGAGATTGGCCATCGCTCGCATGGTGCTAGACAGGGGGTACCTAGCCTAGCGCCTGCCTAGGGCCCTGCTGCAAACAAGGGTCTGCACACCCTCTCATGGCTTTTTTTCCTCTCTTGTGCGGACAGCGAACAGCTCAAGCAAGTACAGCAATGAGTTGCTGCTCTCTCACGAAAGCCCAAGTAACATTCACTGTGGAGTGAGGTCCTCTTTGCTGTGGTTCTCGACTCTTGACTTGTGAGGCTCGAGAGGCTCGTCAACCAGCCTCAACAGCCCGGCCCTTTCCACCCTGGCTGGTTCTTTCTTCCAAGGAGCAACCGGTTGGTCTGTGAGTTGTTGTGTGTTAGTTATTAGCTCGTGTTTGCTTGCCCTGCTTCCTTCTTTGCCATCCATCATTCATCAACCAACAAGTCAGTCCAATCTCTTTCACCTTGCTTCCGCCATGCCCTTTCAAGTAATCCTTATTACTGTACGAGCACCACACTCGCCCACCGCCCACCGCCCACCGCCTCGCCAACGTCATGGACCATGGTAACACCTACCATTACTGAGTAACCAGCACCCGAGCTCAGCTCAGGTACATTACTCAGTCATCACATTCCCATCACACCGAGCAACGCCACTCCCCTTGCCTCGAAGCGCCAACCTTGAGCTTGCTCGGCTGCATCACATCTCGACTTGCCCTTGAATCATCCCCATGACCGAGGCGTGACTAGCCTTCCCTGCTCGCC